GTCAAAGGGGTTCATGTTATCTTTATTTCAGCAGAGGAGATGGTTCCTATCAGGAGCATGTTGGAGACAAGGTATAGCACTGCTACTACTCTTCCTGGCACAAGAAGCTTTCATCAATTTACCCCCCTCTCTGAAAGTGTTATGGCTGCTAAACGTGTTTCGGAAGATGAATTGTATTCCTTAGAGTTTAATCTAGTGTTGGGGAAGACAAACTTAGGGAAGCTGGCAGATCCAAACATGTCTGACTTTATTGTTTGTTCACATAATGAGAAACTTTGGGTTGGATTTGTTGATGTAGTAGATAAGGAACATAATGATGTTGAAGTCAAGTTTATGCATCCAAGCTACCCAGCGAGATCCTTCTCCTGGCCACGGAAAGATGATGTATGTTTTGTACCAATTGTGAATGTGGTCTGCATCATTGAGGCACCAGTAACAGTAACAGGAAGACAATACAAGTTGAGCAGCAAAGACATATCCACAATTGAACAAGCACTTGCTGAATAACTCAGATAGCTTGTAACATAACTTGAAAAGTACAGTACAGTACTGAACAATATATTAACATTATTGAACATCAAATAACAACTTCTAAAGGTGATGATTGCAAATGCTGGATATGACAGTTCCATAAAATTAAGAATTTACATAGGATTTCAACCATATATTTGTTGGCATATTTTTCAGCAAGAAGAAGAGACACCAAGCCAAAACTTGGTGAAATTAATTCTCATTATATATTCATATACCACAGCAAAAATGGGTTTGGTCCTACATTGCCAACATGGGTAATTTTCGGTTTGTAATTTGATCCTTTTATGGTTTCGGGATATATATATACCATTGTTTAACATAGAAATATGCATTTCTTTTCAAGTAATGATATTTTTGACCTTATATTCTAATTCAGCATGTCTTAAAATGCTATATCACCAGTTTTCTTGTCTATAGAGTTAAAGGATAGAAAACGACAGTTGAAATACCATACATTTTTGTTTACCACTTATAAAGAATGCTATAACTGACACCGATATTGGTGGAAAATCGAAAAACTGATATCTCAGGAACAAATAAAGATATTGAGCTCAAATTTGGTGTGCTTTCATATCTCACTTAAACTTCCAATTGGTGCAATTTTGGTTAAAATCTGGGATGGGTGGGTGACATTTTGAATTTCTATTGTTGATTTCACATGGAATGACCCTTTGGGTAATAATATGCTGGAAAAACAACTTTGAATTTTTTTTAATGTTGTTATTTCCCAAATAAGTTAAGTTATCAGTTGTTAAAAACTTTTCCAACATACAATTTATATCCATTTTTTACATATCATATGTTTTACTTTTTATCAATGATTGTTGCCAAGAAAATGTAAAATAAGGATGGGGTGTAGAAGTTCCTAAACTTGAAGATGGTACTGGAGTTAATAAAGATGGTATACGAGTAGATAGCGATGATGAAGCAGGAGATAGTAATGAAGGAGTAGATAAAGTAGGTGTGAATAAACTTCTTCTTCGATTCCGCGTTGTATCTCTTGCATTAGAACTGATATACATTTCCTTAATTTTAGTTTTGATATATGAAATTGGCATTCCTTTTCTTCTTAACTCAGGTAAAATAGATCTTATTTCATGTTCTTTGAGATTTAATGTTTTTCTATTAGATATTAAATCATTTACTGAATCAAAGAAGGTAAAATTAAATTTCCCATTTTATTCTAAATGTTTTTTGTTTATACCATGATTATGGAAAAATCTTGAAATTAAATTGTTATGTTGTGCTTTTGAAACCCTTGTTATTATTAGTGTTTTAAAGGGAGTGCTACCATCTATATTTAAAGTTTCCCCGTGATCCATTATATCATTTGTATCTTAAAATTACTCGTTTTCCGTCCTTCTTAAATCATCCGCTTTAGTCAAGAAATTAATTAAATTCTCTTTTCTTTCTTTCTTTTTTCAATAAAATATACGCTTTTATTACTTCATGTTTTTTTGTGTTATTAGTTATTCCATTAATCAAAACTTCTTCAGGTCTTCTCTTCAATTCTGCTAATAGTTTATTTATTTGACTTGTGTTGACAAGACCAAATTTTTCAACACTATCATTTACCATTATTAATAGTTAAGTAATAAGCATCTTCTATTAAATATCCTGTTTGAACATCTTCATATAATTAATGTTTTATATCATCACTATATTTTTATTTTAAACTTCTAATTAACATTTTTTATGATATGGATTTATTTCTTCCTGGGAAATTATTTTGTCATTTAAAATCTTTATTAAAATAAAAATCAAATTGTTAAATAGATTTTTATTTTCGGTTAAATTTAATCTATTTTCTACTCTACAATTAATAAAAATCTTTAAACTTGGAATAATTTTATTTTTTTAACTTTTTTGGTTTTTAAAATTCAACTAATTTGACAATTACTTTTAAAACCTCTTCATTTATAATACTTTCTTCTCATCATTATCATCATCATCATCATCAGTATCACATTTTTCTTCATCATTTGATTTGTCAAATTTATTTTGAAAATCACAATATTCTTCCCCATTACTTTTTTCTTTATTTAAATTTTTTATCTTTATCAATTTCTTCCAAATTTTCTTCAGTATTATCTTCATTTTTCATATCATCTTTTTTTCTCTGTTTTCACTTTCTTTAATTAATACATCATCCATTATAGAATATTAGGTTTTATTACTGGATCAATATACATAATTCGTTTTTAAGGGAAAATCAATATCAATTACTTTTCTATTTTTTCTTTTTAGTTTCTTTTTATTTCATTTTAATTTATGTAATTTTTCTGTTCTTTTCATGTTGTAAACACAACATAAATGAAAAAATTAAAATCAATATTCAAAATATATGGGTATTTTATATCCATTATTCATTTGATTTCTAAATTCTCCAAATAATATAGGCGTATTTCATTCACTTATTGCTTCTTTTAAATTAATATCAAATCCAAAATCACCTGTAGTTTGACTTGATAAAACTTTGGGAAAACTATCTTGATTTGGAGATAATCAAGTACAATAATTCCATTTTCAAGGGTTAATCAAAATAAATTTTTTTATTTTTTTTATTTAAAATTTTCTTTAAATTCTAATAGGCTTCTTTTTCGACCATAATACTCATAGATTACAGCACAATTTTTGTATGTGCACAACAATAACTACCATTTAATAATTTATATAAGTTACAATTTTTTGATGTGTAAAAACTCTTGATGGTAGACCGCCTGTGAACACATCATAACAATTAATTGCTTCGGACCAATAGCAACGGTTTTTGTAACAACTCTTATATTGTTTATAAAATAATGACACTCTTTATTTTCTTGTATCAGTTTATTATTTATTGCTTTACTCAATTGATCATTTGGTTTAGACATTCTAGTTTTAATCTTAAAATTACTAAAATGGACATCGTAATTTTGAGGATTATCACCGGCTAAACCTATCAAATTATAATGTTCTTCTGCTCTTGCAAATTAAAATTTCAAATTACTAGCTGATGTAATTCAACTTGTTTTACCATAACCATTTATTAAAGTCATATCAAGCTGATCTATAATTTTGAAACTTTTATTCTTTAAAGCTTTACTCGTGCATTTTTCTATTTAAATAAGCAACATCATTGAGGGCAGTATTTGATTCAATTTTATCTACAGTATCCAATTTTTTAAACCCATCCAATATATTTAAATTCATATTGGCTAAAATATATTTAAATATCCAATCCTATTATATTGATTAGTAATATTGTTTACTAAAACATCATTAATGAATAAATTTACATTGCACCACATACTAATTAAAGGTCTTGGATAAAGTGGTACCGGCCATTAATTTTAATCTACCACACACAGAGCCCTCTATTTGAAAGAGTTGGGACATCTATTGTTATCCGTTTAGCTTACGTTGATTGGGCAATATTGATCACCTGATCAATTTCCGCCATTTTGGTTCCTAGTTTTGAAATTTGAGCTAGTGTTTATATAGCAATTACTGCTAGTAATACAGTATTTTGAGATAGTATTGCGTTTTTTATGGATAAGTATGTAATAACTGATTGTTGAAGGCTACTAAATGTCATTACATACCGCCAGAATCAAGGATTATGAAAAAAATGAAAGAAATGCCTTTACGTCGAACTTTGATTGCGTATGGTGATTGTTGTGCTGAACAGCTTTTGATACAAGGTTCAATCAACTGACTCAAGTGGAGAACCATTTTTGGGCCAAATAACATTGCAAAGTTCGTGCTGATGCAGTTTCAATAGTTTTCTTACTCCAAAACTTGTTTTTTAATCGAAGATGATTTCTCATTATGTTCTGAAATTGGTCAATCTATAAGCCTCTCAATTCTCAGCCACTTCCACACTAAAACAAACAACTACACTAAATCACAGAAACTCTTATGATTTTCCATGTTGTATTTTGTATTTTTAGTTCATCATTTAAAAATGAAGTAATTATAATTAGGATATTCACTGAAACAGCTGAGTACAATATAATTTTGGTAATGAATTGTACATATGTACCCTACTTCTGTAGCTCAAAATAAAACATTACTTCTCTTCTAGACTTGTCGATATGGGGTGCCATCTGTGGTTTTATTATTTAACCGCATAACACTGTGATTTTCCCTGATTTATTAAATAACCAATTTCTTATTTTGGTTATTTAATAAATAACCACTTTATGAAAACATCGAAAATTGGTTATTTATTAAATAACCAGTTTCTACACACGCCGAAAATTGGTTATTTATTAAATAACCATTTTCTACACACGCCGAAAATTGGTTATTTATTAAATAACCAGTTTCTGCGCACGCGAAAAAATGGTTATTTATAAATAACCAGTTTCCGCGCACGCGGAAAAATGGTTATTTATAAATAACCAAAATAATTTCGAGACACTTGGCGTGCCAAATGACGTCAGCAAGCAATACAATAATTTTCTCAGTCCCCCCCCCCTGGATAAGCACTCATTTCCGCACTGTCGCGTTATTGAAATTAGATCGCTTGTCGCGAAAAATTTCATTTTGTCTGTAAGTTTCCCGCTCGGCGTGTTTTCTATTTGTCTTTTTTGTCAAATAAATATGTCTCAAACGCACAATCTCCAAAGAGCAATTATCGAGGCCGTAGGAAGAGCAGTACACGAGGCACTGCGAGATCAACATGAAGAGGTAAGATACAAAGCAAAATATTCTCCGTTCATACTTGTAAATATTCAATGTGTGATATGCGTCGAATCACGAGGTCGTCGATTTTACGTGATAAAATTCTTACAATTTTAGTCCTCTGATGCAGCTACTGCCCACGAAAATAATAATGAACCACAGGTAACATTCTAGTGTATATGGGTGCATCCAAGTGAAAAACATCGTTAAATTTTGATAAATTTATAACTTTGCCAGAATTCCAACTCAAATGATGAAAATGAGGGGTAAGAAAACTTAGCAAATATTATGTGGTATTTCTATAGTACTACATTTGTATTGAACTCATTTCATTTTAATCAGTAACAATTCAGGAAGAGTTGGTCGACCAAAGAAAATAATTCCAAGGGATGTATTGGAAAATTTGCTTCAGTTACGACTTACGATTGTGGAAATTGCCAGACAGTTGAAAGTCGACAGGTCAGTGGTCTACAAAGCAATGTCGGAGTATGGGTTGTATCGAGAAAACTTTTCACAATTGTCACAAGACGAAATAGAGAAAGAAGTGGACGCCATTAAACAAAATCATCCTAAGGCTGGCGAGGTCATGGTTCAAGGGTACCTTGAATCTAGGGGTCTTTACATTCAGCGACAAATGTGAAAAAAGCCATTCATATGGTTGATCCATTAGGTGTCGAAGAGAGAAAAAGTAAACCAATAAAGCGTCGCATTTATACTAATCCTTTTCCCAACTATACTTGGCATATTGATGGGAACCATAAACTTGTTAGATGGAGACTTGTCATACACCATGGTATCGATGGTTTTAGTTGATTAGTGGTATTTGCACATTGTTCTTCAAACAATCGAGCAACTACCGTTCTATATCACTTCTTATGTGCTGTCTCGAAGTATGGGCGTCCTTATAGAATTCGTACCGATCTTGGTGGCGAAAATGTTGACATCTGGCACAACATGATTTTAACACGAGGCAATGAAACTAAGCCGGTTGTTGTAGGGAATTCAGTGCACAATCAGAGAATCGAAAGACATAACAGAGCACTAAATGAACAAGTTCTAACAAGTTTTAGATCTGAATTTTATGCACTTGAAAGTGAAGGTGTATTGAATGTCAATAATGACACTGATATATTTTGCCTCCATTCAGTGTATCTGCCACGAATCGACAAAATCCTTGACGAGTTTGTTGCTGCTCACAACAGCCATAAAATATCTACAGAAGGAAACAAAACACCTGAACAATTGTTTTGGGTTAACATTAGAAATGCATACCATGAAGATGATATGCTACCAAACACAAGCAATCTTGACATTGAAGAACTAGCGTCAAGTGATTTACCTCACGTCAATGTACCAGATATATCTTGCCCTTTGCAAGGTGACTTACAGTTGCAAAATTTTAGTACATTCATTCAATCTCTTTCGGCAGTGAGCGGAAAAGCTGCATACCTTGAGGCTGTTCGTTTCTTGGGACAGTCAATGCTTGATGAGCAGAACCCTGAAGATTTGCATGCACAATAGATGACTTGCCTTGTTTACTTTTGCTAGCAGGCAGATCTGGTCTAGGGCTTTTGGAGAACATTAGCAACAATGGTCAACCTCTCTTGGGATTGATCTGCCAGCCAGCAAAACGTAAACAAGACAAGTCATATATGAGTAGTAAAAAAATATAGTCTTCACTTACTATTTTATACAGTAATGACATGCTAGGAGGAATATAGATACGTCAGTTAGAAATACGTTGTTTTACATCATTACCAAATCGTAAATTAAATCAACACAACTATTGCTTAGACTCTAACTTCAACATCTTTCTTCAGGCAGCATGTATCTCTATGGACCACCAAATGTAGGTGAGTTCAGAATCTCATCGTTCATCATTTCTTGAAATTCTTCATAACTAAGATCATCTTTATCATTATGAAGTGGCAAATACAAAATGTGAGCGCAGGTGTTGCTTTTGGGACGAACATCTTCCCAGATACAAATAGTTGGTTTGTCATGAAATCCTAAGGGAGGCTCTTCCTCCAACCCAGTTGCAAAAATCATAATCATCGGCAAAGATACAAGAGGCTCTGAAACATTGGCAAAGCAGTTTGCTAGAAAAATAAATAAAAGTTGTACTTTTGAAATGGATTGTTCGTCAAAAAGCAATTATTTGATAACACGTTTGATAACAAGCAATTGAATAACGTTTATTATGCAATTAATGCCTGGGGCATTAAATAGACCCTAGAGGTTATAGATACGAGGCGTTTATTTCATTTCTATCACTTCGATCTTTTAAGGTGATGGAAAAAGCTTTTAAAGTACCTTCGCACTCTTGTAGATAGTCACGCCAATGCATTATAACGAGCTCCTCCCTTTCACGTCTTCGACAACCATCTTCTGAAAAATCTGGTGTAAATATTCTGTCAACTTCCATCGCGGTCAGCGGCTTGCTACGATGGCAGAAGTATGGGCGGAAGAGAAGTGGATTTCCTTTTACTAAGCTAAGAACACCCAGTGTTTTTAACCCGTCCTTGAACTGCTCAATTGCACTTCTCGCTTTATCAATTACAAAAATTGACAAAGCTCTTCCACAAGCTGTTTTCTTGTTTCAAACTTTGGAATGCCGTGAAAGCCAGCTTGTGCAAAAACATCAATGGCATCATCAGATCCTACTATAGTTGCAAACGTTGTTTCTTCTGTAGTAGCACTGATCTACAGACGGGAAGTATGATTTGTGAAAATGCCAGCTCAATATCGAGATACAACGTCAGACTTTTCACTATTGATAAAAAAGCAAATATTTACCCGTTCTATGATACTTTTTACTTCACAATCTTGTACATCGTCGATACATGGGTGGCAATTTTCTTCACCAAATACAATGAAGTCATACATAGAGGGGGATAGACAATGTCCTGCAGTTCCACCATTACACAAGGAAACGGAAAGAAGTTTTCCACATTGAAAATACAAGTTTTCCTCTTTGCTGGATGTAAAGGAAACACAATTATGCTGTTCGATACGTGCTTTTGTAGCTATGTAGCTAAATTGACAACGTACATTAATCCCTTCGGCTAAATTTAACAAAAATTTATATCTACGTAATTCAGTTTTAGCATGAAGACAATCAACGCACGACTACCTTCTTGGTTCATAACCAGCACCTTTTCGAGGGCAATCCCAGGAACGCGTTCGAAGAAAAGGCTCCTGAAACTGCAAGGCGGAGAAATTCTCGTGTCGGCCCTCCTAGATCCACAGCACCCTCGCTAGACCCGATTTCGTCGGCAAACATGACAGACAACGGACGTGAAGGATCAAATTTTTTTCTTCCTAGCTTGGCAATACCGTCTTCAAATACATGCTTGCGGCGAACGTTAATAATGTTTTTAGATGGGCTACGTCACATCTATGTGGTCATTCAAAACAGTACTAACCATTTGTTGCGCGCTTGAATCGCTAAAGACAAATAACCAAGTGAAAAAAATTAGCATGGCATCTTGTCTTCCGTTAACGCTTTTTTTAGCTGATTACCATACTTTGCTAAGCCCATGCTATTTTGAATAGCTGTCTGCACCTCATCGTTTTCATCATCGCTAATTTCAATGGGGTCTGGATCAAGCAATCCTAAGAATGAATTAAAAGAATTTAACACAGAAGAAATTTGTTACAGGACACTCAGCATATACATTGCTAAAGATAAGCTGTATATAATTACTCGTTTTTTATTCTACTATGTCATTGTAATTATCATGCATATTAATAAACTGGAAATAACATAGTCGTTCGTACGTTATCATCCAATATTGTTTTTAAAGTCATAGCAATAAATTTGTCATTCCAAAATAGCTGGTGAATATATAAACCAACAATCACAAACAGAAACAGTAAATCCAGACGTTGCACAATAATTTTTAAAACAAAAATCAGTAACATAGTGTGTATCCCAACCTACTAGTGTAAAATGGTATCTGACAGCAATACATACTGACCTATAGTGATTGCTCTCAATGGTGGAAGTTGTATGATGGCTAGTTGATCCCTCTGAAAAACTTTGTGCAGCACCTAGTATAGTCATCGATCCCTCTGAATGACTTTGTGCAGCGCCAGGTATAGTCATTGATCCCCCTGACACACTTTGTGCAGCCCGAGGCGTAGACATTGATATATTTAAAAGTTCGTTATCAAAATCATCCTGTTCGGAGTCATCCTGAAATTTTCATTCAAGGCAATGGCAATATACATTGAAATAGAAAAGAAACCAACACTACGATGAAGAACAATTACTGCTACAACAGACATAGCAAAAGTATCACCCTATATGACTCACTTCAACAATTAAAGCTCCATCAACATCCTCATTTTTCCCAATTTTAATTTTGGAAATGATGTATAAACATCCTTGAGAACACAGTGATATGACCTCTGGAGCATTCCATTGGAAGGAAGTTGATGTCTTAGGAATGGAAAGCTTTTTTGTACCTTTGGTTATTCTATAAAGATAAAACAAATTAGCTACTTTATAATTGGACACTTTCTTCTTCAATAAATATCATGGGCGGGAAATAAAAAAATATCATCATTACATCATATCATCAAAAGTATCGTCAATAATGTCTAGCAATGACTCAATCACAAATTTTTGTGCATACTGATATTGGTGACAGAATTCAATATAAGTGTAGTAAAACATAAAATACTTGCCCTAAGTAGTCAAATGGCAGCAGTTCACCAGGTAGCAAGTCAAAAACTGAGGCAAATATGCTTGTTATTTCACGGGTAACATCCTTTGCTACCCATGCGTAGTTTAATGAGATTTTTCCAATTAAACCCATATTAGCTAAGCAACCTCGGCTATTTCCACGAGGAATTGGAATATCTTTGCCATTTTCTGATGGTAAAAGGCAAACAACATCTTTTGTGTAAAGCTTTGCAGACTTTGATTGGGATGTTGATGACCTTTTCCGTTTTCTACCACCAACATTTGAATATTGAATACAACTGCTTTCAAAAATCGATGGAAGAGGTCTGGTCTGTAAGACATAATTCATTTGATTGATTGCCTGTAGTAAATTGCCATTGAAAAGCCACATTGAATCATAGTTATATAACAATGAGGTGCATTTATAGCAATTTTTTTAAGCAGACAAAACAAGGTGTTAAAAAAATTTTGATAGTGCAGTCTAGCATGATAATAATCAGACAAACATTGGCCAACTTACAGCGCTAGAGCTACTTGTTCTACTTTGTGACAACTGTGTGAGCGTTGTCTGACGCTGTGGCTGTCGCTGGGGCTACGGTTCGATTTTGGAAAAAACTTTAATGTTAGATAATAATTTAAACGTTTTCAACGGCACATATTTTACAAGAAACGTGCACCTATATACACTAGAATGTTACCTGTGGTTCATTATTATTTTCGTGGGCAGTAGCTGCATCAGAGGACTAAAATTGTAAGAATTTTATCACGTAAAATCGACGACCTCGTGATTCGACGTATATCACACATTGAATATTTACAAGTATGAACGGAGAATATTTTGCTTTGTATCTTACCTCTTCATGTTGATCTCGCAGTGCCTCGTGTACTGCTCTTCCTACGGCCTCGATAATTGCTCTTTGGAGATTGTGCGTTTGAGACATATTTATTTGACAAAAAAGACAAATAGAAAACACGCCGAGCGGGAAACTTACAGACAAAATGAAATTTTTCGCGACAAGCGATCTAATTTCAATAACGCGACAGTGCGGAAATGAGTGCTTATCCAGGGGGGGACTGAGAAAATTATTGTATTGCTTGCTGACGTCATTTGGCACGCCAAGTGTCTCGAAATTATTTTGGTTATTTATAAATAACCATTTTTCCGCGTGCGCGGAAACTGGTTATTTATAAATAACCATTTTTTCGCGTGCGCAGAAACTGGTTATTTAATAAATAACCAATTTTCGGCGTGTGTAGAAAATGGTTATTTAATAAATAACCAATTTTCGGCGTGTGTAGAAACTGGTTATTTAATAAATAACCAATTTTCGATGTTTTCATAAAGTGGTTATTTATTAAATAACCAAAATAAGAAATTGGTTATTTAATAAATCAGGGAAAATCACAGTGTTATGCGGTTAAATAATAAAACCACAGATGGCGCCCCATATGTCGATGATATTTTAATTGTAGGTGTTGGTTTATAAGATCACAGAGGCATATCTCCATAATTTCAGCTATTTGGGCTTTTTAATGTATATTACAACTGTTGCTGCCTTTCTCATATATATTAAAATATTGCTGGCTTTCTGATATATATTTAGGTGCTGCTAGCTTTTTAATATATATATTTCACTGGCAATACAAGGCATAGAATTTGAACAAACGGGGCTGAGCTCCCTCCAACACACCCCTGTTTGATCATTAAACACATACAGAAGTTTTGTCATTCCTCAACCAATAAATTTAACTCTTTGCTAAATTGAAGATTGGATCAGACTCATATGCTGTATAAAAGACTACAAACAGTAGCATTTATAGCAAACAGACTTTTCTTCAACAACAGAAATGTTTCATGTTATAGAAAGAATATATTCATTTTAAAGAAATGCTTCATCAAAATTTTTTCAGCAGAATCCTTAACAAACTTTATTAGAAATAAACTTTAATAGTTTATAAAGTGCTAAAGGCGAAATACCTTCATATAAAGGAATAAAACATTTAAGGCCAAATGCATCTTGGTCAAATCATTGCATATTTCAGTAACTAAAAAGTAAAAAAGTCTGTCATTTTCTGCTGAGCAAGAAAATTTTGTGATTTTTCAGAATAAAAAATGTCATGTTTGGATTAAATTGTAGGGCATAAACCACTCACTACCATTAAATTGTTACAAATCTTGAACACAAATCTTTCCGGACCAAAACTGCATGATTACTATGATTCGAAGTTTCGAACAAAGTCTTGTCCAACTATTTGATAACACTGACGCCAGGATAACATTGCCGCTTGCCACCATGCTTAAAGATCTTGAAAACCTGTTACAGAGTCGGAACATAAGCCGAGAAAACACGTTCACGTACGAAAAATACTTCTTACAACGGGTCACGATCAATTTGAAGCACGAACTAGTAAACTGCAAACGAAGCTCAAATCAATGAAATTAAATCAGGTCTGCCGCAAATCATTATAAAAACGCAAAGAGCTTGCTATTATTCGTAATATATTATATACTACCATGGAATAAGCTTAAATTGCTTTCCTCTTTTGCATATAAACCCAATTTCCAATAGTACTATTATAGTTTCACTTTGCAAGTAGGAACCAAAATGGCGGCTCCGTGCTCGGCCCAGACCGTTTGTCCCAACTCTTACGCATAGAGGGCTCTGACCACACATATCCAAGTCATCAGTTATCAATAAACCATATTCAGATTTTAACATTTGACATTCGAAATTTTTTTTATAAGTTTCATCAGGTTCAGGATTTAAATTAAAAGGTCTAAATTCTAAAAATGTATAATTTCGAAAAACTGGTTGAAACATATTTAAATTATTACTTACAACATGATCATTTTTATCAATTTCATTTTGATTAACACTTGCCATATCTTATTAGTGAGAAGTTCACACAGACAACAAAAAAATATAGATTCATCAAATTTTTTTAATAACTTATAAATATATTTTTTTACTAGAAATTTTTATTTCTACAAAATTCATTAAATTTCTACAAAAATTCATTAAATCATCATGTATTCTCTTTTTCTCTTTAGAAATTTTTTTTTCCATTTTTTCTCTCTTTTACAATATATTTTGATAATTGTTTCTTAATAAAGAATTAAGTGCAGTATCAGTTAAACCTGTAGGTGGACTAATTCGTTTTTTTCAATGATAGAATTAGATTCATATTTTATCTAATTATAATATGGATTACAATATATGATTCCATTACCCTCTAATACATCCCCATAGTATCTATACGAATTGTTTTTACTTTCTTTATTAAAGTTCATTATTTTCTTCAAATCTTAAATCGAGACGTATATCTACTTCATTACTAATGTAGTTATTATCTCAATCTTCATACTCCAATTGAAATATTATATATTTTGAAAAAAAAATCGAAGGAGCTTTTTCATATTCCATTCTTTGCATTTATTGTAAATTAAAATTAGCAATAGCATCTAATTTAGATAATCCACCACTTAAATAAAGAAACTTTTCTATGTATTAATAAAAAAATGAAATATTATTTGGTTTGCTATCAGAATTTCTGATACTGTTTGGTAAACAATTTTGCATATTTGTGACTTCACTAAGTTCTGGGATTTTTTGTACATTTCCATTTGTAAAATGAGTAAAATTATATAAAATTACTGAATAAAATGTTTAATTTAATACCTCCTTTTTTAATTTTTTTGGTTTTAAACTCATAATTGGATATAAAATATTATTTTTATTAATTCCTATTAAATTAAATAGATAAAATATATCCATCTATGGAATAAAAAAATTTAAAAATCAAGTATCGGTATTTTGCGGTATTTTCATAGGTCCTAATTTAATTTCGATTTTTTAATCAATTTGACATTCCAATGTTATATTTCCAGAATCAAATGGTATATAATTGCCTTGATGATCCAATACTTTTATACTTATATCTTTAATAAATGATGAAAATAATTGTTTTTATATAATTGGATTGTACACAAATAAATCATCTCCAACTTCATTTGCATAATGTAAAGGAACAAACATAACAATTCACTTTTTGAATCACCAAAAATTTCACTATTGATTTTGTCACAATGCATAAACATTTTATTTATTCCAACTGTCTTATCAGGAAGATAAGGACAATGAAACTATTTTATTTTTTTACAAATTCACGTTTCCTAGAATTAAATCCATAATCAAATGTATGTTTAATTTCTTTTTTGTCTAACCCCAACATAAAACTTAATTTTTTTGAAAATCTTAAATTCAATTGTCTTATTACTAGAAGCAATATCAATGTATTTTATTTCATTCATTATAAGATTTATCCAAGCATAATTTTTAAAATCATATTTTTTACCCTGATTTGAATAAGATTCTTTCCCTTGAACATAGTAACAAGTATATTCATTTGTTAAAATTATATTATTTTTACAATTTTATTCTTCAAAAATATTATTATCATTTAAATAATCATTCAAGAGCGATATAACTTTTTTTTGTTTTATATTCCCTATGGTATTTTAATTCTTGGTAAATTAAACTTGAAAATTGGATATAATTTTTATCAATATTTTTAGTAGTAACATCCGTTTAAATAAAATATTTAGAAAATTTTAATTCTAAATCACTCCAGCATTCATCTTCATTAATAATTTTTGCTATTTTTGGATAAAAAACATTTAACACAGTTATGTATTTTTTATTATTTAATGCATCAATTTGACCAGGTAATGTTGCAATAAAATGATTAATATAGTTTTTTTCACCATTTTTATTATTAACATTACTAATTAATGTAATATTTTTAATTTTTAAACCTTTTTTAATTCTTCACAATAAAATTTCTCTTGAATTTCTTCACTGTTGTTGTCACAAGACTTATAAGTAACAGGATCCTTCAACAAAACTTTATTTATATAAAAAATCTCATTAACCCAATGTCTTAAACTTTCCTTTTTAAAAATATTTTTAATTCCTAAAATTTGCACTTTATTATTTTTCTTTAATATAGTTAAATTTTTATCCCTTTTTTTGTTTAAATTATTAGATAATCTTTTGATGTAATTTGTTATTTTTCCACTTAAATACATATCATATGGTGAAAGAGTGTCAGAAAGTAATCCACGATGAGGAGATTTGTTATGTCTTTCCACAATTAAATGTAAGTATTTTTTATAAATAAATTTATTATTTATAAATTTATAATTTTCAACAAGCCAATAGTCCTTCTAATCATCTGATTTATTGTTCATACAAATCTTTCAGCGTGAGTAGCTTTAATTTTACGATTATAAGTATTATAAATTGTTAAATTGTGTTATTTTGACAATTCTTTTTGAATCCCTTGAAATTCAGTTCCCTCATTTTTTTTGGCTATAATTCATTTCAGCTAAATCAATACTCCATAATCATTTTTTCCCCATACATTTATATTTAAATGATTATATTTTTTTTTCTTTTGATACAAATTATATATATTTTGTTCATTATCTTCTAAATATTCACCTTTTAATGATCTTGCAGCTTTTTTTACAAAGTCATCGTTAATTATTAGTCTTCTTCGTTCTCATTATCATCATTCACAAACGTTGGAGGATGATGATAATGAATATCAAGAACTGAAAGAAAAATGTCATTATATATTCTTTCAATTTTATCACTTCCATATTTTTTATAAAATTCTCCCAAATCATATTTCTTTCCAATTTTTTCCTCTAAAATTTCATTCATAAATTCACTATGATAAACAATGCAATCGTATATTGAAATATCCAATTTATTAGAAAACTCTTTAAATACATAAATAGCTTCAATGTCATTACCAATTTTCAATATCTTTTTTTCTTTTTTTACTTGGTACAGTTTTTGCCATTTCTTTTATTCTTTTTTTCTCTTTAGCTACCTTTCCTTTCATTTGTTTTTTCTTGTCTTCTTCATTTTTAATAAATCACGACAAAATTCAAGAAATTGTGGCAATTTTTGTGATGTAGTTTTTAAATCGTCGTCTTTTCTGAAATATGTTTTGTAAAGCTCATCTGTCCAATTAATCATTGCAACATCATTTAGAATCTAAATTTTAGATCATCGGGTTTGAAACAATCATCCTCATCATCATCATTAACATAAACAGTTCCATTTTTATCTACAACTCGCGATGATTTTTGTGCTTTTAAAATTAATTTATTTCCTGAATCACTTTCCAAAATAACCTGTTTCTCATTAGATGAAAACTTCATGAAAAATTTCATGAAAAATTTCACTTTCATCTTTTTTCGCAATCTTATTGAAAACATTTGCCAATCTTTCACATGTTTGCAAAATCATTTGCATAAATTTTTTTTAGTCAGTAATTGTCAATTCGTAATTGTAATTGTAATTGTTGATAAAAAGTCAACAATATAATTTTTAGTAAATGTTTGTAAATGTAGATCGTCTAGGTTGGTATAGTACTGAGAAGGACTGTTTTTGTTGTTACTTACTGACATTTCGACAACCTTAGCAGTAGTCATCTTCAGAGTCAAATGAGAAGTAAACGTCAAATTAACTGTATTTGTTATCTGGTTCCTATGTCATTGTATTGTGTGTACAGGAAATGTGTGGATGTCAATTGTGTATTGTCATTGTGAATTAATATGAAGTGTGATGTTTTTAGTTGTGATATTTTTATTTGTAATGTGTGAGTGTCAGTTGTGCATGGTCATTGTAAATTAATGTGAAGTGTAATATTTTTAGTTGATCGTTTGTTTGTATTGTGAATAAGTCGTTTGTAAGGTGCCGGTAATTGCTTTGATCTGTTCAGGGGGTTTGTTCCAAGTTTGTATACCAACTTTCTAATGTAAGCCGTTGTCTATAGTCAGCGCTGTAAATAATGCATTTTGCCGCGTCCCAGTCAATGTTGTGCTTTGTGATTCGGTGATGTTTGGCATTGTGATTAGTTTTGTCTTGTTTTTTTGTAGCTCGTTTGTGTTCAGTAAGTCTTATGTTTAAGTTCCTGCCAGTTTCCCCGATACAGGAGGCGTGACAATCGGAGCAGTTTATTTTGTAAACTGCACCTTGTCGTTCGTTGGGTTGTTCTTTGTCCTTTATGTTCGTTAGTACTTGTCGTAACGTTGTGATTGGTTTATGTGCGACACGTATGTTGTATGGTCGTAAGATACGCGAGATAGTCTCAGACGCAGCATGTTTCATCGATGAAATTTCAAAAGTTTTTGTTAGGAAAAAATGCTCTGAAATTTTCTTTTATCGTATAATACATAAATTTTGCATGAAAATCCGGGTGGGCGAAAAAGTTTTAATTTTGAGAGCCCACGCTTTTTTTAATTTTGAGAGCCTGATATTTGCCACAGTCTCTAAAAACGATGTGAAAGCATTTAAAGGAAAAGCACGCGAAAACACTAAAAAGCAGTCTGACAAAAATAAATTAGCGAAAGTTTGAAAAATGTTTTATATTAATATGTTTTGATAATACTTCAGTGAATAATAAAACAATTATTGAATTTGTTTTTCGCATGATATCAAGAATTATTCAGACCTCAGTCAATGATATCCGCCTCAGCCTCGCTTCGGAAGATAACAATGACATCGGTCTGAATAATTCTTGATATCATGCTTAATCCAAAAATTGCTTAATATATGCATGAAAGCAATTGAAATCAAGTCCGAAAGGTAAGTCAAACTATTATTCATATAATTATTTTGGGGGGTAGCCACGCGCGTATGCGTAACCACTATGTAACCACCACGTGGATGGTTAGGTGCAAGCTTGAGCAATCTGGCACACGTTTTGGGTTGCTTGGAGTCCAGGTCCCGAATAGAACAACTCGCATTCAGGACCTGGCCACCACATACTTGCACCTTATTACATCGAAAACTATTTCGATTAAAAAAAAATTTTCAGAACGTTCTGCTTACGAATGTGTTGAATAATGGTCAGCTCATTTACACTTAGTTACTTATACACCTTCCTGCGTCATTCGGTCCCAGGCCGTCGATGGTTCCTCTTAAACTAACCTTGGTTACTATTTAACCTCATTTAATATCTATCATTACCATACTTACCACATGTTGCAAGCTTGAGCAACCTGGCACACGCTTTGGGCTGCTTGGAGTCCAAGTCCCGAATAGAACAACTCGCATTCAGGACCTGACCAGCAAGCATATTGCAATATCACTCCAAAGAACCCAATTCCCTTCAGCCCACCCCAACATCCTTACTAAAGTCACTAAACAATCGTTGCACATCATTATTATCATCATTAGCAAAGGGATCCACACCCAGTTGCTATGTAATTGTTACACAAATATCATCATCATCACCATCTTTATCAAAGGGATCAACACTCAGTTGCTATGCTACTGTCACATATAGACATACATACACATACATCATCATCATCATTATTATCATCACCATTATTATCATCATCATCATCATTAGAAAAGGGATCCACATCCAGTTGCTATGAAATTTTCACACACACACACACATCATCATCATCATCATCATCATCATCATCATCATCATCATCATCATCATCATCATCATCATCATCATCATCATCATCATCATCATTATCTTTAGCAAAGGGATCAACACACAGTTGCTATGCAGTCGTCACAAGCCGTCATTATTATCAAGATTAGCGAAAGGACAAAAAAACACTCCACCAAAAAACAATGCACCCGTAAATGTAACTGATCTTAGTCAAACACGTGAGTCTCTTAATCAATCTTAAAGGGGAAGTCAGAGTTCGGAATAACTTAGGCTCAAATGAAAGAGTATTGTATTATTACTTTGCATACCAAGTCTAAAATCTTTACGTTAAATACAACTCGAGAAATAAAGCAATGAAACTGTGTTATTTTGCAAATATAAATGTACATCCGAGCGAACCTGCGATCAAGCAGCGGAATTGCATCGTTACGTCACTGCGCGACTCTGTAATCGAGCAATTTCGAAGAGAATAGAATAGATATTTTGTCTGTCAATTTTAAAGTCTTCTAGGTAAATGGCGTATTTAAACGATTCTTCGAGCGATATTTTGACCTGTTCTAACTTAAAAGATGGTAAAGAAATTTCAAAGATAAATGGAGGGTTTAAATATTATACTTTTGAACTGGTTAATGAAACGGGGACATATTTTTCTGACATGCTAAGACGAAAGCAGAAAATATGTGTATTGAAGATTCCAATTCAGAGTTTTAACGACACCACAATTTTCGAGGTATTTGTATATTTCTATATTACATTTTATATATATATATATATGTACTCTTTTTATCTGGTTCACCATATTTACAGTCGTCGAAATCACAGTTTGTTTATTAAAGAATTGTATTAATGTAGGCCGTGCCCACATACTTGGCAGTCGCGGAAGATTATTATTTAAGTGTTAGATAACCGGTTGTGTAAAACTTTAAAGAAAACCTCTCCGCTTCTTAAGAAACAGTTCCCACTTTGTTTTTCTGTTTTAGTACTTCTGTTTGTCTGTTGTCAGAGTAATAAACTATAGGATACCTGGCTTGACTGTTTCTTTTTGTAGCAGCTAGTTGTTTGCTGTCATATTATCATTTATTAAATACTTAATTGACTGTTTACTTGGCCTATATAAAAGCCAGGTCTGTCTAGTCATTCTCTAACAAGAAAAATTTCTGATATTTAAAATTGCCAGGTATTCTATAATTTAGCCACACCTATGTGTGTATTTCAGCCATTCGTGATCGGTGTGCTGCTATCACTTCTTTTTTGCTTGGTCTTGGAGTAGGTGCAATATTCTTTGGAAGTTTAACATGCTTGTCTGATGGTTGAGGATTCATGTCCACATTGAACTCTACCACATCATCCATCAGTTGCAGTACAAAATCAAAACACTTTTTCTCCAACACTGGTTTCACTATCCATTTTTTACGTCCTTTTGGGAAGACCACCTTATACCTTTTTTCCCCTTCTTCCTTACCTCTGGTGACTGTTGCTTGCCTCCTTCCAGTGTTGGAGTTGTGATCAATCACAGCTAGTTGAGTACGGGCCACCATTCCCTTGTATGAGAAGTGTTTACGTTTTGGTACATATTTTAGCAGCAAGGAATGGTAGACCTCAAGGTTGCCAGTATGGTGAAATTCTGTAAGCTGTTGTATATCTTTTAAAAGCTTTCTATTCAGAACAACCTCCTCCAATGCTATATGTGGGGCAGATCCAGCCTGCAACCATTTCGTTTTCTTTCTTTGTTTTTAGATAAAGGGCCATGTGCACATTTGCAAAAATGTTTGCTATTTCTCCAATTATGTTTGTTGACTATATGATGTAAAATGGACACCCATTTCTCATGGAGCACTTCAGCATTTCCCTGACAACTTTGTGCACACCACCAAAGGTGATTGGATACAGACTGAATCCACTCTAGTAGCTCATGATTTTCTTTTTTCTTTGCCTTCTCTGTCAATTTTTTTGTCACCCACTTTGAGAGATGCCAAACATCATATTGGTGCACTATGGAAGGGTACCTCTTTCGCATTTCAGAGGTTATTTGAATGTGGCGGTCAGTTGTCAATGATCTCACTTTCACACCTTGCTCAATGACATTGTCAAGTGCTCTTTGGCATCCTTTTTTCTCCATTGCATTAGAGGATGAAACTTCAGAGACTTGAACAAGAGAAAAGTCAATAATTTTCTCTGAAGTTTCATCCATTAAGGAATATGTACCATATTTTGCTATGACCATGACTGTCTGATCTACCATCACCACATAAGTCAACCGGTTTCATTTTGTTTTGATGGTTTCAATAATTTCTTTTGTTGTTTTTTATAGACATTGTCAATGACTGGGAAGACAATCTTATTTTGAACTTCATAAAACTGATCTTTATTTACAAAGTTTAAATTATTGCATTTGCAAATTGCTTGGTGGCTTCATAGGTTCCTCCAGTCATGATAGTTGCAGCAGGAATTAAAATATTACCTGCTGGTTTATTGTGCAAATATGGTTGAGACTTCCACTGGTAAGTATGATTATTGCTACATGTTGTTTTTATGGCAACCATACTACCAATATGGGACTTCTCAATCTCACAAAGAGAACCACATATTCCACATGTTGCGAACAGCTTATCAAGCATGCTTTCAAAGACAATGAATTTTCTTTGACTTTTTAGTTCCTCACCTTCAGATTCCTCATCTGTATCTAGTTCCTCAAGATAGGTATAATCATCATCACTATCTGATGCAGCAATATCATCACTGCTTCCTAAAGAGATTTCTGAATCAGATGATATAATAGGAGTTGTTGTGATAGGAGTTGTTGTGTTAGGAGTTGTGGGGATGTTACTGGTTTTGGTGTACGACTTGAAGAAACTGCATTTAAAGAGGGGCAACATTTTTGAAGCGTTTTTTTTTTAATGGTTTCCTTTTTCTTTGTGCAAGAGTTTGTATGGCAACTGTCCTTTGTCTTGGTGTATCACACTGTGCTTCTGCATCAATGAAAACTTTTGGCTCACATTGAATCTGGGCATCCTTGGACAATGGACTGGGAGGCTGATCTTCAATGCATGTTGCAAGATTTGTATCTTCATCTAGTGATTGTATTATGCTTCTAACTTCCTACAAAATAGTCAAACTTCTCAACCAAGAGAGTACAAAGCTAATTGTTTAAAGAACAGTTCAATAACTTCAAATATAATCTATATGGTTGCAATATCCTATTTACCTCATGTCTTGCAATTCTATCTCTCATTTGTTCTCTTCTGTGTGACATTTTTCGCTCGGGTTTACGATTTAAAATGGAAATATCGATGGTACACTACTAGGTTTTAATATCTTTTCGATTTCATGCCGAATATCTCCTTTAGAGAAGTACTAAAGCAATCTGGGGTGAAATGGTCGCTACATACGTAACATGAATTTGGCTTCGGTATATTATCACGACGAACCCGTGCAAGCCATATTTTTTGCATTGTGGGTCGTTTGGCAATCGATGATACGATACATCGCTACCTTTTGTTTTTCTAGATCCGTTAGTGCAATTAGGCACCATGCAATGTGGCATTGTTCCGAAATATTTAAAGTAAACAAAGTAATTGTAATTGTGTCGCTTTTCCTGATATGTTGTCTATTTGAATATATATACGCTCCCGCGAAAGCGCGCAGTGACGTCACGAGACTTTACCGCTGCTTGATCGCAGGCTCGCTCGCATGTACATAATAGCTGATACAAAATATACAAAATTTCGTGGTTTCATCGCTTTATATCTCGACTTGTATTTAACTAGAAGATATAATATTTGGTATATAAGGTAATAAAAATATAATCTTTCATTTGGGCCAAAGTTGTTCCGAACTCTGACTTCCCCTTTAATAAACATCGTGTTAGTGGCCGACCATCTTTCAAGCAAAACAAACAGGTCCTTCCTTCACTCTCCGCGGATGTAAATAACGCAAAACGGCCCTAATTGCGCAAATCGGACCATCTGCTGCCCCTATGCAAATGATACATCCCTGGCGAAATGGATCGGTCTTCGAGCATTTTAGTCGTAAGTACACGAATCTGGTGCTTGAGGACGATCAATCCATATATCTGCCAACGCCTCGTGGACAGTAGCACCGAAGCAACTTGTGGTAGTGGTAAACTCCCCTGACCTCAAGAATCTAAAAAAAGCCCACACAACACGCCGCCCACAGTAACGCATCTTCATACATTTGGAGATTGAGCACCGATCGAACTTTAGCAAGCATAGACAAAGTAACTGGCTGACAATCTCATTTGTCGTTCCTTTGGTTGCGCTTAAACAATTACCAGAGGTTTGGGAAACCCGTTCTCTACATGCAACGAACGAATCCCCGTCAAATAAACTTTGATGGAGGATGCTTTGACATTATTAGCTAAGGATGTTGCAAACAACATTAAAGTCCACTCTGACGCGGGTAGAGGAGAGCCATTTGAGTGTACTCGCTGCGACCCGCAGTGCCGTATCGTATGTGTGACGTGTAGACGGAGCGATGGCGTGAAACAACAACGTTTGCGTTTGCAGCTGTTGATTTTGCAGCTCTGACGGGCGAGCAGTGATGGATGAATCGGCACTGGTTCGGGTTGTGTGTGTGGTACTAACTCTCGGAATACCTGCATGTTAAAACGCGACAAAGCATCAGCGATTCAATTATCTTTACTAGCAACATGCTTAGCGGAAACTTTCAAATTTTAGCGAGCTGCACATAAAAACAATTGACGTAACAAAATTATAAGATGGCTGTTTTAAGACGTATAATGATGGCAACTATACTCTGATTGTCGCGTTGAAATTGCACGCGGCGGTTTTGCCAACTCGCACCCCACACATGGCAAGCAATCACAATAAGGAAAAGTTCTTTGTATGCAATGCTGAGGGACTTTTGTTTAAATGACCACTCCCCATTGAACCATTCGCCATTTAGGAATGCACCGTATCCCAAACCACCCGATGTACCTGTCGATAAACTAAGGTCTGGAATTGGTGACCAACCCGGTAAATCAAAGAAGTGTACCCATTCCACGTCGTCAAAAAAGGAGTGCCACCAAGCAAAATCCAACCTGCAATCCTTATTCAATCTAATGAAATACGATTTTTTACGATTCCGGCCTTTCAACAGAGAAATATACGACCATGAAGGACAACCAAACACGCATGACTTAGCTTTCCTACCAATGATTAAAGTTCTTTTAGCCGATACATTAGCGCTTTGAGCTCCAGGCCTAGATCAATTGCGTCAACTCCTCCAGCTTCTCTGATGGCAGTCGAACAATTCTTTCCACTGAATCCAACTCGATACAGAGAAACGTCAGGCAGGTAGTCGGGCCGACACATTGTTCAGGGGCCAATGGAATGCCTATCACACGAGCTGCTTTATTGATTGCATTCAACCGCAATGCACAAATTTCGGATTCGGGTGGTCCCAGAGTAAAGTAATCATAAAGATAAGGCAAAAGATTACGAATATCCCAATTATGTACTAAGCATCAATGAAATAAGTCTGCTAAACTGTCAAAAATAGCCGGAGCTGAGCGTAAACCAAACGGCTGAGTCAAATCAACATAGTACTTTCCTTTTTCAGAACATTCCTAAAAGGTAGCGATCTGAAGGGTGTATGGAAATAATGCGATAAGCACTCTTTATGTCCACTTTACCCATCAATGCGCCTCTGCCGGTTTTAATAATCAGGGCAATAGCATCAAACCTTTACTTTAGCTGAAGGGAAAATCCTCTTTATTGATACCGCCATTCACACTATGTTCAAAAGGAAATGAAGGATCAAGAATTAGGCGCCAACCGCCATCCTTTTTTGGGATAACTCCGAAGCGATTAATTTGCAATGATTTTAGTGCTGGTTCGTACGTGGGCCCAAAAACACGACCTAGTATAACTTCTTTAGCTAGATAATCATCAATAACTTGCGGATGTTCAAAAGCCGACGAACAGTTTGCTTTAGTTGATTTTAAAAATAATGACGATTAATCAAAACCCAACCGAAACCCATTTCTATAACCATCTAACACGTACTTGACTTTACAGTGATTAGGATAATTACACAGCTGCAACGTCAACTGTGATATCTCAAGAAACATTAAATTATTAGTACTAGATACATTACAAAAGTTATTCAATAAATGTTTTTACAGTTTTCACTGTCGTGTTGCTGGATTGCGACGTATGAATTCAATACTGGGGCTGCGCGCTCGTTTTTGGTGGGGTTCTGGACAAACGGATTCTCTTGTAGGACCCACCGCAACCGTTGCGATCGCATTTGTGGCGAAACTTGCAAGATTCGTACGGGCTAGTGCAAGATCTGGCATTACACGGCTTACAAAATGACCGCGATTTCTAATCGCCACGAGGTTTGCGACCGTGTGTGGGTGTTGAGCTTGCGGGCATTGAAGTATGGTAATGATATAAGTCAGGGTTAATCTGACTCCAATTTGTCTGTTCGGAAGCTGCAGCCTCTAGACGGAATGCCCGGTCATAAGCATGCCAACATCGTCCATGAAATTGTTTTGCCATACGAATGATTAAACCCATATAGGCCAATAAATCTCTCGTGCGATCTGGTTGAAAAGTAGTGATTACGGTAGTTTATCCGCACTCTCACCATGTCAAAATATCAGTTAGTGCATGCTTTTTACGGGGTGCAGCCGTTGGGACAATAAAGTTGCCGTCAATAGAAAACGTTGTGGAGTCATTACACACAGGATTCAGTAACGTCTCTGGCAACAATTCGAAGATTTCAACAGATTTCCCCCCTTAAATCTGCGTTACAAGTTCACCGGGAATGGGCGGACAACCGGGACCCGAAACGAAAGGTTGATGCAACGCAGGGGTAGCCTTCTCATTACCCAACGGTCTAGAAAACCCCGACAAAACAGAGGACACTGTAGGGAGCGATGGCAAGCCAAATGAAGAAAATATACCTGATTGCGTCAATGATGTAGGCAATGTATCAGAAATGCCAGCAAAAGATTGTGCAGTCAACATACCTTCGCTGTCGTGTGAGTTCCCTACCGTAGTGACCGCTGCGGGAGTAGAGTCCCCCAATTGCTCCAGCGACAAAACTTGAGCGTTGGTAGTGTTTCGAGCTGCCATTACCGAAGAAACCGCTTCAGCCACAGCTGATTGTAGGCCAGCACGAAACTCTTCCGACTGGAACGCAGAACTTCAATCGAATGACGCCCCTTGTGATGATTCTCTTGAACAATTTTCTGGACCATAATAAAGCTTAACGCGATAACAAACTCACACAAAAAATTTTCAGGAGGTTCTGCTTACGAATGTGTTGAATAATGGTCAGTTCATTTACACTTAGTTACTTATATACCTTCCTACGTCATTCGGTCCCAGGCCGTTGCTGGTTCCTCTGATATTGACCTTGGTTACTATGTCACCTCATAAAAAGGAATGGACACCATATATTTATAATTTCGAGTGAAGTCAAATTTATTGCAAGTATACGATGTAAGCACGTGAGCTAAGTCGCGTGCCATGTAATATATGCATGAACGTTCTACAAATGGGTTTGGGAAAAGTGACACTCAATGTCTTTTCTGAAATAAGTGAAAGTGGGTCCATTAACTAAAAGAGGTCAAAAATATCGGTTTCTTTAAGATAATGGCCTTTTCCCATGAAATATAGGTTCAAAAATGTTGGTCACAAGTCCTAGATTTTGGAACACGTCCCAATTTATTTTAGTTTGTGAGCCTATGATTCAAAATGATTAGGTAAGTGGTCATTTGACAGCAGAGTGAGCTCAACTTGCAATCTCAGACAGTATATAAATTTTCATGTTTATTATATATAGTAAACTACGCTCTTGATCTATTTCATTTTTGTGAGGGCTACCCACATGTACGCTCTGCGTTCCTATTTTTTAACATTATATCAATTTTGGAATTGCAACTGCATGAATAGAATAGCATGAACAATAAATTGTTCTCATCATGTTGCATCTAAACTTAACTATATACAAACGAAAAAATGTTATAACTAGTATTATTGTGCGGTTTTGTACTTGTTAGTTAAGGTATATTAAATAAACGTAGAAATATCAAATGATGAAAATTAAAAAACGTATAAATTTCTCGCTGTTCAGATAAGAACTAATCAAGTTGTACCAATGGTTCTAAACAAAAATGGAAACTGAGCCAATAGTGAACAGGTTAAAAAAAAATTAACAAACTTTCTCAAGTAATGCACTTATTCCAGGAAAAAACGAGCAATCAACTGAATTGCGTCAACCAACCAGTTGTAGAAGCAGCCAACCTGAGTTTGGTAATGTAAAAATTTCACAAAAGAATTGGAAAGGCTGCAATTTAAGCGTAGGACTTAAAATCCTTTCAATATCACATGTTAAAGAGTTGATAAAGACATGGCTGATATCTAAGGTGTTAAAACAGAAAATTTTCATCAAGAATAAGTGCATAAACAAACTAACTTGTTTTTCCAAAACATTGCTGCGATTCGTCTTCAGTGAACGACGGAAAAATAAACATATATTGAATTCCAATTCACTATTTTTTGAACAAACATTTGTATTTAGTTAGGAATATGAGTTTTTCACTCGTCTCATCGAAGAAAATGAGCTTTTTGAAAGTGAACTATAGATCTTCACGTCCTCGACACAATGAAGTAATCAAATTTGTAATGAATAGTTCTAAAATCAGGGATAAATTTGGGGGGAGGAGGTCATATTCATATATGAATGATGTTACGATTACGTTTCTTTGAAATCTATTGTTTTCTACGTTTTTCTACAAATGTAGACAACACTAACTGGGAAAATTTACAAATGCATTCTTTATAACAAAGGAATGGTAACACATAAATATCTTCAATCCCAGTAAAATGATTAGCATTCATCATATGTATATATAGATCTTTTCATTAGGAGCATAAAAGGTGTACCATTGAAAATGGATTAAAAATCAAGAAGCTAAAAAGAGAAAAACAACTGGTGAACAAGTAGCATCAATCGAATTGAAAAAAAATCAAACTTTTCTCACTAATTGAGGAAGAATTTTCTCTAAATGCTCAATCTCCACAGTAGCAGCTGATTCTGTCTACAAAAAATGCACAGAAACTAAATTTGACTTGTTCTGGAATGTAAATAAAATTGTTGTAACTTTCAAGAGTTCCCCAAGACTATTGTTCTTAATAAAGTAAATGATTTGAAAAAAACAATGTTATTTTCATTGAAAAATTATAGATTTGACAAAAAATAATAACTCTATGACAAAGGCCTACATATGTACCTTTGCTTGATGACCTGCCCTTGCAGCACCTTCTGTAATAAACAACAACAAAAACATGTTTTTGCAACACTTTGCACTTTAAGGATGGGGTAGAATGCATTTAGCAGACACAAGTAGCTGACCATGATGATTGTGGTCACATGTGGGTGTATGAAAATCAGGTTGGGAAAATATAATCCAAGACAGAAATCAGATTAAAACAGGATTTTGATTAGAGTTTGGAGACAGATAAATCTGGTTCAATTTGTTCAGCAACTTCCATTTGGAAACAGCTACAACATAATTTTATCTGCGAAACTACACTAACATCAACAGGCACTTAGTCAGTGCAAAGTATTTCTACCATGCTCTATAGTCACACCTGCAACAAAAACTCGTAAGAATTCTGCCATCAATTTCAATGCATCTTCGGTCACTATAATTGAGTAACAAATCTATCAATGCAAAAATATAGAATTTAGCTACTAGTACAAGAAAAGTTGCACCATTATATAATACTCTACTGCCACAAAAACTACAACATTAGGCTAGTAGTGTTAGGGTTTTGGTCAGGCATTTGTTAGCGGTAATTTGGAGTGTAGCATGATTAATCTGATACATGCAAGTCACTCACACTTCGTTTTTTTATCTTTAAAGTGCTCATGGAGTAGTTTATTAATGGTTTCCTGGCAAAGAAGAAACAAAAAACATACCTAGTCAAACTAAATCTTCAATATAACAAAATATTCATACAAAACAATGCTCAAGTTTTATTTCAAATGTTCCAAAAGATATTACTTACAATTTTAAAGGTGATTTCTTCAGCCATGAAAGCAAAGAGATGTCAGATAATCAAGTGAAATAAAGTTGGGCAAATAATTTGAGTCAATATGAGTTTGAATTTGAATAATCAATAATATAATGCTTATTCCCATCTTCCAAAATATTGTGTCCATCATGGCTCATCAGCCCAAGCACAAGGCGCTCACAAAGACAAAAGAGTGAAAAGATGCATTTTTTGAGCGTTGTGATTGTCTGTTGTTCTATGTTTACACATTAAAGGAAAAAGTCAAAAAGGTACTAGAAAGTCAATGCAATTAATATTTTATCTGTCACACAAATTCAAACAACGACATTTCTAATATTTCCTGCTCTTCGTGCTCTCTCGTTTTATAGTCGTAAAGTTCCGCATTTTCTGTGCATATCATTAATTAACAGTACAAAATTAGTGAAAGTGAACTGACTTCGTTATTTTCTTTAAATTATTTAATCTTGTTCATTATCTTGTTCCAGTCCCGGTGCGACATTACTAGTTAGGGATGTTATCGGTTGTAGCTAACGTCGATGACATCGTGTTTGATGTTGAAGCTGCCTTGGGTCAACAACTAGGCACTCAGCCTTTACCCTTTCCTGGCATGGACAGTGAGTCAACTATATATTATATTATGTTGTATTCTGTACACTTTTCTGGGTTGATTTGAAACTGCAACAAAACATGGGCGAATGATGAATGATTGAGATGCCATATGTCATCACTGATCTGATCACTAGTAATAAATACCTTCTTTATTATTCAGAATCTGGTGCTGCAGTTTGTGAGTTTTTCCTGAAGAACAACTGCATTCGAGGCAGCTACTGTCCATTTCGACATACCACGGGAGAGAAAACCATAGTGTGCAAACATTGGTTGAGAGGTCTATGCAAGAAAGGGGACCAATGTGAATTCTTACATGAATATGACATGTCTAAGATGCCTGAATGTTATTTTTATACTAAGTTTGGTGAGAGTCATTTAAGTCTATTCTTATTGTAAGAATCATGAACACTAATAACTTACAATGCTGTATGTGTATTGCATTGTTTAATATGCTACATATTGAGCAATTGTGGTTAATGTGCCTTTGTGTACAATGTGATAAGAATAATGTATCTTACAAGATCTTAAAATAAGATTATATTTAAGATACATAGGGTCCAGACTGAAAAATTTACACTGTGCAGTAGTGCACATGCTATATCTCATGTGCTCATTTTTAAGAGAACTAGACATTTATGCATGCAAATTTGAATCTCTGGTTGCATACTTTCCAGTCTGGTATTGAATCTTGTTTAAGTTATTGCAGGATCCTATTAAGATGTTATGTACAATTTGTATCAGTGATAGGTACTTAGAGATATATCCAGTATAATAGAGCCAGTAGGGATGGAGTATCTTTCCCATGAATATATTCTAGCTTTATACTTGTATGCAGGTATTATGATAAAATTGTTTAAATTGCCAAATTGTCTAAACGCCATAGTTACCAATTATGTTTCTTCTTTGAAAGATATTTTAATTGCTGTATTGTCAGGTGAATGTATGAACAAAGAATGTCAATATCTTCATGTTGATCCTGAGTCACGTGTAAGACATTGCCCTTGGTATGACAGAGGTTTCTGTAAACATGGTATGTATACACACATTATGTATTGTTTTTCAAAGACTGAGGAACAAAAGAGGTGGAAAATGTTTTCTCACAAACTTAAACACTTGTGACAAAACATTGTATTGTTGTTGCATTTGTACAGCTTGATGAGAGTCAACCAGCTTGCCCCAAATAGATCACTATAGACAAATGTTATTTAGTATTCGGGGCTGGTTAGTTAAGGCTACACTAATTATCTTGGCTATTTTAGGCCCTGTAATTGGTTGTTTCGTTGAGTAATAAATGTTAAGCTTGCAGCAGATTGGCTGCAGCAGCTCCCAGTTGTCTGTGAGAACATGTTTTCTATCCTTTCTTACTACTAGGTGTCTTTGCAAAATATTCCATTCCCAACACATATTATTCCTAGTCTCTTATTATTGGAAATGCTTGTATTAAAGATAGTGATAGGAAATGCTTGTAGTATATCAAGGAAAGTCTGTCACAACCTTTCTTACCCAAACTGAGTGTATGCTGATGCATTAACTACTGTGAAATTAGCACCACATTGGGCACCACATTCAACACAACGTTCATCACAACATCATCACCACATTCAACTAAAATTTATCATTCAAAATGATAAATTGAAAAATGGTCTTTAAAATACGTTTTCAATCAAATACAACAGTAAAAAACAACACTTAACTGTTTATTACTATTTTACTGTCGTTAAACATCACATAAAAAAGTATAAAATTCAAGAAATCGAAGAAAACAGTAAGCTTCAATTTACAGTGTACTTTTTATTTCTCTTATTTAGCGTATAATTTCAAAATTACACTGTTGAATTTTTTTAAACTTTTACGTATTATACATAGTTATAATATCTAAAATGTATCCAAAATATGAAAAGTGCACAAAAAAAGAAATGGTAGAAAAACATCGGCAAAGTTGGATCACTCATATGCGCGCAATGTCTTGTATAATTAAGTTAAGAATTCCTGTTCTTTAACAAAGGCCTATAAATAAAAAAACTACACGGTAGATTTTTTTAAACTTTTGCGTATTACTCATATTTATATTGTCTAAAATATATCCAAAATTTGGAGAGTGCAGCACAAAAAAAGAAATGGTAGAAAACATCGACAAAGTTGGTTGACACGAATGCGCGTTATATAATCTTATATAATTTTCTACCATTTCTTTTTTCGTGCACTTTTCATATTTTTGATATATTTTAGATAATATAATTATGTATATTACGCAAAAGTTAAAAAAATTCTACCGTCTAATTTTGAAATTATACGCTAAATAAGAGAAATGAAAAGTACACTGTAAATTGAAGCTTACTGTTTTCTTCAATTTCTTGACTTTATACTTTTTTTGTGATGTTTAAGGACAGTAAAATCGTAATAAACAGTTAAGAATTGTTTTTTACTGTTGTATTTGATTGAAAACGTATTTTAAAGACGATTTTTCAATTTATCATTTTGAATGATAAATTTTAGTTGAATGTGGTGATGAATCTGGTGCCAATTTCACTGTAGTAATTCATTAATACCTCACTTAAGTGGTTACCACTAATAGTCCAGCTGTTAACGACAAAAAAAACACCTAACCCTTCACTTTGATGATACAAGTATGAAACTTTCTCACATTCTTACTATGCCTAGTAACACAAAATTTTGATATAGGGCCAGCCCATATTTTACATTTAAAACGAGTTCTGCGAATGTCGTGTTTGATGACGTCATCGGTAGTAAAAAAAAAAAGTTCAGAGAAATCTGCAATTTCCCTGTATATTCTTATAAAACAGCTAAAGACGATAGAAAAACTATATTACAACTTTTTCTTTTGGGCAATACTTTCCCAAATATTGTGCATGGAATATTCTGAAAAGTGCTGAGTCAGCACTTATATATATATAATTGTTCATTTTATTTTAGTTCATTTTATCTCACGCTCTTCTAATATATTGAGCGCTCTTTTATCCAGGATTATTAATATATATATATTATATATATATATATAATATATATATAATTGCACATTGTATATACACTTTGTATATTATATATATATATATATAAAGTGTATAACAATGTGCCCTCCCGGCTTTCACCATAGTGCAATGATAAATCGTATCGAAAAAACGAAGAACATTCAATTAAGTTTCTTTAAGATTTATTACCTTACTTGTGTTAGCATTCAGAATAACCTAATGGATTCTCAACTTGTGCATAAAAATCGTACGCACTGACCAACCATAAAGTAATCTATTAGAGTTATCTATTAGAGTTTATTATTTACACGTTATTTATACTATCGGTAATTACATCGGTAATTACAATGACGTAAAGGAAAGTCGAGCTTTCTTTACGTCAATAGCAGTACTCACTCTTTCATCGCGTTTCAAGTTCTCACGCGTTGCAACAAAAAATTTGCGTGTTCAATTTAATCTAGAAGATTCTTTTTGATCAAGATTTAAACACAACAAGGCATGCACATGTAGTGTCAATAACTGCTTCCCTTGTAGAATATTATATAACTCATCGACTGGAAACTATGCATAATTTGTCAAAAAGACACTGCAGAACGTCTACAATGTCCATCAAATTCAAAAAGAAAGGATGCAGGAGTTGGGTACTCCTCATTTGCGAAAAATCTGCAAGAATTTATTAAAATTGATATGTTACCGGTGAATTTAGACGTAAAGGGTCTCAATAGAGGTAATGGAATAGAAGAAACGCTGAAAGAACGCCAAGCATCATGGCATAAGTCATGTAGGGATCTTTTCAACAATACAAAGTTGGAACGTGCCCTGAAAAGAAGCTTAAGTGCGGAGAAGACAGACGAAGAACAAACATCTGAAATCGAAAAAGGAAGTCCAGTTAAAGCCAGAAGAGCAAGCTTCCCTGCAGTTTCAAAGAACGAGTGCATTTTCTGTGATAAACCAGACAACTCTTCAAACCTTCGTGCAGCTTCAACGCTTGAGATAGACGGCAAGGTTAGGGAATGTGCTGTTTTGCTAAACGACAGACAACTTATAGCAAAAGTATCGAATCGTGATATGGTAGCAATGGAGGCAAAGTACCATCCTAAATGTCTTATTTCTCTCTATAATCGAGCAAGGGCAATGAAGGCTGAGACGTCAACAAACGCTGAACGTTCAGGACCAAGTCTTGATGGGCTAGCGTTTGCTGAACTTATTGCTTATATTGAAGAACGACTAGAATTAGATTGTTTAGTTTTGCTTAAGATGACGGACCTGACAACATATTTTAAAATGAAGTTGAAGGCATTAGGAGTTGAAAGTGGATCAATTAATACTACCAGACTTAAGGAAAGAATCTTGACTGTTTTTCCCAATCTTACTGATCAAAGTCAAGGTAGAGACACTATACTTGTATTGAAACATGAAATTGGAAACGCTCTTAAAAGGGCAAAGAAGAAGATTCGGAAGCATGGCATTTAGCAAGAGCGGCTATGATTATAAGAAGAGATATATTTCAAACAAAGAACTCATTCAACGGAGAATTCTCCGAAGATTGTCAAAAGGATTCTGTTCCAGCATCATTAAAAGTTGTTATAGATATGATACTTAAAGGGGCCATTGTAAACAAACAACCAGCAGAAAGAGATTCAAATCAAGCTTGCTTAACCATCTCTCAACTTATTGTCTTCAATTGAACATCACGCGAGCGTGAAGCGTCAAGACCTCATCACACTAGAGAAAAAGAATGTCCGGTACCAATATACACGTCCCTCAAAATTCATGGAACTACGAGAGATAAATCACTTATCGACGCTTTTTTCAAGTTGGGATTGTGCATCTCGTACGATCGGCTTTTATCTGTTTCTTCCGGCATTGCTAATAAAGTAATAGCAAGGTACGAGAGTGATGACGTTGTTTGTCCGTCGAAGTTACGGAAAGGATTGTTTACAACTGCAGCAGTTGACAACATAGATCATAATCCCAGCTCCACAAGTGCACAAGACTCTTTCCACGGTACAGCAATTTCGCTCGTGCAGCATCCAACAGTTCATGAAAATGGTGAGAGTAGAGAAGTAGACTTATTTGATTCGTGTATTTCTAGTTCCAAAAAAATTTCACAGCTTCCACCATCATTTTGTAATGTCCCACCAGTGACTCTAACATGTGGCGAACTTTATGCCCCTCCACTTCATACCGTTATGTAAACTGTGTCTACCACCGTCAACAAAAGGCAAGATCTGGAGGAAGACTGGCTTGAACATGTGCGACATCTCGTTCAAAAGGAAGACCTGAGTAAGGACGACACTTTTTCATGGGCAGCATATCGAGCGTCAAAAACGTCGTCAACCTCTTACGAACCGGCAATCATTGCACTTCTCCCAATGTTTCGGGAGAATGCTCATTCATTTGCGATGATATTACATTCAATGAATGTTGTTAAATCAGCTGTTCGTCATGTCAACTACTCTCAAACTCCAGTTATCGCCGTAGATCAGCCCCTATTTGCTTTAGCCAAGCAAATTCAATGGACTCTTGCAAACAGTCATGGAGAAGATAAATTTGTGGTAATGTTTGGTGGCCTACACATTGAGATGACGGCTTTTAAAGTTCTAGGAAAATGGCTTGATGGGAGTGGCTGGACCGAAATTTTGACTAACGCATGTATAGCTAACCAAGGTGTTGTACAGTCATTCATCGCTTGCAGTCATGTGGCAAGAACAAGACGCGCACATCAAGTTACAGCAGCCAGTCTTTACTACCTACAACAAGATGCCTATAAGGAGTATCTCATGAAAGTTGACAATGGGGAAGCTAAAGAATTCCACATTTGGAAAGAAGATATGTCAAAGGATCATCCTCAGTTTCTGTATTGGACCAGAGTTTTGGAACTAGAATTACTCTGTTTACAACTAGTGCGATCATTTAGAGAAGCTAATTTCTCCTTATACTTCCAGTCAATTAAGCAACTTGTCCCGTGGATGTTTGCTTTGGACAATGTTAATTATGCAAGATGGCTTTCTGTCCATATCCGCGATATGTCGGAGCTTCCATTCAAACACCCTGACGTCTTTAACCAGTTCTCCAAGGGCTCGTTTGTGGTGCATAAAACGAAGAAACAGTTTTCAGCTATAGCATTAGATCATGCTCACGAGCAAGTTAATGCAGTGGTAAAGGGAGAAGGTGGTGCTGTGGGACTAACAGAAAACCTTTCAGCTTTAAGGAGATGGATGATTGCAGGTCCAGAAATTGCACGAATAATTAGGGAATTCGAGATGAGTACACATGTAGACAGTCAGCTACACCATGAGCAAACTCCATCCATTCAAAGAGAGTTTTATAAAGATGTCTCAAATGTCGTCTCCAATTTTCAAGCGATGGGGAATCCTTTTGTAGAAGAGAGCGAAGACCTATTTGCCATCCACACAAATGACGTGATGAACAGTTCCGTTGTTGACACGGTGAAGAATGTTTTAACCCTTGGAGAAGAACAATATCAAGCATTTGTTAAAGAAAGATTTGTTGAGAGAAGCAAGAGTATTACTGAAACGTTGAAAAAAAATAATCTGCCAACGTTTAAAACAGGAAGAAAAAGAGTTTCGTCAAAAGATAAAGTACATATACAAACTCTGAAACTAGACTGTGCTTTATTTTCAAGATTGTATATAGCCAGTCAAAATCGAAGTGGTGATCTCGATGATTTCTTTAAATATGAGAACCAACCATGGCCACCATCTCTCTCACAAGCAGGAAGTTTGCGTACTGGTAATAAAGCAGACTTTACAAAGTGTATCGAGCCCATTACCAAAGTTCAGTCACCAACTCCCGATGTTATTATTTTAGACGGGGCTGTTGTTGTTCAAATGATTTCACCTGAAACTTGGGAAACGTTCGAAGAGTACGCTCAGTTTGCTTTCATTCCTTATGTGTTAAAGCAATTTCAATCAGCTAAAAGAATTGATTTAGTGTGGGATGTATACAAAGAGGATTCGCTGAAAAAAAACGCACGGGAGAAGAGAGGCTTTGGTCAACGCCGCAAAGTTTCATCGACAGCACGTATCCCTACTGACTGGAAGGGCTTCCTGCGTATAGATGCCAACAAAATGGATCTATTCAATTTCTTAGCGCAGAAAGTTATTTCCCAGCAGATTCCAGAAGGAAGAGAAATTTACAGTACATTTGAAGAAAAGGTCTTGTGCTTTCCTAAAAGAACCGAAATATCAATGTTGGAACCATGTAATCATGAAGAGGCTGACACACGATTGATGGTGCACGTGTTAGATGCAAGTGACTGCGGCCACCAGAGGATTGTTGTAAGAACAAATGATACTGACGTATTGATACTAGCCATTTCAATTGTGAAAAACATCAAAGCAGAAGAATTATGGATTCTTTATGGCACAGGAAAGCACTCACGTTATATTCCCGCCATACAATTGCATCGACTATCGGACCTGACAAGGCATCTGTTCTACCGTTGTTTCACGCTTTTACGGGGTGTGATACTGTTTCCTTTTTTGGAGGTCGAGGAAAGAAAACTGCATGGGATGTATGGAATGTATTTCCAGAGCTAACATTAGCGTTGCAAGAGCTAAATTTGTTGCCAGAAAGGATTGATTGTTCGTCCTTGCAGGTAATTCAGAAACCGCCAAAGGCATGTATTATCTATCAAATAAGGTCTCTATTATGATTCATATAATGTTTTGCAGGTGATTGAGCGATATGTGGTCCTCTTATACGATCGTACAAGTAATCTCACCAGAGTCAATGAAGCTAGACAAGAGTTGTTTGCCAAAAAGTCCAGAACACTGGATAACATTCCACCAACCCAAGAAGCGTTGCTCCAGCACACTAAGCGTGCATTGTTGCAAGGTGGATTTTTCTGGGGGCAGTGCTGCTTGAAAGAGCAGGTTATACCAACTCCGTCAGGTTGGGCTGGTACCGTGATGAAAATTCTTGGTTACCAAAGTGGACAAATCTCCCTCAAGTTAAAGATGCCTGTTATGAACTTATTCGTTGCGGATGCAAAAGTTCATGTTCTAGTCGTTGTAAATGCGTCAAAGCACATTTAGTTTGTACTCGTTTGTGTAATTGTGGGGGTGATTGTCAATAACATGAGGGCATTAAAATTATTTTAATATTACTGTTCTTCGTTAGGCGCTTTTCCAATGTATTTAAGAAAGAGCAATAGGACTAAACAAAAGTGCTGAGTCAGCACTTTAAAAACACTTTTAATGTAGAATATTTCAGAATGTATTGCTCAAAAGCAAAAGTTGTAATATAGTTTTTTTATCGTCTTTAGCTGCTGTATAAGAATATACAGGGAAATTGCAGATTTCTCTGAACTTTTTTTTTTACTACCGATGACGTCATCAAACACGACATTCGCAGAACTCGTTTTAAATGTAAAATATGGGCTGGCCCTATATCAAAATTTTGTGTTACTAGGCATAGTAAGAATGTGAGAAAGTTTCATACTTGTATCATCAAAGTGAAGAATTTTGTCGTTAACAGCTGGACTATAATAAGGATTGCTTGCTTTGATGACTGTAGGTCCAAATTGTCGCCATCAACATGTCAGAAGAGTTTTATGTGTCAACTATCTTTGTGGGTTTTGCCCTGAGGGGAAGCAGTGCAAATATAGTCAGTAAGTTAAAGTCAATTTTGCTTGCCAGCACTTTTACAAATTTGACACATTGTTGTTACGTTTTATCTTACTTTAGTTCATGAAAATTTTATTTGTTGAACATTAATTTGTTCAGAGGAATTGCACTAGTTGTTGCAACAAGTTCAATAGAGTTAGAAATGATAATTTTCTCACAGTTGAACTTTCCAGTTCTTAATTTCTCCCTGCTTTGGACAAGTAATGCATTTCACATTCTGGAAACGATCAATAACACTTTCTGTCAGCAGATGTTGCCAGTGAGTTATGAAGGAAATCTTCAATGTTATCTGATGTACATTGTTGAATCTGTTTTAGATCTTTTGCTGTAATTTTCTTGACTCATAGTTAAACAATTTTAATAGTTCTTTCTGGTTTTTGTAATGCAAATTTGTTAAAATTCTAGTGCTAGATTTGAGCTACCAGTGATGTCGGAGTACCAAGATTATGGCATGAAGAAGATAGTCTGCCATCGATGTTTTCAACCTGGACACAAAATATCTACATGTCCTCTTAATGTCACTGTGGTAGGTATTATCATGCTGTTGTCTCTGCTTACTTTAGTAGCTGAGACTAAGGGATTATATAAACACTTTGTTATGGTAGTGAAATTGATAAACTCAAACAGTTTTAATTGAAAAGGTTAACCAGTTAAAATAAAGAATATTACAACTAAACACACTGAATACTAATAATAAGAATGATAAAAAACAATGGAAAGCAAAGCAAATGATAAATTAAATGATTTGGCATAGCAAAAAGTGTTTATTTTGCGAGTGAGAAGGTGTAACAGATGTAACAAATGTTACTGGTAAGATATTTGAAATTTGGCAAGTTATGTGTGAACTTAAGTTTCTCAATAATTTACATAGCAATTTTGTCAGTTAACTTCCTTCATATTTATAGGGAGTAACTCCAATTCCACAGAATCTTCCCACACCACATACTGCCAATGTTCAGATTCCTATTCACACAACTATGGGAGCTGGACAGCATGTGATAAGGATGCCATGGAGACCACTTGAGACTGTCACATGTTTTAAGGTAGATTGAAATGTAGAATTTGTGTTTCCTAATGCATGCAAAGTGAAGCAAACAAGTTTTATATAGTTTTGAGTGTGCAAATAAGTAATCGTAGTTATCTCCCCTTTGTTTGGTGTTATGCTTAGGCATAAAAGGCGACTTTAAAAATCAAGAAGAATATATTCGACATAGGGCTCTATGCTGTTGAAAATATAATCATGAATGTCAGTCGCCATTGTGTGAAATCGCCATCAATAGAAAACATTTGCATGTATTTAAATTTCAATATTTGTGCGAAATCACAAACAATTGCTTATTATGAGTAAGTACTACAAGTCATAATATCTGTGTGTATTTTAAATTGTTTGTTTCTGTTTGCAGTGTGGGGAGAAAGGCCACTATGCAAACAAGGTATTTACATATCTTTGCATGCTTTTTGTCATCAAACACGTATTCATTTCAAAATTAATATTTACTACTTGAATTTTAGTGTACAAAATCAAAAGCAGATCTTCTGAGAGCATAGTTGAGATCATCTGCAAAGGATGTTGAAATGATGTACATTTGATGTATTTTTGATTAGGTACAAAATAGTACATGTAGATATATTTTCCTGTTCTAAGGAATCAAAGTCATTCAAGTCATTGATACCATCCATTGTACACTATGACTATGAATAAGAGCAGCTTTATGAAAACTTCTAGTTTTAATAGATCATTATTTAATACAGCCCAACTAACATAAACATTCAAAGTATTTAAAACGTCAAAAACGCATTATCAACTTGTATATTACAAAATGTTACATAACAAGTTTTTTGGTGCTGACATATTATTGAACGTCTTCCATTGAATACTTTTTCCACAAATCTGCCACTTTAAAGTTAATTTCACAATCCTCCTACAAAAAATAAAGCTTCTTGTTGGACTGATTTTAAAGATGTATATTTGTAATTAACCAACGTAGCGGAGAGGCCAAGGACGTTCAGAAAAATTTTGTTAATTACTCAAATGTAAATGATGTTGTTAGATAAATTCACAGTTGTGTTTATTTGTCCAAAATGTCTAGAGTGAAGGGTATTTATTTGTTGAAACCTCTGGTTGACTATATGTTAACCTCAAGAGTTTATGGCCACGCTGCCTAAATCATGTTTACGTATCAAAGGCAACATAAACTACCCCCCCTCTCCCCCAATATGAACACTGCATAGTTGTATGATGTCAAATAAACATAATATATCGGACCGTAGGACCATTGGTCCCTGTAAATATTTGAGGTTGAAAGAAAAATATTGTTTAAAAGTACTGAAAAAGTTATAGGATTCCCAAGGAAAAGAAACTGAATAGACAAGCATGTATAAAACTATACACTCGCAATGTCAGACAACATTTTCAGCACTCAGAAAGTCAGAACTTAGTAAGACAATGTCATCTTTGCTGTTCTTTTAAGTCATTCCTTCATCTATTGCATTTAATAGCAGTGATTTATCAGTGGCGTAGCCTGGATTTTCTGTCAAGCGGGGGGAAGGGGAGCCATGACTGTCGTTTAAACATTGTAATAAGTAAAACATAACATTTTAGTAGGCCCAAAGGATTTTGCCAGGGAGGGGGCTGGTTCTTTGTTCCCTTCTCTAACTATGTCATTGTGATTGATACAAACGATTTCATTTGTATTGGATAGGGTAAAAATTCCCACTTACATTCCCTGGTGGTCCCAGAAAATGGAATATTTTATGCAGACATGCAAAAAAAACATGATAATTTTTTCATGATAATAAAATGCCCCATAAAACTTTAATAATTGTAAACTTTGTAATATACCCCTGCCTCCATGAATTGACCTACTGTCACTTACCTCTCTCATTTCTTTTTGATATTGTCGTAATTCTTGCACCTCCGGATGCTTTCGAACCTAAATTGTATGAATGAAAGAATTAAGTGCACTAAATTAATTTTACTCAGCGGTTAAAGATACGTATCAAGGAGTTGTAAGCAGGTGGACTGTCACTACACCATTAAACTAAAAATTCGGTGGAGTTAGTGTACTGAACTTTTGTGAAAACCTTTTTTAAGTGGTCCAAAGTATAACACTGGGCGCGTGCGGGAAATGTTATTAAAGTTTTTCTTAATTTGAGTTTTCCCGCCAAAACGACAATATGAGCCTGTCCTCGATAAGGTTCTATGAAAAAGTAAATACCACTTCTACTTTTCTTTCAATTACTTTAAATAGTTCGAACAACTTTTGGACAATGTTTCTCTTTCGTAAACATTAGCTAATTTTATACGTGTTTCGTACTTTACGTTTCCAGGGACAAAAATTCATCGTGGGCTAAGAGCTAGCCAATGCCCTTTATGGCTATATCTGACTTTATTCAGTATTATAGCTGTTCTAAGAAAACGCAGAATCACTGCAAGACGTTTGAGACTAACACTTATTACTTGACTCACTGTTCAGTAACATCGACTGACGTAATGTTTGGGGGTCTGCTTTTACACACAGACGACAGAACTTAAGTTTTTCTTCTCAGTAGCCATTGTGTAGTCCATCTTTCCCGATTAGCTGCCTTTAAACGTCTGCGACGTCTTAGTAGCAGGCCCGCAGCTGGGGGGCAGTACCCCCATCATGAAATAAAGTTGACACTATGCCCCCCAAGCATACCAAACGCCTTAATTTACTTTTATAAAAATCTCTTCGTGTTACTTTTTAGGCAACCTAATAAATTGTGACGTATTACGTCAGATTAATAATTTAGGTTTGTCATAATGACTCTAGTAATTACGTTATTCTATACTATTTTTTAGTTAAATTAATTACGTCATATATTGTAAATGGCAACTTTGTCATATTTAGATATAGTCCATTACGTACGACGTACGTCATTGAGTGCTCCCCCAGGGGCGGATTGCACGAAGCTTGGCTTGGATGGTAAAATTTTCAAACTTGTAAAAAAGGTGCTTATATTTTCGTTACGACAAAGAAATTTTGTAATCTTGGAGTCAAATATTTTATTTCAGTGATTGCTCAGTTCAAACCTTATATTTTTTCTTTTTACGAAGTTTTTAACGTGCAACCAACCACAGAAGTCCATATGCATTAAGCAAGCTACAGGCTTGCTGCATAGCAATAAAAGCAGCAGTAGCAACATTTCTTCTTTTATCAGCATATCGTAAATGTCATTAAATGTCAAAACATATATGTCAAAACTATTCGCCATTTGGTTTTGATTATGCTAATACTTGTGGAACCAAAAACCAACTTGCCAGCTTGCGACTCTTAGTTTTGAACATTTTGACTGCTTTTCTCAACAAGGAATTAAATTTTTGTCATAAAATAAAACTTGTTTGAAAAATGTTGCTTAAAAAATCACTCCTCTCTACTACTCAACACATCAATAGCAATGCTGCTGACCACTGTTCTAGAGACACGCCAAATCTGAGACTGTACACTGTACATATTAGTCTATTACTGACAAAAATGTTGATATTTACTTTGTATCCTTTATAATGAGCTTGAATTATTGTAGCTGCTTCATCATCAGAAAGTAAAAGGGAGGACGGAATAGGAGGTCGTGGACTGAAAAAAAGCACTTTCTGTTTCATTATTAAAATCATCAACAAATATGATTATTTGAAAGTAGTCAAAATACATATTTACTTTTCAGCCAAGATTTTCTGGACAAAAGGTATATCTTCCAACTTCACTCCATCTCGATTGCTGAATTTTGGATTATGACTAAAAAAATCAATTCACCTCAAAAATATGAAGGCCCTAATTAGCATAATGAGGGCCTTATTAATAAAACAAACCTGTATAAGTAGTTCGTCAAATAATCACAAGCATTAAACTTTGTTCGTCTTTTCTGAAATTGAATTAAAATTGATTGAGCACTTCACTTATTGTTGTCTGATGAGCATAATTGTAAATTTCTTCTAGTTATGAGAGTTTGTTTTGACTTAAAAGATTTGCACATAGTAGATAATCCAATGCACTGAAACAAGGCTTTTAGGTAAATTTTGTGCAAATTCTACAACATGCACCAAGTATATTATCATTGATAAAATCTTACCAAACTAGGGAAGGCACCAAAATATGAATAAATGTTTGTGTGGTGTAATGGCAACCTACAAGTTTTGAACTTATGCACTTACATAAATATTGCACAAAATAGAGGTGTGTGCAAGTGTGATATTCCCTGTCAGTGTCAAGCCCAGTTTTGTAAAACATGTTTATTAGGGTGGTTTAGAGACTGACGGAGGATGAAAAAAAGCAAGTCAAACTAAAATTTTGAGCTTTTTTCTCAAATGAAGATATCACAATAATTGGTCCTTTTTTGGGGGTGGAGGGTGGGGATGGGCAACACTGAAGACCCAAATTAGATTGTAACAACAAATAATCGTGACAACAATCTTAAGGCAAAAACAGCTACGACTAACAACAGCCAATTTGTAACAAGTAGTTGTTGCAGCAGAAATCATGTGATAACTGTTAGTTGTAACAACACCTTTGTAATTGTAACAACTATTTGTACTAAGAATAGTCTTGAAGACCTCAAATACTTTATTTTCCTTCGCTTCTATCAACATTTCTTGCATAGCCGGAAGAAGAGTGGGAAATACATGGTGCTCGCAATATTCTCGAGCGGTGCATACAAGTGGATCGGGTAGAGGTCGTACTTGTACATCATCTTGCTTAAGTACAGATTTCTTGTCTAATAAAATGGATTCAAATGAAGGATGTAATGAAGATGAATCTAGATGTATTTTTTCTTCTTCATCTATCTTTTCTGCCATATCTTTCGCACAATTTAGCTGTGCTTGTGATGCAGCACATATGTCTACAACACCATTATCCAATGGTAGCATCTCATTTATTTGCTGTGGAAACGAAACATGCAAAAGCGGAGACTGTCTTGACGCACCCAGGTCATTTATAGCAACACTTTTATAAGTATCATGAAACTGTTCAATCTCTTTCTTTTTATTCGTGCCATGCGTTTCATCTAAAATAATAAATTCTGCGTTTTCGTTGTCAACCATATTGGCTGTCAAGTTAATAGTTGCTAGGGGCAACTTGTCCGGTCTGTTTGCATTTCTCATTGAAGAAATAATAAATCAATTTTTACGAAACTTACGATAACTTAAGCAATTTCAATAACTGTTTCTATATTTAATTAACGTTACAAATGGCAATCACTCGTAGTAATTTGCCATGGCGTGAATACAATAACCTATACATTCTTTTTCTTTACTCTTATCTTGGTATTTTGGGTTTGCTGTTTGTCATTGACTGCTAGCACTCAGTCCCCTAACCCCTAACTCTCTTTGTTCATCATGGCTTTCAGATGTACACATGTTATATCGGTAAAGAATGACAAAATTCCATTGCTAAACTATACTAGTTGGATGAAATCTTATTTCAAAAGTGTTTTTAGTATAAATGAAAATATCATAGTTAATCAACATGGTTTGCATGTTTTGTTTTAATGCACTTTTTCGTGAAATCTTGGTGCTGTGTAAAACTGTATTAACATTCTTTCTAGGGTTTGAGAAGTGCTATGCACAGAGATGTTGCTGATGGTATGTACGCTACCTTTTATTCAGTTCTCAAAGGGCATTCAGATGACTTACGGCCATTTGGAGCAAGATTTGCTTTTCAACCTAAGTCAAAGTTAAAACGAAAGGCAACTGAAGTGCCTGGGTACAGAATTGGTGTAACTAAAGCATGGGACACGTGGCACACTGGTAATTTTATGTCTTTGTGTTAAGTTTGGTTTTCACTGTCAGTCAACAGACAAAAATTTACATAGCAAGACCAAATTTATAAGATAGCCAGGCCACTATGGTCAATGAATCAGGTTCAAGCACTCAAGGCTACTGCGTTTTAGCCAGCACCTCTAGGTGTTCAAAAAATACAGCGAGCTTGAGCAGTTAATAGCAGGTAATTTTACATTAGTTTTTCTTGTAACCTTAATTCTTACTTTCAAAATGGTACTTGAGACAATATCAATCAACTGGTAGTAATTCTATCTTCTATCCTAGCCCTATCCCTAACCTCCTTTGGAAGATTACAACTTTATTTCAAACTATCTAATAACCTTCTAACAATGAAATATAAACATGTATTTTTTATTTTGTTAAAATAACACTATGAGCCCTCTTTCCACATTGAAGCACCACTGTTGTCAGCTAAACTGCTGTCTAACCAACCATTCATTTGTTACACTGACCTATATATTAATAAACTTAACCTTAGCATTTCATCTAAATTACTATATTTTACCATTGCAAAATTTTAACTACTGGGTGTATAAATAAAGAAAATTTAAAAATAAAGCTATTTAGGTATTCAAATGCCTTATCACTTTCTAATCTTACTGGTGCATTATGTTCATGTTTTGATGTTAGATGTTATGTCAAAATTCTAAGAGCAGAAAAGCTTTTGTTCTTGTAACAAAGATATGCAATATAGACAAATTGTTGACAATTCTTTATGCCCCAGTGGGCTTAGCATAGTGATAGGCATCTAAAGATTTTCTTTTCATTTTGATACATGTTGCACATTGACACATTTAGATGAAAATGTTCCGAAAAACAATGGACAAACAATGAAAACGCTTAGAGCCCTAAATAAAAAAAATGTTTCTTCAAGTTTGCAATGTTTTGATTAAGAATCATTTAAAACAGTTCTGGTTAAGAAATTGGTCTGCTCATGTTGTACAAAATACTGATTGCCTTATACTGATGTCTGAAGTTGTTAATAAATTTCAATTTCAAAGTTTGAACGCCTGGTTCCCACGGTCGTAATTGATTAACATAAGTATTTTCATGTGTAACAATTGCTAATAGTGTATAATAATAATTTTAGTCAATTACCACTCTTGGGGACTGACATTAAGGTTTTTTGGATTTTTTTAAGGACACCATGCAAAGTTTGGAACTCAGATTACGTTTGATAATTCAACGGTCCTTAGATTTCTAATTTGTTTAGCATGTGAAGTGTGACGTCGTTATTGGTTGCTAACCTTTTCATTTGCGTATTTAGGTTGCGTGGTTGGTAGCGAAGATGCTTCGGAAAGATTGATGGATGATATAATGGTCAGGAAATTCATCGAAGGAGTTTTCTATGAACTTTTGGTTTCAGATATCGTTATAAAACGTCGGGATAATCAAATTATTGTAGCTTTTTATCTCGCTGGATCATCAATGGTGTCTGTCAAAACCTATTTTCTTGTTGGGTTCAGTGAAAGACTCTTGTCAGAAATGTTTGGGTGTATCGTTAAATTAGAAATTGTTTCACAACTAACCAAAACCTTAAATCCTACTTGAAAATTCGCGGTTTGTGATAATGTTTTGATAATCGTTTGGCATTACGTAGCTTCAGCATTTCACAAACCGGAAGTGGAATGCTTATTAAGTTAACCGGTAGCCAATCAGAACGTAGGTTGGAATGCTCAAATAAAGACGGAAAAAGAACCGAAATTTAATCTCTTTTATGTATTATTTCAGAAATAAATCGTTGCCAATGCCTCATTTGCATATACATTCCTTTTTACATAATTATTGAGAGAAAGTTTTAGTAAGAGAAGTCATTTGTTGAATTTCGCTCCCGGCCTAGACGGCATATTTTCAGATAATGTCGATTTGAAATTTCGAGGTGACAAACTCGTATCATATATTACACTTTTTATTGCGACGTGTTTTCGACAAGAAACTTGTTATTACAAAGAGCAGCAGTTATTCGTTTGCTATGAAAACATCGTCATCAATGATACTTTTGAAGTTGGAAGTCGCATTTATCGTCGGATACCTTTGTAGCTCGTATACAGACAGTGTAACTACAACTCGAACGATACAACGTAAGTGCTGTAAAACTTATTTTGAAAACTTAGTATGTGCCATTAATACGCTCAAGATGCCAATCGCAATTAATATTGAATAAGTGGTTTAAACAATATCAACCAGCCAGGAGATGACAATAAATGTTTAGAGCAATATAATTGACATTTCGTACTTATTCCAGAAATATTTTACATGATTCTATTTTATGTTTTTATTTACATTTTACATGTCACTGCTTTCGAGACGCGTCCCAATAACCGTGGTCATATATCTTTCAGTCAGGCGACCGATACGCTTCAATTATTATACAATATTGTGTAAGAGAAGTTGTACACTTTGCGTTGACGGATGACTTTACAAACTTAAAAAGTATTTAGAAAAATTCTCTCTTCGATATTTGTTTTTATTTATGCTTTTCCGCTAAATCGATTTCACTTTACTCTCGAGTTGTGCGATGAAAAGCCATGATTAATTGTAAACGGTTTAAATTGTAAACGTATTAAATTCAACAATCTGGGCCGTTTGGCTACATATTTCTTCGAGAAGAGTCGTGTGTCATAATATTCATTTTATGTTTGCAAATTACATGTAAATTGCACTCTTGAATTTTAAGTGTTAGAAGTCTGAAGAAAATGAGATCAATATATATATGAGATATTATATTGTGGCCCCGATTATCATACTGACTGTGGATTTCAAACATATTACAAAGCATGAAATAGTGTGACACAAAAAAATGCAATCATTTTAAAATGTAATACAAAGTTATCAAAAGTATAAAGTCTTGGTTTCAGCACTTATTGCTCCCACCCCATGCTAAGTTTTTAACGACCTCATGATCACAAGCGGATGAGGATGTATGACAGTGTGTTTTTAAATGAAATTTAAAAAAAATCGTCTTTATTTCTATAGAACTGCACCCAGGATTGTTTTTCAGTAATAGACCAGCATTGAATGACCAACTTGGCCAGGCAATTGACTCTGGTTCAGTTACACTGAGTTGCGTTGGAGGTAGCCGTGGCAACAACAGAGTGTATTTTAAATGGTATAAAGATGGCCAACTTTTGCAAGCAGACAGGTCACCTATAGTGGCAACCATACAAGGAGATTTGAACATCAACCCATCAGACTACAGTCGTGATAATGGCCAATATCAATGCCTGATTACTGACAACACATTTTCTCTGCTATCAAATATGGCTGAGTTACAGCTTGCATGTAAGTTGAAAAGCACTTTGTCATGGGATTTGGGTACAAAATCTTTTTATACTCAATAGAAATTTTATACTAAAATAAAATTTTTCATTTTTGACTCAGTGTGACTCAGTCTGAAAAGATCCATAAATTACGACAGGAACTTTAGTAAGGGGTCTATTACATGGAGCAATTTCAGCCCTGGCTGACAAATCTGTCATGTAATCGTTTCAGCCCAGGCTGAAATCACTGCTAATATATTCACGAATGCGTAATTGCGTACCTATTGGTTATGATGACAATTCAGCCTGGTCAAACTATAGATATAATAGAACCTACATTGCTAACGCACACTGCGCGGCTGTAGGTAAATAAATAATAAGTCAACCTGCTTCACTACTATGCACATACACTAAGTAGTTTCAAAATAATATAGATTTGACAAGTCCATCTCTTTAGGTAGTGAAAAGCAACAGGCAGACTCCTCAGCCTCAAGTGTTTTGACTAATAAGGTCTTCTGCTGTTTCTGCCCTTTTTGGTGCATGTTACGAATTAAATGAGAAATTCAACCAAGAAACATCAATATTTTGAACTTTTTGTTATTTCGTTGTCATGAAAATATCTAGAATATGTCAAGACTCAACAAAATTACAATCATTGGACTCAGGTGACAATTCGGTAAAAATTTGACGAAGAAATATTTGTCGTGTTATTCCTTTGATGCATCCAAGTTTACATCCAAAAACTCCGCAATGTCCTCTCATTTCCAAAAAAAGTGGCTAGAACTAGGATAGAAGGGGTACAAAGACGGAAAATGCGAAAAACCTCATTTTCGTAATACAAATTATAGTTTTTTTGCCCGCTTGAGCTGCCATCTAGGAATGTTCAATTTGCTATGGCCGGCTCAGTGAACTCGATTTAAATAACTGGAACGATAACTGAAGCCACAAATTGAAGCCAAAAAATATTTGTCGTCATCACTCGTCGTCACTCGTGTTTCTCGCGTGTTTATAAACAATTTGTATTTTGTTATCAAGATCTTTAGTTTGACCTCAGTTGATTTCATTTTACTAGTCAGTTTTATCTTCACGAAGAAAATCCTTTGAATTATGTTTCAATTCTACATCATCCTCAGTGCAATAGTATTATTACGTTTTTCAAATAAACTAAAAGGATTTGTTGGTATGAATTTTTATTCGACAAAATTTACATATAGAATGAAAATATCTTTAATATAGCTACTATATATTTTTGTCATACACAGTCAATCTGCTCTTAAGCTGTGGTTTTCCTTTAAAACATATCAAAGTCTTTAAGGATATTCAATTATTGATATTGAGATGACAACTATTTAGTATTTCAAGCACCATCAAAATCGATGAAAATGACAATCGCTCTGTAAAAAGTAAAAATGCGAGTTATAAACTCAATATTTTTTATGAAACTGGATATTCAAGTTTCTTTTTTCTTCGGAAAAACAGATCTTTAAATCCACTGAAATGACAAAAAAATACAAACACTGTCTGACATCGTTTGAAAATTTACCTTCTGATGTAAGAAAAATTTTTGCTTGAATATTTTCTCGTCATATTTTCTATTGTATTGTCTTTTTAGCGTACAGTGTAATTTTGAGTTGGCTTTTCCTCGTTACAAGTTGTAAGTTGAACTCACTGTAGTAAAGTTTCAGCTGTAAAAAATAACCTTTTGCGAAGAGTTGACCTCGTGTGTCGTTTGTCGTGATGTTGTTTATATGTTTATGCTTTGGCAATTTGTATTCGAATTTATATTGGCCGTGTATGTTTGGCACTCAGGGGAATGAAACTGACGTACAAACCGCGTGAATATTCGACTTTGAAGGACTGGAACTTACGTACAAACCGCGCAAGAGACTAGGACTTAGGCTTCAATTTTGTATCTATAAAATGTATTGTCGTTATCATTTCAAATATATATATACAAAGTGTATATACAATGTGCCCTCCCGGCTATCACCATAGTAAAATGGTGATTCCTGCACTTGGGACACAGGATGTACGGTAGGATATATATATATATATATATGGAGTTCACTGGGCCAGCAATCTATGTTTATTATATCTATGGGTCAAACACCTGGCTGAAATTGGCCATGTAATCACACAACCGGCCAACTGGGCTGAAACTCATCACGGGTTGAAATTGCTCCATGTAATCGGCCCCTAAAAATGCTTTCAAGGATTGTCATAGGTGATAAACGCCAGAGTCACTTCCGGATTTGCGTTCACGTAGTCGACGTAGTTAATATATGAAATGTTTTAACTTACATCACCTTCCCGTGTTTGTCACGTCCATTTGGATGCGTAAAGTTGCAGTTGTTTCGTTTTCATGTATTTTTTGTCAACAAGAAGCTACTAAATTAACTGTATACTTTCTAAAACAGTTGACGCGCACCTTTATTTCAATCTCAAGATAGCCAGGGAATTTTTTATATGTGCAATTTACATTGTCCAGTGGCGTCATATTGCATAATAAGTGGTCAAAATTTTTTCAAATATCCTTTGTTTTTTATTTTCGTGGCAAATTTAGTTTTGAACGGCAGAATTTTACACCAAAAATCAGTAGATTCAATTTGGGAGTATCGCTACATGTTTTTAGAAGTTGATCGTCCAGGTTGACATTTTGTTGTGGTCAGGCTGGCTAAAGTAAAACTAGAGTTCATTAGACAATCCTTTCGATTTGCAAGCTCTAAGGTATATAACCAGCTTTTTGTGGACGTCGAAGACCTTTAAACCTTTAACCCACTGTTGCACGAACATTTTAGTTAGTTTTAAATATTTAGCTTGTAGTAATTTCAATTATTATTGATTTCTTGTTTGTTAAAGATGACACATGTGAAAAACAGTATCACTAATAATATGTTTTATCTTCTGTAGCTAAATATCCTTAAATAAATAAATAAATAAATGCCGGGACTTTAAATATGCTTTTACTAAAGATATCGACACGCCAGTAAACAGAACACCAACAGTCTTAATGGTATGATTATAAATATAATTTATACTATCAATATTTTACAACGAAGGGCATTCAGCCTGCCTGTAATATCATATCAGCAAATGAAACTGATTATTCAAGCTGTTGTCATTTAGTGCTGCAAGTAGCGTAAATTAACTTCAATAAAGTTCAATATCTTGAGAATGAAAGTCTGCTACATTTCAAAATGCTCTGTTCACTAAAAGTATAATGTAAATATCAAAGTTTTCGTTTCGTAAACACGTTATTTTAACTCATGATAAAGAACTTTCTCGCTCGAATCATTGCAAAATACCAACTGCTTGAGTTACATTGCTATATGCGCGGATATTGTATTGATATTGCATGATCTAACTCGTTTCCATTATTTCATACTTCGTAGATGTAAGCGGTTTCAAGAAAACAGGCGTTACAAGACTGGGTACACAATATGAAGGATGGAAATACGTGTTCACCGATTATACTCATTCCATATATCCAAAACCACGGTTTATATTGAAATTCAATAACGAAGCAATTGCTGAGAATGAACGGATAAGTCAAAAAGGCGACATATATATTGCTATGTTGAGCCCTAGTGATGCAGGGGAGTATACGGTGGAAATGCAACTGGGCTCCTTAACACAATCTAGGGAAACAATCACTCTGCAAGTGTCAGGTACGTATGTAATACGTCACGCTACTAACCTTTTTGCTTAAGTAATCTTTTTTTAATTTTGGCACTTTCGTCTAAAACGATTATTTTGCTCACCGGTGTGTTCTGTACTTATTGCAGAACGTCAATTATCCAATCAAAACGACTCAATACATTTTCAATAAAAAGTTTGACTTTTTTCAAAAATTTGCTCAAAACCCTCCAAAATGACTCCGGCCTAAAAGTTTATAACACGAAGATTATAGCTTTCATTGTCGTACAATAATGGATTCATACAAGTTGATTTGGTGGTGTATGTAGTGACCCTTTTTAAGCCTTTAGGGCTAGTTCAGTCCATCGAAATTTTTAAGTAGAGTTAATGTACGCTATTTTTCTTTTCAACCTTTTTCGAGTTTCAGTTTTCTGAATTTTCAGAACTTTCACGTGCCTTTACCGTAAAACTTGTGTATTTGGTTTTGTTCATATTAAATAATGTTTGGTTTGTGGATTTGTGTAGTAGATTACATGGTATTGGTGTTGCTATTATATAATAGCTTAATAAGTTTTGCAAGTTCATAATCATACGTACTCATTTAAAGAACGTCGCATGAAATGCATTGCTCGTTGTTTGTATTTCCAAGAACAAATTGGAATTCTGATTTGTTTACAGTTCAACTTAAAGCTTGTTTTCTTTGTTTAGCCAACAGTGGTGCAGACAACATCTATGGGTCAGCGATGTTGGGTCCAAGAAGTCAGACAATTGGATTGCAAAGAGAAAGCGAAGCTACATTTGAATGTTTTGTTACGGGAAAGTTAGTATTTTGTTTCATTATACTAAAGTACATTTGTACATTTTTTAATCCCCGGTTCAAACTTGTATCCACCTTCCACATGCTGAAGTTCCCCCGATTCAAACTTGTATCCACCTTCCACATGCTGAAGTTTTACCGGTTCAAACTTGTATCCAACTTCCACATGCTGAAGTTCCCCCGATTCAAACTTGTATCCACCTTCCACATGCTGAAGTTCCCCGATTCAAACTTGTATCCACCTTCCACATGCTGAAGTTTTACCGGTTCAAACTTGTATCCACCTTCCACATGCTGAAGTTCCTCTGATTCAAACTTGTATCCACCTTCCACATGCTGAAGTTCCTCTGATTCAAACTTGTATCCACCTTCCACATGCTGAAATTTCCCCGATTCAAATTTGTATCCACCTTCCACGTGCTTAAGTTCCCAAGAATTCATTCACCGAAGTTGAAACGTGTTATTTCAATCCTGGGGGGAGGTCGAATAAATCAAGACGTGTTTCGTAAATGTACCTAGAGGTAGATCTTTGTTTTTAGACCAATGCCCGTGATCACGTGGAAGAAAGGAGATCGCCGTTTGGTTAAAAGTCAGAAATATGTAATTTCCGATCACAACAAAAGGCTCACGATTAAGAACTTAAATAAACAGGATAGTGGAATATATCAATGTGCCTATAGTAGAGCAACTGGTAGCAACTTTCCAACAGCAACCCTGACTGTTATTGGTAAGATATGATATCACGATGTGAGATGATGTATGGTAGTAAAATGACTTAATAACTCGTGAATGTAGAGTATGACAGTTACATTTCGTAGTTGTGCATTGATCTCCTTATACTTATGTCATAGTGAGGATGGTACGTAAGAAATCTATGTACTTGATTTCCTTATACTTATGTCATAGTGAGGATGGTACATGAGAAATCAATGTATATAATCTCTTTATACTTATGTCATAGTGAAGATGGTACATAAGAAATCTATGTACTTGATCTTCTTATGCTTATATCATAGAGAGGATGGTACACAAGAAATTAATGTACTTGATCTCTTTATACTTATGTCATAGTGAGGATGGTACATAACAATTGAATGTACTTGATCTCCTTATACTTATGTCATAGTGAGGATGGTACATAAGAAATCAATGTACTTGATCTCCTTATACTTATGTCATAGTGAGGAAATTACATAAGAAATTAATTTACTTGATCTCCTTATACTTATGTCATAGTGAGGAAATTACATAAGAAATTAATGTACTTGATCTCCTTATACTTATGTCATAGTGAGGAAATTACGTAAGAAATTAATGTACTTGATCTCCTTATACTTATGTCATAGTGAGGAAATTACATAAGAAATTAATGTACTTGATCTCCTTATACTTATGTCATAGTGAGGATGGTACATATGAAGTTAATGTACTTGATCTCCTTATACTTATGTCATAGTGAGGATGGTACATATGAAGTTAATGTACTTAATCTCATTATACTTATGTCATAGTGAGGAAATTACAGAAGAAATTAATGTACTTGATCTCCTTATACTTATGTCATAGTGAGGATGGTACATATGAAGTTAATGTACTTGATCTCCTTATACTTATGTCATAGTGAGGATGGTACATATGAAGTTAATGTACTTAATCTCATTATACTTATGTCATAGTGAGGAAATTACATAAGAAATTAATGTACTTGATCTCCTTATACTTATGTCATAGTGAAGATGGTACATAAGAAATCTATGTACTTGATCTTCTTATGCTTATGCCATAGAGAGGATGGTACACAAGAAATTAATGTACTTGATCTCCTTATACTTATGTTATAGTGAGGATGTACATAAGAAATCAATGTACTTGATCTCCTTATACTTATGTCATAGTGAGGATGGTACATAAGAATTGAATGTACTTGATCTCCTTATACTTATGTCATAGTGAAGATGGTACATAAGAAATCTATGTACTTGATCTTCTTATGCTTATGCCATAGAGAGGATGGTACACAAGAAATTAATGTACTTGATCTCCTTATACTTATGTTATAGTGAGGATGGTACATAAGAAATCAATGTACTTGATCTCCTTATACTTATGTCATAGTGAGGATGGTACATAAGAATTGAATGTACTTGATCTCCTTATACTTATGTCATAGTGAGGATGGTACACAAGAAATGAATGTATTTGATCTCCTTATACTTATGTCATAGTGAGGATGGTACACAAGAAATCAATGTACTTGATCTCCTTATACTTATGTCATAGTGAGGATGGTACATAAGAAATGAATGTACTTGATCTCTTTATACTTATGTCATAGTGAGGATGGTACACAAGAAATGAATGTATTTGATCTCCTTATACTTATGTCATAGTGAGGATGGTACGCAAGAAATCAATGTACTTGATCTCCTTATACTTATGTCATAGTGAGGATGGTACATAAGAAATGTATGTACTTGATCTCTTTATACTTATGTCATAGTGAGGATGGTACATAAGAATTGAATGTACTTGATCTCCTTATACTTATGTCATAGTGACGATGGTACATAAGAAATCAATGTACTTGATCTCCTTATACTTATGTCATAGTGAGGAAATTACATAAGAAATTAATGTACTTGATCTCCTTATACTTATGTCGTAGTGAGGAAATTACATAAGAAATTAATGTACTTGATCTCCTTATACTTATGTCATAGTGAGGAAATTACGTAAGAAATTAATGTACTTGATCTCCTTATACTTATGTCATAGTGAGGATGGTACATATGAAGTTAATGTACTTGATCTCCTTATACTTATGTCATAGTGAGGATGGTACATATGAAGTTAATGTACTTAATCTCATTATACTTATGTCATAGTGAGGAAATTACATAAGAAATTAATGTACTTGATCTCCTTATACTTATGTCATAGTGAGGATGGTACATATGAAGTTGATGTACTTAATCTCATTATACTTATGTCATAGTGAGGAAATTACATAAGAAATTAATGTACTTGATCTCCTTATACTTATGTCATAGTGAAGATGGTACATAAGAAATCTATGTACTTGATCTTCTTATGCTTATGCCATAGAGAGGATGGTACACAAGAAATTAATGTACTTGATCTCCTTATACTTATGTTATAGTGAGGATGGTACATAAGAAATCAATGTACTTGATCTCCTTATACTTATGTCATAGTGAGGATGGTACACAAGAATTGAATGTACTTGATCTCCTTATACTTATGTCATAGTGAGGATGGTGCATATGAAGTTAATGTACTTGATCTCCTTATACTTATGTCATAGTGAAGATGGTACATAAGAAATCTATGTACTTGATCTTCTTATGCTTATGCCATAGAGAGGATGGTACACAAGAAATTAATGTACTTGATCTCCTTATACTTATGTTATAGTGAGGATGGTACATAAGAAATCAATGTACTTGATCTCCTTATACTTATGTCATAGTGAGGATGGTACATAAGAATTGAATGTACTTGATCTCCTTATACTTATGTCATAGTGAGGATGGTACACAAGAAATGAATGTATTTGATCTCCTTATACTTATGTCATAGTGAGGATGGTACACAAGAAATCAATGTACTTGATCTCCTTATACTTATGTCATAGTGAGGATGGTACATAAGAAATGAATGTACTTGATCTCTTTATACTTATGTCATAGTGAGGATGGTACATAAGAATTGAATGTACTTGATCTCCTTATACTTATGTCATAGTGAGGATGGTACATAAGAAATCAATGTACTTGATCTCCTTATACTTATGTCATAGTGAGGAAATTACATAAGAAATTAATGTACTTGATCTCCTTATACTTATGTCATAGTGAGGAAATTACATAAGAAATTAATGTACTTGATCTCCTTATACTTATGTCATAGTGAGGAAATTACGTAAGAAATTAATGTACTTGATCTCCTTATACTTATGTCATAGTGAGGAAATTACATAAGAAATTAACGTACTTGATCTCCTTATACTTATGTCATAGTGAGGATGGTACATATGAAGTTAATGTACTTGATCTCCTTATACTTATGTCATAGTGAGGATGGTACATATGAAGTTAATGTACTTAATCTCATTATACTTATGTCATAGTGAGGAAATTACATAAGAAATTAATGTACTTGATCTCCTTATAGTTATGTCATAGTGAGGATGGTACATATGAAGTTAATGTACTTGATCTCCTTATACTTATGTCATAGTGAGGATGGTACATATGAAGTTAATGTACTTAATCTCATTATACTTATGTCATAGTGAGGAAATTACATAAGAAATTAATCTACTTAATCTCATTATACTTATGTCACACTGAAGATGTTGCACAAAAAAATGTTGTGTGTATTAATCCTACGTTTATTGCATTGTATATGCAGAGCAACCTGTTATTAAAGCCATTGAACCGACCAATCAAATCGGCCACATTGGAAGCTACATAACGCTGACATGTATGGTAACTGGAATGTTTAGTAACGTTGGTTTCTCTCTCAACTGGTACAGAAATGGTGTGAAATTGTCGCAAAATTCTCGAACACGTATGACGTCAAGGGTGTTTACTGATTACCGAAACTTCACTCTGAATGTAACGGCATTGAAGAAAGGCACGGATAGTGGGATGTATCAATGCTTCGCAGTTAACACTGGCGGACGTAATATGGCGTATACCTCCGTCAATGTTGTTGGTAAGTGTTATGAATAAGCACGCTATTGTATTGGATCTTTTTCGAGCTTTTTCTTGCAACCATACGTCCGGACTTGCAAAATATTGAAAGACACTTTACTAAAGTAAATGGTTTGAACCCGGGAGTATCGTTACATGCTTGTAAATGTAGATCGTCTAGGTTGGTATAGTCCTGAGAAGGACTGTTTTTGTTGCTGTTGACTGACGTTTCGACACAACACATCACAACAAACATCACACAAATCACACATCACAACTAAAAACATTACATTTCACACTAATTCACAATGACAATAAACAATTGACACCAACACATTTCCTGTACACACAATACAATGACGTTAGAACCAGATAACAAATAGGGCTAACCTGACGCTTACACCTTACTATTAAACCTTCTCCAAGTCATTTTCCTAATAATGGAAGATGTTCAGTTTGAGAAGCTAAATTTTGTCCCTGATATTTACATGTGCCCTGTGAAATTCATTTTTTCCAAATGTTCGCCAACATGGCAAATTTCATGGCGAGTCAGTCACTGACAGTCAGCACATGAGAAATACAAAGACCATTATTTTGATGGATCAGAAAAGTCTTAACTTGGTTTGCCTTCGTACTCAATGGACGAGCACTTGCTGGTGTGCGAGCAATTACGGCACTCTCTACCTCTATGCAGGCCAACGTGACCTTTTCACTTTAGCCTTTAAATACTAAAACATCGCGCATCAGAAACTGCATTTAATTCGTTTGTGGTTGTTTGGGACAGTGCTCTTTGCTGATTCACGTTTGAAAAATGTTTGACAAATAAGTAACAGTTGGACTAATGGTTTGGAGTCTTGGGCCATACTCCCTTTATTTCTCTCATCAACTCTGTATGTATCTTCATTTCTATAACGTTAAATTTGTTTAAACGATTTGAACCTCACTTGGACGTTTTTGAAGTCTACCTGTGATTCAAGTCAATGAATATATAACTGTAATGCTGCTGTACGTTTAGATAAACACGCCTTTACATAGATGAAGCCAGATTTTATCCCCACACAGGCGTGTTTAGGGTAAAGTGTTTTTTAGCTAAACGTCGTAATTGAACTTTCTTTGGACGGCGTCTGGAAAGATTGGGACTAGTTGAATGTTTGGTTTCAAATTTTGACATGAAGTAACAGTTATTATATTCTTTTCAATGTTTTGCACCCATTGCTGTATGGCAGAAAAAACATAACGGTCATTTGTCTCGGTAGTTTTTCTATTAGTAATGTGTATGTTTAAGTTCCTTTTCACCTCATTTCATTTATTATTGTATTAGAATTTAGTGGAATTTCTTATGGTTTTCCCATACTTTTAATTTCGTAGGCTCGGCGCCTTATATTTACTATGGACCGGGGGTCGTGTATGCCGTACTTGGCCGTACTGCCAAGATAGAATGCAGAGCCAGGGGCTCTCCACCAATAACGTATAAATGGGAGAAAAACGGTAACGAACTTCCGTCTGTCAACCCTCGTAATAATGGTAAGAATGGAACGTACATAATCCAAACAGTGCGAGCAAGTGACGCTGGGCAATACGCCTGTGTGGCTTCGAATGGCCCGAACCCAGCGGACACTCACAAATCTTTTGGAAGATTGGAACTAGTTGGTGAGTGTATTGAATTTTCGGACTCGAATTATAGAATGAACACGATTTTAGATTTCATGGGGGTGGCCGAAAAAAAGGGAACTGCGTTAGAAAAGTTTCATTTTTTCATTGGATAAAGTTACCGTAGAAAGCTGTGAACTAATGTATAGGATGATCATAAGATGGGATACGAGGCGGTTATTTTGGATCACAAGTACTTTAAGCTAATAAAGGCACACGATGTGTCGTAGTGTAACGATGTATGTATTACTAATTAGGAGGGAAAATAAGAATGTATAATGCATAAAAACATGTCCCAGGGAAAGTCAAAGTATTTCAGGCACGGTTAGAGTTTATTAGAAATAATTGTAGCAATGCTTCTCAGAGTAGTAGGAGACGGCTTGTCAGATAGCAAATGGTGAGAGCTTGTCAGAGAGCAAATGGTGAGAGCGTGTCAGAGAGCAAATGATGAGACCTTGTCAGAGAGCAAATGGTGAGAGCGTGTCAGAGAGCAAATGGTGAGAGCTTGTCAGAGAGAGAGCTTGTCAGAAATCAGAGAGCAAATGGTGAGAGCTTGTCAGAAAACAAATGGTGAAAGTGTCAGAAAGAAATTGAAACGTCAGAAACAAATGGTGAAGCGTGTCAGAAACAAATGGTGAAGCAATCAGAAACAAATGGTGAAGCATCAGAGAGCAAATGGTGAGAGCGTGTCAGAGAGCAAATGGTGAGAGCGTGTCAGAAAGCAAATGGTGAGAGCGTGTCAGAGAGCAAATGGTGAGAGCGTGTCAGAGAGCAAATGGTGAGAGCGTTTAAGGCGCGATGAAAATGCATAAGTGGGAACGAAAATTTGTAAGGGATGGCGCGAATGTGAAAGATAAGACATTGATTAATTTGAGCAAAATTTGTAAGAGTTGGAGAGAGTGTGTCAGGTAATAAAATGATTTTGATTGATATCTATAACACGAATCTTTTAGAAAAGGCAAAAATGTGCAAGACGTTATCTTGCAGTGTCGGGAAATGTTTAGGCCCAACTTTAGGATCTTTAAATAGGAGAGCACATGTTTTTTACATTATCTAAAACCGAACAACTTTACATTGTTACGTTAACAATTTATGAGTTTGACTATAGGTTGCTCTCGTGTTTGTGATTGTACGTAATTCCATTTCGATTTTCGAGAAACCCAGAATCCATTATCTGATCAAAATTCTACCCTACCATTGATAAAATGTTAACTTAAGAATTATATTCATGGATTGTCTTAAAGTGCCTATGCAACAAAATTTTTGCTATCTGAGTAATACTTTTATTGAAGAGATATTTTAAAATGACAATGGACATTCTAAACCAGTTCATGCATATCACTTTTCATTCTTTAGATGTTGAGGTTCTTGCTTTATCCAATTTATTTAACTTTTGACGTCACATTGCATAATGAGAACTAAAATTATTCGGTATATTTACCTATAATTTACTTTACAAAGACAGAGTTCCCTTCATTGTGACATGTTGTTAATGGTAAAAAATGTTGCCTACTGGTATCAACCTAAAGTTGTCACAAAACTGAAGAGTATTTGAAACATTGTGGGAGCCATTATGCAATATGACGTCACAAGTTGGATTAATTGGAAATAACAAAAACGTCAATATCACGGGAATAAAAACAGATATGCATTTACTGTTTTATAAAGTGCATTGTCATTTCAAAAGTTCTGATTTTTGTAAACATAATTTAACTTGCCAAATTTTCGTTTCATCGGCACTTAAAGAATCACGTCTTAGTTAAGGATCGTGATATTAATTAAGATTCACGTCTTGATTTAAGAATATATGTGCTCTAGAATAGTAATGTACCAAATGCGTAACCAAAAAGAAATACAAAAGTAGATAAAATGCTCACCAAACGTGAACTTAAAAATTCTATCATCGTAAAGCTAAAGCTCAACATGAAGCTAATGAGAGATTTCAATCCAATTAAGTCATGCTCTTTAATTACTTTTATCTTGTTTCATTGGAAATCTGAGAATTTCTTTAATAACAGGAAAGTATTAAGAAAAACAAGAATTTTTCAGTTTAGTATCTTGTGTATGAAAACAACTAGAACTAATTCATAAGAATAGTCAAGATTACGAAACTTTAGGAAGATTACAAGCATTAAGAAGCATGTGAAACCTGTGTCACTTTAAAGATTTTTTGAACTATCCAAGGAAAAAGTTGTGTGTGTTCTGGTTCAAATGTATTCACGCCAGCACATGAGCTACGACTACGTTTACACTACTTCGAAGCGAAGAAGTGACCGTAAAATTTGACTGCGTTTACCCGTTGAATTCCTCTACAGTTTTGCCATGTTTTCACATAATGTCTCTTGCCGTCAAGTGTCAAAATTCGTTAGTTTTTTGTGATAGAATGACGTCATTTTTCGTCTTCACATTGCTAGATTTTTATAACTGTAGTCATAAGTCATAAAAGACGTTGATTTTTAAAATTACGACGGAATTTGTCATTGGAAGCTTTCGAAAACTTACAATGTTCACCATTTTCAATTATGCACCACAACGCGTGACGAATTGAAGAGAACTGGTATCTAAAAAACAGCAAAATATCAACTGCTGGCTGTTCATACGACACTGCGTAGCGCTCCGTTTTTGTTCGACCACGTTTAAAAAGTGTGGTCGTATCGCTCCATAAAAAGTGAAGTTTTCAAACAATTCCTCTCCGGTGCAGTATAAGCGCAATCCAGTTCTATTACTTTTTGCGCCGTTTTCAAACCCACAGGAAACGTAGGGTAAGATATCACATGCACGCACACATGCATCTCTTGAAAAAGGAAACAGATATGTGACCACATTTCTTTCTCTCTCCAGCTCCGACCGTTGTCGTAAATAAGTCCGTCACGGTGTTTGCGTCCTTAGGCAACCATCCATATCTCTACTGTGGTGTCCGTTATGATAAGAAAGTCAACGTCACGTATCGTTGGTATTTTAGAGGTCAACAGATACTTAGAGATGACTCAAGACGCAGCATTGACAGCGAAGGTCGGCTCACTATACGTGATGTATTCCAAAGGGATAATGGTGTCTATCGTTGCGATTCATCATCGTCTGTCGGCGATTACTCCACCACTATCGAACTGAAAGTTCAAGGTACGTTTTGGTTTCCTGCTATGATATGTTTGTCCAGTAGATCTGAACGTTGTTACCGAATAAAGTTATTGTATACAATGCTTGATAATTCTCAATATCCACACCATGTGATGCAACATCAAAGATTCTAAATGCTTTCAAGTCTTGTCAAATATTTTAATGTTAAAAATTGCATGGATGCATCCCTCTATTTTTGTACCCCACCTTCAGTGGAAAATCTTATGATCCGTCTTAAGATAAGTGCCCAGTTTCTCAATGTCTAGACAAATGAGTAACTAAGTGGTGAAGTTTTGTGCTTCCATGTCACGCAAGTTTTTTCTTTCAGCTCCTCCTTTTGCAACAACTGCTCCGAAAGTGTCCGACATACGCCCTGATTCAGTCGTCCTACAATGGAGTGCCGGTGACGATGGCAACAGTGCAATACATCATTTTAAAATTGGCATTAAAGTGCCGGTAAACGGGACAGAGAGAACCTTGAGGAATGATGTGATAGTGTCTGGAACGATCAAGAGATACCAAGTTCCAGGCCTTGCTCCTAACACGTACTATCAGTTTCGTATTAGAGCTGTCAACTCAGTCGGAAATAGTCCTTGGAGCTATTACTCAAAACAAATTAAAACTCGCGAAGCAGGTAGGCCACTGAACATGAGATCGCATCCTTAGATTTGTTCATCTCATTAGACATATGTAGGAATTATGCTTAAGTATACAGGAATTTTATTCGATAACATCAGGAAGACAGATTGTTTTTATTTTACTCACTCCAATTATCATAAGATTTGTCCCTTGGTGAGATCTTAACTACAATTAGATCATTCTCAAAACAAGCCCATATTGTCCGAAGGTCACTTTCAGGGGAAGAGTCTAATTTCCATTGGAACTCTTCCTTAGTAAGACATTTCTTGTCTATAGAGAAAATTGCCTTGTGTATTATATAATTTATACCATGATGGCAATCATGATTTTAAGGAAACGTGTAATGCAATTTGTACAATATCACCTGTCTCCACTTTTCTAGCTCCGTCTTATAAGCTTCAACAAGTTAGAGGACTTTCAAGAACGAAAACCAGCATTGAGGTTACCTGGGAGGTGAGCGATAGCTGAGGTTACATATACGATGTAATTGCATTTTTTCATGCTTATGCTAAAGTGAGATAGTACATAAGAAATCAATGTACTTGATCTCTTTATACTTATGTCATTTTGAGGATGGTACCTAAGAAATCGATGTACTTGATCTCTTTATACTTATGTCATTGTGAGGATGGTACATAAGAAATCGATGTACTTGATCTCTTTATACTTATGCTATTGCGAGGATGGTACTTAAGAAATCAATGTACTTGATCTCTTTATACTTAAGTCATAGTGAAGATGGTACATTAGAAATCAATGTACTTGATCTCCTTATATTTATGTCATAGTGAGGATGGTACATAAGAAATCAATGTACTTCATCTCTTTATACTTAAGTCATAGTGAAGATGGTACATTAGAAATCAATGTACTTGATCTCCTTATATTTATGTCATAGTGAAGATGGTACATAAGAAATCAATGTACTTGATCTCCTTATATTTATGTCATAGTGAGGATGGTACATAAGAAATCAATGTACTTGATCTCATTATACTTATGTCGTAGTGAAGATGGTACTTAAGAAATCAATGTACTTGATCTCATTATACTTATGTCATAGTGAGGATGGTACATAAGAAATCAACATTTTTTTTCTTTTCAATGTATCAGTTGCTTACTTCATTACTTAATGCATTATGTAGGCGCCACCTGCCTATACCCACAATGGTGTGCTACGTGGGTATTACGTATCATGGAAGCACGCTGGCGTCAAGTCTGGTACATTCACCACACATAGAGTAACGCCTGCAAGCAAGAGGAAATACTTGATTCAAAATCTGTTTTCTAACTCACGATATGAAGTTAAAGTTCAGATGTTTAACGACGCTGGTGGTGGCCCATTCAGCGATCCAGTTGTGCTTCGAACTAAAGAAGAAGGTAAGTTGGTCATTGAGCTTTGTAAGTTATCTGAATAGACAAAGGGGCCTGAGAACTATTCTGAAAATAAACAAGGGAATCAACACAAAGAAAGAAATATGTTAAACGATGAAACGATACAATACAAACCTTTATCAAAGGAAACCAGCCGTGCAGAGATGAATCTATAAATATTTAACACCTACCCCCCCGGGCCCACTCTCCGTTTTAGTTTCACCCTGCGTACGATTTTAATAAACTTTTATTAAGGATTCCGAAAAATTGTCAAATCATTAACTTTCACCAAGAGGTAGTGCTTTTTTTCACATTTGATTTATATTACTATCGGATGAGATTCTTTGTTTGTACATTATCATCGCGCAGCATTTCTCCAAATTTATTTTTATGTATATCCAGTTAATGAAAACGAAGATTAGTATTTTGATATATGAGCAGATCTGTTGTGCTCTAACTAAGAGTTAGTTCAGTGGACTAACTCAATGGCGGAGTATTTTGACTAAAGTTTGTCAAGGTTGTCATGATACATCAATAGTCTGGAAAAATTCCCGAAATAAGCTTGGAAAATTATCCACACACGATACAAACTTATGGAAATTGTTTCTTGTAACTAAAATTTATTCTTTTTCAGTTCCCAGCAGCCCTCCCCGAAATCTCCTCGTACTAAACGTCTCGTCTCGTTCTGTACTACTGCAATGGGACGACCCACCTCAACAGGACTGGAACGGACAACTCTCTGGGTATACTGTTCTCGTGCGTGAGTTTAATACTGAAATTGAACAACGGCTATTTGCATCTCGCGATCCCTCAACGTTCACCCAAGTACATAATGTGACAAATCTAAAGACTTACACTCAATACATCTTCTCCGTAAGTGCGAAGAATAGTGTTGGGGCAGCTCATACTCGAATGAAGTACAAGTTAGGACAACAGAAGATGGTAGGTGATTCTCTTAGTTCTTTTTGCTTGCTGCATTAAAAATGCATGGAATAGTAAGGTACTTTATTGATTGTCTCACGTGTTTTTCTTCTTACTTGTTGCATTTGGAGTAGATGGGATAGTAAGGTACTTTATAGAGTGTCCCACATTCATTTATCAAGTATAGTTTAACTGTGGCCGAAACAATTTGCCGCGATTTTGCTACACTTCAGCTCTCTAGTGCGTTTCTATCGACGTCACTGTGACGTCAGGTGTGAAAACACGCTATTCTCATTGACTACAGTTAATAAGCCACCTATAGCCAAAATTTGAAGTTGCTATATCAACCGGGGTTATCTTTCTACACTTGGCTAAAGGTCATAACACCATTAAGTTAATAATCGAGATTATACCTCCATTCAAGTGTAAAATTGTGTTACGTCATAACAAGTGTAAATTTGAGCTTTATGCATGTATAGCATGTTTATTCAAAGAACAATCAGTTTCATATTTACCCCAATGACTATCCTTGGATTCTTCAACTTTTCAATGCATTCGTTATGTTACTTCTTACATGCTGTGGTCCCGATTTAATAATTAGCCTTGTCAACGTACATATACAAAATGCGGCTCGTTTCATTTTAGTTCCCAGTGCTCCGCAACGGTTGCAGATCGTCGATCAATTCTCTGATACAATTAGCGTAAACTGGTTACGACCACGTGAAGTGAACGGCGTTCTTATTGGCTACACGGTTAAGTATTGGAAAGTTGATCAATTCGGTACGCCGATCGGTAACCCAATGACTGATGAGGTTGCGGGTAATGCCCTTCAGGCTGGTATCACAAATTTAGACTCTAGATCGAGTTATATAATTGAGGTTGCAGCAAAGACAAATGCTGGCGTCAGCAAGTCGGCAAGAATTCAAGGACGTACTCAAGATGTGGCAGGTTTGTTAATTAACATACACAATCGATTATTTGTTGCCTTTAAAAATGTTTAAGTATGCTGAAATTTTTTTAAATTAATTAATATTTTTGATCATTTATTTTTATTTTCATTTATTTTAGTTTGTTATTATTAATATTTAAATAATTGTGTTCATTAAAGAATTTGCCACCGCTTTTTTACGTGCTATACTTTAGCTGTGGCTTGCACAATAGCAGTGAAATTTGAGTTCCATTTTAAAATAACAATTCACAGGCTCACTGTGCGCCGTGTTTTTATAAGTAAATTAGATAAAAACAAAAATGAGTAGAGCTTTGAAATCACTTCATAATTATTCGAAGACCGCAATTTCACTCAACTAATTGCTTGATTTGAAATATCTCGGAGAAAATCCTGCCTTAGATGGCAAATGACTTTGCCAATGATTAAATAGAGTGTGATTTTTATTGCGCACTCAATGTGCGTGAGTGTGAGTGAGCTTTGTTATACGGACATATGCTTGGCATGCTCTCCATAAACAGGGTGACATTCATTTAAATAAAGGAACTGAATGTTGTGTTTCATTAATTTTCATTTTGGTTTTTTTGCAGTTCAACCTGGGCCTCCAAGCAATCTTCGTTCCCTTGAAACCAACGCTACGACACTTAAGCTAACATGGCGCGAGGGATTCAAAGGAAATTCGCCTATCACGAAGTACCTCGTTCAAGGGAACAATGAAACCGGCTTTGCAAAGAATCGCGACTCCTTGTGGTTTGACGTGCTCGTTGTCATTGATCCATACAAATATCATAATCTCCCACCGGTGATCATTGGGAGCTTACGGCCATTCACGACATATCGTTTCCGAGTAAAAGCTTGGAACAAGGTTGCTGCTAGTGACTTCAGTGCAATATCGGGGGAAATTACGACACAGCAAGCAGCACCCGAGTCACCACCATTGAACCTACGAGTTAACCCCCCACGCTATCCTGGGGAGTTGACATTAACGTGGACGGTGAGTTTGCGACTTTTAACTGGACTCCAGTTTTTCTTTACGATGCTTTACATATTGACATTGAAACGATTTTTTTTAACCAGTTCTGCTATGTGAATTTTATGTGTTTGCTCACTGTGAAAACAAAAGATTTCCTTTGGAATGGATATTGATGTTGATCTGAAATTTATATAGCAGGACTGAAACTAGCTGGCTGTTGTGGAGTACTTCAAATTTCTTTCTTTGCAAAGTACACCGCGAGCTTTTGGCACCCTTTAAGAAAATTTTTTAAACGTATACGGAACATGTCTGCATTGCCTGTGTGATTGTAAACATTTACAACTTGAAAAGCTAAACACATTCAGTAGAACAGTTGAAAACTCTTTAAACTCGACAATACACAGTGTGTGCTGTCAATTTTACTAACTGACCCCTGTTTCAATCACCTGAATCATTGATGTAATATCTCAACTTATAGGATTTATTGTGTAAGCAAAAGCTACATGTTTTTTTTCAGCCTCCCCCACGAGAGACTTGGAACAGCCCCTTTATCAAGTATACGATCGAACTTCAAGAGCAGGGTGAACGAAATAATTTTACAAAGGTTGTGCAGAGCGGAATTCGTGGAAATGCTCGGCAAAGCAGACTGTTTTCCTTAAGTAAATTTACCATGTACGAAATAACGATGAAGACCGTCAACGAGCGCGGTGAAAGTCCTAGAACTCCTGTTGTCATCGGTCAAACACAGGAACATGGTAAATTATGCTTCTTTTGTCGATATGGGGGGGTGGAATTTGGATAAGAGCGGAGTAGGGGCACGAGAAATTTATCGCGGGCTCCCATTTTATCGCGGAGTCCCACCCCAGATATGATTGAGCAGGGCTCATTGAAAAATGTTGAGGTCAGTTTCCGTAAATTGCCACTGGATCCTGAGCAAACAAATAAAGCTGTATACGATGCGATACGGTCGTATGTATTCTTTTTGGTTTTTCTTAAAGCTTCTTATTTGGCATCTTTAAATTCAGCATCTTTTCATTTATACACTTATATATTCTTCTATTGTACATAACAAAATCATTTTGGTTTGTTTTCTTTAGCTTTTTTCTTATTTCCTTGAATATTTATTTCGTCTCTGGATATCGTCTTAAACGCCATTATTAACGATACTAACATTTTAACAAATGGTGTCGGTTGTTTGCCAATTGCAGATGAATGTTAGCTTATAGATTTCAAATTTTCTGAATAATCTTATAAGATATCTTCTTTTTTGTTTTATGATACAAGTACCTGACCTCCCGCCCTCAAAGATTCGGGCCATTGCCCAATCCGGATCGAGTATCTCAATAACCTGGGATGAGGTAGATGAAGAGGGAAGAAATGGTGTTATACTTGGATATAAGGTACCTTCAAGAATAATTAAGAGAATTTTTCACATTGTGCTGTTTTTATGCAAGTATTTTCTTTTATGGTTTTCTTGCAGATATTTTACCGTCTAGTAAAGTACGCGCCTCAAGAATTCAAGGAAATCAACGTGAACAATGTGAAACAGTACACACTGGGGAAACTGCTGGGCTACTCCAAGTATGATGTAAGAATTCTTGCTTATACCCGAATTGGAGATGGCAAGATGAGTGACAGGCTTAAACCTTATCCTATGACGTTGGAAAGCAGTAAGTGCACACCTTAGTTTAGGCATTTGTAGGAAGCGGTGTAAGTGCTTTACCTTCCTGGCTTTGTCGTCCTTTTTTAGGTTGCTTCCCGTTAAGTTTTTGGTTGTTTTCCGTACATGTTTTGGTTTTCTGTCCATGGATAGTTTATTTTTCTTGACGATGTTGGTCGTTTCCGTCACGTTTTCGATTGTTTCCGTGTAGTTTTCGGTTGTTTTACAAAAACTGGAAAACATTGAGAAATTCACTTTTCAGCATAATATCAAATTATCTTGAATTTGATAGAAATTATGGAAGCAATTTCAGTTTCCACGTTGGGGAGAGGAAAATCTGTGGGAACAACGGAAATAGCGAATATTTTCTAAACAAAGTTTTCTTCATGTGTTCTTTCTTAACATTGACAAATGAATTACTGACAAAACATCAAAGAAAAACATTTCCTCAAGAGACTACATGTTGATCGATCATAAAATGATTTTCATCCTAGAACCTGGACCTCCTAGCCAGTTGCGCTTCCCGACCATAACTCCCTCTGTTGTCGTTGTGAATTGGGGATTACCGGAAATGACAGGAGGCAATATAACGAAGTATCGAGTCTCATATCGATTGCGTGACGATACATCCCCACCTATCGTTAGACCTTCTCTTGTTGGAACAAAATACACTGACACAGTGATTGATCTCTCCCGTGAAAGATACTATATCTTCGAAGTTGCTGCATTCACTGTCGGTGGAGGTTGGGGAGAAAAAGCTGTGGGACAAATATTCACAACTCAAGGTGGAAACATTGACGGTAGGATAAAAATTTTCTGTTTCCCTGGATTTCACATTGATGAGTTGAAAGTATCTATCCTTTAAATTTAAAATTTTGACATTGTTTAATTTCAGAAAAGCCATCTAGACCCCTCATTTTACCAATCAAAGATTCCCATATCACATGGCGCTCGATTCTGGTTAGATGGGCTGTTGGTAAACGTCGCGACCAGCCAATAAGATATTTCACCCTGCAATACCGCAAAGGAGAAGGAGCATGGGAAAGATATCCGAAACCCCTCTCTGGTGACTCAAAGCAAACGGTTGTCTGGGGACTAGAATCTAGTCAACTTTTCAGCTTTGAAATCACGGCGACCAACGATGCTGGGGACAGTCTCCCTAGTCTTCCATCGCCTTTTGTGAGGACATTAAGTAAATGTAAGTGATGCCAAATTAATTCACATGCCATTGTTCGTTGATAGATGATGTTGCTTTTTAATGATAATGGAAAGCATTATTTATCAGTGGCAAAGCCAGCTCGTTTTGTACTCCTACAATGCATACTACGATATTTCTGTGTTTAAACATTGGAAAAACAATAAATGGAATTAAATATATAATTAATAATTTTGCGACAAAATTGCAACGCAGGATTAAAATGTTGGGCTGGCTCACCGCTCTATTTTTTCCCTTACTAACATTTGTCTTTACACTTCATTTGAACCAAAATACTGAAAAAAAGAAACGTTTACATCACATAAACTAAAATACTCACAGCTGCCTTAGCTTTACAAATAAGATACTCGCTCATATCAAATTGTAAAGGTTCCTTGGGTGGTTAATTGATCTAATTATTGATTGGTTCAATGATCTATTCATTAACTGATTGGTCGATTCAAAGATCTATTGATTGATTGATGGATTCATTGATCAATTTATCGATTCATTCTACTTTGTTCCATGCATATTGTCAAACTTTCATAACTTTCCTTAAAACTTTTGCAGCTCTTCCCGGAAGTCCTCGTGACGTTCGCATTACGTCACCAACGCCGAACTCGTTTTTGGTTTCCTGGAAGGTAACTGATGACATTTGCTTGGTATTTATGTTTAAAGTCGACATCTTCTCAATTAAAAATGAGAATAAATCAATGAGTAATAGTTTTGAGGATGAGCATGATATCATTAATTGTTCGCACTGACGGTGGTCTGAATGATTCTTGATATCATGCAAAAGTCGCATTCAATAATTGTTTAATCATACAACTATAAATGCAGACGCTTTCAAGCTATTGTGTACGAAAAGCATCAAGTTTTCCGTGCTTTGTCTTTCCCCCGTAAACACACGTTGTAAAGTCTCCTAGTTGAAAGTGTGGTGTTTTCATGACCTTATTCTCAATAACTCACGTCAAATCAGTCTGTGAAACCCTTGCAAATCTCGAGAAAGATTCTTTCGCCATAATTCATTTTGAGTTTTTAGTTGTCACATTAAGAAATACGTCACAGAAATTTTCAATGTCGTTGTACATGGTTTGCAAGACATTGAGAATTATTTGTGTTAATGTAACCAATCACAATGGAGATTGAACCAACCTTGCACAAAAATCAACATTAACGTTTTGGTGTTTATATTCCATGGGTTTTTTTTTTCAGCCTCCATTGTCAGTTGACGTTGAAGCGACTGTGGTAAAGTACGTCCTGGGCTATCGTTTACACCAGGAAGATATCTTGAGTAACGTAAACTATATTAACTTCAACATCCCATCGGCATCCAGAGAGTATCGGCTTGCGTCACTTAGAGTGTACACGTTGTACGATCTACAGTTACATGCCGTCGACTCAAATAATAATCCTCTACCAAGTTATATCGAAACAAGAAGAACTTCTGCTCGGTGTAAGTGGATGCACTAGCATTCCCCTACTCTGGTGTACGTGTTCACTGAATAATGATTGTAAAGAAGGGCCTCGCGTCTGTCATTATTCTAGCCAGTTCATCGGGATTTGTCCCATTTTTCAACCAACAGACTAACATAATGTAAAGGCACCGACGCGAGTGTCTATTCCTTGTATTCTTTATTTTGTTTTCATGTATATACAGTAAACGCGGTTTTGTTTCTTTTTTCTCACTTTCTTTAAATGAACTATAGTTCCATTTGATAACGATAGAGAATTTTGAAAGAAATATTCGCGCCACTTTATATCACCAACCTTGTTGGCTTTTTGCAAATACTGTTGGAGAAAACTTTTTTATGATGGGACTTGAAAAATTTCATGATATGGCGAAGACTATAATATAGTAAACGTCGTTATACTACAAACGTAATATCCGTTCATTTAACGTCTCCGAAGACTCCCTGCGTTTATTTTAATGGCCGTTCCCACGCTGTTCCCACCAGTTAAGTTTTGTGACGGTTTGAATACGATCCCACACCGTAGGAGTTTAGCGCCGTTTTCTAACTCTACCGGTATCGTGTGAATCGGATTTTAACTTTAACTTTAACAATTAGCCTTCAGGAAATCGTCAAGACCGTATTGTACTTCTTGTACTTCTTGACAATCTCTTTTTAGATGTATGTGTTTACAATACACTTGAAAGTGAGGGCTAGGGTATTAATCCTTAATTCGAACGTGTGGATCATTGCCTATAGTTAGAGTTTGTAAAACAATTAGTTAATTTGAACAAATTGAATTACTTATTTCAATATTGCTCACCAACTGTTTTATGATTTCTGATCAGACTTGCGTTTTTCTATTGCTAAAATAATATTGCTTATGATTTTATGTAGTACCTCCACGACCTGTCCTTCATAGCAGTCCTAATGCTGGTCCAACATCCATTACCATATCCTGGGATCCTCCTACATCAACCAGTACTCCCTTACTCGGATACAAGGTAGGACTAACCGTTCTGAACAAAAAGTCCTGACTCAGTTCCTTCTCCAGGCAGCATATAAAATCTTATTTTCTGTAACCACAAGATCAGCGAAAATATTTTCTGAAAAAAAAACACCGTGATATTTTCATGGAAATTTTCACTCAACAAATATTAATTAAATTGTTTGCATCAGTCACTTCAGTTAAGTGTAAAAGACGAAGAAATGACTTGCAAGAACTGCAAAGATGACATTTTCTCACTATCCTCTGAATTTCTACTTCAGTTTGCCCAGAATGTACAGAAGCTTTTTCTTCATTTCTATTTTCCCTTTCTATGTTAAGTTGTCTAACTTACAATATCTTAAAAAATTTTTCACCTAGGCGGACTTCAACCTTCCCTCTCGACGTCGCAGGGCCGTGAGCGTGCAATGCGAAAGTCCACAACCTGGTGTCGCATATTTTAGTAATACGTCGACTAACGGCAGGATCGGCGGTCTGCGCATGTACACGTCTTACGTCGTTGTGCTGAAATCTTTTAACAGCGCTGGGGATAGTGAACGTAGCAATAGTATACGTGTCACAACTGCTGAAGGATGTAAGATTTATTTGACGTGATTGTGTAAATGCTTTAAACAAAAAAACCGTCCTTCCCGGGTGACTGGAAATTATTTTTGGGAAGAAATTGTAATTTTTGGTGCTTCTTGATTCTTCAAAATATTCTTCATTTGCCATTCTCATCATCCTCCATTCCTCCTTACCCACCACTCACATTCCTCCTTACCCACCACTCACATTCCTCCTTACCCACCACTCACATTCCTCCCTCCCCATCAGTCACATTCCTCCTTACCCACCACTCACATTCCTCTTTCCCCACCACTCATAATCCTCTTTCCTCACCACTAACACTGCTCTTTCCCTACCACTCATAATCCTCCTTCCCCATCACTAACACTCCTCCTTCCCTGCCACTCATAATCAGTAGCGTGGTGGTGCAATTTTGACTGCGGGGGCCAAAGCAAATTTTGCGCCCCCTTCACCTTTGAACTAACGAAATTTGCAGTACATGCCGCAGTATTATTGAGTCTCGATACTTTATGTTAGCCTTTGCATTTTGATTACACTCTACCGATGACTGCGCTACCACTAGAAAGTTAAAAATAGGTACGCGAATAGCCTAAATGACTAATATTTAATTAACTACATGAGAAAGCACAAGAGAAGTCTGATGGTCATTTTTTGTAATGATAACCAAAATATTATAGATCATTTATCAACAAAAATGATAATTTTGTCTTCATTACCACCAACTAAAGTCTGTCTCATTAGTTTTTAACTCGCACTTAAACGACTGAAACAAGTCTGGAACAGAGATCAATGGACCTTCACTTCCTCCCTCTGGCAAACCTTCCTTTCACTTCCCTCCTTCCACCATAACCTCCTTTCCCACCACTTCCCTCTTTTCCTCCTCCACTCCCTCCTTCCTCCTTCCAACCACATCCTTCCCCTATTCATTCCATTTCCCATCCTCCATCCTTCTCACTAATTCTTTCCTCCTTTCCCCATTTCCACTCCTTTCACCTGTCTTTCATTCCACCCCTATTTTCCTTCATCACCATCCCCGTCTTTCCTTAATACTCACGGAATGAATGGAACACGCCTGTTCTGAACCTTTTTCTATTTTACTAGTGCCAGGTGCGCCTGCAACTTTTGTTTTTGATGGTGTATACGTCACTCAAGTTCATCTTTACTGGGAAGCTCCGTGTGAGCCAAATGGGATAATTACAGATTACATTCTCACTGTTTTTACTGGATTGATTCGGAGACAGACGATAACCAAGAAAAGTAACGAACATACTCATCAAGTCATGGCATTGACGCCAAACACGAATTATAGATTTAGGCTTGTCGCAAGGACATCGCGTGGCGAAGGCATTCCCAAAGTTCTTGAAGTTAAAACTAAATCCGTTAAAAGTAAGTAAACGATGACAATTTCGTTACTGAACACCAAAATGTTTTTGCGACTGCTTTTACGTGGAAATTTCTTGTTGGAAATTTGTTGGAGAAATATTTGTTGTCACTAGCCTTTCAACTTCACTTCTCAAGAAAAACGTGTACACTTTCCCTTCTTTTCGTGGTAAACAAAAGCTTTTGCAATGTAGAACATGCTTAATTCACTGAAAATTATTCTTGCTCTAGACTTAACTCGCACCAAATTATTGATTTTCCATTTTTCAGCGAAACCAGACCCCCCTACTATCGTCAGTGCAACATCACGAAGTAATGACGTAATACTAATTTGGCGCGATCAGTTTGATGGAAACACACCTATCACTCAATATATTGTGGAGTATCGAAGTTCGTCTGGTATAATGGAGGATTTATTGTGTTATTTATAACAGGAATGATTTTGCACTCTTTTTGCACATATTTGTATTTTGGAATGTTGTTGTTCCCAAAAACTTATTGTTGCACCTACATGTTCTTTATTGTATTTTTTGGTGTCTTGCATATTTGCATTTTCTCATTATTACTTCCATTAATCAACTTTTGAGTGCCCTACTTTACTGTTCCATTGTTTTCTATAGTACCTATCTAAACGTTATTGATCACACTATTACCCCCATCCACTCGTTTTATTCTCTGTTTCGCTCTATGTGCTGCTGACAACAATGATATTTTTTGATTATTTTCACTTAAAGAGAAAAATCCTTGGAGAAACGGCTGGAATCTCAATCCTTCTCAAACCGTACGTAACAGAACCGACGGTACACGGTCAGCGGTATTGGAAAATTTACAAGCTTTAACCGTTTACTGGTTTCGAATGATCACACGCAACGAAGCTGGTTTGTCTATTCCTGGGGATAGTTCTTCGTCTGTCTCGACAGGTTAGTGAGAGAGTGCGATAGAATGCACAATGGTGTGCGAAAATATGCAGTTGGATTGGATACTAACATACTTTGACTTCAACTGGTACATAAATGTGGTTACTTATCCTATTCGTCACCAATGACGAATGTTAAAGTGCCAATAAACATAGTCTTGTTTTATGCGATTAACATGTTGACATTTCAATTTTCTTGGAAAGTCATCAAACTAAAAACCTCATATTAAGCCTGTCACGTATATACACCGTCTTAAACATTTCTATTTTATTCGGAATTCAAAAAGTACCCATCTGATTTTTCTCAAGTTTTTGTAAACGATGCTTTGTGGTATCAACAAATCAATTCGTCACTTGTTGACAATTTGATTTTTAGCTAAGAGATTTTACAGAGTTCCTTATATTTTCTCTGCTTCGCTGGCAAAACGATTAAAAATGATTGTATTTTAGGAATAGCGAAGAGCGCAAGGCAGTCGGCTCCAGTGTACGAAGAAGTTTGGTTCATATCTGTAATGGCGGTCATTGGATTTCTCATTTTGCTTTTGTGCCTTATTATCATCTGCTGCTGCTGCTGTTGTAAAAGACAGCGATCACAAAGTGAGTCATCTTGATCACGTTTTATTCAACGTTTTTTCTCACCAAATGGCAACATGTTAGATTTAAAATCATCTTAAGAAAATCATTTTGTCTGCTGATGGTTTTGAAATAAAACCGAATTTTTACACTTTTATTGAATTTAACTTTAGCTACAAGATGTCCTTTTTCGGATAATTTTTTATTTTATATCTTATGAAATTGTCGTCTGGTCAAGGATATAATATAAGGATATAATATAATATAAACTAATTTCCTGGAGACTCGAAAAAAGTCAAAAAGCTGGACCTTCTCCTTGCTTTGACTTCAAGTTTCATAATTTTCTGGGACCCATGAATATTTTCTTGTACCAATGTACCAAGCACTCGTTTGTTTATTTGTTATAGGTAAGACGCTTACTCATCCCATTTCTATGGATGTACGACCGAAAAATGGAATGCGATCACACCCTAATGACGAAGAAACCTTAAGTAATGGTAGCAGTCGTACACACAAGGATGAGAAGTAAGTAATTTCATTTTAAAGCGTCTAACCCAGTTTTATTTTATTAATGTACTTTGAGACTATTCGCGACAGTGATTATTTGATTTCAGTGCAGTTTATCTGCAAGTTGCTAAACTACAGAAATTTCCACATGCAAGTTTGCCAAAATGTTAGAATTTTCTTTAAAGAGTTCTTCTCTACAGACCTCTGTTTGCAATGGAAGAGAGCGAACCTGAAGACGAGGATGATAAAAAGGAGGATGAGAAGGAAGAGGATGAAGCAAGCAGCTTGGAATCGAAGTCAGACATAGAAAGTGATGCAAGTTCTGATGACATTTCAACCAAGAAAAGAAAGATGGAGGCTGATTTTCGAGAGAAAGACAAACGTTTGGGGCCGAAATTTTATGGCTCGCAACAACTATTTAATTCCCCTCCGCCAGCCTACGCCACATTTGCCAGCAAAGGCAAAGGACGTTCGGAACCAGTCCTCGACTTTGACTCGGATGATGACCTAAATACAATGCCATATCGTCCTCCAACCAGGCGGCCGGCGTTTCATCATGACGACGCAGAAAGTTCGGAAAGCTCCGAAGTTGCCAGCCGAAAACGGGGTGATCCAAGATCTAACAGCTTCAGACGCGCGTTGGTAACAACTGGAACAGAACCTGAACAGCCTTACAAACCAAAGCCGAAACCACGAAAATATCGTAGCCTCGAGCAGGCGATGAACGACAGCTCCCGACCTCCAAATTATCACGAAGACGACGATGATGACGATTTAGGGTCGGGTCAACCTAGTTTGCCACCAGAGTATCGTTCGGACGACGAACGTGTATCATTAACCCGCAGTGCTCGGGCTGAATCGCCCACTCCCGACTATCAATCGGACGATTCGTCTGGAAAATATCAGTTAATCAACGGTTCATCGAATCAGCCTTCAGCTTCATTCGTGTAGTTTTATGTAGTGTACTAAAGTATATTGTAGTATTATGTAGGACACTATAGTATATTTCTACTTTGACATCGAATTATGTCATGGAATTATGACATGCGTTTTATCGTAGCTTATGTGGTCTAAATCGTGTAGTGGAAAGATGAGAGAAACCCATGCAAAATCTAAACAGGATTCCTGAAATTTAAGCTTTACAAAATGCAATAACTGTTTTGTTATATGCATTTTTTTTATTAATTAACGTATGCTGTGTATATATTCAATCGCCATATTTAATCATCGCACTCTTTTTTGTAAGTTAGGCCTTGTCTCGAAGATCTTCTAAATGCTGATAGATTCGGTAAACATTTTAAGTAATATTATAAAAGCGTAGACTATGCTTGAATAGTTCTCAAGAAGCAGCGATAAAAATCTATATTAGATTTTAAGTCCTACTGGGATGTATAAATTTTTGTTTGTGATGCTTGGTATACTTTTTAATAGCTACATATTTTTATGAAACTTATAAAAATTAAAAGTTTGGTGCTCATTAGTATTTATCTCTATTAGTCAAAACCTTAAAACGTTCGGAAATTTTCGATGTGATCTTATTGGATGAAGACTTATTCAGTGAGGTTAATTGTAGCTATCTGCAGAGGCGTACAGAATTCACCGAGCTCTGAATACAATTGTTAATAATGCAGAACTCTTTAAACAAATTTTTAAGAAATCCACGTTGGTTTACGTATTTTGACATGAAATGGTTTTTGCTGATTGTGTATTTCTCCCTGTAAAAAAAAACCCTCCTGACTAATAGTGTAGCTCTTTTCTTGTGTTCGCGCCTTTTTTCTCAACAGTTGGAGCCAAATCCGTTTGAAAATCGCTTGTAAATCTGGGGGAAGATTTCGCCATTCTAATTTTTGTGTTTTCTTTTTTTTAGTTGTCATATTAAACAACATTTGACAAAACGAGGTAGAAATTGACTGACGTTAAACTGCTTAAACTTATTTGCTGCTGCAAACTTGCAAGCAAAGATTAAATTATATATCCTGTTATGTTCTGTTGTTAATTTTCCAGACCGTTAAATCTCTATCATTTGGTTGCCCAAAAAACAACCTCTTCCTAACTTTAGAGGGTGGAGGTGTACTACGTTTGTGTGTAGTTCATATAGTTTCAATCCAATTATGATGCAGAAATTAAGTTGCCCCTTTACACTGAAACAAAGACTAATGCATGCAAGTTATTCTCAGCTTGTTTTTTTTGCAGGGTATATTTTTTTGATATCAATTCTTGCATGGTTTCTTTTAAGGAATTGCACTCCCACCCCACCCACCTCATCAAAATTTCTAATGGTCCAACTAGAAGGAAAATGTTTGTGACAAATCGTCATTGAGAGATAAATAAACTTTGTGAACACCATGCAGTGAATGTCAATGAAATGGAACGTTAGATGGAACAAAAGGAAAATTCGATGACTACCAAATTGTGTTCATTTCAGTGGTGCATTTTCACAATCGTTACTTGCTCACAAAGGGTTAAAGTATGACTCTTGTTGTTTAAGCTTTCAAAGCTCTAGAAAATTTGACCAATACGTACGCGAACATTTAACTTTCAAATCGCGGGTTATTTTGCAACTTAGCTAGCTAGAAGTCGTGAAGTTGTAATTTCCTGTTTTTTACTGGAGCTGTGCTATTTTGCAATGCATACTACCAATTATATATTTGGACCATTTTCTGTACAATCAGTGGCAATGCTGGATGAAACAGCTACGTCATGCTCATAAGGTGAATTTTAAATTCAAAGCATGAGTTTCAAAAGTCATCACTTTAGAACGATGCCAACGCTCAGGTTGGTAAGGTTTTCCCTAATTGTTCTAAAATTACACTATGAAAAAGTGTTAAATGAAGATATGATCTTCGCACTTTGCTGGACAATTTAAGCTAATGTCTCATGAACCTGAAAAATTCAGGTGACTCAACGGGACTCGAACCCATGACCTCAGCGGTTCCGTTGCAGTGCTCTAACCAACTGAGCTATGAAGTCACACTTAATTTCAACACCGCTTATAAGATTCTTTCATATGAAAGTGTGCTGACCAAAAATACCAGAGTTATGCTCAGTAAGACAAGCATGACCTCAAAATCATGCATGATAGACAAATCTCAATGAAGAGCATCAAAAGTTTTTGAAATGTTTGAACAAACTTGTTCAATGTCAGATTGACAAGACGACTAAATACAATTTTTGATTTACGTAATACTAGTATTACGGAACGGAACATGTATCGATATATAAGAAAAATATATTAATAAAAATTAGCTATATACCTAGCGTCATTCTATCTGTGAAGTGTAATTTGTTTATTTCGAATTAGTTTAGTCTGCTGTTAGACTTTGCAGTCATACTAAAATTATATTGATTAACATGCTGTGTTTTCTATCTATTTAAAGAACAGAACAAAATTGTAAAAATTACTTGAAAAGTTTGTAGTTTAAAACAACGTCTATTTTCCATAAACGTCAACCGTGAAGTGAAAGCCTCTCAGTAGTCTTGACTTTACTCTGACCGTGACGTATTTCTTACCAATTCCACCCTCAATTAATACTCGCGTCGCCACCAGTGTCATCGTACCACTCGGCAAATATGGCAGTGATTATTTGAAATTGTACGTGGTGAATGTCATTATGTCAAAGTCCGACAAGTCTATCTTTCTGATAAAGTAAGACATCTCCATGACTTGTAACTCTAATCATTAAATTATGACATCCAGTACCGCTACGATAAGCATACATCCTGAACTTTACCATCAATATCACTCCAACACTATCAATGAGCAGCCATGCTTGAAAACAAAGAAATCGTCTATAAAACGGCTTACGCTCACATCGACATCATTATATCTCCGATGATTTCACGTTTTTAAAGAAAAACTTTATAAAATATCATAATGAAACTAAACATTAACTTACTTTTTTATTGGAAACTATGAGACGATTCCTTTAGATTGTTTACAATAATAATTTATTTTAACAGTATGGGCATTGATGTACCTTACTGAATTCTCCTTGATATTTCTTCTGTCAATCGTTTATCTTCTTCTTACACAATAGAATGTTCGAGCACTTTGAAAATTTTCTTAAAAGTAGCTTCTTTTTATGATGGCTTTCCACAATTAGCTGTTCTAATGCACTACGTCTACCATTCCGGTATTCGTTTTCAAACTAAAATTAAAAAACTTTAGTGGAACGTCAATTCTAAAATTCGTTTTTAGTTTTTCATTCAAATCAAAAATCCAATTCAAATTTTGTTTTTCGTTTTTTTGGGGTTTGACTAAACTCGAAAAATGAATCCAACTTTAGTGCATAAACTACAGTTTCAAATGAAAGCAAAAGAAACAGCGGGTTTTCTCCTGCATCATACCACGCCTGATAATCTTCAAAAAAGTGTAGCTCCATTTGAGGAATAACAGTTGAGTGATTTTTTCAACTATTTTCGTGAATAAAACTTTTAAGATCAAAGTTTCAAACCTTACATACACAATGCATATTCAAACATTACGTTTGGAGATGCATTTTGTATGCCATGCTCTCAGTCGGCAGAAACGCTCGATAGAAATAATAATTTGATTTGCTGCTGAATCGTAATTTCTTTACATACAACCATAATTTTCTGCTTACTGTGTTATGTCTCAGAGTTTGCTTATGCACTATAACTTTGGAAACAAAAAGCGAAAATTGCATTCAATTTTGTCTACGTTTTTGATTCATATTGACTTTATAATTCTTGGAAATGGCTTTAAGCCACTGGTCTAAAATTAGATCGTTGGGTTAAAGTGATGCGAGAAGATCTGTTATTTTAGCTTGTATTGTTGATTTTATCGAAGTATATAGAAACAAGCAGTACTCCCACTTTGCTGTGCTTGATAAAAAAATGCAATTTACTGGCAGTCACAATGCCAATCACAGGCGTAATAAAATATGCACCACACAAAAAATTGAATAGAGTGGGATTACTGTTTGTTTCTACATTGTGATCTCATATTGGAATTCAAAATTCGGTCGAAATTTGGATTGTATACGACATGCTTTTTAGATGGCTCACAAATTAGCGATTCAGAAATTGGTAGGCCATCTTCATTTGGCATTACCTTATCAAATCAGTAAGTTTACGACTGCAAAAATTTTACGAAAACAAAAATTCATCGCACTTTCATATAAGTAAGGCAATCCAAAAATGGCACAGTGTCCACATTTTATGACAAATTAAAGTTTTGTTCTTTCGACTGCATATTTTGCAAAATTTTAAAGAACAAAGTGTTGCAAAATTTCTTGCCACTTATTTATCCTCTAGCTATTACAAAAAACTTTCAGAGAAGTGATACTTCAAAATTGAAGTTTTTTTCTTTATCTTTTGTCCTCTGTACTGCACAAACAACATGTAAAGTCTGCACTTTGAACCACTTCATGATTTTTGAAAATATGATGCCAAAGCTTCCCAATGAGGGATTGCACCTAATACATATGAGGTTTCTCTTGGTATAAAAATAGCCAGAATGGTCCATTAAAGTGGTACTATGACGAAAATTTCGCCTCTCGTTTTTTTTTCATAGATTAATAGTGTATGTAAAAAAATCTCTTCTGGCGAAATTTTAGCGCAATGTATTTCATGCTGCTCGAGTTACGTAGCGATAAAACTTGAACTTTAAGAGCCGCCATTAAAATGCGCCATATTTGAATTTTCAAAAAGGAAGGTGCTTGTGACGTCATAGTCTTAACTCGCGGCTCTTTGCAATACAACACAATATAGAAATAGAGATTTAAAAGGTTGTATAACTCAATTTTTTTAACATGCCTTCAACACGCTGTGTCGTGCAAGATTGCAGTAATAAGTCTGATAGAAGTACAGGCATTTCATTACATAAAAGACCAAATGACGAGTCTTTGAGAAGAATTTGGGTTAAATTTGTTCAGACGAAGCGCGCAAACTTTAATCCGAGTTCGCGCGAAATTCGATTTATGATTTGTTCGAATCACTTCTCGGATGATTGTATTGAGCGTATATTCCATTTGGGTGGTATGACTAGACGGCTCAAACCTGGTGCCGTACCTACTATTTGGAAATCACAAACACCAACAACGTCAATAGAGCGGCGTCAGGTTAGCACAAGTTGCAATTATTATATACTTACACATATTGCAGATGATAAATTTTCACAATTTGAGAGAACCAATAATACATCCAGGCAAACTTTCAATATATAATATACATTTATACTAAGGTTTTAAAGGAAATACAAAATGAAGTGTCTGTATCATGCGGTGACCTTTGGTCTTTACACCTAACGAAGCTGCTTGAAGAACAAATTCGTTCAGGCAAACTTCGTTAAAACCAGGGTGATCCAAAATGCATTTCCTTTCATCGATTTCGAACTGATACATTTTACCACGGCATTGCTCTATTTCCATGCAGCATCGGCACTCTTGAGGGTTGGCAACAAGATCCAACGAACAATGGCCACATTCACACCTTTAAGATTGGCCAAATTGTATGTTTCCATAAAGTTATCATAGCTAACGGCAGACGATTCAGATCAAAGTAACACACTAAGAATGACATCTTACCATGAAGTAACATCAACACGGGCATCAAAACGATCTTGCAGCATGTCTTCAACCCGCCGTTCTTCTGCGACTGTAGCTTCGTACTCAGCAATTTCATCGGGCGAAGCAAGCGGTTCAATATTATCGACAAATGGCAAAATTTCCGAATTAGATTCGTTCGAATTTGCCGTCACAAATTCCGATGAAGTAATCGATGCGTTTGTCTCGATCGAAGACTCAGAGAGCGAGCTAGATCTCGATGATTTTGACATTTTTTTTGCTCTATTTATGTATTACCTTGTATACTTTCCAATGTGCGCTTCTTGCCGTGTTAAGACTATGACGTCACAGACTTTGGTGATTGCAAATATTCAAAATGGCCGATTTTAATGGCGGACATGAAAATTAGACATTTCAAATGTTCATAACTCCCTCGTTATAGTATTATTTTTGCTTCCATTTTACGAAAGCAATAATTGATATGTGCTTAAACTATTGAATGCTAAAATCGATGATTTTTTAACGTTAAGTTTTCGTCATAGAACCACTTTAATTAAAGACATCAAATATAATTTCGTAAAAGCACTATTGCCAATACACATTTAATATAAACGACAACCTTTTTGAAAATAGACATGTTTCGACATCTCATGATGCCATCTTCAGTATGAGTGAAATAATAAGTGATACAAGGTTTATATAAAAGTAATATGATACATAAATTACAACAATAAAAAGGAAATAAGATAAATTACTGAGGAGCGTCCGAGCGTATTATAAACTAAATATTGTATTGAATTTAAAAACTTGAACATTGAGGTCAGGGTTAGTTTTGTTAATGTGGAGTGCTTCTTTGATTTTATGGGTGAATGAGGTGTCGGCAGTGTCGATGATTTTGAAACAAGAGGGTAAATAGTTGGTTTTGCATGAGTGAGATTTAAGAAGGTGTCGGTAGATATGAGAGTTTTTGTCTGTTGTGGTATGTTCCCTGATTCTGGTGGATAAATGGCGCGAAGTTTCGCCAATGTATCGGGAATTACATCCCGCGCAATTGAATTCATATACAACCATAGATTTAATTGAATCAGGGATTGGGTCTTTAAATGAGAAAAGGTTTTTGATTTTGAATGATGTGAAAATTAGTCGAATGTCAATATCTGTACAGAAGCGTTTCATAATATTTGTAAGTCTGCGTTGTGTGTGTCGTGAGTAATGTCCGATGTATGGTAGTTTGAAGTATAGAGTTGTTATTTTGGAATTTTCATTTGTGTTGGTTGTGATCGTCGTGTCAGGAGTTTCGGTGTCTAGATTGAGGTTGTTGCTATGTTTGTTGTCGAGATATCGTTTTACGGTTCTGTTAGTAAAGTGAAGTGGGAAAGAGTTTCGTAAAAGAGTGGATGTGATGCTTTTTATGTCTCGTTGAAAGCTATTGTTCGTATTTTTAAGTTTGTATGCTCTGTCGATTAGTGTGCGTATAAGTCCGGTTTTGTATGAAAGTGGTGTGAAACTAAAATAGTTCGTCAGAAGTCCTGTGTACGTTGGTTTGTGGTATGTAGATGTTGTACAGCTGTCGTGAGATTTTGTTAGTAAAATGTCAAGAAATGGCAGTTGATCTTGTTGTTCAGTTTCAAAAGAAAATCTAATGTTTGCGTGCTGTGTGTTAATGTAATTATAAAACTTCATGGCCTCAGTTTCGTTAGTAAAAACACAAAAAATATCGTCAACGTATCTGCGGTAAAGTAGTGGTTTAGTGTCGTAGTTGTTTAGCCAGTTTCGTTCATGTGAGCCCATGAAAATGTTAGCAAGTATGGGTGCTAAGGGAGAGCCCATCGCAACACCGTCCGTCTGGTCATAAAATTTTCCATTAAATAAAAAATGCGTCTGTGCTGTTGCTATTAAAAACAGTTGTTTGAGGTCTGTCCTGTTTATACTGAACCTGGGGTTGTGAGTGAATGTTAAGTCGATTGCTAGGTTGATGGTTCTTTCCCACTTCACTTTATTAACAGAACCGTAAAACGATATCTCGACAACAAACATAGCAACAACCTCAACCTAGACACCGAAACTCCTGACACGACGATCACAACCAACACAAATGAAAATTCCAAAATAACAACTCTATACTTCAAACTACCATACATCGGACATTACTCACGACACACACAACGCAGACTTACAAACATTATGAAACGCTTCTGTACAGATATTGACATTCGACTAATTTTCACATCATTCAAAATCAAAAACCTTTTCTCATTTAAAGACCCAATCCCTGATTCAATTAAATCTATGGTTGTATATGAATTCAATTGCGCGGGATGTAATTCCCGATACATTGGCGAAACTTCGCGCCATTTATCCACCAGAATCAGGGAACATACCACAACAGACAAAAACTCTCATATCTACCGACACCTTCTTAAATCTCACTCATGCAAAACCAACTATTTACCCTCTTGTTTCAAAATCATCGACACTGCCGACACCTCATTCACCCTTAAAATCAAAGAAGCACTCCACATTAACAATACTAACCCTGACCTCAATGTTCAAGTTTTTAAATTCAATACAATATTTAGTTTATAATACACTCGGACGCTCCTCATTAATTTATCTTATTTCCTTTTTATTGTTGTAATTTATGTATCATATTACTTTTATATAAACCCTGTATCACCTATTATTTCACTCATACTGAAGATGGCATCATGAGATGTCGAAACATGTCTATTTTCAAAAAAGTTGTCGTTTATATTAAACATCAAATATAGACATCAATTAAATCCATATTTTTGTAAAAGTTCATATTGATGGAAAAAGATGTGTTCATATACGCAGGGACGGTCTAAACTTTTTCAAATGTCAGTCATAGAACGTCAGTGGCGTCCGTCCACTTGTTTGGGGTTTGGGGTTGGGATGGCTTTGCTTTCACAACACAGAAGAGAAAGCACCAGAGCCCTACAGGCTACGGCAGAAAGCGTTGGTTAAAAATAAAACTGCCTTGCGTAATAACGGGTTCGTAAATTCCCTAAATTGCGCGAATTTGTTTGTGTTACACATGTACGGAAATATAAACCCGAATCCTCTGTTATCCTTTGGCATCCTTGCATTCTTGATTGCCTAGCAACGCTCCTTAGCAACCAATAATAACGAATTGCCCGGGAGAAAAATGGCCATTTTACACTTATCGTTTTTGGATTTTGGAAATGCTTTTATTTCCTAATTTTTCGCCGCATCGAACTCCTTGAGAAGAAACACGAAAAGTTTTGCTTTGACAATTTTAATTTCAAAAGGGCAATCATTGCAGTCGCTTCAAATTGCGTCGAAGATCGATCTTTTGATATAATTATTGTCTGTTTTCACAAATGTTAAGTAAACAGGAGCAATATTGACGTTTGAACGATGGAGAGAGTAAAAGTAAGTGAGCTTCGCCCTATTAAATCTTCAGCAATATTTTTCTGAGTATATTTGTGTAATCCTAACTTAAAAACTCGTCGTAAGGTTTGCAACAGCTCGAATGCATTGTTCAGTTGCTCTCGTGGACTTCCAAGTTTACCTCCATTACCTCCCACTGTTGAAGCACCGTCAGACTTATATAAGGTATGGGATTTTTCCTTTTATAGAGCTAGGGCAACACAAAACTCTCATAAAACTGCAACTTATGAATACGGCCGGTGATCATTATTTGAAAGATTTTACTGTGTTTGCACAGGATTATGCAAACCGATGAGACCTTTAGAAGAACTCAATTGCAGATGGTCTCCGGCTTGCAACTTCTTGAGAGTTCTCACAAACATCTTTGAGGTTTGCATATGCTAGTGCAAACATGAAAAAATCAGCTTCAGACAAATCAGCCCACACGTTATATTATTATTCTTGTTATTTCATAGATGAATTAGATTGTTTATGTTTTCTGGCAGGCAAATATATCCTGAGGGATGTTGAGCATTGTTGCTGGTGTTGTCTAGATGCGCTCGACCAAACCTGCCTGCCAAAAAACATACACAATCTAACTCATCTATAAATTTCTATGTTAAAGTAGTCACCATTCAGTTGATGTCATTGTGCATAAAATTTCTGTATGTTCATATTTAGTTTGAAGCTGGCAGGCTTATTTAGTCGTGCTATGATTTTTTGCCGTTCACTAACTGTAAAAGCAATAGATTTCTAAAGAAACAATGATAATGTTCTCAAATTTACAAAGTAGGATTGAAACTTGCCGTCAGGCCATGTTACATGTCATATTGCTATAATAAATAAGCACATAAATGTAAACAAACTAAATAAGTTTTTAATTGTAAAGTAAGCTAGTACCATGCCAGAGTCACTATAATACCTTGCAACTACCATAACCACTATACTACAACCAATACCCATACTTACCAGTGGAATGGACAAGGGGGGCAGGGCATGGCAAGGGATGCCTTTCCCTCATTTGTTGAAAAACTGCCTTAGTAAAATTAGGGCAGGTAAGATAACTGGTTGTCTACCTATGTTTCTGCCAAATTATTCAAAATCTCACCCAACAAACTGAAGAAATTGCCATTGAGAAGTGCTAAATTTACAAATTTTTCCTGGGGGGCATGCTTCCCACACATGCACATAGAAAGACTCAGGTCTTTGGCAATTGACACTATGCCCTTTCAACACTTCAGGTCTTGCTATGCCATTGGCTATCATCAACTAATAACCAAAATTTCAGCAACCACATTACCAATGTCACCACTACCTGAAATGACACCATAACATAGCCACAAACATGACAGCCACCTCAATAATAGAATAACCACACCACAGTTATAGCCACCATACCATAACGGCTACCATACCATAACTCCACCATATCACAACTACCACAATATCACAAGTTCACCATATCAAAACTACCACCATATCACAACTACCACCATATCACAACTACCACCATATCACAACTACCACCATATCACAACTACCACCATATCACAACTACCACCATATCACAACTACCACCATATCACAACTCCACCATATCACAACTACGACCATATCACAACTACCACCATATAACAACTACCACCATACCACAACTACCACCATATCACAACTACCACCATATCACAACTACCACCATATCACAATTACCACCATATCACAACTCCACCATATCACAACTACCACCATATCATAACTATCACCATATCACAACTCCACCATATCACAACTAACCCCATATCACAACTACCACCATATAACAACTAGCACCATATCACAACTCCACCATATCACAACTACCACCATATCATAACTACCACCATATCACAACTCCACCATATCACAACTACCACCATATCACAACTACCACCATATCACAACTACCACCATATCACAACTACCACCATATCACAACTACCACCATATCACAACTCCACCATATCACAACTACCACCATATCATAACTACCACCATATCACAACTCCACCATATCACAACTACCACCATATCACTGCTGCCACAATACCATAACTACCACCATACGATAACAACCACCATACCATAAACAGCAGCACACCATAACCATAAACAGCAGCACACCATAACCATAAACAGCAGCACACCATAACCATAAACAGCAGCACACCATAACCATAAACAGCAGCACACCATAACCATAAACAGCAGCACACCATAACCATACCATAACCTCTGCCACACCATATCCACCACCATGCTTCAACCACCAACATATTGCGCAACCACTTTTATAACACAACCACCAACATGCCAAACCACAATGCCAAAATTTGCTTATTTAGTATATCGTTCGCATCTTTGCCTGTTGCAAGCCAGAGGAAAAAACAAGGCACAAAATTTCAATGGTTTAAATGGGTACAAATTCCCCTTCCAAATCTTTCCCTACAGGCAGCACTTAGTTGGCGACAGTTGGGTGTACTGTATACTGCAAAGAAAGAGAAAAAAAGCGCAACTTTCAGTGGTGGATATAGGGTTAGTCAAAATAAATTACTGCTGCACATTTTAGAATATATTTACATTTCTAAGCCCCTCAGAGACAAGTCTATTGGTGAAATTATATTCTTTATAAATTCAAAACCAATAGTGCTTTTCTGAAAGTACTTTGAATTTAAAATTAAGCAGCTTTAATTTATTTTTAATAACGCTGGATCCGCTACCATTGTCCGCTACTGACTTTCACGTGTTTCCACTTCAATTTTATCCATTTTTTTAAGATTGTCGTTCGACATAGCGAGTATCCTCCAATAATGAAGGACAAGTCTTGGACCCAGGCTGCACCATACAAAGAAACCATGTATCATAGGACACCCAGTGAATCCATTGCAAATAACTACACGCCAACTGCGAAAGAACTTAAGATAAGAAATCTGGGAAAAATATATCAGCCAAGACCACACACTAGAGCAGCAAGTCAACCTTGTATCCTTTATGTTCAACTGTGTTTACGGTCGATTTCAGCTTGCTTTTGAAAAAACGTTTTGAATATTCATTAGAACATTCGATCAAATATTCAAATGTTTGTTTTTTAGTTCGCATAATCTAACCTTACGGAAGACAATCTGATTGGTCAGTATTTTTATTTACTTTTATATTTACCAATCAGATCATTTTTTGTAAGTTTGGAATATTTGTTCAAATATTTGAATGGTCAAATGAATATTAGAAAAATTTTTTCAAAAGCAAGTTGAAATCGGCGGTAACTGTGTTTAGCGTGCTCTTTACTTTATGTTAACATGTTAGTTTTATGTTAGTTTTACGGTGGGTCTCGTGTTGTGTGGTGAAGTCACTGATTTCAAGACATTTTGGCAACTGTTCTTATTCATGTGTGACACTTCTAAAAACTCACTCTAAAAGTTTGCATTTTTTGCCCCTTGCCGTCTTTGGTTTTTAGATTGAGTACGAGTTACGAAGAAATGCAAAATTCGAAATTTCTTTTTGAAATATTCTTGGCTCGCGTTCAAATGATTCCATGCTATATTTTTATGTTTTGCTTTTGATTCTAAGACCGATAGATAGACAGACAGACAGATAGAGAAATAGAGAAATAGATAGAAAGAGACTGTGTAATCATTTGTAATCTATTTGTGGAATTACGCAGTCAGTAAAAAAATGCTCTCCTTTAGGAAATTTAACATTGTAATATTGGGACATGGGGCGAAAACAATACATAAAAGTTATCCAACACCAAAGTTGTCGTTTAGTAATATTATACATGAAAAATTTGATTTTAAAGGCAGGAAAGTTAAATTACTGTAAACAGAGCAATTACAATGACTGCCCAAGCAGGTTTTTTTGCTTACATGTGCATCTATGCTGGTGATAATCTTGTCATATAAATTTTCCTCTCCTATTTCCTTGTACATATCACGTTTAATGAAACCTTAATGCCAAGTTACATTTAGCTCGTGATGTTGGTCATCTTGCTGGACAACGACCACGAACTCACTATCGTAGTAAGTCTGTTGGAAGGAAACCAAGCCTTAAAGAGTAAGGATTAAATATAACAGTATTATACACATATTTGTGTACAGTATAACATGTCATTATGCCATGATAATTTTACCATAATTTTGACGATTTCGTATATTATTTTGCTTTACGATGATACAATTGTGTACACAATCTTTATAACGGGACATTTTTTTACATTATGATGAATTATGATGATGAAGATGGATACCTCGTAAGATAGGAAGATGGTAAAGCTGTGCTCATTAAAATACATCATGTGCAGATTTCACATTGAGAGTTGTCACACACGTTTTAAAGGTTTGCATAAACCAGTGCAAACATAAAAAAACTTTTATGTCTTTTATAAAACAACTGTAATGCGAAACAGATAAATTTAAAACAAACGTTTGATTTGCAAATTTAAACTTGACATCAGACCAATCAGCACGCGCTTTCGTACATTCCATTTCATAAAATACCATATATCCAAAATAAAAGTGCATTCATTTGTGAATTGACTTGTTTCATGGTTTCATTAAAGGGAACGCAAAATTCTTCCTCCAAGCAGAGCCATTACTCCTGTGGAACAATTAAAAATGATTCGTAAATTGGAGCAAAGTACCGAACGTTGCTCGTTAGACGATAAATGCGGACCTTCGAAGCAGGATCTTAAGGTATTAGCGTCTGTCGAGTTTCTAATTCTTCATCGCAGTGGATTTTGTCACAGTGAGAATTTTACGTAAGAAATCAATGTACTTGATCTCTTTATACTTATGTCGTAGTGAGGATGGTACATAAGGAATCAATGTACTTGATCTCCCTATACTTATTCATAGTGAGGATGATACATAAGAAATCAATGTACTTGATCTCCTTATACTTATGTGATAGTGAGGATGGTACATAAGAAATTGATGTACTTGACCTCTTTATACTTATGTCATAGTGAGGATGGTACATAAGAAATCAATGTACTTGATCTCCTTATACTTATGCCATAGTGAGGATGGTACATAAGAAATTGATGTACTTGACCTCTTTATACTTATGTCATAGTGAGGATGGTACATAAGAAATTGATGTACTTGACCTCTTTATACTTATGTCATAGTGAGGATGGTACATAAGAAATCAATGTACTTGATCTCCTTATACTTATGTCATAGTGAGGATGGTACATAAGAAATTGATGTACTTGACCTCTTTATACTTATGTCATAGTGAGGATGGTACATAAGAAATTGATGTACTTGACCTCTTTATACTTATGTCATAGTGAGGATGGTACATAAGAAATTGATGTACTTGACCTCTTTATACTTATGTCATTGTGAGGATGGTACATAAGAAATTGATGTACTTGACCTCTTTAAACTTATGTCATAGTGAGGATGGTTCATAAGAAATTGATGTACTTGACCTCTTTATACTTATGTCATTGTGAGGATGGTACATAAGAAATTGATGTACTTGACCTCTTTATACTTATGTCATAGTGAGGATGGTACATAAGAAATCAATGTACTTGATCTCCTTATACTTATGCCATAGTGAGGATGGTACATAAGAAATGATGTACTTGACCTCTTTATACTTATGTCATAGTGAGGATGGTACATAAGAAATCAATGTACTTGATCTCCTTATACTTATGCCATAGTGAGGATGGTACATAAGAAATGATGTACTTGATCTCCTTATACTTATGCCATAGTGAGGATGGTACATAAGAAATGATGTACTTGACCTCTTTATACTTATGTCATAGTGAGGATGGTACATAAGAAATCAATGTACTTGATCTCCTTATACTTATGTCATTGGGAGGATGGTACATAAGAAATTGATGTACTTGACCTCTTTATACTTATGTCATAGTGAGGATGGTACATAAGAAATCAATGTACTTGATCTCCTTATACTTATGCCATAGTGAGGATGGTACATAAGAAATTGATGTACTTGACCTCTTTATACTTATGTCATAGTGAGGATGGTACATAAGAAATCAATGTACTTGATCTCCTTATACTTATGTCATTGTGAGGATGGTACATAAGAAATTGATGTACTTGACCTCTTTATACTTATGTCATAGTGAGGATGGTACATAAGAAATTGATGTACTTGACCTCTTTATACTTATGTCATAGTGAGGATGATACATCAGAAATTGATGTACTTGACCTCTTTATACTTATGTCATTGTGAGGATGGTACATAAGAAATTGATGTACTTGACCTCTTTATACTTATGTCATAGTGAGGATGGTACATAAGAAATCAATGTACTTGATCTCCTTATACTTATGCCATAGTGAGGATGGTACATAAGAAATGATGTACTTGACCTCTTTATACTTATGTCATAGTGAGGATGGTACATAAGAAATCAATGTACTTGATCTCCTTATACTTATGCCATAGTGAGGATGGTACATAAGAAATGATGTACTTGATCTCCTTATACTTATGCCATAGTGAGGATGGTACATAAGAAATGATGTACTTGACCTCTTTATACTTATGTCATAGTGAGGATGGTACATAAGAAATCAATGTACTTGATCTCCTTATACTTATGTCATTGTGAGGATGGTACATAAGAAATTGATGTACTTGACCTCTTTATACTTATGTCATAGTGAGGATGGTACATAAGAAATTGATGTACTTGACCTCTTTATACTTATGTCATAGTGAGGATGGTACATAAGAAATTGATGTACTTGACCTCTTTATACTTATGTCATTGTGAGGATGGTACATAAGAAATTGATGTACTTGACCTCTTTAAACTTATGTCATAGTGAGGATGGTACATAAGAAATTGATGTACTTGACCTCTTTATACTTATGTCATTGTGAGGATGGTACATAAGAAATTGATGTACTTGACCTCTTTATACTTATGTCATAGTGAGGATGGTACATAAGAAATCAATGTACTTGATCTCCTTATACTTATGCCATAGTGAGGATGGTACATAAGAAATGATGTACTTGACCTCTTTATACTTATGTCATAGTGAGGATGGTACATAAGAAATCAATGTACTTGATCTCCTTATACTTATGTCATTGTGAGGATGGTACATAAGAAATTGATGTACTTGACCTCTTTATACTTATGTCATAGTGAGGATGGTACATAAGAAATCAATGTACTTGATCTCCTTATACTTATGCCATAGTGAGGATGGTACATAAGAAATCAATGTACTTGATCTCCTTATACTTATGCCATAGTGAGGATGGTACATAAGAAATGATGTACTTGACCTCTTTATACTTATGTCATAGTGAGGATGGTACATAAGAAATCAATGTACTTGATCTCCTTATACTTATGCCATAGTGAGGATGGTACATAAGAAATGATGTACTTGATCTCCTTATACTTATGCCATAGTGAGGATGGTACATAAGAAATGATGTACTTGACCTCTTTATACTTATGTCATAGTGAGGATGGTACATAAGAAATCAATGTACTTGATCTCCTTATACTTATGTCATTGTGAGGATGGTACATAAGAAATTGATGTACTTGACCTCTTTATACTTATGTCATTGTGAGGATGGTACATAAGAAATTGATGTACTTGACCTCTTTATACTTATGTCATAGTGAGGATGGTACATAAGAAATTGATGTACTTGACCTCTTTATACTTATGTCATTGTGAGGATGGTACATAAGAAATTGATGTACTTGACCTCTTTAAACTTATGTCATAGTGAGGATGGTACATAAGAAATTGATGTACTTGACCTCTTTATACTTATGTCATTGTGAGGATGGTACATAAGAAATTGATGTACTTGACCTCTTTATACTTATGTCATAGTGAGGATGGTACATAAGAAATCAATGTACTTGATCTCCTTATACTTATGCCATAGTGAGGATGGTACATAAGAAATGATGTACTTGACCTCTTTATACTTATGTCATAGTGAGGATGGTACATAAGAAATCAATGTACTTGATCTCCTTATACTTATGCCATAGTGAGGATGGTACATAAGAAATGATGTACTTGATCTCCTTATACTTATGCCATAGTGAGGATGGTACATAAGAAATGATGTACTTGACCTCTTTATACTTATGTCATAGTGAGGATGGTACATAAGAAATCAATGTACTTGATCTCCTTATACTTATGTCATTGTGAGGATGGTACATAAGAATTCAGTGTACTCGACATTCTAATACTGATCAATGTACTTAATCTCCTTATATATTTTGTAGCGCTATCATTACTACATCGATAAAGGTGTGCGCATAGAATGTCTGGCAAAATGCGATCCTGCGATAATGCGACGAGTATTAAACGACAAAATTCCCACGAAGTTGAAGTCCAACGTTGATCTCGACATTTTACTGAATTCGTTACTTGAGGAAATCAAGGAAGACTACAACTTTAGCAGCAGGAAAGCGATCGGTAAGTAGAGTTTTGACAGTTTTCTTACCATGCTGTGGCGTTTTGCTATGTAAGTGTTTTGGTGTTTACTCATTGAGAAAACAACATCTTTCTAAAGGAATGAATAATTATCTGAAATTTACGTAGCTCGAAAGAACTTGCGACGCCATGGGCTCTTACCATGAAGCGATGCAATTTAAGGACGACTGATGCACCTAAGACTTTTTTTAGCATCACAGTAAAAATCTAACTAGCCCCTCTGGTTTTAAATTCTAACGATTTAAACTAAGTTTACCGTAGCCCTGTTGCTGTATGACCTACAGTATTAATTAGCATACTACTGTTGGACGACGTTACTCTGAACATTATTTATTGACATTATTGCTTTGCTTTCTTTAGCATTGACTGTCTTTAACTTGTTGGCTACATTTCACGTCCCAGTCAGCAAACATATAATTGCTTTGAATGAGATTTTCTAGCATGAGATTTTTATCGGCTCTCCATATATATTCTCCTGTTCATTCAGACAAATATGACAAGTATCGGAGGGAAATCATGGTTGACGATACGGCTATAACCATTTTGCTTAAAGCCGTATCGTCCTGCCTACCTTTATTGCCCTGCACTGTAAAGCGTAAGCCAGCATGCATGATGTTCAGATCTCAAATGGCACCGACCTTCAAACACTGAGTTCCAAAACTCTGCAGTTTAACACTTTCTGGACACTCTATTTTTTATATGCGATAGTTGTTTATCTATAATAATGCTGATCTCAAATATTTACCTCAAGTATCGTATTTCATATTTCAAGCAAAAGTCCAATCTGTTTGTTAATTATTTGTTTTTTTTCTATTTTAGTTGACTATATTCTCATGGATCCGTCAGAAAGGGTTCGTCTCAAGATTAACGCCATCCCTAAATCTTTTGCCCAGCGGTACTGTGTTTTTGTGATAAATATTTATATTAAGTAGAAGCTTTCAGTGGCGAAGCCAGTCACAACTTTTTCTCGTACAATGCAAATTTTTCAACAAAAGTAATTGTTTAGAAAATTAATTCCAGTCAAGAAATCATCAGATTTTTTCAGTTGAAAAAAAAGCAGAAATATTTGCTATGTAGAAGTAAAAAATTGGCTGCTTCTGCTACTGGTTTGTGTATGAGTTTGCTAAAACTTTGACTTCACTTCAAATGCTATTGCTTTGTGTTCATTTGAGCATTAAAGCGACTGACAAACTGATGATATAAATAATGTCGGAAACAATTCTTTGTCGATCAAAGTTGCATCTTCACTCGACCAAAAAGTACGGTAAAATGTTTTCGAAAGTATTCTCTTTCTTAGGAAGCGATTACTGTGGTACTCTTAAGAAATTGACCGTTGGTGCAAGAAGAACTAATTTTGCCTATATTTTATTAATATTTTGTCTTTTCTTTTAGAACCATTCGGGCTCCAGTACCATGGCACGATTCCTATATAAAAGCAAAGGATTTCACCATAAAATATGCTTTTACAACAAATCCTGTAATGATGGAAATACAGAATGTATGGACAAACAGGTACATCGTCTTTATAAAATATTTATCTTCACGAGAGCTGGCATTCATAAGCAAACATTTCCCGTCAAAATTATAATTTTGTTCGAAATATTACTCCATAGTCAGCCACAAGGCTCAATGGCGTAGCAAAGTCGTTCATTGAGGGGAGGGCTCATATGCGTGTTTTAAATGTAGAAAACAATTGATTTCAAAGAATCTTACTTACGTAATACTGCAGAACATGTATGATATGAACATGTGCCCCTCCCCCCTCCCTAAGTCAGCGATCGAGTTTGCTACCCCACTGACTAGGTTCGTGGGCTCCTGTTTTCAACGTGATGTTACATGTGCTTAATCTAATTACTTGCTGAGACAACTGAATACGCAAGCATCATACCATTTTGTTGTTGTGACTGCTATTGACATTTACTATTTCATACTTTTCAAGAAGTTGTGTTGTTCGTTATTTTACTTAACGAGTATTTATTTGCACGTAGCTACGTTTATTTAAAAGTTTCCTGGCAGCAGCTGTGCCGTCGTCAGGATAATTAGGGAGGGAGTATTCATATATTATTAATGCTACATAACATTTGGATGTGAATAACCCTCCTTCCCTTCCACTCAAGTATCTCATTGGTGGCACCTCTCTCTGGCAGCCTGATGCTATGTTGATGGACTTTCTCCAGCCCTATAAAGGATACCACACTAGACATGTGGTAGATCCATGTTTTTACACAAATTTTGAAGTAAAAATAAAAATACTATTCATAATGATTGTCTAAAGGATATATCTTTCTGATATATTGATGAAAATAAAAAATCACCAATAAAATTGTATCCAAGATATGTTGAAAGTTTGACATACTGATCGATGGACTGACATAAACGTTCCCTCCAAACTAGACTAGGTCAATGTAATCAAATGAGACCATACAACCATGGTTCACAATAAATATGTATTTTTGTCCTAGGTTTTCTCATGTACGTTTTGTCGATGATGACGAACTTCGTGCGTCTGGGTTACCTGTTGCCCCAGGAGAATTTCAAGAGCTCGTAAGACAGCAGTGTATGCGTACACGTGACTTCCTCAAGAAAACGTTAGTAAATGGTCTTTGTATATAAGATTTTTTGTATATGTCACAACATGAAACGGTTGTAAATTTGATAAAAACACGTAGAATAATTTTGAATTTGATGGGAAAACGAACTGATTTTGATGGGAACATTAAAGCATTCAAAAATAACGTTTGTTTGCGCGGTAAACGTCATGTTACAATTTTGAAATGGACCGTTATATCAATTAAGGCAGCAAATATTCTAATTACATGATTAGATTTGTTTTTTTGTGCTATTTGTACGGTGGCTCACAAGGGCCACCACACAAAATAAAAATATTAATACACACACAAAATAAAAATACACACACAAAATACATTATACACACACAAAATACATTATACACACACAAAATAAAAATACACACACAAAATAAAAATACACACACAAAATAAAATACACACAAAATAAAATACACACACAAAATAAAAACACGCAAAATAAAAATACACACACAAAATAAAAATACACACAAAATATGATTGCGGGCGCTTGCAGTGTCGGCTTCCTCGGAATTGCTCGTAATTGATCGCTTTTGTTTTCAAAGTTCTAATGGTTCCAACTTCCAGAGTACATAACAAAATTCACTGATTTCACTGTGATCAATTATTTCAAAGTTGCTTACGATATTGCTCCCCGTATTCTGGTTAAAATTAAGGTTAATGTGTTGTCCTTTGAAAGGACATTATTGCTCTAGCCTGTCCTGTACCAGTTATAAACAGCTTTGGGGTACTTGAAGTTGAAGTTAACGGACTTGCAGAGCTCGAAGGGCAACTGCTAGAAGAGACGCTACTCGTCATTGACGCTTCAGAACATTTTGGCAAAGAAGTTAATCTTCCCAAACGCACACCGCATTTGTGACAAAAAGAAGCTTCGTCAAGTGATTGTGCACCACAGTTGGCACAAAACATAATTATGCCAGGATTATGCAAGAGCTTGCTTTCGATTCCTTTCCAAATGTAATTTCAAATGTTTCGCAGTTGAAACAGTTAAATACGACGACAAGTCGACCACATGTTAAAATCACAATTAGTGAATTACACATATCTGATTACAAACTGATAATATGATAGTCAGACCATCCGACACTGCAAGCGCCCGCAATCATATTTTGTGCGTGTATTTTTATTTTTATTTTGTGTGTGTATTTTTTGTGTGTGTATTTTATTTTGTGTGTTTATTTTGTGTGTGTATTTTTATTTTGTGTGTGTATTTTTATTTTGTGGGTGTATTTTTATTTTGTGTGTGTATAATGTATTTTGTGCGTGTATTTTTATTTTGTGTGTGTATTTTTATTTTGTGTGTGTATTTTTATATTGTGTGTGTATAATGTATTTTGTGTGTGTATTTTTATTTTGTGTGTGTATTAATATTTTTATTTTGTGTGGTGGCCCTTGTGAGCCACCGTATATTTGTCATCAGTGAGGCCTGTATCAAACGTCGAATTTTGCATGTGTCGAATACAATAAGCAATTTTATTTGACCAAAATGCAAATTTTATTTGACTGTGCATTTCAAACGTCGAATTTTGCAGGCGTCGAATGCAATTATTACCCGACGTCTTCGCTTTATCTCCATCTAGATTTTGTTGTGAGTGAAACGCGAGAGCCAAATTGTATTCGACATATGCAAAATTCAGCGTTTGAAATGACGTCGCACTTCCGTCGCATAATGCGACCAAACCGGTCGAATTTACAGTTAAGATCGACCTCAATTAAAGCATTCGAATTTAATTGTTTCATACTTCGAATTTCGCATGCACTTAATTCAAACTATTTTATTCGACATATGCAAAATACGATGTTTGAAACAGGCCTGAGATCGCATATGCGACTTTTTTACTAGATTCGGTAGGATGGGCTTAATAATACCTCCCTGTTCTGAACGTTGCAAAAGAGATTTAGCCAACCAAAACAAAATCTGGTAGAAAAAATTAGCAAATATATTGAATCTGCTGCTCTATGGAAATATGCTTTTTAAAGAAATTCGAAATTTAATTACTCTGGCTGATGTTTGCGATCGCCGTGATTTATTTAAGTGTAAAGTGAAGCAGAAATAGATGATTAAGTTTGCACCAAAATCTTTATAAGTTTATTTTAGTTCAATCTAGAGGACTGTTGTCGATAGGTGTAGGGATTGACCTCTCGATCATCAATGTATAAAGGACTCAGAATTTCACTAGTCTGGATGATCAACTTCAACAATTCTAGATGATGATCATACACACTCAAACGACTTAATTTAATAAGTTTTGAAGAAAAAAATTTACCATCCTTAACGTCTAATTTTGTGAAGATTCAAACACTTAATTCCATTTTCATATTTTGTTTTATTTTTCATAAAGTTGGGTGAGCGAATGTTCCCGAGTCTTGCTCGAAAGCAAAAATCATTGGATGCATCTTGTACCCGCTCGCGAAGGTGACTCCTCCGCTCTCATTTGGAAATTCTTTTCTTCCGTCGCATCCCTCATGTCCATACAGCTGCGCAGTCTTGTTCTCAATTCCTTGAAAGATTTCTTGGATTTCTTCAAATTGTTTCAAGTAAGCAATTAATAATTCCACTTTTGATACAAGGATATTCAGCTGCATTTGTATCAGGTTTTTTGTAACCTTGATGGAAGTTTTTATGTCTTAAAATGTGCATATGACAATTGAAATCCGAATATTTACTTTGTAATGTAATTTCTTCGGACGATTTTCACGCCTGGGGACGCAAGCAATAATTTTTAACATGGCAAGGACAAAAAAGGTCGCCAAATTATAATCATTCAAATCTTATACAATTTATAATGTCATCAGTAAAACAAAACAAAGGTGTATGCAGCCCACACGTCCTGTCATTGAAATCTCAGATCATTACCGTTACCTGCTTCTATCGTTACCTGCTTCTATCGTTACCTGCTTCTATCGTTACCTGCTTCTATCTTCAGAATCTATTGTTTTTACTCAGGGGGAACACAGTAAAATTTATATTGCATGACCAAATTTACAACGGAAGTATTTCTATTTCAATGGCCATGCACACTTTAAACCGAATGAATTTTTACTCTCTGCTTTCATTGGCTACGCCAAATGAAACTAGAAGTTAAAAAATACGTTGCACCTGAACTTTAAAAGGATATATTCTACGAATCATCTTTGGATTGCTTTTTACGTAACTTTAGTCTAAGATATATCTTCATTTATTATCAGAATGGCAATGATTTTGGAGAAACTTTCCATGATCTTCAATATGTATCTCAGCAGGTAGGAGAATTTCCTTTTGATATTTTAATGTCATATTTTTATCGTGTTTATTCTCACAAGTGAATGTAGATAATAATTTCTTTTACTGGCATTATTTCCGGGGGAGGGAAGGGGGAGGGAAGGAGGGGAGGGTTTGTAACGGTCTACGTTGGCCTGAGTTGTTTGATTTTCAGTTATTCAACAATTTCCTTACAGATTATGACGTTCCAGCTCCGCATCGATGGAGCAAAAATTAGTTTTGAGCCAACGTTCCGTGTGATCCGTGAAATGATACTAACATTGATGTCAGAAATCGTGACTAGTGCCCAAGAATTACCACGGGTAAGGGACACTTGCACTTTTATTTCAGTAAAAAGTGTATTTCAGCTAGAAACAAAAGTGCCTTGTTTCAAGTAATTACTTCGTACGTCTTTGTATTATATTATAATATACGTTTTATATCTATATAATTCACATTACACTTGTCTTTATTTAAGAAATAGAAAACATTTTTGTCCGTTGTTGTGTGTTCTTTAATCCGTGTGGAAAGGTGGCGTGTGGTCTCCAATTTAACTTGAATTACATCCGACACAAGAAAATTCATAAAACATGTTAGATTTTAAGTAGAGTGCATAAGTAAGTTCTTAGAGAGATTATAGTCTTAAGATTTGGTGGACGAGATTATAAGTAGAATGAGAGGCGCAGTATAGATTTCTATATGTTTATGAAGTTTGGGTAGACCATAAAAGCGTGCTGGTTGTGAGCATTTAGGGAAACTGGAGAGTACATATGTGGTTGTCTATGGTTTTTGAAGCCCTGTTTCTTAACATTTCGGGGCCATTATTTAATGGTTTGAATTTTGATTTGTTATTAATTATATTTAAGCATGCATTCTCATATACTTTTCTATCCATAATAACTACTCCATTCCCTTTGTCTGGTTTGAGTAAAATGATGTCCTTGCTGTTTCTAATGTTCTTCAAGATACGGTGTTTTTGGAGGTCAAATGGTGAAGGACGGTTTGACGAGGTGTAACTTTGGGCTATGTGTACGAGTTCGTTCTTGATGTGAATATAACTACCATTGTTTTTCAACTTGGTAATGATGGTGTAGTGAATTCGTTCGAATGTGGAGATGATGAGGGCGTGTTAAGTTTCGGAGGTTTAATAGAGAAATAGAGTCCATTTTTTAGTAGATCAAGTTCTTCAGTTTTGAATGTGTGCGAGGATAGGCTCGTTACGGTTTCTTTATGTGTCAAGTGTCTTGTTTCTGGTAGGGTCTCAGTTTCTTGTGATGTTTATATTCACATTAAGAACGAACTCATACACAAGCACAAAGTTACACCTCTTCATACCGTCCTTCACCATCTCACCTCAAAAAACACTTCATTATGAAGAACATTAAAAACAACAAGGACATCATTTTACTCAAACCAGACAAAGGAAATGGGAGTAGTTACTATGGTTAGAAAAGTACAAGAGAATGCATGCTTAAATATAATTAATAACAAATCCAAATTAAAGCCATTGAATAATGGCCTTAATCTACTCAGAGAAAGCAGACTACAACGCTTTGTTAGAAATCCTAAGAAACAGGGCTGCATATACAAACATATGTACTCTTCAGTTTTCCCTAGAGGCTCACAACCAGCATGCTTTTATGGTCCATCTAATATTCTTAAGCATAGAGAAATATATACTGCCCATCTCATTCGACCTATAGTCTCGTTCACCAATTATCATAACTATAATCTCTCCAAGTCCTTATGCACTCTACTGTCATACCAAACGATTACACTACATCAGACTATTTTACTCTCGTTAACGAACTACACACCCAAAACCACAACAAAAACTACTTTGTTTATTTTTGACGTCTAAAGCTTTTTCACTGACATCCCTTTATCCGAAGCCATAGACATTGCATTAGATCTTATTTACTCGCACCATCGCAACCTTATCATTAAAAAACAAGACTTAAAGCAACTTTTTTTTCAATTGCCACATCGGAGACGTTGAGAACTCTTTAGCAGGAGCAACTCTCGACGTTCGGTCTCGGGCTTGCACCGATCTGCTCTTGAGTTCTCCCAAAGGTTTCTTCGGTTTCCACAAGCCCGTGTAAACACAGTAAACATCTTTTATTTCTTAAACTAAATTGACTTCAGTAAGGTAGTTGGTGTTTTTGATAACATGTGTTAGTGTAGGTTATAGAATGGTTTGGAGTGCAATATGGTAAAAAGCATGCATGAATGAGTTTTTGAAACACTGTCAAAATTGCACAAATCCGAAGGACGAGTGCAATTTGCAGTCATTGAAAAACTCACTAATCTACTTAAAACTAACGCCAGTCATTGAACTCCTTGTTGGTTAGTAAACATTGTCTTTGTTTGACTAATCAATCAGGAGTACTTTTAAAAAGAATTTTGCACCGGTGTTCCATTTTTTTATACTGATATTTCGTATTTTTGCACTGCTCTTAGCCAATTAGAATTGAGTATGATCAATTGATAGATAGTATAGTGAATTCTCCCTCCTCCCTCCTTAATTTCATTGCCGTTCTGATTGGAAATTGCTCAAGTTTTTATCATGTTTAGGTGGAAACAGAGCTGTTTCCCGACATGGCCGACTGTCAGTTGTATTTACGAACTGTCGATGTTGATGATTTAATTGTGCAGGAAATCATGCAAGAAGCTGTTGAGATTTTTAACTTGAATACGACTGGCCCTCAAAAGTAAGTCTCGCTTTTGCTTATTTTCGTACTTAAAATACGGATATTTCCAAGATTGGTTTTCATATAGTTGTTCAAACTGCATCCAATCGTTGAAATGATTCGGACGAGTGTATGAACCATAGTTGAGAATGAATGTACATAACAACTGATATATCTAGCTATGACTTTCGATTTCTGTAATGTGGTTGTATAAATGAAATTTTATTTCTTATAACTTACGTTGTGGTTATGATTGAGGCTAGAAAGGGGAACCATTCGCTTGGATAAATAATTATAAGGTTGAAGATTAGAAAATACAACGACCGAGTTGGATAAATAGTTATGAGGTTGAACGTTTGAAAGCAGAACCACTGACTTGGATGACGGTTGCTGTGAAGAATTTCTGCATTTTTAGAAACTTTCTTTGACAATGCTTATGACAGAAAAATATTGCAAGTACAACCATGAAAAAATGTCTGTAAAATATAACTTTCACCAAAGTTTTAATTTCGCATCCTAAATTTTTTTATTTGTACAAATTTTCTACCAGATACCTGAATACGTACAAGAAATATCAAGATTTATTAAATGAAAAAGCTGAGATTGAAGTGGCAACATTTCTCGAAGAACAAACGGCTCTGTTATCGTTCGCCAAAAAGATCTGTTTTTATCACGAGCTCGCCTCAGAAATATCCTCATTGTACCTCACGGTCCCGTTGAACATGTTCTCCATCAACTGTCAAGATGTGAACTATGAACTTGCTAGCAGAGCGTCAAAACTTGCTGATAAATTGATCTTACACATCGTGGACAGCAATCGAGAGGTCAATAGGGGGTTCGTATTCATAGTAATTTATTGTTCTGTATAAGGACTGGTTGACAACAAAGCTGTGTTGAACGCTTAAGACTTATAAATTGGCAATAATAAAACGCGTGCGCTGATTGATCTATAGCTTTGTTTACATTAGCTTTGGCAAAACATTTGTTTTCAATTGATCAGTTTTGCATTAATGTTGTTTTATGAAATAAGTAATAAAAGTAAATGGTTTGAGCCCGGGACTATCGTAACATGTTTGTGGATGAAGTTTGTTCAGGTTAGTAGAGTCCTGAGAAGGACTGTTGGTATTGATGTAGACTGACGTTTCGACAACCTTAGCGGTAGTCATCTTCGGAGTCAACTGTCTTCTTGCTCATCAATACCAACAGTCCTTCTCAGGACTCTACTAACCTGGACGATCTTCATCCACAAACATGAATTAAACTAAAGATGAATTTTTGTGTGTTTACCCTGATCTGCTGTCAAGTTCTTCAAAAGGTCTCCTCGGTTTGCATAAGGATGTACAAACACAGTAAACATCTTACCCACAGTATCCACACTACCCACTGTATGTTTTAAATACTACCCACAGTATCGATACTATCCACTGTATGTTTCAAATACTACCCACAGTATCCACACTATCCACTGTATGTTTCACATAGTGCCCAAAGTATCCACACTATCCACTGTATGTTTCAAATACTACCCACGGTATCCACACTAATCACTGTATGTTTCACATACTGCCCACAGTATCCACACTACCCACTGTATGTTTCACATACTACCGACAGTATCCCCACTAACCCTTGTAAGTTTCACATACTGCCCACAGTATCCACGCTAATCACTGTATGCTTCACACACTACCCACAGTATCCACACAGCATCCCTACTAACCCTTGTGTTTCACATACTACCCACACTATCCACAGTATCCATGTCACACCACACACTACCACTGTATGTTTCACACACACATTCCATGTTTCACATCCCCACATGGTCCAGTATCCACTCCACAGTTTCACATAGTGCCCACAGTATCCACAGTATCCACTGTATATTTCACCCACTACCCACAGTATCCACACTATCCACTGTATGTTTCACACACTACCCACAGTATCCACACTACCCACTGGTTGTTTCACATAGTGCCCACAGTATCCACACTATCCACTGTATGTTTCACACACTACCCACAGTATCCACACTACTCACTGTATGTTTCACATACTACCCACAGTATCCCCACTAACCACTGTAAGTTTCACATAGTGCCCACAGTATCGACACTATCCACTTTATGTTTCACATAGTGCCCACAGTATCCACACTATCCACTGTATGTTTCACACACTACCCACAGTATCCACACTACCCACTGTATGTTTCACATACCCACAGTATCCACACTATCCACTGTATGTTTCACACACAGTATCCACACTACAGTTTATCCCACTATCCCACTTGTGTTTCACTACCCACAGTATCCACACTCCACCACTGTATGTTTCACATACACCCACAGTATCCACTCCACATGTGTTCACACACTGCCACAGTATCCACACTATCCACTGTATGTTTCACATACACAGTATCCACACTCCACTTCCATCCACTGGTGCCCACAGTATCCACTATCCACCATGTTTCCACTATAGTTTCCACACTATCCACTGTATGTTCCACAGTATCCACTATCCACACCACTGTAAGTTTCACACAGTATCCACACTATCCACTGTATGTTTCACACACTACCCATAGTATCCACACTAACCACTGTAAGTTTCACATAGTGCCCACAGTATCCACACACCTGTTTCACACTACACCACACTACCCATTATCACACTATCCACATACTGCACACAGTATCTACACTATCCACTGTATGTTTCACACACTACCCAATGTATGTTTCACATACTACCCACAGTATCCCTACTAACCCTTGTAAGATTCACATACTGCCCACAATATCCACACTATCCACTCTTTGTTTCACACACTACCCACAGTATTTACACTGTCTACTGTATGTTTCACACACTACCCACAGTATTTACACTGTCTACTGTATGTTTCACATACTACCCACAGTATTTACACTGTCTATTGTATGTTTCACATACTACCCACAGTATCCACACTATCCACTCTCTGTTTCACACACTACCCACAGTACCCACATTATCTATTGTATGTTTCACATACTACCCACAGTATCCACCCTAATCACTGCATGTTTTACACACAACCCCAGTACCCTCAGCATCCCCGTAACCACTGTGTGTTTCACCCTTAACCCACTTTACATTTACCTAAATTCTTTATTTATTTTGAGGATTTGCAAGCTGTACGACGAAATCTCTGATAAAGTTCAGCAGATGCCCAACAACACAGCGGATCTTGTTGCCTTGACGCAGTACGTTGAACAAGCTAGTACGGCTCTTGTTATGAAGCTGCAAATGTCTGTTGATGAAGCCGCTGAAAGACTCCAATTTCTTTTAGATTATGCTACTTTATCATGTATGTTTATATCATTTATCCACTGTATAATTGTATCCGTTTTTTAGCCTCAGTCATGGTTTTTGCTTGACCTGCTTGTATTTATGTCATTGTAAGCATAGTACATAAGAAATCTATGTACTTGATCTATTTATACTTATGTCATTGTGAGGATGGTACATAAGAAATTTATGTACTTGATCTCCTTATACTTATGTCATAGTGAGAATGGTACATAAGAAATAATTGTACTTGATCTCCTTATACTTATGTCATAGTGAGGATGGTACATGAGAAATCAATGTACTTGATCTTCTTATACTTATGTCATTGTGAGGATGGTACATAAGAAATCAATGTACTTGATCTCCTTATACTTATGTCATTGTGAGGATGGTACATAAGAAATCAATGTATTTAATCTCTCTATACTTTCAATGTGCATTTTCATATGTTATATATGATATCACTTTTAACATTTTATAGTTGAGGACATTAAGTTGAATTCAACAGTGTTTCACTGGCCTCGTCATATTCAGAAAATTTTTGAACTTAGTCGAAATAGAATCGGGCATCGTCGTGACCTTGCAATGGATGACCTAAAGAAAAGGTGTGTATGACATCTTACACATTTTCGACTTTGAACTTGATAGGACATTTAGTTTAGCATAATATGTTGGCAATGGAATGACAACATAGTGGTTTTAAATAAGAGTTTCAGAGAAACATGGAAACTATGTTTTACTATTACAATTTCGCAGGGTGAAGGCATTCGAAGAGAAGTTAAGTGGATACCATAAAGAGGTTGAAGCTTTTCGTAAAAAAGAAGTATGTTGTAATTCATGTTTTTTTTCTCTTGAAGTTTTTACTTATTATATGTTTCTTGATATGCTCATGATGTTTGGGAGAAATACGGGTTGTATCTAAGGTTTAATGTTTTCTTCCGAAGGGGGAATAGCGAGTTTTGTTTTCGTCATGTCAATCCTAATGTTGAGACTGGAAGGAATACAAACTTGCTATTTCCTGAGGGAGCATATATTAAGTATTTTACTTATTAGGAACAAACGTCATAGATTTTGACAGCTTTTCATTCTAATCAACGTCTTCGGTGGAGATTCGTCCGGAAAAATTGCATTTCAAAATGCTATATAGATGATCACTGCATTTTTGTCGACTAATTCCTAGTGTTTTTTTAAATTCATTTTTCGAATTGAAAGTTCATTTTCGTTTCTTAATAAGCTCGAGAAACACTTTTTTAGTTTCAGGCTCCATAGGTGTTATTTATATAAGCGGGAAATGTTTATCTAGCGGGAAAAATTGCATTTATTTTCTAGTCATGTGATCACGAATGAACCAATCGCGTTTAACACAACAGTACTTATATAACTGTTTGTCTTGTTTTTTCCGGTACTATTTTGACGTATTTTACGTTTTATTTTTTTTGTATAGACATACTGGGGTGTTTATATCCCCTCATTTTCATTTCTTTTTTATACACACAATTCTCTTTTGTATGTATGTGATGGCGGTATTTGAAGAGGCTGGGGGCGGAGAAGAGTGTTGAGCGCTAATTCTTGCTTAAGAAACCATCTCCTCATGGGCTTATTTTTAAGTTGTTCTTTAATAGATTTTGGCCATTGACGAAATGACGAAAAACGTTGAAAAATTGGATGAAATTGAGGTGTCTTTAAGCAGTGCACGTGATGAACTAGAGGTAATGATTGATGTCTGGTGTCTTTTATTGATCAACAGCAACTTTATCCATGTATTTCCATAAAAATGTGTTTGATATATTAAGTTTATAGAAACTGTATTGATGAGTCAGTTTTATAAAGGTTTCCTTAGTAGTGGCGGTTGTTATAATGGGGTTAAATTTTTTTATTTGCTCGAGCTTTTTGATACTTTGACTAAAAAGTATTCATGTAGTGCAAATTTTGCTTTTTTCGTTATAGTTGCACTAATTAGTACTTTTGAATTTATAGCCGACTTTCTAAAACACTTTTTGAATATCTGTTTTTATTCTCAAAGCATTGACATTTTTGTAATGTCTGCTTATGTATAACCAGTGATGTCATGCTGCATAGTGCCGAAAACTTTCCAAAATCCTTCAGATTCCGGTCAAATTTAGTAGGAAATGCTTAGGCAGTAACAGAACAAAGCATCTTTTCCCAGTCGATGTAAAATATCATCAAATATTCTGCTTAATTTATATTCTCATTATGCAATTTGACTTCACTTGTTGTACAAAACAGTTTAAACAAAATGATAACGTTAATATACTTTCATTTTAATATAAGACATAAACTGTCATGTTCTCGTTGATAAGACTATAATTTTAAAAAGTAAATTTTTCTCTGCATAATAAGTTTAATAAAGGCGATTTTGATAGTATGATTGTGCATATTGTTCTTCCTTTGTTGAGCAATTCGCTGTTTAACGTGAAACTCTGTTAAATTTACTGCAGGAACTCAATAAAGAAGAGGAATTACTGGAGTGGCAACCGTCCCAGTTTCCTGTTCTTCAGGAAATGATTGCTAACAAAGATCCGTTTGACAAATTATGGAGAACAGCGTACAATTTTCACAGTAAACACGAGCAATGGCTTAATGGTGGGTTTGCTAAATGATTATTTGACGAGTTAAAACTTATTGTAAACTTAAAATAAACATCATTGCGTTTTTCTGGGACATTTTTTTGCCATGGTATTTTTCTCATAGCTCTAAATGATGGCCAAAGTATATTATTAAGATGACTGGTCTATTTCATTTTAGCTCGGTCAAAGTCACTATGAACTGTCACTAACACACCAAATACGGTCAATATTACACCAGTAACGTTCAATTGTATACCAATAATTGCTTATTATTATTCACTATGTGAGCATTCTCGGCTGTGATTGGTCTACAAACTGTAGATAATTCTCGATATCTGCAGGTTAAGACGTCATAACCTACAGATAATAATTTCTACAAACATGGATGCCATTAAAAGACGGTTTTGAAAACAAATCAAACAACAGCGATGTTTTCCACAGTTTCTAAAAACAATGTGAAAGCTTTTAAAGGAAACGGATGCGGAACATACTAAAAAAAGCGGCGAAGCTGGCTTTGAACATATTTACAACATATTTAAACGGAACGAACTTTAATAAATCGTCTGACGAAAACAAATTGCTTCGCTTCGGCAGATAACAGTGACATCGGTCTGAATAATTGTTGGTATCATGCTCAACCTCATCCAATAATTGCTTAATAGTACACCAAAAACGGTCAATTTTGCACCAATAACGGTCAATTGTACACTAATAACGGTCAAGAGTACACCAATAACAATCAATAGTACACCAGTAACGTTCAAATGTACACCAATAACGTTCAATTGTACACTAATAACGGTCCATTGTACACCAATAACGGTCAATAGTACACTAATAACGGTCAATAATACACCAACAACGTTCAATTGTACACTAATAACGGTCAATTTTACACCAGTAACGGTCAATAGTACACAAATAACGTGAAAAAATACATTTTGCTGAAACTATTGATTCTAATGTGTGACGGTCTTTATCAACAAGCAAATAAAAATTTAGGTGTAGATGTATGAGCAAAATGATGCAATCCGAACACTTTTGTGCTAGCGAAAATGATTACAAGAAACATAATTCCAAGAGCAAGTACGGCTTTTCTTTAGAAAAATTGTCGTTTAATATTTCAAAAAGAAATTGGAAAGAAAACAGATTTATAGTTTTTGTGGAACATCTGGAATGTGTCCGGTCAAAATGACTGCCAATGTTAAAAAAAATAGCACAGACATTTCTGGCCGGTCATTGTCCGTTGACTAGCCGTTATTTTGACCTCTGTTATTTATACACTAGTTAAAGCACTAAACACTTGCCTATAGCCGATTCTTTAGTCTGTGATGTTCCCAATAGTACATAAAAATAGTTTTAACTTACTTTTTAATTGAACTTCACTTGAAATGACTGTATTCAGGTCCATTCAGCGATGTCAACGCTGAGGAGGTAGAAGAAGAGGTTAGCACAATGTGGCGTACCGTTTATAAACTCACCAAATCATTCTCCGATGTACCTGGCTCTAAGCGCATTGCAGAGAGCGTGAAAAGCAAAATCGATAAATTCAAAGCACATCTACCTTTGCTCCATACGATATGTAACCCCGGAATTAGAGATCGTCATTGGGATGAGGTAAGTTTTTATTACATGTTTGAAACAAATAGGAATATTTTGAGAATAAACATTATACTGCGGTACTGGGTTTTTCCATGACACTTCATACTAAATAGAAAATCATACATCATTTAGATTTTTGTGCCCATTGTGGTTCATAATGCTTTATTTTGAACCATAATGAATCCTGTTGCGGAAAGTTTCATTCTCAACTATGAAAAGCTGAACTCTTGAACTGGACAGTTTGACTTTGGAACAGCTATTAGTTCGTATAGTCCATTGTTTTGTATCCTTTAGATGAGTGAGATGGTTGGTTTTGATATCAAACCTGAATCAGATACGTCATTGTGCAATATGTTGGAATATGGATTGAACAAAGTTTTGGACAAGTAAGTCGTTATTTCTTGTCGTGAGTAGTCTTGTTTGGTTCTTTTCTTCTACCCATTATATTATTTTAACGAAATTCAAACTCCAGCTGCATAAATATATACATACAGATCAGTAGCATTAGTAATTGCGTAAGCAAACGTGACTGTGATGAACAAAGTTGACTTTCATAGAGAATCTTGGTTTATGAATGCAACCGTGAGAATAGTTTGATGAGAGTGAAAATGGAAGGTATTATTTACAAACTTCTTATTGAGATAATACAAATAATGATACTTTTTTAGATTAGAAGAGATCAGTGTGTCAGCAAGCAAGGAATTTTCATTGGAGAAAACTTTGGAGAAAATGAAATCAGAATGGTCCGGGATGCATTTCGAGTTCACAAGCTACAGAGATACGGTAAGCATATTAGCTACCACAAAGATGGCTGCATTAAATTGCATTCATGTTCTTTCGTGTTTTATTCAAATTATTTAAAAGGCTTTAGGCTATATGACCAACAATATTATCAATGCCAGTCCTTCTCAGGACTTTACTTACGTGGATGATCAACATCGACAAAATATTGACATGATACTTATGTTCTTATTAAATGCATCCAACAATTCCTGAAACATTTGAAATACGGCGTTTTTAATCATCTTCATCCGAAGTCCTCTTTATTTAGGGTGTGTCTATCTTGTCTTCAGTCGATGATATCCAATTGTTACTGGATGATCATGTTGTAAAGGCGCAGACTATGAGTGGATCACCTTTTATCAAACCTTTTGAAGCTGAGATTAAGGTACGTTTGCATACCTCACAACATTACTTATTGCACTACTTTGACCTCAAATAAGGGCTGTTAATAGAAGAGATTTTCTCAAATAAAGATATAACTTTTATATGATCAATGCATTATTGCTACATCATCGATGCATTAAAGGTTCAAATATAGCACTGTTGATGCATTGTTGGTTAATTATCGGTGCTTTAGTTATGTATTATCAATGCTTTATTGCTTCATTATGGATATTCGATACATTCACAAGGACACATATGCAGAGCTAAACTTCACAACAAGTTCAACCTTCTCAAACGTTGATCAATATTGTATAATTAGTGTTTTGATCACCATGTTTTTCAAGTTGAATGGCTTTGTTGTATTGTAGTTGTTTTTCTACTAATTCTGATTGGGTTGATTAATTAACTTGCTAGTTTGAATTTTAATCAATCAAAAGCTTTATTATTACAAAATTTGCAATTAACGTCTTGAATAAGAGTTGTGCAGAATAGCCGCCGCAACTTAAGCGGAAATTAATAAGTGGCAAAGCATCTGTTACATTTAAGAAATAAAAGATGTTTATCGTGTTTGCACGGCCTTATGCAAACTGAGGAGACTTTGGGAGAACTTGAGACCAGGTCAGCGAGAGTACGAGACCGAAGGTCGCGGGTTGCACATGCTCGAGAGTTTTCACAAACGTCTCCGAGGTTTGCTTAAAGGGGAACTCCACCCAAAAATAATGTTGGTCTTAAAAGTTCCATTTTTATGCAAAGGTTACTATATTTTTGAAATTTTTACATCAGCTATTTTATTTTTGACAAAATCGCGTCTTCAAGTGCGCTATTTGAGCTGTTTTGAGGCTTAGCAGCGTGGGCACAGAAAGCGTCTGCGGAAATTATTTTGACGTCATATCGTCAAACCGATTTGGATTTGAGTTTACAACAAAGTAAAATAATAACGCACAGCCTTGCACAAAAAAACAAAACAATCGCTTATAATGGCTTTTTTGGAAGAACCTCGGCCTAATTCACCAATCGATAGTGAAATGGAAGACAATCCAACAAACAATATTCGGCCATATCAGTTTGAGCCCGAATGGCCGGGTGATGAACACGAAGAAGCTCACCAGTTTGAGGATAACGAAGAACAGGAATTTTTGTATATTGACGATGAATCTCGGCGCGACAATCTTGAATGGTGGGTAGTAAAATGTTATATTATTCTAGACCATTGTTTCTATCTTAAAAGTACGTTTTCAGTTTTTGAAGTTGACCACGTCCACACACACATAATACTTTAGATTTTACAGTTTTTATTGTAAGATACAATTTTTATTGAAGTTTTGACATTTACTTTTCAAGATCCTTTCTTTTAACATATTCAGGTGTCAATGTGGTAACTGCCAAATAATAGATAATAACGAGAAATGTTTATGCTGCAAAGAGATTTCCAATATTTGTGACAAAAATTTAGAGGCAGTAGAAACGAATGAGACCACCGAAGTCCCTTTGTGCATTACACAACATCCTGGTTTTGAGCCTGTTTGTCTTAACAGGTGGGTTTTACAAACAGTTTGGTACCAGTAAAAGCAGCAATATGAGATAGCATATGATGGGCCCGAGGACAAACTGTACCGCCATATTGCATATAGACAGTTGGCAAGATGGTGCTGGGGTGTCTTGGGTAGAGAAGTGAGAGTCATCTTGCCATCATGTGCAGTTACTCGCATTAGAGAAACATTTCCTCCACCTGGTCTTGCAGAGGAATTTCAATTTGAAGGCTTTCACTATGTTGATGAATGAAGTATTTTATTATGATATAGGTATACTCATTACAATTACTTTGTATGTCAATATTAAAGTGGCATAGCCAGCTCATTTATAGGTCATGCTATGCACATTTATTATTATTAATTTATTACAAAAAAAACAGATTTACAAAGAAATGATTATAAATGTGGCTTGGCTATTACACTGGTTATAATATAACTATAATTAATTACATGAATAGTTTGTGTAATGCAGTGGTGAAACTAGCTATAGCAAAAGGTTTTGCTTTGTTAATATTTAAGAATGAATATTTTTTAAGTAGTACAAAAGTTGTCTTCACTGATTCGACGTTATATTATATGGGTATGGCAAAACCTATTGCCATAGCTAACATCACCACTGACATTTTATGCAAATCTAGACTGATGTTCCTTTACAAGTACTTCTTTCCTGGGTGGACATGCTTTAGAAATGTTCTTTGGAAGATTCTTGCCATGATGTACAAGTTCAATCTCCTCAGTTTTGCATGCATTCACAACCTCCGCAAGTAGTTTATCAATGTACTGGTACTCTTTCTTTTCTTTCATTGCTTTTACAACCCATTGCTTCTGTGTTTTAGCAAAAAACATTTTGTAACGGTCTTGCCCTTTGTTTGTCCCTGACTTAATGAATGCTTTATCACGTTTAATATTGTTGTTGTGATCTAATGCTGCTAACTGAGTGCGGGCTACCATTCCAGGAAATGAAAAATGCTCTCGCTTTGGGCAGGTCTTTTAGAAGCCTCTTGTCACATATCACCTTCTCTGCAGCGATATATGCTTGTGAAGTTGGAGATAACCACTTCTTCTGCTTTGTTTCTTTTTCTGTTAATTGTTGGTGGCAACATTGATGAAAATATGTGTTCCCCTTCCAGAAATGCTTGTTGGAAATGTGGTTAAGGACAGACTTCCATTTTTCCACCAATTCTTCTGCATTCTTGTTACAACTTGCAGAGCACCACCAAAGATGATTAGAAATGGACTTAATCCAATGGGTCAAGTCATCATTTCCCTTAATGTTAACCTTCTTTTTTAGTTTTTTTGTGACAGATTTAGACAAATGCCACACATCATATTGGTGATCAATATGAGGGTGTTTGTTTTTCAACCTCTGCATCCACAGTATTCAGCATCGACAGTGTAGTTTGGACTTCCATGGCATGTAAACTCCTCACAACAAATGAACACTGTGTTGATGCATCTTTGGTTTCTGGCTTGCAATAATTAGTTGGCAATGCTTCAGGACTGTCAGACGCACCCAAATCAAAACTGTTATTTGCTTCAGGCTCAAGCAATGAGAAAACATTTGTACTTGTGGAGGAACATTGTTCTAAAATATTTGAAAGCTGAAAATAGAAAAAATAGAAATATTTAGAATATACTTTAGGCTATAACTTTTTCTTGATTAAAATTTAACAAGAAATGCTTTTACTAACTTCCTCCTTGTCTTGATCAGCCTGACGTTTTTCTGTACGATGCTCGCTAGACAGACGCTTTTTACTGGGTTGAGGGCCAAATGAAAAAATCGATGGTACTGCATCCCGCTTCAGTCGCCTTTTTAAAGGTTGCCATGGTGTAAGTTTCTGTCTTAGGTCCGATTCAAAACAATCGGGAGCAAAGTGCTCGCTGCAAACGTAACAGTATTGGAGAGGAGGTAGATTTTCTCTCCGTATTCTAGCAATCCATTATTATACAATTATGTACAATAATTAGGAAACTATAAGTTCATACTTTACGTCAAGGAAACTACAACTTAATTCTATGCACGAAAGGCTATTTTTACAATGGTTTCATGTAGGAATATTTTCTAACCGTAATGAGTTACACAAGCATGTTTATTATTATTCAATGTTTATTAAGGGCAATAGATTGGTTTCACATCAGTGGAAACTGTTGTTAAGGTTGAATTCGGAGGACAAGCAAACGGCATTACGCACAGTTTCCACACAAAGAAACCTTCGTATTTTTTAAAAATAATATTAATCGACATTCAAGTTCTATATGTAGTGCAGAAACTGTGCGTAATGGCCTTTATGTGAAACCGTTCTATTAAAACAGAATACAAATAACCAGCTCAATACTTGCATGTAAGCTATAAAGGTTGCTTGTGTATATACCTACGAATAAAAAATTCTGACGTTTCGAAAAGAAACATTTTGTGATTAGGAGAAGCATTTGGACGCAAGTTTATTATGACTGTGCAATGACTTTACATAAAGTTTTGAGAAGCAATTGACGATATGACGTCAATACAAGCCGCTGACATATTTCTGCTCCCACGCACCGGATGCCCTAGCTGCAGCATTTCAACTCATTTTTTGTGAAAATATTGAATCAAACAAACAAAAAAATTGCCGCATATTTATTTTCACGGGACAGACAAAGTTTTAAGACCAACATTATTTTTGGGTGGAGTTCCCCTTTAACCCTGTGCAAACATAAAAAACATCTTTTATTTCTTTTATAAAATAAGAATGCAGAAAAGATAGACATTTTAATTTTTCCTATAAAATTTATTCATGATTGATTTGCAAATTGTCTTTGACTGATTGATTGTTTGATTGATTGGTTGAGCTCAGATGTGTTTTGCACAAGCTTATGCAAACACGGCTCTAGTCCAATCACTGCACGCGTTTTTTTGTTTTTATTTTATAAAATTGCATGTTACATCAGATTGTGTCATATTTTTATATGTTTTCACGTTACTTTGATGTCCTCAAATTACATCATATTACATAAGATATTTAAGTGTTTGTGTTTTTCTGAAGGAATGGGTCGAGAAGCTGATTCTGATGCAAGATATAATTGATGCATGGTTAAAGGTCTGTGTATTTTACTTTATTTAAGCTATTGTCACTGAGATAATGTATTTTTTGAAGTATGAAGTTTGAAGTATTAGAAACATTCAAGAGTGTAAACATACAAGTAGACTATACGAGTAGTTTCAGACAGAGTTACTTTAGACTCCTCTAGCGCTGTCCAAAATATACAGTGGGCGCGAGAGATAAGTAGTGGCGAATTTTACATTAGTTTTTCTCAATGTTTTTTTTCTTACCTATGTTCATATTGTCAAAATGGCGCTCGAAAATTTATCAAATAACTATCCTAACTATCTTCCTGTCTTTAACCCCATTTGGAATGTTAAAATTATGTTTTAAATTTTTTGTGCTTCTAATACTCAAACACGAACTTTGCGCCTCCGGTGTCCGCTAAAGAGCATTCTAGGCAACGTTGTTAGAAATAATTTAAGGAAAGATATCATGCTGTATACAAAAATTTGTTTTCGTAAATGTTGTTATAAGTTATCTTAGTATGCATTTACCACAACGTTGGCATCAATCATTTTTCTGTAGTGTAACAAAACGTTTTGCGTCTATACTTAACAACAAGCATTGTTATTTTATTTTCGCAAATAAAGATTTTTACAACTTTGGAGGTTAAAAGTTTCATACGTTACGAGACATAGTTTTAACACTGATTTGAAACATTTGTTGCTCCTGTTAATAAGGGTATACTCGTTCTAAGTTCCGGAAAAATTTCACAGTTTTTGTTTGGCAAAAGGTTTTTTGATTCAATATCTTTTGTTTTACCTATTAGTGTCAAGCGACGTGGTTGTATCTCGAACCAATCTTTAGTTCTGAAGACATTATGGCACAAATGCCAGAGGAAGGACGTAAGTTTGGTATTGTTGATAGTTACTGGAGAGACATAATGATGGAGTCCGTTAAGAATACAAGCGTCCTGGTAGTGACTGGCCAAGCAAACATGTTAGGGCGCTTAAGCGAGTCGAATGTTCTCTTGGAGGAAATCCAGAAGGGATTGAATGCATATCTTGAAAAGAAACAACTTTTCTTTCCGCGGTAATGATCATATTTTATATGATTCTATTTCTAAGGATTGACTGAATTATATTTAGTTAATGTTTAAATTCGCTCATCTTTTTACAAGTGTCTGCAAGTTTCATCAACGTCGATAACTTTAGGTGGATAATTCATCGCTTAAAAGATAAATAATATCACAATGCCGAGAAAAACTTATTTTATTACTCTATTCCTTCCCCTCTTCCGAGTTAATTCCAGGTTAATTTGAACTACCACACAGGTCACGTTTGGCTTTGTAGTAGTAACCTCTGATCAACCGACATCGAGGGCTCACTCAACTCTATTCTACCTTTTTCTTCAGGTTTTTCTTCTTGTCCAATGATGAGCTGTTGGAGATTCTTTCCGAAACAAAGGATCCGTTACGTGTTCAACCTCATCTAAAGAAATGTTTTGAGGGAATTTCCAAACTTGAGTTTACTGATGAACAGGAAATTGTGGGCATGATAAGTGCTGAAAATGAAACTGTACCTTTCAGTACGACGATCTATCCTGCTAAAGCTAAGGTGAAACTAGTTTTGTTGTTTTTAGTTGTAATATAGTTTCCTATTTGAGAAAACAAGCATGTGCTGCTGTGGAGTAGTCATTTGGGTGTGTGAGGGGTTTGATGGGGGTAATGTTCATTGTATGTGTGTCAGGGGTTTGATGGGGGTAATGTTCATTGTGTGTCTGTGAGGAGTTTGATGGGGTAGTGTTCATTGTGTGTGTGAGGAGTTTGATGGGGGTAGTGTTCATTGTGTGTGTGAGGAGTTTGATGGGGGTAATGTTCATTGTGTGTCTGTGAGGAGTTTGATGGGGGTAGTGTTCATTGTGTGTCTGTGAGGAGTTTGATGGGGGTAGTGTTCATTGTGCGTGTGTGGGGGGAAGTCATGAGGGGTAAAATTCATTTGTGTGTTTGGGAGGGGGCATTGAGGTAATATTCTTTTGTATGTTTTTTTGGAGGGAGGCGTCAGCGCATATAAAAGGTGGCAAAACAGATGATATTTACGAATAAAATCTGCTTTACCTGAGTTGATAGTCTAGGTTTGATTTTTTGAGTATTTGATAGGATTTGAAACTTTCTTTTAGCTTATTTTTCATTTTGAGTTTTGCTTTAATATGTAATATTAATTGCATGCTATCAGCAATAGAAAAATTAATTTCAAACGACCTTAATATGCCAAAACAAGCATGAATTGAAATTTTTAGTTTCCCCCTCTTTTCCCAGTTACTAAACTGGCTACGGCACTAATATGCTAGTTTATGCAGACCATCGCTACAAGTCAAAATTACCTCATGATTGATTGATTTGCGCATGTGCTGTAATATCTGTAGTTCATGCATTAAACATTTTTGCATGACTCTAAATGTGAATTCTCACCTCTCTTTCTCCTAGGGAATGGTTGAGAAATGGCTCATTCAAGTTGAGGATATCATGATCAAGAGTTTGATGAAAGTCGCTGAAGAAGCTGTTCTAGCGTATTCCAACACACCGCGCGAAAGATGGGTAAAGGAATGGCCAGGACAGGTAGGGATAGCTATGAATTTTGCTTGTCTACAAGTTCCTTTAATGTCTGTTAGAAATTAATTTAGATGATCATTGTACTCTTAGATAATGTTCTTCCTATTAAGTATCTTCCACTAAAAATCTTACAGATTATTTTAGCGGTCAGTGGAATATACTGGACTATGGACGTTTCCAAAGCTATAACCGAAAAAGATGGACTAAAGGTACGTGATGTAATTAGTAGAATTCTTTGGGAGATATTCTTGTACATTTGAAAACTTTTAGTCTAGCATGACTTGTTATTTTGTTTTTCTTGGTAGAACTATTTGAAATCGAGCAACGATATGTTGGAGAAGATAGTTTTTCTTGTTCGTGGAAAACTTGACAAAGGAATACGGGTTACTCTTGGAGCGCTTACTGTAGTTGATGTACATGGTGAGTTACTGTAGTTAATGTAAATGGTGAATTTACGTTGGGAAATGTCTGTTGGAGTGTTTTAGCTTGGAATAAGGGTTGGAGATGGCTAACTTATTCCTTCTTTTGTCTTTTCCAGTCAATGAAAACAAAAATATTTGTCAACCTAAGACTACTGTTTTGTGGAGGCTATGTCACTGACATTTTTCTGTTTGAAAATCTTATGTAAATACGGAGTGCTGTCACTTAAATGGAAAAACAACCTTTTATTCTGTTATTACTAAGCAATCCATCAATATTAATTTAAGCCTTCCCTAAATTTCTGACGAAAAAAATGTATCAGAGAAAAAAAGCCACAACGAAATATGACTAATTTTTTGTTTAGCTCGTGATGTCGTTGAGAAGATGTACAAAGATGGCGTCTGCGACACAAACGATTTTCAATGGCTTTCACAATTGCGGTATTACTTCGAAGAGAAATCTGTTGTAGTTCGCATGATTACAACAGACATCAACTACGGTTATGAATACCTTGGTAACAGTGGGAGACTAGTCATCACACCCCTGACAGATCGATGTTACCGGTGAGTAAATGGAGATAGCGCTGTAGGTATGAAGTTTTACTATAGTTTTTCAAGTCTAGATTCTTCGTATGTATGAGCTATATTATTATCATTTCATTATCATAATCATCATCAGTATTCTTATTGTCGTCGTTCTCGTGGTCGTGGTCATGATCAAGGATAGATATATGCTTTAATCCGCAGAAAAAAATTGATTTGAAAGGAACTTCAATTTTAGCTTTCATTTTCTCAATTTGTCATGGTGAAAATTGCCAAAAGTGATGACTCAAATGAGATTTATGAAATTTAGTGATTGTTTGACTGAGCATCTTACCCATTCTATGCTATGCGTTTTCTATTTTATACATTGTGCCTTAGTTTCAGTGGTACTTTGAAAATTAACAAGAAAATTTCAACAATTAATTGTATAGCTCTTGCCATAAACGATATTCATACCAAGTTTGGTGTTCACGTGCATTTTTCTCTTTGAGTTGGCATACAGCACTTAACTAACGTTGCTCGGTTATGCAATGGTAACTTTGGCTTACCCCGGTAGTTTTACCCAGCTTAATATGTGTAACATACCTGAAGCTACCATTTAGTCATATTTCAACGGGAATGGTCAATTATTTTGAAAACATTGAGTGTTTCAGTATATTATTTAGTGATTAATACGGCAAGACATGAATATTTGAATGTGTACTCCCCCGAATCACCAATTTTGCTATATCACTGCAAGTTTCTCATTATGCTTGACGATCAAAATTATGAAAACGTTCCCAAACTATTTCTCATCATTTTGTGCATTTGTGACAAAAAGGTAGATGTAGGTGAAAGTTAACGTCCTAATGCTCACTTTTTAATTGTATAGGACGTTGATGGGAGCTCTGAAGTTGAACTTGGGAGGCGCACCCGAGGGGCCAGCCGGGACTGGCAAGACGGAAACGTCAAAAGATCTTGCAAAAGCGGTTGCTAAGCAATGCGTCGTCTTTAACTGTTCAGACGGACTTGACTTCAAAGCGATGGGAAAGTTCTTTAAGGGATTAGCACAGGCTGGAGCTTGGGCTTGTTTTGATGAATTCAACAGGATTGAGTTGGAGGTGCAGTGCTTCTTTTGGAATATTTTTTTGCTAGTTTTTTATTTTATTTCACGTCCTGTAATTGCTTGGTCATGTAATCTGACGACATGACCATTCAATTGGCTTGTATAGACAGACTTCAGTGAGAATTGCGTCTCTAAAATAGTTTTTGCGTTAGAGTTAGTTTTATGTACACATTAATTTTAATTAATTATTTTTAATGTTATTTTGAAAGTTTTTAAATGTTCGTTTTATTTTTTAGTTCGTCTTTTTGGTTTTTTTCTTTAAAGTTAGTCTTTAGCCCGTTTAAAACGTCGCATTTTACATACGCCGAACGCATTTAAAACAAAAGAAAATAAGATAAAACTCCTCATTATCTTTTGTTTTAAATGCATTCGGTTCATGTAAAATGCGACGTTTGAAACAGGCTTTAGTTTGTCTCACTACACTTAACATGCTTTTATTGTCTAAAAGTTTGGCTGTTTAGTTTAAAGTGTTTTTCCAAGTTTGATTCAAGTCATACTGTTGTGTGCACTTATGTTTTAAAAACGATGAGCATCTTCTTTAGGTGTTATCGGTGGTAGCTCAACAGATTCACACCATACAAAAAGCCATTGCAGCTCAGCTAAAGACCTTCATCTTTGAAGGAACTGAGCTTGTTCTCAATCCAACGTGCACCATGTTTATCACAATGAATCCCGGTTATGCTGGACGGCAGGAGTTGCCCGATAATTTAAAGGTGTTATTTAGAACGGTCGCTATGATGGTGCCTGATTACGCGCTCATTGCCGAAATATCTCTCTATTCAATGGGTTTTGTTGATGCGAGAAGGTCAGTAGCAAATTATGAGTTTTTATATTTTGCATTCTACGCCTTTTCTTTACGAGATAGTTTCAAAATTCTACAACAGTTTTGAGAAATTCATGCTTACGATTCTGTGATTTCACATGTAACTTTCGGGTGGTCGCTCATTAAAGTTTTGGGAGGTTGCACTTTTAACTTTGTTGAGGTGCACATTTTATTTTGTGGGGGCTGCAAATTTAACTTTCAGGGGTAGAATGGTCGAGTGTCATAATGGTCGACAGGGGTAGTGAACGACAATCATAAATATTAAAGTTGATTTCCGACATGTACTTAAATAAACAATAGACCCCCCGTGCATCTTTTCAAGCACCAGCTCAACAAGCCTACAAATATCTATTTACATGTTTGTAGATGTAAATCGTCCAGGTTAGTATAATCCTGAGAAGGACTGTTTTTGTTGTTGTTGACTGACGATTTGACAACCTTAACGGTAGTCATCTTCAGAGTTCATGACTACCTCTAAAATTGTCGAAACGTCAGTCAACAACAACAAAAACAGTCCTTCTCAGTACTATACTAACCTGGATGATCTACATCTACAAACATGTAACGTTACTCCCGGGTTCAAACCATTTACTTTAAATATCTATTTGTAATAGAATTGATCTCCTCGCGGCTGTTCTTTTAAGATAATCCGTTAAAAATGATGAACTTTGACCTTGCCCAAACTACACCTCATAAAACATAACTGAATTAACGTTCTCGAAAATGACATTGACTGTTATTAGTTTTAAAAACATTTCTCAAATTATTGCAGCCTTGCTCAAAAGATCGTTGCAACTTACACGCTGTGCTCAGAGCAATTGTCGTCCCAGTCTCATTATGATTATGGCATGCGCGCGGTCAAGTCCGTCCTCACTGCGGCGGGAAATCTTAAGTTGAAGTTCCCTGAAGATGACGAAGCCGAGCTCATTCTTCGCGCTATTTTAGAAGTGAATTTGGCGAAATTTCTCTCTCAGGTTGGAAAAATGCTGTTTATTCATTTCTGAACGTTTATTCGTCCAGACGGCTACAGACACCCTCTGCATCTCACAAATAAATTCATCTCTTTCCCTGTGTTACAACATGTATCACTATCATTGCTGTATTAAAAATTATTGTCATACAAGTATCTCTGTGTATTACTTTGTGTATTACTATGAACAATGTTTTGTGTTTTATTCAGTGCATGATAAGAACTTTTTTGTGTACATAGGATGTTCCGTTGTTTGAGGGAATTATATCCGATCTTTTTCCTGGTACTTCATGGCCAAATCCTGACTATGGCGCACTCAAAGAGGCCCTGCACGAGAACTGTAGACTTCGTAATCTGCAAGCAACTGACTGGTTTGTCAAAAAGATCATTCAGGTGAGAAATTTGTACAAAACATTTTGATTTGTATAGATGTTTGCCATTATTATGTACATTGTAAGGGTAGATTTGTTAATGAAGTTGTGGGATTGCGTTCCCTTCCTGGAATCTTTTTAGCGCAATTTTGTTGTTGTACGGATTTAAGCTTCCATTAAAAATTATTTCTCCCTAAGTTGAAAATTGGAAATCTCCACTTGATATTTTAATTTTTCATTTATCACATTTTTGGTTTATCACTATCAAAATGTCAAAGTACAGAGCAATTCACAGTGGATAATAAAGATTCTTATATTCCCACCTATGCGTTTGGCAACTACCAGTTACCAGTCTCCTGTGAGACTGACTCTCCCGCTCGCAGACTTACAACGTTGACTATTCATTCAACTGGTCTTCGAAATCTGTACTTCGAACGACATATGTCTCATTTTTCTTAGATATACGAAATGATGATCGTTCGTCATGGTTTTATGATAGTCGGTGAACCTTTAGGTGGAAAAACTATGGCAATGAAGGTACTCTAAACTTAATTATTCTGTTATTTGTAGTGCATGACATTTAGTGCAACTTGTCTGTACAAGACTAATGATGATCGTGGCGTATCCATCTTTTGATAGATTAAATTACAGTCACTCAATTTTTGATTTAAAACTATTTTCATAAGGCATAAAAACACATATAAGATACAAGAAATCACTTGGATGTGAGTTTTCTACACTATTGGGATTTTCTTCTTGCAGAAATTTCTTGATGTTGTCACATAGCATAAAAGTACCAAAAAAGACAAAAAGTTCTCGTGTCTTAGACATCGACGCCGTATAAGTTAGAGGTGTTCTTATAGTTTTTGCCTTCAAAGATTCATGTGATGAAACCCAGTTATGAACTGAAGTAATCAACTTTGTATAATCCAGAATTTTCCACTGCCTATGAATGTAGTGAAAACATTCGGCAATTTATTCTCGTACAAATAATTTAACTCGATGATTTCGTGCGTAAATTTTGATGTATATATTTTCATACAAAACTTTTATGAAATATTGTTCAAGAGATGCGTGTTAAACTGTAAAGAGCTGTTTTCAAGAACCGAAATATTTGAAAGTATACATTATAATTTATTGAAAATCATCAAACTAAACAGTAAATTGTTATAAATTATTAATTGTAATGCATAATTAGAAATTTTGATCGTTTCCTTGGTCTCATTTGCCGGTGAACTGTTTACAATAAAACTGCGATAAAACATTACTCGAATAAACGTTATTTGACTCCAAATGGACATTAAATGCGAAAGCTTTTAGGTTTTTCCCTCATTTAGCGAATAAACAGAATAGTTTTACAGCATTCGCTAAAAACACTAGTATAATCACTGACATTACCCTTTGTTGCATGTGTGAATGATGCACTATGAAACATATTTTTCATACAAAGTTTCACTCATTCTTCAGGTCCTTGCAGACTCTCTTGCAGACATGGAGAAAGCTGGCCTGCCTGAAAATACGGTATTGTTAATACTTCATGAACAAAAAACATTAATACGGATTATACTTAAAATTAAACAATCATTAATTGTAATTATCATCGATTATGATGTTGATTGTCCTGCATTATGCAGTTCCTGTGAAAGCCCTTAAAAATATAAGTTTGTTTCTGCTTGCCATTAAAACATATGGTATAAAAAGCGACAACTTGTTTTGTAAAATAAATATGGAAGAATTTTAAAGAATAGCAAATGCTACAGTTGACCCCGTTAAACTTGGTAAGTTGCCTGGAAAGAAATTTAAGGTCTACATCATTATCTAGCAGTAGTTTCAGAAACGATAAAAAAACATGCATTCATTTTGCTAACTCTGTGTCCATAACGCGTATGTTAAAGTATGAGATATCTTGACTGTAGAGGCTTTTATTAAATTGTACTAACTTTTATTAACTTTTATTAACTTTTATTAACTTTTAACTTTTAACTTTTTAACTTTTTAACTTTATTTAACTTTTATTAAATTTTTTGTTCTAGTTTACATCTAGAATTACGAAATGGCATTCTTCGAAATTTATTTTTTCTTATTTTGAGAAACCACTAAGGCCAGTTTAGTGTATGATGCTCTCTGATAAGCAAACGGTCCCTCATTTAATGAATTCATTTTTGTTGTGACGGCACTCTCATCAAATGTAATATCTGGGTTTTTTTCTTCATTCTACGCAGGTGAAATACATTGTTATTAATCCAAAATCCGTAACTATGGGTGAATTATACGGTAGCTTTGATCCAACTTCCCACGAATGGTCAGACGGTGTTCTTGCGAACAACTTCAGAGAACAGGCAGCATCCACAACTGACGATCGTAAATGGATCGTGTTTGATGGTCCTGTTGATGCAGTGTGGATTGAAAATATGAACACCGTCTTGGATGATAATAAGAAGGTAGAGCTTTATGTAGCAAGTCCTTTGTATATGATACCGATCTAGTATCTGTATCAAGGATGGACCCAGGATGATTTTCTAGGGGGGTGTAATAGTTTTCATAATATGTCGTGCAAGTTTGGATGAGATTTCGGTGGTTCTTTTGTGGGTGTCGTTATGTCATTCACATGTTAGAATTTTTATGACTTGAGACTCTATCTTTGACTTGAGACTCTGAGAAATGTGTAGTTTGAAAGTTGAAAGATTTGCACGCCTTCTGCATCCCTTCAAGCCAAAGGTACGATGGTACGCACCCTCCCGCACCCCACCTCCTAAATCCATCTCTGATCTGTATTCAAAGTTGACTCCTCATATACTCAAAACTAGGGACTTCATTAGTAGTGATATAATGGCAGAACTTGAGTCCTTTTCTACTCTAGTCTAATGCTTGTCTAATGTCTTCATCACTGGTGATGTTGCAACTTTAGTCCTTATATACTCCAGCCTAATGTCTTTATCACAAATGAACTGATGTTGAAACTTGAGTCCTTATTTTCTCTAGTCTGTGTATTTTATCAGACTGATGTTAAAACTTGAGTCCTTATATACTCCAGGGCCCGTTGCACGAAGCCTGGATAGCGTTATCAATTGCATGGCAAAAATTTTCAAACTTGAAAAAAGTTTGTATATTTTTCTTACGACCAAGAAATTTCGTAATCTTTAAAACAGTATTTTATTTCAGTGATTGCGCAATTCAATCTTATATTTTTCATTTTAAAGCGTTTCATGAAAGTTTAAAAAAATAGCTATCCAATGGATATCGCTATCCAGGCTTCGTGCAAACAGCCCTAGCCTAATGTCTTTATCACGAATGATCTGATGCTGATAAAGACAATATGATAAACTTATTTTAGTAGCTTTCGACTTACTTTCTTTAAGTTTTCATACGTTCAACACCCATCCCCCCACAACCCTCCCTCGATCTCTTTAACGATATTTTGTGAAAATCATTACATTTATTTTTAGCTGTGTCTCATGAGTGGAGAGATTATTCAAATGAGTGGCAAACAAAGTTTGATATTTGAACCGTCAGATTTGGAACAAGCTTCACCAGCCACCGTCAGTCGTTGTGGCATGATATATCTAGAGCCACATCAGGTATAATATAAAAATAACTAAGGTTTTTAGAAAGGAAAATTTTGAGTTTTTTGTAATGACGCCTGACAAAAAAGAGTTCATCGTAATTTCTTAATGAAAATATTGACAATGTCATTAACTAATTTTTTATCCATAGCTTGGTTGGACACCATTGCTTCATTCTTACATGAACACATTACCATCGTCGCTGGACAAGGAACATAGAGAGCTTGTACAGTCTTTGTTTCTATGGTTACTGGAACCATGTCTTGGTAAGATAAGACAGACACCTTTAAGCCTCATTATTGTAAAAGTAAATTTTAAATATGGGGTACACAGCAAACTGTTTAATGAGAGATGAGGGATTGTAGTTAGCATTAATGGAATATCAATCATTAAATAACGTGTGTATAGTAAACTGTTTAGTGAGAGTACGGTGATTGCATTGTTGTAAATGAGAGTTGGTCATAGTGCAGTTGTGTAAACTAGCCATAGGTTTTCTGGTGAAAATTTAACTCCGCCTTGAAGGTGCTGTGCGATGAACTACTTATATATAGAAAGCTGGCAAACTATTATACTTTAGCATACCTTCAAGTTGCAAGGTGTATCAGGTTTGCGTAAAACAAACTGTGTGTGACGCATTCCCTGCTAAATGACTATGATTTTGTTTTGCAATGATTGTTGTGTGTTGAGAGATATGAGAAGAGCGAAAAACGTTTCTATGGTAACTGTGATGTGTCAGTATTAAATAAACGTCCTACGTATATTCGTACTACGAATAATAAAGTTCGCCACTTTCAATTTTCGCGTTTTTTAGTTTACTTTCTTTTTTATATTAAATTATAAGAATTTATAGAACGCTAATGGGGAAGGGAGGATATTCATATATTCAGCTGTGTCCTGCTGACTTCTTTTGAAATTAAGAGCTGAATACACGAATATTTACCTCCCAAACTAGCGTTCTAGTTTCGCCCATGAAGAAAGGAGATATCTTAGCAGACAAAAGATGTTGTATACGGGAGTTGAGATCAAACATTAACCTTTACTGTCTTTGTTTAACAATCAGATTTCCTACGTCATCAATGTAAATTCTTTGTTCAAACGTCACCCCTTCATCTTACGTCATCACTCATGCGCTTATATACATGTCTTATGGATGAAATTGCTGGCCAGACTACTGCTGAAGGCGCTGATAGGATGTCAGGAGCACAGGTAAGATTTATATTATGTTCCATGTGCGTTGTATTAAAATAAAACAAAAAACGTTTTGCTGTGAAACCAAAAGAAATTGTCCCAAAATCATGTTACTCATTTCAAATCGATTTTCATCTTCATTGCCCCTCCCTTGTTCACTGCACCTTATGCAATCACATGTACGCCATGGCATTACTTTATTAAATCTTTATGAATCAATGACCGAGTTACCAGTTTATTATTCATAGACTTTAAGTGAGTAATTAGTAAACGAGTTTTTGTTCATTGTTGATTAATGACCCGATTCTTTACATTTTAGATAAGTAGTTGGCTACTAGGATTATTTTTGTTCTCACTGGTCTGGGGTGTTGCTGGTACTATTACTGGAGATAGCAGAAAGAAATTTGATTCATTCTTTCGAACGTTGATCAGCGGCACTGATAAGGATCACCCGAAACCGAAGAATATTAAACTAAACAAAGTATGGGAAATTTTGAGGTGTTTTGATTGGTCAACCTTTCTTGTAAACTGCTAATTCTTTTTATATTCTGAGTTTTATATTTATTTGGCGAAATTTATATTTTGAGTATTCTGTTATTCTCCTGTTAATGCCATTCTTCTTTTTTGCATATTCTGTTCTTTTAGCTAAACGTATTGTAAACTGAGCATGTTAATGTCATTCTTTTTTTTCTGAGTTCTCTATTTTTTTTAGCAAAACGTATTCCCTGATCTTGGTATAGTTTATGATTACTACTTTGTCAAACAAGCTAGTGGATCATGGGGAAAATGGATGGATTATGTGGATAAGAAAAAACTTGATATTCCGAAAAATGCTAAGGTATTGAAATTTTCTTTTTATTCCTAAATTAGTCTAAATAATAAGAAAGTATTTTTAACAAACCTCTTTTTCCAGGTGAGCGAGCTGACCATTCAAACTGCAGACACAGCTCGACAGACGTTTTTCTTGGATACATATCTACCCAATGAAATCCCGCTACTTTTTGTCGGACCTACGGGCACTGGAAAGTCTGCCATTACAAATAATTATCTAGTTGGGTTACCCAAAGAAAAGTATGTATAGAGTTGTAAATGTGCCATTTGGCTGAATTAGTATATTTGATATTCTATTTTTTATTTTCTGTTAGATACATTCCTATTAATATCAACTTTTCGTCTCGGACAAGTGCTGGACAAACTCAGGATATTATAATGTCGAAACTTGATAGGTAAGATTTCGGTCGAAAAACTTATCTTTTGTATCTTCTCTACGTATCTTCTCAATGAATGTTTTATGCAGTGCGGTGTTTGAAATTAAATGAAGAAATGATCTTCGCACTTTGCTGGACAATTTAAGCAATCGTCTCAGGAACCTGAAAAAATCAGGTGACTCAACGGGATTCGAACCCATGACCTCTGCGGTGCCGGTGCAGTGCTCTGACCAACTGAGCTATGAAGTCACACAGTGGTGAGCAGGTCAATATTGTTGGGCTCATGTTTTCTCGTGAAAGGAATGTCGTATGAATGTTTTATGCAGTGCGGTGTTTGAAATTAAATGAAGAAATGATCTTCGCACTTTGCTGGACAAAGGGTTCGAATCCCGTTGAGTCACCTGATTTTTTCAGGCTCCTGAGACGATTTCTTAAATTGTCCAGCAAAGTGCGAAGATCATTTCTTCATTTAATTTCAAACACCGCACTGCATAAAACATTCATACGACATTCCTTTCACGAGAAAACATGAGCCCAACAATATTGACCTGCTCACCACTGTGTGACTTCATAGCTCAGTTGGTCAGAGCACTGCACCGGCATCGCAGAGGTCATGGGTTCGAATCCCGTTGAGTCACCTGATTTTTTCAGGTTCCTGAGACGATTGCTTAAATTGTCCAGCAAAGTGCGAAGATCATTTCTTCATTTAATATCTTCTCAATGTTGTGACGAGTTAATGTAGTGTTAAATGCGCTGATCTTGGCATAAAACTGGACCATGCAACACTATATTGGCAGAAAACAAATTTTGAATCCTTGATTGCCGTTTTTACGTACGGGCCTATATTTAGATTGAACAATTTTAATGAAAACAAAAAAAGAAGTTTTTTGCCCTTGGCTGAAACTGTCTTAAAATAATGTGGAATTAATGATGATGCATTTAAAAGTTGGTTTCGCTTTCTCTGGTCCAGTCTTATTTTGTGATCACCTCATGCTTATGTAAGCGTTTCTGCCTCCATTTTTTCTGTCTTTTACAACTTCCATCAATTTGTCATAATTCTCTGTCTTCATTGCACACACCAGAATATTCGCCAGCTTGACCATTTTGTTAAATTTCGTGAACATACAGTCGATTAAGTTGAAACAACGTCACACCCTGATAATAATGCTTTTATATTGCAACCCAATGCTGTTCATTGTCGTTATAACGTGCGTTTGTGTTCTCTACTACTGTAATGTTCGTCATCTTTAATGTGACTTCAACGTCACTTCGATTTCCTGGCATTCCATCATCGTGTATGTGTTTGATGCGTTTAAAAAGTCGCACAAAAATACATTTACCAATTTTGAAGTGAACTTGGTCACCACAGAAAATACAACCGAAAGCTATTTGCTATTTGATAAAGTTAAGTGTATTTTTGTTCAACAAAAGTTGACGAAGTCAATAAAATTAAGCCCCTTCCCTCCAAAAAGCAAAATTCAATCGCTACTTACAATATTCACGAGACTTTAACCTTTGACTGCAGACGCCGTAAGGGAGTATATGGTCCACCCCCCGGAAAGAAATGTATTGTGTTTGTTGATGATTTAAACATGCCTGCACTGGAAAAATACGGAGCTCAACCACCAATAGAATTACTTCGACAGTGGATTGATCATCGTCATTGGTACGATAGAAAAGATACGTCAAAAGTTGAACTCATTGATCTGGTAAGGAAATTCCACTCATGCCAAGGTTACGTTGAACATTAACTGTCTTCCTACTAATTTATACATTTATGAATTTCATTACCTGTCATTATAACTGATATCATTATTAGGCATTTCAAGTGTACGGCAATTTTCTATAAAGTAAACGTGTTTCGGCATGCTTCATATAAAGATGGCATAAGTATGCCGAAACATGTTTACCTTAAAGAAAATTGTCGTACACTTGAAATGCCCAATATATATAGTGCTTTTAAGAAATTATGGTGATATCATTATTATTGTCAAACTATCTTATGTGATCTCAAGACTTTGGAAAATATTTGGCTATGTATCCGTATTCCATAGGAATTCAGTTATGGCATATATATGTAGATAACTGCTGTAGTTATGAACATATATACAAGACTTTAGTATGTAGGTATATGTACAGGACTTAAGTAAATTGCTGTATGAAGCGCACTGTAGTATATGGTTTTAGACTCATGACTGTAGTATGTGGGTATAAACACACGAGTTCTGTATATGGATAAATACATAGAATCGCGGTGTATGGCTGTACGCGCTAAACTTCAATGTGTTTCACTGTAAAACGAAATCTTTTTCAGTTGTTCGTATCAGCGATGGGTCCCCCTGGTGGTGGACGTAATAACATCACGGGACGTTTCACTAGACATCTAAATATCGTTTCTATTGATAAATTTGACGATAAAACCCTTACGTCCATATTTACTTCCATTGTTGACTGGCATTTTGCAACAGGATTTGAAGCAACATTTCAACGACTTGGCAAGGTGTGTATATCTATATTTATATTCAACAATCGATAAAAACTCACTCACAGAAAAAGTAATCTCAATTTTAGATGTTTGGTTTGATGAAGTTGAAGCTCATCAATAATTTTCTTGTTTTATCATTGTGGGATTAGTTTCCGACTGCCAACAGTTTTGACTTGTTACCAGTATACATTTTTGTAGATGTTAAACGTCCAGGTTATGTTTTGAGTCAACCTGACTCTTTTAAGGTTGTCGAAACTCGACATCAACACCAACAATGCTTCTCAGGACTGTACCAACCTGGACGATCTACATCAGAAACATGTAACGATACTCCCGGGTGAAATGCTATGTTAGAACGAAGTACACACTTACCTTGAATGTCATACGAACATGCGATTTTTTCGTATGTTAAAGCTTCTGGATTTCTCAGAACTAAAATGTTTTGTTCACTTCTGCGTATATATTCTAGATGTTAGAGAACATGCAAATAGAAATAGTTTTAATGTGGTTTATGGACTTATTCATATCAGAAACTCACTGAAATCTTTTTTTCACGTTTTTTGCACACTTCTCTTGGTTTTGCCTAGTTTTACTGAATTATGTTTTTCATCTCTATTTTACAATAAGCTGATTATTATATTGTTAGGCAAATCATTCTTTGTCTTATTCACTGCTTTCTTTTTTGGTCAGTTGGTCGTCCTTGCGACATTACAGGTTTACAAGGCAGCTGTCGAGAATTTTCTACCCACTCCCACCAAGTCGCATTATGTCTTCAACCTGCGTGACTTCGCGCGTGTCATATTTGGCGTGCTACTAGTGCCAGCCTCTCGTATGCAAGAAAGCGACAAGCTAATTCGACTGTGGATTCATGAAGTCTACCGAGTGTTCTACGATCGTCTCATCGACGACAAAGACCGTCATTTCTTCTTCGACATGATGAAAAATACAACAAAAGATCAGCTGAAAGTTGACATGAACAAAGTGGTAGCACATCTTGTGCCACCAGGAGAGAATCTTCACGATGACCATATAAGGTTTGAAATTACGCCCGTTTTAACAAATCACGTTGCTTATGGTCCAGTTTATCGAAGACCTTTCAGACAATTTTCGAGAATGTTATTTGTACTATTGTTTTGCTTAAGAAACTAATTTCGCTTCTTTAGAAAAGTAGGACAGGGAAAAACTGTAGAAAACTTTGAAAGTCATATGTTTTTTCAGCAGTTCTTATTATTTTTGAAGATCTTGTGTTTAAGGAAGTCTGAAGGAGTGTGTGTATGGATAGTTGTGGATAATTATGTATCTCATTGATGTATTTAGAGGGTTATTCTTTGGCGATTACATGAGTGGGGATTCACCTGAGAAAATCTATGATGAGATATCAGACTTTAGCTCTCTTACCTCTCAAATGGAAACTTATCTTGAAGAGTTCAATCAAATGAGCAAAGCACCAATGTCTTTGGTTATGTTTAAATTTGCAATTGAACATATTTCACGGGTTAGCCGAGTTTTAAAACAAGATAATGGTCATCTTTTACTTGTTGGTAAGCTTAATTCCTTGTTTTGTTGTTATGTCTATGTTTTGTTTCTTTTGTTGGTTAGTTGCTTTTTTCCAAATTTTTAAGTCTCTCTTTTTCGTTGTGGTAAATCTGTCTTCCTTTTTGGTGTCTCTCTTTTTTGTTGGTAGCTAAGTCTCTGTCTTTCTTACTTGTAATTTCTTCTTTGTCGGTTATTTTCTCTTTTACAAATTTGTACGTGCACGTCTTCTGTTTTGGTAAAACTTTCCGTGCTCAGTTTTTTTAAGTCACCCTCCTTTTTGATAAGTCTTTCTTTTTTGATGGAAAGTCTCTCTCTTGCATGCATGTAATTGTGTTTCGCAATAGTTTTGTTTGAGGTTTTCCTGTTGTAACACTGATCAAGAAAAACGAAACAAAATACTATTGGACGAATCACAAACTTCTGCTATATGCCCCAGTCTCTTGAAAAACAACCAAAAAACAATTCTTCATTTGAAAATAAACTTGCTTATTCGTCATTTAGGTATTGGCGGCAGTGGTCGGCAATGTGCAACTCGATTGGCTGCTTTTATGGCCGACTATGATTTATTTCAAATCGAAATAACCAAGAGCTACACGAAGTCTGAGTGGAGGGATGATTTGAAACGAGTAAGCTGTGATGTTTTTAACCCTGGGGGAAACCTTGGAGAAAGCACTCAATTCCATCATGTTTTTTATGCATACTTTTCCAAGCAGAGTGTGTTTAATAATTGTAAAACATATTATTCTGGCACTGAAATTATTCAAAAATGCAAGATTTTTTTCCTATTACAGATCAGTGGTAAAAACAATTTAGTCACTAATAGTCAAAATGTGAAAATTTTCTAAGATCTTACGTTGGTCTGCACACAGTGTCCGATCTAGGGTATGTCAAAATATATTATTGCAGAACATTTTGGCATATATTTACATTTCTAAGGAACTTAGAGGCAAATTCAATGGTAAAATTATATTCTTTAGGAATTCAAAACTAATCGGGTTTTTATTAAAGTACTTTGAATTTAAAATTGGGTAGCTCTAATTCATTTTGACGAACGCTGGATCCGCTAATGCCTGTTCATGTACATCAAAATGGTTGAAAATTTGATAGCTTGTGCACGAAACTGCGTAGTCGCACTCGGGGTATTTAAGTTGTTTTCCAATTTGTTTTTATGCCCAATGTTTGTTTTGAAGAACTTTTATCAACAGTTTTCTCTCATTTTCTTGCATTTATAAAAATTTCAATGTCATTTATGTTTCATAACGTTAAAGTACTAAAAATCAGTAAAATGTTTGCTTATGCAACCCTCGTTTTCAATACGCCCCCCTATCAAGTGGCCACACCCTTTTAAATGCTTAAGGGTTGATCGTGAAGTGGAGTTGAATCCCTCTTTTTTTGTCTATTTTTTTGTAATTTCCACATTTATAGATGTTAATCAAGGCCGGTGTCAATGGCAAGCCGACCGTGTTTTTGTTTAGTGATAATCAGATCAAGGAGGAATCGTTTGTCGAAGATATAAATATGATCCTCAATACTGGTGACGTTCCAAATATATTCCCCGCTGATGAGAAGGCAGAGCTCATTGATAAGATGCAGAATGTAGCTCGTGTTGAGGTTTGAGCTGGATTAAATTTACATGTCTTTTTTATTGAGTATATAGGGACTTGATTCAAGTTTCCGCTAGACTACGGTAGACGAGGACTCATATTACTCCTGACTCTAGACTCTTGTATATAAGAACTAACGTTTCAACATCAGATCTCTCTTGATGAAGATATTGGACAGTTATGTACAAGAACTTAAGTTTTAATATGTAATCACTTTTTACAAGACACTTGATTAGAATGTGTAAGAACTCAAGTTTCGACATGAAATAATTCTGAATGAAGACACTAAATGCAATATATAAGGATTCAAATTTTAACATCAGATCACTCTTAAATAAGACATTAGACTGAACTATATAAGGATTTTCATTTAACATCAGATCACCTCAAATGAAATAAAAAAGCACTCAAGTTTATGGAAAACAATCTCCATTCTCTAGGGTAAAAAGATTGATGCTACTCCTCTGGCGATGTACACATATTTCATAGACCGTGTTAAAGGGAATCTCCACATTGTGTTAGCCATGAGTCCTATTGGTGATGCGTTTAGGAACAGGCTTCGCATGTTTCCTTCTTTGATCAACTGTTGTACAATTGATTGGTTTCAGGCAAGTATCAAGTTTTATTATTAGCTAGGAAAATTTTAAATTGGCTTGATCCAAATTACTGCTGGATTCAGGGTTTGGCAAATCAAAAGTGAAATACCAATTATTGTAAATTACTATGTTGTGGTAAATTGTTTGAACCTGGGAGTATCGTTGCATATTTTGATCGTCTTGGTAATTGCAGTCATGAAAAAGACTGTTCTTGGTGGTGTTGACTGACGTTTCGACATCTTTAGCCGATGTTGAAGAAGATCAAAGGCTGTCAAAACGTCAGTCAACACCAAGACCAAACGTCCCGACCAAAACTGCTTAAACCTGGACGATAATCATCCACAAACCTGGACAATAAACATCCACAAACTTGGACAATAAACATCCACAAACCTAGACAAGAAATATCCACAAACCTGGACAATAAACATCCACAAACCTGTACGATAAACATCCACAAACCTGGACAATAAACATCCACAAACCTGGACAATAAACATCCACAAACCTGGACAATATAGATCCACAAACCTGGACAATAAACATCCACAAATCTGGACAATAAACATCTACAAACCTGCACAATAAACATCCACAAACCTGGACAATAAACATCTACAAACCTGGACAATAAACACCCAGAAATCTGGACAATAAACATCCACAAATCTGGACAATAAACATCCACAAACCTGGACAATAAACATCCACAAACCTGGACAATAAACATCCACAAACCGGGACAATAAACATCCACAAACCTGGACAATAAACATCCACAAACCTGGACAAAAACATCCACAAACCTGGACAATAAACATCCACCAACCTGGTCAAAAACAAACACAAACCTGGACAATAAACATCTACAAACCTGGACAATAAACATCCACAAACCTGGACAAAAAACAAACACAAACCTGGATAATAAACATCCACAAACCTGGACAATAAACATCCACAAACCTGGACAATAAACATCCACAAATATGTGAATAACAGTTTATTGACAATTAATTATAAAAGAATGTTATGCGGACCAACGAGACTTTTTGTATGTTGTAGTTATATATGACGCCGTAATGTTTGAATATCTTTGAAAGCATTTGAGAAAGGCTAAATTTATTGAAATCAGTCAATTTTTGCATCAATACGTGATAACCTAACTTTTTAGTCATCATCATCCCCCAGCTACATACTTAGTTCAAAATCGTTCCCCAGTTACATACTCAGTTCATCCATGGCCTTTTTTTGTAAGGCGTGGCCAGAGGACGCTCTCGAAATGGTCGCAATTAAGTTCCTGGAAGAGGTCGAGATGACAAATGACGTTCGAAAGGAATGTGTCTGGATGTGTAAATATTTCCATGAAAGTGTTCGCAAAACTTCAGAAAGGTAAGATCTGTGTGTAGTCATTAGTTTGTCATCATTAGCTAGCGATTTTGGCGTTGTAATCATTGTAGCCATATATGCTAATTTTTTTACTGGATTTGGTCTTATGAGCTCTCTCACCTGCTTTATATATTTGCAAAGTTCAGAATAGAAGGGGATGTTTTTGCTCATTGGAGCGAATCTAGTAAGAATAGTTAGCACATATGATCACACTGCAGGTACTGTACTTAGTGATAGTAAAATTTACAAACGCTAGTTGACATAGGTGACGCTGCCTTTAATTGCTTGGTTGTAGCCCATTTGTATCTTTACGATTGTCAATAAATTATTGCTGCAAGCAACTAGACATTATTACATGTTGTTCTCTATCGACTGCATTAGAAGTAAGCTTTTTTACTACTAAAGAGTGATGACTTTAAATATCTTATCTCTAGCTTTGTGATGAAAATAAATTAACGTATGCAAAACGATTGGTCAATGCCCGTATTTTGATCGGGTCCATTGAACTAGAATACATGGAACGCTACCTGAAACAAATAATTGAAGCCAAATCTTACACCCAGGAACGCGAGATTACACTAAGACACGCGTGTTTAGTGTTTCGAGATTCTCTCGCGGAGGGAAAATTGATTGGCTACACACGTGTGTCTGGGTTTAATTTCACGTGTCTGGGTGTAAGATTTGGTTTTGCAAAATTAGCAAAATTATTAGAGTTTTCTATTACAGGTAGCGTTCCATGTATTTTAGTTCAATGATCTGACCATACAAACCATTGAACTAAATATAACTGGACGCCTACCTCCTGCCTAAATTTGAAGCCAGCAATTTAACTAGTCCCAATCCTTCCACGCACGGCGCAATGATAGTTTATGTACAATAATAAGACAGAATGCAGGATTTGACCAGAAACGCTTGTCTTGTGCAAGTACGTCCATGTTTATCTTAAGGTAGCATTCCAGTTACGTATTTAGTTCAATGATCCAAACAAGGAAATTAAAATTGCTGTTGAACATGACTGTAAACAAGACGATTTTTTGCCTTTATTGACTTGGAGTGTAGTTCTGACAGAGCAAATATCAACTTAAATCAATGTTGGTGGTTTTCATAAACTTTTAAAGTCGCTGACCTCGCTTTAATTCTACGTTTTTGTGATTTTGACTTCGCTGTTTACTAAATTTTACAGTTTCATTCGCTTGAAAGAGCTTAGCTTTTATTTCCACGCTTACTTAAATTAAACTTACCTTTTGTTGTTATTTTATAAAACAATTACTCAATGGTGTGATCCCAACTTGTGAAAATTAAGCGAGATGGAAGAAACACGAGCCGAAGGCGAGTATTTTAAGTAGTTTTTTAATGTTATTTTTTAAATTGATTTTTCTTTATAGATACTATGACGTTCTTCGACGTCACAACTACGTCACGCCGACATCATACCTAGAACTTATCATGACTTTCAAAGCTCTTCTTGGCGTGAAACAAAGCGAGATCCTTGGTCTTCAGAACCGTTACGTAACTGGTCTTGAAAAGTTGCAATTTGCCGCCTCGCAGGTGTCCGTCATGCAGGAAGAACTGACTGCATTACAACCTGAATTGATTCAAACTTCCGCAGAAACTGAAAAACTGATGGTAAAAATTGAGCAGGACACGGTTGAAGTGGAAGCCAAAAAAGAAGTGAGTTTCGTCATTTTTTCAATTTGATGTCATATCTTATGAGTTGTGCTGACCATTACACTTCATGGCCATCCACTCCTCCCAAATTATTGTTTTACCACCGTTCTCAAGATTTCCCTTTTACCGACGCATTCCCTCTCTCAGATAGTCATTTTACTGACGTTCCTTGTAATGTTATGCTCTTTTAATATTGTTAAGGTGGTTGGGGCAGACGAGGCTGTAGCAAACGAAGCAGCCGCTGTTGCAAAAGGAATTAAAGATGAATGCGAAGGTGATTTAGCGGAAGCACTGCCAGCTCTTGAGTCTGCGATACAAGCTTTAGATACGTTGAAACCTAGCGACATCAGTATGGTTAAAACTATGAAGGTACGAGTACAAGAGGGGGGCGGAATTACGTCTGTTAACACTTACTGGCTGTATATGTTTCATATATATGTCACTATATGTTTCAATAGTGATTTCAGTATGGTAAAAATTATAAAAGTTTTTTGGTTGGGGGTCAGAGAAATTTACTTCTATAAGCAGTTATTGGCTGCCTATATTTCATACATACGTCATTACATGTTTCCATAGTGACGTATGTACGGTGAAAACTACTAATGTACGTGTACGAGTGTTGGTGGTATGTTGGAAAACTATGTCGAGTAATGAATATTAGTCATAATATGTTTTTACTGTGGTTGTGGGATCTCGTTTATCGCCGTAGCTTACACGGGAAATAGCATGAAAGACCTTTGTTAATGTTTAACTTTTTTACGGTACTCACTATGTATTCCAACTGGATCTGTCCGCTAAAATTTCTTCGACGCTCTGTCTATTTTCTTATATGATTGGCTAGGGCCTAACCGCTAGGCAAATCAATTTTTAATTATTTTTTTCTGTAGAGAATACTGAAGTTAGTTAAGACTTCTGAAAATTTTTATACAACAAATATGCTGGGGTATAATGGTACCTGAATAAGTTACGGGATGAATTTTTTTAGCTGAATGATTAGGCAATATGTGAGAAACATCAAAAAATTTTCCAATAACTTTGGCGATTATTTTCCTAAGTAAAGATTGTTAGTTTTGGTAAGGCTTTCTGTTATATTCTGCTTAGAATCCTCCAGCTGTTGTAAAATTAATTCTGGAAGCAGTGTGTGTAATGAAAGCGCTAAAGCCGGAACGCAAACCTGACCCGTCCGGCTCTGGAAAGATGATCGAGGATTTCTGGGGCCCCTCTCAGAAAATGTTGGGTGACATGAAGTTCTTGGAATCTCTCAAGAATTACGATAAAGACAATATTGCGCCCGCAATCATGAAGAAAATTCGGGAAAAGTAAGAGGAAACATCATTACTACTACATTTCTAATTAAATTATGTTTTTTGTATGGCCAATTTTTTTCCTTTCTCCATGTTTCCCTCTCCTTCTGCTTTCAAATACTGCCAAAAATTATAGGAATCATTAATGTACGCTTTAGTCAATCTGTTTCCATAAGCGGGTGGGCGTGGTCTGTGGGTCTAGGAGTGCCAGACTCCCTCAATCATCGTTCTGTTGGCCAAAGTTGGTCCTCTACTGGCAAATTTTAAAAATGTTTTAATAGATTTTCAACAACTAAGCCGATATACCCATGAACCACGCTCAATTTGTCAGAAAGTTGACGCTTAGACCCCCCCCCAAAAAACACATTGCTTAAAAAGTTTTTTGTTGTATGAAATCCGATCTATGTTTTTCATACAAAATTTTGCATGTGTAGATGAGTACAAGGTCTAGCGTTACCGTAATGATGTTTTTATTCTTCTAGATACATACCTCACTCGGATTTTAATCCTTCTATCGTACGTACCGTATCGTCAGCATGTGAAGGTCTTTGTAAATGGGTGCGAGCCCTGGAGGTCTATGATCGAGTTGCCAAGGTTTGGGGTTCTTGACTCTATATTTTTCTTTAAACCATTGGTATTGTTGTCTGTTTTGAAAAACTGCTGTTTACGCTTGCCTTTTGTTTACTGCCTAATCCTCAGTTCTAATGTATGTTAAAATTCATAGATAATTGAACCGATACTGGACTTTTGTAACAAAATTTTTGTCAAATTAATTTGAAGATTGATTTACATGCTATCACACAAACTAGCTGCTAAACCTTTCTACGGAACAATTTGTATTTAAATGTCTCACCCTAGAATGTTGCTCCAAAAAAAGAAAAGCTGGCGGCGGCCGAGGCTGAGCTTGCTGTACAAATGAAGCAACTGAATTTAAAAAGAGCCGAATTAAAAGAGGTTTGTTTGGGTTGTGTTTGAATTTATAAATATCATCGAGATGAGGTTATTAAAACTTGTCATTTTCATGCAGATACGTATGTATAAATTATGGTACATTTATGCTTAGACTTGGTTGATTTATACTTATGTCATAGTGAGGATGGTACATAAGAAATCAATGTACTTGATCTCCTTATACTTATGTCATAGTGAGGACGGTACATAAGAAATCAATGTACTTGATCTCCTTATACTTATGTCATAGTGAAGATGGTACATACGAAATCGATGTACTTGATCTCCTTATACTTATGTCGTAGTGAAGATGGTACATAAGAAATCAATGTACTTGATCTCCTTATACTTATGTCATAGTGAGGATGGTACATAAGAAATCAATGTACTTGATCTCCTTATACTTATGTCGCAGTGAAGATGGTACATAAGAAATCTATGTACTTAATCTCCTTATACTTATGTCATAGTGAAGATGGTAAATAAGAAATCAATGTACTTGATCTCCTTATACTTATGTCATTGTGAAGATGGTACATAAGAAATCTATGTACTTGATCTCCTTATACTTATGTCATAGTGAAGATGGTACATAAGAAATCTATGTACTTGATCTCCTTATACTTATGTCATAGTGAGGATGATACATAAGAAATCAATGTACTTGATCTCCTCATACTTTTGTCATAGTGAGCATGGTACATAAGAAATCAATGTACTTGATCTCCTTTTGTCATAGTGAGGATGGTACATAAGAAATCTATGTACTTGATCTCCTTATACTTATGTCATAGTGAGGATGGTACATAAGAAATCAATGTACTTGATCTTCTTATACTTATGCCATAGTGACTATTATACATAAGAAATCGTTGTACTTGATCTCTTTATACTTATGTTATAGTGAAGATGGTACATAAATAATCAATGTACTTGATCTTCTTATACATATGTTATAGTAAGGATGTTATATAGCAAATCGATCTACTTCTAAGGATGTTGTAATTTAGATAACAAGAGAACTCGAAAAAAGATCATTGCAAGTCCGAGACCGAAGGTCGAGGGTCGCACCTTTTTGAGAGTTCTCTTAAACCTCCCCACGTTTTCAATTTGAAACAAACGTTATGATTTTTTATTTAAAATGTATTCATGATTGATTTGTAAATTCTCTTTGACTGATTGATTGATTTGATTGGTTGAGCTCGCCTCGCTTTCCTGAGGCCAATTGAAAACACAGCTATAATCCAATCAGCGCCTTTGTTTTATTGTTTTTATTTTATAAATGAAATTACTATATTTGGTGTGTAGCCTTACATGTAAATATGTTTTGTTAATTACATATTTTCAACCTCTGCCTTCGTAATATTTAGGTTGAAGACAAGTTGCAAGCATTAAATGATCAGTTTTCGGCAATGACGAAGAAAAAGAATGATCTTGAGGATAATATCGATCTTTGCTCCAAAAAACTAGACCGTGCCGAAAAACTGATTGGTGGACTGGGCGGAGAGAAAGACCGCTGGACGCAGTCTGCAGATATACTCTCTGACAAGTGAGATCATCATTCGTCCAGTTATTTTTTACTTTATTTTGCTCCACTTTAAGCCTTCCGTCTACGTTGATTCATAAGTGTTGGTCCTCTTTGTATGGCCTGAATATTTATTCAATCACCTTTACTCTCTGTAGCGTAGTTTGTTTGTGCTATGTAAATATCTTGATTTATTCAGTGTAAGAGCAATAGATTTCTAAAGAAAGAAATAAAGATAATGATCTGAAATTCACATAGCTCAACCAAACTTGCAGGCTACAGCACTGCCCTTATTAGTTTAAAAGATCTAAAGAACCGCTAACTGAACATGTATTTCATTTATCTTAGATATTCTAAAGTCACAGGGGATGTATTGCTCTCATCTGCCGTCGTTGCTTATCTTGGACCGTTCACCGTCGACTTTCGAAACGTAAGTTGAAAAATTAAAAAGGTTTCCTAACTCTAGACTTTCTACTTCATTAAAACCTTATGGCAGCTGGGCATACATGTAGGCAAGTCAAAACATTAAATGGTGGTCTTGCTACATACATGTATGCAAGTCAAAACGAAAAGAATTGTGCTATCAATGATATGCTGCTTGCTTTCGTTACTCCTGTAGTGTCTTCTTTAAGTTTATTATTTATTGCTAAATGTTATTTTTTCTTGAAAAACATATTTTACTTATGGAAAATGTGAAAGCTGCTTTTTGAATGTCTCATCTTTTTATTCCCAGATTATTTTTTCAGTACGTAGCTAATTTCTTCCGTTAAAAGACAACACATGTCAACTCGTGTAAAACACGTGCAACACATGTCAACTCGTGTAAAACACGTGCAACACATGTCAACTCGTGTAAAACACGTGCAACACATCTCAACTCGTGTAAAACACGTGCAATACATGTCAACTCGTCGAAAACACGTGCAGTTCTTTTCAGAAAAAATCAAAAATATTTTACCGAGGCAATCCAGTGGCGAATCCATCCCGTAAGATTTACTTTTGTCATGCAGATTTCAGATCTACATCACCATTCATTTTTTTAGAAATATATTGTTTTTAAAGTGATCGATCACATAAAAATTCACATAGCGGAACTAAATAATCGGGCTGGTTTTCTCACTTGACCAATCACAACAACGCGCAAAGTCTCTTTGTCATTTGCAATTGGATTTTTTGCTCACTATAGGCTTGCATTGGTGAATGGATAAAGTTATGTCAAGAACGTAAGATACCTTGTTCTGAAGGATTTTCAGTGAACTCCACTCTTGGTGACCCTGTTAAAATACGAGCATGGCAAATTGCTGGTCTACCTGTGGACTCTTTTTCAATTGATAACGGTATCATTGTTGATAATGCAAGACGTTGGCCGCTCATGGTGGATCCTCAGGGTTAGTAAGGAGAAAAATTTGTCTTTATTCTGGTAAAAACAGTTTGCATAAGGCAACCTTCAGTATGAACATGTTTTTTTAAAGGTAGCCTTCAGTATGAACATGTTTATCTAAAGGTAGCCTTCAGTATGAACATGTTTATCTAAAGGTAACCTTCAGTCTGAACATCTTTTTCTAAAGGTAACCTTCAGTATGAGCATGTTTATCTAAAAGTAACGTTCAGTCTGAACATGTTTATCTAAAGGTAACCTTCAGTATGAACATGATTATCTAAAGGTAACCTTCAGTCTGAACATCTTTTTCTAAAGGTAGCCTTCAGTCTGAACATGTTTATTTTAAGGTAGCCTTCAGCCTGAACATGTTTATTTAAAGGTAGCCTTCAGTCTGAACATGTTTATCTAAAGGTAGCCTTCAGTCTGAACATGTTTATCTAAAGGTAGCCTTCAGCCTGAACATGTTTATCTAAAGGTAGCCTTCAGCCTGAACATGTTTATCTAAAGGTAGCCTTCAGTTTGAACATGTTTTTCTAAAGGTAGCCTTCAGTCTGAACATGTTTATCCAAAGATAGCCTTCAGTATGAACATGTTTATCTAAAGGTAGCCTTCAGCCTGAACATGTTTATCTAAAGGTAGCCTTCAGTTTGAACATGTTTTTCTAAAGGTAGCCTTCAGTCTGAACATGTTTATCCAAAGATAGCCTTCAGTATGAACATGTTTATCTAAAGGTAGCCTTCAGTATGAACATGTTTATCTAAAGGTAACCTTCAGTATGAACATGTTTATCTAAAGGTAGCCTTCAGTGTGAACATGTTTATCTAAAGGTAGCCTTCAGTCTGAACATGTTTATCCAAAGATAGCCTTCAGTCTGAACATGTTTATCCAAAGATAGCCTTCAGTATGAACATGTTTGTCTTAAGGTAACCTTGAGTATGAACATGTTTATCTAAAGGTAACCTTCAGTATGAACATGTTTATCTAAAGGTAGCCTTCAGTCTGAACATGTTTATCCAAAGATAGCCTTCAGTCTGAACATGTTTATCCAAAGATAGCCTTCAGTATGAACATGTTTGTCTAAAGGTAACCTTGAGTATGAACATGTTTATCTAAAGGTAACCTTCAGTATGAACATGTTTATCTAAAGGTAGCCTTCAGTATGAACATGTTTATCTAAAGGTAGCCTTCAGTCTGAACATGTTTATCCAAAGATAGCCTTCAGTATGAACATGTTTATCTAAAGGTAGCCTTCAGTTTGAACATGTTTATCTAAAGGTAGCCTTCAGTATGAACATGTTTATCTAAAGGTAGCCTTCAGTATAAACATGTTTATCTAAAGGTAGCCTTCAGCCTGAACATGTTTATCTAAAGGTAGCCTTCAGCCTGAACATGTTTATCTAAAGGTAGCCTTCAGTCTGAACATGTTTATCTAAAGGTAGCCTTCAGCCTGAACATGGTTATCTAAAGGTAGCCTTCAGCCTGAACATGTTTATCTAAAGGTAGCCTTCAGTCTGAACATGTTTATCTAAAGGTAGCCTTCAGCCTGAACATGTTTATCTAAAGGTAACCTTGAGTATGAACATGTTTATCTAAAGGTAGCCTTCAGTATGAACATGTTTATCTAAAGGTAGCCTTCAGTCTGAACATGTTTATCCAAAGATAGCCTTCAGTCTGAACATGTTTATCCAAAGATAGCCTTCAGTATGAACATGTTTGTCTAAAGGTAACCTTGAGTATGAACATGTTTATCTAAAGGTAACCTTCAGTATGAACATGTTTATCTAAAGGTAGCCTTCAGTCTGAACATGTTTATCCAAAGATAGCCTTCAGTCTGAACATGTTTATCCAAAGATAGCCTTCAGTATGAACATGTTTGTCTAAAGGTAACCTTGAGTATGAACATGTTTATCTAAAGGTAACCTTCAGTATGAACATGTTTATCTAAAGGTAACCTTCAGTATGAACATGTTTATATAAAGGTAGCCTTCAGTATGAACATGTTTATCTAAAGGTAGCCTTCAGTATGAACATGTTTATCTAAAGGTAGCCTTCAGTATGAACATGTTTATATAAAGGTAGCCTTCAGTATGAACATGTTTGTCTAAAGGTAACCTTGAGTATGAACATGTTTATCTAAAGGTAGCCTTCAGTTTGAACATGTTTATCTAAAGGTAGCCTTCAGTTTGAACATGTTTTTCTAAAGGTAGCCTTCAGTCTGAACATGTTTATCCAAAGATAGCCTTCAGTCTGAACATGTTTATCCAAAGATAGCCTTCAGTATGAACATGTTGGTCTAAAGGTAACCTTGAGTATGAACATGTTTATCTAAAGGTAACCTTCAGTATGAACATGTTTATCTAAAGGTAGCCTTCAGTATGAACATGTTTATCTAAAGGTAGCCTTCAGTATGAACATGTTTATCTAAAGGTAGCCTTCAGTATGAACATGTTTGTCTAAAGGTAGCCTTCAGTATGAACATGTTTGTCTAAAGGTAACCTTGAGTATGAACATGTTTATCTAAAGGTAGCCTTCAGTTTGAACATGTTTATCTAAAGGTAGCCTTCAGTTTGAACATGTTTTTCTAAAGGTAGCCTTCAGTCTGAACATGTTTATCCAAAGATGATAGCCTTCAGTATGAACATGTTTGTCTAAAGGTGATTTTTTGTATCAACATGTTCATATTCAGATAATCCTTAAATCATGTTCATGCAGGTCAAGCGAATAAATGGGTTAAGAACATGGAGAAGCAAAACAAACTTTCCGTTGTCAAACTTTCTGATTCCAACTATGTTCGTATATTGGAAAACAGCATTACGGTAAAGTGACGTATCTTTCCTTCGAAATTATTTCGTTAACAGAATTCACATGTCTATATATTTTCATTGCTTTTTAGTTTGGTACACCTGTGTTGCTAGAAAATGTTGGCGAGGATCTAGATCCTATTCTAGAACCTTTGCTTTTGAAACAGACCTTTAAACAGGGGGGAGTGGAGGTAAATACATGATACGAAAAACAAGTTTGGTCTTATATCGCTTGTGAATCGCTGTATTGTAATTAATGCAAAAAAATGTGAGCTCTCAAGGACATAAATGACAACAGACATATATAATTGACAAGGATTTAGAAAATGGCATTTAATTGAAAAACTTTAATAAAGTTACGATTTGGAAACTGAGCGTTTGCTTAGGCATTGGTCAAATTCCTTAAGAATTTATTGGCTTAAATAACATGTGCCATATTTTAACCCCGTATGTTCTTTTGTGTTCTAATTTATTTTTATTTGTGTGATTTTATGCCATCAGCCATTTTAAAAGTTTTTCTCGTTTCTATTATTCTTAATCCAAAAATTATTATTTGGTACAATTTTACTGTCAGGCAAGCCATTGGACGTTCACCAAACTATGTAAACATGATTAAAACACTAATGTTTTTATTTCATTATGTTTATTAGTACATCAAGTTGGGAGAAAACAGCATTGAATATTCAAAAGATTTTCGATTCTACATAACCACAAGATTACGTAATCCACATTATCTTCCAGAGATCTCGGTGAAGGTACGTTAATTTATTTTGGCTGCATTACCTATATCTATCTCTTTAACATGCATTTACATCTCGTTGACAATGCCAAAACAAGACATTTAACTGGTTGGTATGTGTGACGGAGCCAGCCGGCAGATTTACTCCTGCTGTGTAAATTTCAGATCAATACCATTGTTAATTTCTTTATAAATCTTTTGCTGTTGCGATAAAGAAACAATTATTGGGACAACTTCGCTTAGTGGCGCATTCAGCATGAGTCAAAATAAGTTATAGCTACCGTAAAACAGACTGATTTTGTTCCATTTTTTCTTTTTCGTTCTCATTTGTATGTCTTAGTAAATATGTTAGTAAAAATTTCATAAGTAAAAAGAGTTTGTGCTGTGTCAGTGATTGCTGATTGATACTTTAGTAAGATGTACTTCTATGTCTTTTGCAGTGGCATTGTTTTTTTTGTGACAGTCAAGGTCACCCCGAGGCACTTTGACCACTACACAGGAAATTATTTATATGACTCCACCAATAACTATTTATTAGCAAGATGATAGTCTTTCTATGATAGTTGTATTTATTTAAATTAAATTGTGTTTGTATCCATTCTTTCTGGCATGTTAGCTAGAAAACGTTCAAAATGACAATTTGAACGTGCGGCTCAGAGTCTCAAATTGGATATTTTGAAGGTATTTTGGACGATCCAACAGTAGAAAACGACGCATGTTAGCTAACAATAACATCACAGTGTTGCGAAAACATGTTCTGCTTTAAAAAAAATCAAGAAGCATTTGTAATGATAATTCAAAAAATGATATTTGATGGGCTGCAAGTAAAAAAATAATCAAAAGGTCAATGTTATCCTATTTTCAAACTCGCCCCAGCTTACGGTAATCAATTTTACATTGAAGTTACTTTTGAAAAAAAACTTTTGGTTATAAATTCGTAAAACTTTACAATTAACTTCCTTCTAAATTATTTGAAAATTTAAAAATATCCAAGTTCATCTTGACATACCGTAAATATGTCGTACCGTAAATCTAAATGTAAATTTATATATATATATCATTGACCTCACTCTATAACTCGCTGCTGTTTAATCAGGTGACGCTATTGAACTTCATGATTACTCCATTGGGTCTTGAAGATCAGTTACTGGGCATCGTTGCTGCAAAGGAAAAACCACAACTTGAAGAGAAGAAGAACCAGTTGATTGTGGAGAGCGCAGCCAACAAGAAGCAGGTACGCCATAATATTACACATTATAATGGTTGGCACAACAACTTATTGCTAACAAGGTTTGTGATTGCCGAATCCATAGCAATATTTTTACTTGTGATGAGTGAAATAAACACTTTATGATCAAACAGAAGTACGGTCTTATCAACAGTACAATCTGTCTAGTTGTCAAAAAACTATCTTCAATTTGTTTATGTATATTGTCTGATTTTTCATTCCCTCATTAACTATGAAACTTAATTTGATTTACTGGTGGGGTGTATGCCTGACATCAAATGCACTGCTAGCAACTCATATTTTTATTTCCAAATGATCGTCGTAGTACTCCGTGGCAAGTTTGTTAACACGAATTTTACCCCTGTTCTGCAAAAATAATTTCTTTTTCTTTGGGACGTTAATTATATTCATTGTTTTTAATGTAAATGAACAGAAAAATCTGGATGGGTTTTCCCGTTTGAGAGGATTTTTTACTAAAGCTGGGTATAGGTCATGCGGTTTTTCTTGATTAAAATTTTCTTAATGACAACCATTTTCTTCACAGCTCCAGGAAATCGAAGATAAAATCCTACAAGTACTCTCATCATCAAAGGTATCGTGATGTGAAGGTCCTTAGATGTTATCTAAAGTAGATATCCTCATCAGTTCGTCACTCTTGTATTTAGGGCAATATTCTTGAAGATGAGACAGCTATAACAGTGTTGTCGTCATCCAAGACTTTGTCAGAGGAAATTCAGGCAAAGCAGGTACGTTGTGACATTGTACATTTTACATGTGAGATGAAACGCAACACTGTCAACACATGTTAAACGCTTCTTAAAAATGTTATGGTGAAGTGGTCTTTCTTCCAGATTTCGATTTTCATTCAGTTTTATAAAGTTGAATTTTAATGGTCGTGAGAAAAGTTTGGATTTCTATGTCTGACTTATTTTTGTGGCTTCGTCATTTCATTTATTTATGCATGCATCGTTAGACGAAGGTCAACTTACACACTTGTCTTACGTGTGAATCACCCCTGTATAACTTTTGTAACGCTTTAGTTTGAAACGTTTCCCATTCTTTTCTGACATGTGGACCACTCCTGTCTTACATATGAAAGACTTTAGTCTGACATGTTTACCATTCTTTTCTGACATGTCAACCACTCCTATCTTACATATGAAAGACTTTAGTCTGACATGTTAACCATTCTTTTCTGACATGTCAACCACTCTTATCTTACATATGAAAGACTTTAGTCTGACATGTTTACCGTTCTTTTCTGACATGTCAACCACTCCTATTTTACATATGAAAGACTTTAGTCTGACATGTTTACCGTTCTTTTCTGACATGTCAACCACTCTTATCTTACATATGAAAGACTTTAGTCTGACATGTTTACCGTTCTTTTCTGACATGTCAACCACTCTTATCTTACATATGAAAGACTTTAGTCTGATATGTTTACCATTCTTTTCTGACATGTCAACACTCCTATCTTACATATGAAAGACTTTAGTCTGACATATGAGCAACTTTTGTAATTTGCTAAAAATGGCTCTGTGCATTTCAACGATTTTAGGTTAGCGAGTTCAGTTTGGATTTTTTCCAGTTAATTTTATTGTTGTTGTTGCAACCTTCCAATAATTCAGCGCGTGACGGCAACTTTATGGTTAATGTTACGTACCCCCAACGTGTTCTTAACTCACCGTGTTCTTCTCTAGGAAATTGCTTCAGCGACGGAGAAGGAAATCGACGAAACACGAAATGGATATCAACCTGTGGCAAAACATTCTTCAATATTGTTCTTTTGTATCTCAGAACTGGCTAATATTGAACCTATGTACCAGTATTCACTCACGTGGTTTATTAATCTATATATTCAGGTACTATGTTCAACTGGCGAGTCATTGGCGGAGTTTTTTATTTGCTTTTACTTTTGTATTAAGTCTATCAATAAGAACAATCGATCTTCCATACTGCCTTGTAACTATCCCATCCTTAATTTCATTTTTAGTCCATTAACAAGAGCAAGCGATCAAATGAACTTGATGAACGTATTGATTATCTCAACGATCATTTTACAGAGAGCATTTATGTCAACGTTTGTCGTTCGTTGTTTGAGAAAGATAAACTGCTCTTTTCTTTCGTTCTTACCGTTGGCATCATGCAGGGAAGGTAAGCACATGTTAAGATGGAAGGAGGTAGTAAGGATGACGTTTTAACATCATGGATATGGTTTTTTTATTGTCACAGAATACAATGAGCATAAACATACTTGTAGAAGGTTAGGTGCTGAATCTGGATAGCTCATTATAACCATCTCATAATTACCTAACTATTATATGTTTAGTGTAGTGATAAATCTGCATATCCATCTACCTACGAACGTTTAGTATCAGGATGGAAATACGTATTTTTCAATTGTCTTGCTAAGAACATGGCGGAGTAGATTTATGTACCTTTTGCTTTAATTGATTTTGACAATTATTTTTTTAGAGGTGACATTGATGATCAAGTCTGGCGCTTTTTGCTTACTGGAGGAGTGGCTCTAGATAATCCTTATCCCAACCCGTGTCCTGATTGGCTCATCGATAAATCATGGTCAGAAATTGTTCGTGCATCGGACTTGGCCAGTCTCAAAGGATTGAAAGATGGTAATTATTTTATTCATCGCGTGATGTGATTTGGGTTTTTTTCAAAGAAATGACGTAAAAAAAGTTTCTCAGTGGTCAGGTCTAGGCGAGCCGCGCTATATGCATGCCTTATAAGGGAAAAAACGCTGGAACTTTTAATATCGACCAATAAACGTTGAACGTGTTTGTTATAGAGCAGAATTATGCATAGATACCCCTTACTTATATAAACAATACAACTATCAGGCGTTCATTCGGCTACTTAAAAACAGTGTTTAGTGACATTTTTTATTATATAAGCTGCAAATAGCTGAACGAAATTTACGGCAACGAAATCTCACTTGTGCCATCATATTATGTAAGTAAATCATGATTCATTATATGTGTCATTAGTGACACTTAAGCGTGATACCATCGAAGAAAGATTTTGATGAGATCAAAGACTTCGTCTCAGTGATGCGTGATTTGTATAATCTCGCACAATACAGAAAAAGTGGAATTTTAAACTCGAGCGTACCTTAAGGCCCGATCACACGATCCGATTTGTCGTATCCCATTTTTTCGGTTCGGTCTTCTGGTTGCTTGTTCAGATGGTCCGATAATTTTATTGACATTTATGTTCGTTTGAATGTTTATTGTTTGTAAACAGCCATTTGTGCTATCCAGTACATTTATCCATATATTTTTCGTATTTTTGTTCTTGTTTCCAAGTCTTTTTCAAATTGATGTAATTTGTCTAGTCGGCTTCCTTTGATCTTATTGAATGAAAACAGAGCAAGTTCTATTTCCAACCGATTTTTTGGCTGACGGATCCGACTACCGGAAGATCACTTTATATGTGTTCACACGATCCGTTTTTTAGGATCCGAAAAAAGTAGATCCGACAAATCGGATGGTGTGAACGGGCCTTTAGGTAGCACGAGTAATAGTTGCCATGTAACTGTTTCACTTCTGTGTTAACTTCATCCCCGTGGTGAAATAAACATTAATTTCGATGGGTACATTTCTTAACTGTCTATTATCATACATGTATGAATGTCTTCATAAAAACTCATTCTCTCCTTAACTGTGCAATCAATGATTTTCTGTTTTCACTCAAGAAGAGATCGTAACTTATAAAATAAATGGTTAGAGATGATTTTTCACGGTCAATTTTAGATTTTGATGCCTCCGGATGGAAGACGTTTTATGACTCTGCAGCCCCGCATAACGAAAAATTTCCTGGCACGTGGAATGTTCTCTCTGGATTGGACAGGTCAGTGAACACTTCATTATCTGTCGTTTTAGAACTAAACAGCAGCTAGGGCGCTTGCTCGTAGGAAAGTTGCAACATGCAGCTAGGGCTGCTTGTTCGTAGAAAAGTTGCAACCTGCAGCTAGGGCTGCTTGTTCGTAGGAAAGTTGCAACCTGCAGCTAGAGCTGCTTGTTCGTAGAAAAGTTGCAACCTGCTGCTAGGGTTGCTTGTTCGTAGGAAAGTTGCAACCTGTTACTGATTTTTTTCACAGCATATTTAATTTCAAGTGAGCGTGCGTAAGAATTAAATAGTCTTTTAATGAGCATTCTTGCACAATAATTCTCTAAAATTGAATTTCTTTTGCTTAAAACTGTACAGCAGTTTTGGGGTAAATGTCAATGATTTTTGTTACCATCTGTGTAAGACGGGCCTTGGTGTAATGTTTCTAGGCTTGTCGTGTTACGTTGTCTTCGTCCTGACAAAATTGTTCCAGCTGTTCAGGTGAGGGAATTTTTTGTAAATGTTTATAATCTTCCTACCTCAATCAAAATAATGTTATGTATTTAATAATGGTTTTTTGCACGTTTATTTTTTGTTATATGATTTATAGTCCGTATGTAAATGCTTCATAGTTTCTTTATCTTTTTTAAAGGATTTCATCGTAGATAACATGAGTCGTACGTATATAGAGCCACCAACATTCAATTTGGAGTTGAGTTATGGCGACTCACACTGTTGTGCACCGTTGATTTTTATCCTCTCCCCCGGTGCTGATCCAATGGCATATCTTCTCAAGTTTGCTCAGGACTATGATATGGGGGGTGACCGAACACAAACTATATCTCTTGGACAAGGACAGGTATTCAATCAAAAATGTTTACACAATTGTTGAACACGACGTTCTATGCGTAGAGATTATAATTAAGACTAGAGGTGCCAGTGACGACGAATTTAGGCGACACAAGAATTGGGGGGGGGGTGGGGTGAGGACAAATGATGTTTTTGCCGTCTGCTTTGACTTTTGGATTCCTTTTGAACATAGTTCGCATACTCTTATTGCTCTTTTGTACGAGCATCAAGAAAATTTTTCATTTTAAAGCGTTAGTCATTGTTATTAGCGAGCTGTTGTTATGATTATATGTTGTTTATAATCTTCGTTTGCTTTGTATGTTTTATTTAAACTATACGCAATGAAAACTTATGTTATTCTTTTCTGTTTTTCTGTTTTTACAACCCACATATTCACATAGTTTAACCATTTTAAACATTTTTCCGGTATGAATGACAAATATATGTTTTTTGAAGTCTGTTAGCAGTTGTATTAAAGACGAAAAAGGGCTTCTTATCAAGCAATGATTCACGGACTTATATAATTTACTGAATAAGTTAAAAAGCAACACAAACAAGTTTTGCCAATTACGAGTGGCTTAAACCATCTAAAATTACGAAAAAAGGAAATAATTGTTCAACAATTAGATTGTGATAGTATTTACTATAGTATTACGCATAATATATACAAAAAATTGAAAAAATCATAGTCGGCCACTGTAGCTTAACATCCGGGAATCGATTTTCGTCCCAAAAAATGCGTACCATATTTTGAATTATAGATTATATTACGATGCCACCTCTAGTCTTTTTTATAATCTCTATGGTTCTATGTCCTCTAATGATTTTAGAAGGAATGGATTTGAATATATCTTACCATGAAATTATTGAAACTCTAATGAGACTGCATGGAGTATATGAGACTCAAGTTTCCACATTAGATCACTCCGGAGGAAAACACTAGGTAGAAGTATTCCAACGAAGACACTAGACTGGTGTATATAAACGACTTTACAAAAAAACTTCCTAGTAAAACACTAAAGTTGGCGAGGGCTGATGTTTTAACGCAAAACGATTCATGATAAAAACTTTGCTCTTTCTTTTCTACATTCTCTACTTCCATGTCCTACATCAATGACTGCACTTTCCAACATGCGTTGTAGCATGTCGGTAGTTTACATTAATATCCATTACCATTTCATCAGTTATTTACTGTTGAGTCCCAGAAGACCAAGCAAAACCTTAAGATGCCATAATATAATGTTAATATTGCAGGGTCCAATCGCCGCTCGTATGATCGATGCTGCTCTAAAGAATGGTACGTGGGTTGTGCTTCAGAACTGTCACCTTGCGACAAGCTGGATGCCGACTTTGGAGAAAATTTGTGAAGAAGTCATTGTTCCCGAAGCGACGCACCCTGATTTTCGTTTGTGGCTGACGAGTTATCCATCGCCAGACTTTCCCGTTTCAATACTGCAAAACGGTTAGTTAAAGTACCCAGGAATATGATGGGTTAAGGTCTTAATAAACACCAGATGGCGCAGAGTGTAGAAATTAAATTCTTAATGTGTTCAGTGGTATATAAGGTTAGTATAAGGTCCGGCGCACACTGTCGAACTTGTTGTACGTACTTGTTATTCGTGACAAGTTAGATCGAAAAAAAATTCCTTATGCCATTGTTTTGTCCATTTCACACGATTTGCTGCCATCAAATCGTCTGCAGCGTCGTCGTAGCAACAAAAGCAGTAGTAATACCTCTTCATCGTTAGTGAATTCGTTATCGTTTATCAATTCGCATGCTGATGCGACAGTTATTCAAGATGTTCAATAAACAAGCCATTTTGTTTTGACAGTTGTATTTTTTAGGTCCGCTAGGAATTTTTGTTCACGAATAAAAAGTTTTCCAGTGTACGCCGGGCTTTAGTAGGATGTAGAATTTAGGTGGTAATATGGAGAAATTAATTTTAAATAACGTAATTTGCCATGGTATATAGTATCTATACCCTCTGTGGTTTTTATGAAAAGAACTGTTCACAATGATGACACGATTCATTTTGAGAGACTTCTCATCAAGTGCCACGTCTGCTTTTAAAAAGCAAAGAAAGTTCATGTTGAGAGGTCTGCTGAGGTTCATTTTGTTGTTTGATTTCTCAAAATTTATCATGCTTGTGCACTCTTAAAAGGAAGGTGCAAATTGTTTAAAGTGTGATGCACAGTTTAAGTGTAGTGAAATAGAAGTGTAGAGATATATGGTATAAATAAGAATTGTACAGTGTATAAGAAGATGTCTATTTGATTTATTTAAACCAATGAAATATAATAAAACAAGTATACAGACCCCATTGTACACATCACGCTCGACACTTTGAAGTTGTACCTTTGTAGAAATAAGTATTTTTGTTGTATTATTTCATCAATCTTCTATTTTTTTGTTGCCCCACTTAGGTGTAAAAATGACAAACGAGCCTCCGAAAGGACTGAGAGCAAACATCCTGAGATCATATTTAAACGATCCAATATCAGATTCGAGCTTCTTCGATGCATGTAGCAAACCTGTAAACTGGCGTAAATTGTTGTTTGGTTTGTGTTTCTTCCACGCCTTGGTTCAAGAAAGGAGAAAGTTTGGACCTCTAGGTTGGAATATTCCATATGAATTCAATGAATCCGACCTTCGCATCAGCATGCGACAGTTACAGGTCAGTGTTTCCCCGTTGTCTTAGGGATATTCTTAGCAGGAATATTCTTAGGACGTTAATGGGAGGGGGTTATTCAGTTGTGCCCGAATGATTTTTTTCAAAAAGATTCACTTAAGAAAGTAAGAGATCAGATGAGCTGCACAACTAAATGCATCAATAAACATCCCCACCCCAATTGAACTTCTCGTAACGGCTTGATTACCATGATTAACAGCTATATGTCTTGTTGGTGTTTTATAAGTTATAACTAACTTATGATCAGTGGTAAATCTGCGATAGGTGTTTCGTATCAACGTTGTAATAAGTTAGGGATTGGTGTTTATATTTAGCTCATTATCAATTGCAGGTCTGTGATTGGTAGTTTATGATTAGCTTATTATAAATTGCACTTGTGTGATTGGTTGTTTATACTTAGCTTATTATCAATTTCAGGTCTGCTATTGGTGTTTTATATCTGGCTTATGACATACAGTAGTAAAGATTTTAAATAGCCTTTGTTTTAATGATATTACTTGAGTTGTGGATAATATTTTTAGATGTTTCTCAATGATTACGATCACCCACCTTTGGACGCTCTTATCTATCTGTTTGGCGAGTGTAATTACGGGGGAAGAGTTACAGACGATAAGGATCGACGATTGTTGATGAGTTTACTCTCAATATTTGTCTGCGAGGGTATGATTAATCAAGATCTTCACCAGTAAGATTATTAATTTAATATTTGTAGTGATATTTATGTAATTCAGTTGGATTTTACAAGTGAGATTTTAGTCATATTCACAAGTCTAGTTTCTACCATAGGTTTAATTTCATATCGATTCTTAAGTCTTTACACCCACTCGTATGGTCTTTCGGTATCTTCATCAAGAGGGATTTGATATTGAAACTTAAGTCCTTACATACTCTAGTCTAGTGTCTTAATCAGGAGTGATCTGACATGACAATATGAGTTTTTATAAACTCCAGTCTAACGTGATTTTACGTTTCTTTTCTCCAGATTTTCTCAAAGTGGGACTTACTACTGTCCTAACCATGGTCCATATGAAACATACCTAGAATACGTGAGATCATTGCCCCTAAATCCTCATCCTGAAGTATTTGGTCTTCACGAAAACGCTGATATCACAAAAGATCAGAAAGAAACAAACGAGGTCAGGCACAAGCCGAAAGTTTAGCGCAAAATAGTGATGTTATAACTACCATAGTAAACTTGATGGGATCTAGAATGGTTAATTTGCTCACGGGGGGGGTAGGATGCTCAAATGTAAATCAGAGTTTGGTGGCTACATGGCTCTGATGTTGCAATGTTGGACTTTTTTTGTTAAATTCTGTCGCTCTTATGTCATAATTGGCAGATATTTTGTGGATATGTTCTCCTTTAAACACGTATGACAATTGCTTATGCATTATTGCTTGTACATTAATATTTTGTAATGAAAATGAAACCCCCTAGCACTGTTTCTAGTTAAGGCTACGAGGTATGCCTTCCCCCCTGCACCCCTTCGGTAAACCTTTGTAGTAGACTTGAGTATTCTGTCCGCCTGTTGCTGTTCTTGACAGTACTAAATTTACAGTACTATATTGTTGATACAAAGTCAGTTTTGGAAACGTGTTGTATGTTTTTCGTGGGTAAATTGTGGAGTGAATGTTCTTTAGGTATTGTTTTTGAGCAATCAGGTAAAAGTAGTTCCATTTTTCATCCTCTTGGTTCCTTTAGCTGTTCGATTCTATCCTGTTGACATTACCGCGACAGTCTGGAGGAGGTGGAAAATCTTCTGGCGAAATAATGGAAGAACTCGCTGCCGATATTCTATCTAAGTTCCCGCCAAGATTTCAACTGGATGAAGTCATTGAAAAGTACCCAGTCCTCTACACGGAATCCATGAACACAGTCCTACGTCAAGAGCTAATCCGGTTCAACCGGCTTACTGATGTTGTGCGTGCAACGTTGATCAACTTGCAAAAGGCCATTAAAGTAAATATTGTCAAGCACTTTTATTTTTTCATTTCCATCCCGTGGATGTTTTTATACATATTTGGTTGTATAATGTCATTAATTCATTATGTGAAGAACAAAATAGATCAAAGTAAAACTTGTACTTCCACATGATGTTGAAGAGAAACTTTCTTATACATGTGTAAATCTTGTCTATACCAATTTCAATCTTACCAATACCAAAATAAATCATACATATACTGACGTGAATTCTACCTATACCTATGTGAATCTTACCTATACCTATGTAAATTCTACCTGTACCTATGTGAATCTCATTTATGCTTATGTCAATGTTACCTATACTCATGTCAGTTTTGCTTTCAAATTACTTTTAGGGCCTGGTCGTGATGTCTTCCGAACTTGAAGATGTGTTTAACAATATGTTAGTGGGTAGAGTCCCCGCTGTTTGGGCTGCTAAATCTTATCCATCTTTAAAACCCCTTGGCAGTTACGTTGCTGATCTTTTGGAAAGGTTTGACGACAAAAAATTGTAAAGTCTTCATTTTGCAGTTGAAATTAATGTTAAAACTAGTGGAACTTTTGCGTTCACTAGAAAATTGAAAACTCTCAATAGTTTTTCCTGAAGAAGTAAGTATATTGTAGCACTTCTGACTTATTTCATTGTGAGAGAAAAAGCTTTTGCTGACTTCATCACTTCTAAATTCCAGGGTAAATTATAAATTATCCAGCGTAACCCTCCCCCTCTAAGGATTGGTTGTAACGGTGAATATGTCGTGTGAATATCTGCTTAGTGGTAATTATTATTCCCTTTTTGAAGGTTGGCGTTCTTTCAAAAATGGATTGATGACGGAACGCCGAATGTATTTTGGATTTCTGGTTTTTATTTCACGCAGTCTTTTCTGACAGGTATATTCATCTATTTCATGTATTGTTCGAGGCTCACGTTTGCAAAACCTCAAATATTCCTTAGGGCGTCTCTAGAACTTTTTTTGTAGGAGGGGGCGGAAGGCGGATTGATTAATATATTCAGTTACGCCCAAATATATTTATTGTAATCTATTCTAAATTACTATGATTCTCTTTTTTTCAGCAGTTAACACTGTTTTAATTTAAGTTTAGATGGAACCCATTGTTTTCATCCTTGTTTTTTTGTGTGGCCGTTTTTCTTTTTCCACTTCGTTCCTCTTCATTACTTACCATATGAACAATATATTATGCAAAATGTTTCATGGGAAATGTATTTATTATACCGTATTACTATTGTCTTCTAACCCAATGTGCCTAGAAAATTATGGAAAAACTACAGGATTGTGAGGAAAGATATTTAATGATGCAAAGAAAGATTAATTTCATGTACTTTATTAGGTGCTCGTCAAAATTTTGCCCGTAAGTATACAATTCCTATCGATTTTGTTGGCTTTGAGTTTGAGATCACAGAACATGAAATGGACATGAACAGCAAACCTAAAGATGGCGTTTACGTTAAGGTGAGAAATCATGTTTAGTGTTGAATAAAGTGTACCAGTACCCATTAGTTTGGTGCACAAAGCGTCACTTTCGGGGAAATAGCGTTTTTGATTTGCTCAAAAACGTTTTTGACGTTCCATTACTTTCCCGTAATAGACGGGTGGTTCATTACGTGTAATTTTACAAATAATGTAGACAATTTTGTGAAGCAAAGGTTTTGAAAAGGCAAGAAAAAATGAAACCAAAAACATGTATGAATGTGAGTCGGAAGAAAAAAAATTCGAAAAGTGAGTTTCATAAACCTCGCTAACTTGGTCTTTACCTATAAATATTTGATCTCTGTCTTTTAGAGCAAACCTCGACCTACTGACGTGGTTTGTACAAAGCCATCTCGGTGCAATATTTGTCAGTTAAGACCTCGCACTTTGTTAATAAAGGCTTGTAGTGCCTATATTACCCTCAGGGAAATAATCTATTAGATACAAAGAGTTGAAGATTTTAAGATCATTTGCAATATATTACCAGACTAAAACTTGTCGTTTTGGGCCTCAAAGTTGGCGTGACGTACATTGCTGAACACGCTGCTTTTTAAAGACACCTCCATTGTTAGATTAAGCAATGGATGTATTTGATATTTACGTTCAAATTTGACTTTGAAAGAGAATTTCTTTCTCGGGCACAAGTGAGTTAATAACCCCCTCCCAATTACGGTTCTTATTACGGCCCTGTGTATAAATCATTATATTTCTTTAGGGGTTATTTTTGGAAGGTGCCAGATGGGATCGTCACAAAAGAACATTGGGAGAATCGTTCCCCAAGATACTGTTCGACACCTTGCCTATTGTATCCTTGTGTTCTTATATACCCAAGTGTTATTCATCATAGTCAAGTGTACCCTACATCATGAGTAATATATCAATCCCTATATTTATAGAGACAAGTTTTTCGCTCTCAGGAGCAGAGGCGTATTTCCTAAGGCCTCAGACTAGGCGATGACAAACCCCCTGACCAGAAAGCTGCACCCCCCTATCAAAAATATACAGTAAAAGAAAAACATGTGCACTGTAGTCTTTAGCATAAAAAATGAAATCTAAACTATACACTGTAAAATCGGTTGGTGTAGTGTTGCACCAATGGTTAGGACTGTTATAATATGGAATCTAAGTCTACATGTATGTTTAGTTCTGATGATTTGAGTGATTATCAATGAAGTTTGAGTGCGTATATTTCCAGCCAAGTTCCTTCATCAGAAATGATCTTTTTAAGATCTGAGCAGGTGAAATTCTGGACGATAGAAATTTTTTTCTTAACTCGAAATACTTCAGATGTGGGTGAAACCTGGCGAAAAATCTAAATTTCAGAAAAAAGCAACCTATTTTGCTCCTGTGTATAAAACAAGTGGTCGAAGAGGAACGCTATCCACCACCGGGCATTCTACTAATTTTGTCATGTTTGTACAACTTCCCTCACAAGAACCTGAAAGACACTGGATAAACAGAGGGGTTGCCTTACTTTGTCAATTAGATGACTGAACTATTTCGAAGAACTTATTTCTTGAAAACCGGTTTTAAATGGAGATGTTTTTATATACTGTAGAAGGTTTGAGTTTTGTATTAATATTGTATATTTTTGTAAATGTGAAAAAAAATTAAGTTTTAAGGATAAATTGTATAGTTTATGTATCAAAGTGTGAAGTATTTCTCTTAAAAGTTAAAATATACATACATCTCATGTTTTTCTTAAGGTGGTCATCACCTCTTATAAACTGTATTTTGACAAAATTTTCAAAAAAAAAATTATTAATTTTTTGGGAGCCTTAACTATTTAATTTTAAGACTTTGTCGTTTATATTTTGAAAAACATTATAAATTACGGCCAAAAAGCTTTCAAAGCTATGTTGTTTAAAAATTTACTCCATAGCAACGGCCTAGCAACGCATTTAGGTTGAGATTTCCTCAAAATTTGGTCGAAATATTGGTCAAAAAATTGTCATTTTTGTTTCTCCTTTTGGTGCATTGAATTCAGAGTCTTTTGACATAATTGTATTCTAATTGGTTCCTTTGGGGAGCCATGGCAATGAAAGTCTTTTGTCTGTCTCGAGATCGATGCGTTTGCATTTCTGGCGAAGTTGTCTACAAATTTCTTAGTTTTTTGTAACATTTCAAGTGCTAAATTTGCTGCTTTTATTTCCCAACTATTGTTTTTGTTATTTTGTTGGGGGATTTGAAGTTAAATGATGGGAAATCCTCAAAATAGAGGTAGAAAACGGGTGAGAAAAAATGGCAAAGAAATGCAAAAATGGCGAACCTTGTGACAAAGAGGTTGGGGATCTTCCGGTGCGAAAATTGGTAATCAGACAGCAAATTTTGATGTCCATTCCAACATTATAACAGAAGGTACTATATTTCTGGACTTATCAGTTTTATTTATAGTCTTAAATGAGATTCTGAAATGTCCGGACGGTGGGAAAGCAATGAACTCACATTCGGAAGCAGACTGCGGAAACTAAAAACCTCGAACAAAGGGAGAAACCTCTCGGATGGTAAAGGTTTGTCTGGAAAAGGTCAGCTAACTACGCAAAAGATGGACATTCTTCGAAACTATTATGGTTTGGCAATAAGGGGAAACCTTAATAGTGTTGAAGAAATGGCCATAGCTGCTAGGGCATCTCTTTTCCATGTTGCCTCCTCAGAGAAGAATCCTCAGCATCACCTGTGTCCAAAAGGAAAAGATAGTTGGTGTGGCTACCTAAGAGATCACACCACCTACCAACACAAGACTGGTATTCCTGGGCCCATAGAGAACTGATTGAGCCAATATTCAATGATCTAACTGATCCAGATTTGTTGAAGAAATGTACACATGGATTGACACAGAATCCGAACGAGTGTTTGAATGGACTCATTTGGGACAGATCTCCCAAGAAACTGTCTCTTTAGCAACATATTTGGCAGTGTTGAAGTTTAATGATGGAGACATCTCCTATATTAACATTTTTCATGATTTAGACATAATGCTTGGGGTATTTATGACCAAAGGTGCGCAAGACTCCGACAAAGCCAGGATAAAGTTATCAGTCCAAAAGAATTCTGAGCAAGTGAAAAGTAGGAGGAAGTCACTGAGGCATCTCAGAAAGAAGTTTCTGGACAATGCTGAAGACTTGGAAGGGGTAACTTATGAAGCAGGTAGCTTCTAAGCCTTCAAAGCTGTAGATGAACTGGAATGAAACTTTACATTGGATTTTCTCATTTTCGCATTTTTGCAATAGTCAGTGATTTTTGTGACACTATAAATTTGTAAATATTTGATGCAGAGGCTTGATATTTGGCATACTTACTAACTATAGTATCCTCTATTATGTGACACTCTTGAATTTTTAATGCTGTTTATATTTAATGACTTAAAGCCAAATTTCGTTCAAATGTTTGCAATAAAAATGTGCAAAAATTGAAAAAGTTCTAAATTTCACTCTAAAATTTTATTTAAGATATTAAATGAAAATTAAAGAGTGTCACATAATAGAGCAGGTTCTAAGCTTTTCAAAAATATATGTTTTATTTTGTTTTAACCACTGGTTCTTGAGTTATCATGTTTACAATGCGAAGCAATTAAGTCTTAATTAGCAGCCGCCATCTTGGATAATTAGGCTAATTAACGAGTTTGTGAAAAAAATTTTCTTTTTGTCATTTTCTATCACCCATGCCTTTCAGAAAATGATATTTTTGCCTAAATTTACTTAAAAATAGAAAAAATTGTTTCAAGAGGTGATGACCACCTTAAGGTTGCAAGATCCTTTTTGATTTACTTTTTGAAATAGTCATTATTGACAATAAACATAGGTATTATTTAAGAAATATATAAAGTTATTTACATTTAAAAGAAAAAATTCCTAGAATTATGCTAATTAGGTGCTAAAATGCCTGCCATATTGTCAAAAGTAGGTTTTTCTTTAAACATGATTACTCGGGCATATTTACAAGTGAGGCTGAATTTGTAACTGAAATATTCGTAGTTGTGACTAGCATTCTTATGTAAGTAATGATGGTAGGAATTTTTAAAAAAAATTAACAAACATTTTTTATCTCATGTTTTGTAATTTTTTACATTCTCTGTAAGATATACTTCATGAAAAACTAATGAATCTCATTCAAAATTCCAACCTCCATTCCCTAGATATTTGTCAAAGAATCTATGGTAAAAATTTCATCATTTAAAAATTAGAGAAGAAATAGTGTTTTGAAGATGGTTGATTTCAGTAAAATGCTTATTCTGAGAAAATAGCTAAATACAGAATAAATATGTAAAAATTGCTCTCCTATTCTTCTTTCTTGTCCTGGAATCCTTTCTTGACCTCCCGAATATGCTTTCTGTGCTTTGTTGCCTTTTCTGTTGATTTCCATTCTGACCAGCAAATGTGCTTCACATTGGCTTCTACAACACCATGTGATGTAAACCTGCCTGGAGCAATGTCAATATGGTGAAAATGTTTTAAAATGCTTATGTTGCCATCGTTGAACTGAACCACAGCCCTGTAAGCAGTATCTTCAATTGTTTTGCTTCCAACAAACAGTTCTTTGCTGCAGCGGTCCCAGATTAGCTTGTTCAAGCACTCATTATTATTTTGAGTCATTCCATGAAGGCACTTGAGAAGCAAAGATGATACACTCAGTTCATCTTAAATAGGCTCAAGCACTTCAACAATGGCCTCTGGTAGTCCATGTTTGTGTTTAAAATTTTCTGGGTCATTGTTGAATTTGCACCAAGAATCTGATGGGCACAGGCCATGTTGTAGATTTGCATCAGTACTAGCAACATGGTAAAGGGTAGCAAGTATTACTCTCTGCATACCTACCAAGTCTCCTTTGTTCTCCCTGATAGCCATTTCTGTATTTGAAATGAATTTTCGTCAAATCAAATGTCAGCTTGAGATCTAATTTAATGTGAGAATCAGTGATCTTTAACTTCCTTTCAAATTTTTAGCTGTAGGCGTAACATTAAAGGAATCTTGTTGAACATCATTTGGAATTATTTAATTCATTGGTTAGTAAAATCCATAAAATCTGGCGAAGTAAACCACCATTCTTAGTAGTGACAATTGACAAGAGCCTCTAACTGTAGCCACATTACGTCAGTGGTGGAGAGTTGGCGAGAATATTACCCATGTAGCTTTGCGCTGCCGCGCAACAATTCTTTCTCTTCTCGCTGGAAACAAAATACCATCATGTAAGTAGCAATAAATTTAAATCGCTAGGAATCTTTTTCTTAGGTTATCGTTTTTGTGAATTGCTTTTAACTGTGAATTACTTAATTGGTTTTGCTTTAACTTGGTCGTCTTTGAATTGTCGTGCGATTAAATTAGTCCGAGATGACTTAGCTTTAGCATGTTCGTATGAGTGAGAACCACGTCGGCATAAAATGGCTTCAAACATTATGAAATAACTTCATCGTGATTGAATTTGAGACTGAGTTTTGTAAGATGTAACGGCCCAGTGATACAGTTCGTGAATTGTCTATCTATTACAATTTATGCTCTTTCACGTGTATTTTCAATTTACAATTTATAGCAATGGCGGATACAGCACCAGCCGGTGGTGGACGAGGCGGATTTGGCCGAGGAGGTTTTGGCCGAGGAGGCCGCGGTGGTAGGGGGCGCGGACGAGGACGAGGTCGTGGAAGAGGCAGGGGTAAAGCTGATGATAAAGAAGTGAGTGTTTTATAGTAATGTAGGCGATGCGACTTGTGTCTAGTCACTTGTGTGTGTGATTTTTCATTTAAGAAAAAAAAGATGTTTACTGTGTTTGCAAGAACTTATGCAAACCGAGGGGATCTTTCGGCCAGAGTGCATTCCATGCACAAAAGTCTGGAGATCTCCGGCGTGTAGAAATTATCGTCTTGGCCTTTCGGCGTACCATTACCTGTTGCCTCAATGTTGGCGTACCACAGTTTATATTATTTCTTAATTCGGCTTATGTTGGGTTGGTGTGATACTTGTACATTATGGCGTGAAAAAAAGTTATTTTGAAACCTTTGATGTGAAGGTTACATGGAATGCACCCTGACCTTTGGAAGAACTCAAGAGCAGATTAGTGCAAGCCCAAGACCAAAGGTTGAGGGTTGCACATGCTTGAGAGTTCTCACAAACGTCTCCGAGGTTTGCATAAGCCAGTGCAAACACAAAAAACATCTTTTATTTCTTTTACAAAATAAAATTAATGCAAAAAGGACAGACATTTAAATTTTTCCTCAAAAATGTTTTTGTGATTGATTTGCAAATTCTCTTTGACTGGTTGATTGTTTGAATTGATTTGATTGGTTGAGCTCAGATGTGTTTTGCTAAGGCTAATACAAACTCAGCTCTAGACAAATCAGTGCATGTGTTTTATTGTCTTCATTTTATAAAATGTATTGAACATTATTTTGATGTTTTTTTTACAGTGGGTTCCTGTGACGAAATTGGGACGTTTAGTGAAAGATTTGAAAATCAAATCCTTGGAACAAATCTACCTGTTCTCATTGCCTATCAAGGTTAAAATTATAATTTGCATTGGGGATCAGGTTCCCTTGTTTGCCTTAATTTGTATTTATTTTCTCTGCAGGAGTTTGAAATCATTGATTTCTTCCTTGGCGCTGCTTTGAAAGATGAAGTTTTAAAGATTATGCCAGTTCAGAAACAAACCAGGGCTGGTCAAAGAACACGCTTCAAAGCTTTTGTTGCCATTGGTGACCACAATGGCCATGTTGGTCTTGGTGTTAAGTGTTCAAAAGAGGTGGCAACAGCCATACGAGGTGCTATAATCTTGGCGAAACTCTCTGTTATTCCAGTTCGCCGAGGTTATTGGGGTAACAAGATCGGTAAACCACATACAGTACCTTGTAAGGTAGGCAATATAGGAGCAATATGGTGTTATTATGGTGTACCAATATTATTATTGAATACAGAATGTATGCATATGTACTTATCACAAGATTTATTGTTTACGTGTTTGTCAATCGCACAGATGTAGCAGCCATTGAAAGTTAATATTAATAATTTTATGACTGACTCAAGCTGTGCAATTGCTGATTTGCTGTATCCATGCAAGGCAATACTTTTGGCGTAGAGGCTTATTAGCAAGTTTGCACTTAGCCTGCTTTAAAAACTCTAAACTATTATGAATTTTTTTCATCCATGTGACAAGGCCTCATCAAACTTTTATTGCTGTTGTTGATTACATGAGTTATATTTTATAATTTATATGGGAATTTCAATTTTGTGATTGCCAAAACCATATGAAAGCTATTAAAACTAGAAAGCAGTGTGCAAATGAAAGGTGTGCAAAGTTCAATTTGCACATTGTTTTAGCTGAAATGAAAACAATTGCACATCACTATTTCAAATGATATGCAAAAACTTCTTTATTGATTACTACCACATACCACATAAATTGGAAAAAGTTTTCAAGCGTAATCTTTACTGATCTTTACTTTATAAATGATTGTGCTGCACGACATTAAAATCCATGTTGACACAATGTCATAAAATTTTAAAGATGTCATTTTAAGACCAGGAAGTCAGTCAACAGACAACATACATGGTGCTTATATGCTTATGACAATAGGGGTGTAATACATTATTAACGCCAATTTTTGCATTTGCGTTATTTTGTAAACTGTTACGTAGTGTTTTTGGCAATTGGCATCATAGCTATTTTGAGTATTTTCAGTAAAATCAAGAAACATGTTGATTTTGATTCTTAAAAGAAGACAAAAAAAAACTTAATATAAGCCAAATTTGAAAAATAAACCAAAGGGAATTTTGATTTTAAATAAAATAAGCCTAATGTGAGAAAATGAAGCCAAATTTGGCTCAAAATATTAAGCCAAACTGGCAACCTTCATTAGCCATACTTTTTGCTTTTACTTATTGCTTGTAATATGACATAAATATGATGATGTTTTTTTTATCGTAAGCAAACATCAAGGATGTTACTGTTAATAATCAGAAAGCAAAAGAATATTTGTTTATTCTCTTTTCACTTTTGACTTTCTTGCCATTTTTGTCGAAAGGTTGTAGCTACCAGCAAAGTAAATATAGTAGAAAAATGGATGGAAACATCAAAAGCTGACTCTTTTGTTTACTAGGATGCTGGCCATTTGGTGAATTTATTGCGCTGTAAAGTTTGCACAAAAATAAAGGAGAGAATAACATGCGCAAAAAATTTCTCTCATACATTTGTAACTGGATCAGCAGTTGTAACGAAAAATACTGTTGTAAATCATAGGAATTTGTGCACGTTTAAAAATATTAATTTAGCCATTAGCGCTATATAATAATTAACGTAATAACGATTTGATTATGCGTCTGAAGAAACACTTTTATCTAAAAAAATTGCACATCGTTTTTTTCTCTACTAATTCCCACACTTTTTTTCTATGTTTGGCGTAGAAAAATTCATGGACCGGTCAACCTCCTGGCCGGTATACAAATGTTGTTTGTTTGTTTGTTTGTAATTCTCACACTGCTGGAAAGTAAAACCATGGGATCTCAAAAATACCAGATGAATTATGCATTTAAAATCAACAGTAAATTTTTTATTATAAACATGTTTTAAGGTACATTAAGTCATCTTCAGTATATATAGGTGTGTTCTTTTGCAAGATGTAATTCTTGTTTTATTGGTGAAACCACCCGAAATCTAACCATCAGGATTAAAGAACATGCAAATTCCAACAAAAACTCACACATCCACAAACACTTACTAAAAAATCTACTCAAATAAAATAAACTATATTTTCTAAAATATACTTGCTCATGTTTTTCCATCTTAAACATTGCCAACACTCAATTTTCTATTAAACTTAAAGAAGCCCTACACACCATTTACTTTATATGCATTATGGGAAATTTACTGAAGCTGTCGAGGAGATTGCTTTTTCAGTCAAAATATTGGGAATTGGCCTTAATACCTACATTAGAATTAAGGCTGTGGTTATGAATGAAACACCGGATCTTTAGTTTTCAAGGTTATAGTTGATTATTTTTTATAATTTGGCCTGTCAATATTTTGTCAAATGTGATAAACATATTTTCTTTATAAATAACCATTTAAATGTTCGTTTTTATCATTGCAAAGGGTATGAAATATAACAATCTCTTGTTAAAAATAGGCAGGGTTCAGGTAGGCTTTAAGTTTTTATTTTAAGTAAATAATGATGTAGGAACTATTGCCATGAAAACTAAAGATCAGGTGTTGCATCTCTAACCACAGCATAAAAGTAAAGACTGACTTACAGTGATGAAAGCAATCTCTGCCAGTTCTGCTGCTGATTATCAGTGATGACATGCGAGATTACTATTCTGAGTTAAGAATTTTCAGAATCTATTTACAATACTTTGAATTAAACAATTACAACTTCAAAGTAGAGATTTACCAAAGATAAACCTTTGCACAATTTAGGTAACAGGGAAATGTGGGTCTGTGCGTGTAAGATTAATACCTGCACCACGTGGAACAGGGATTGTCTCAGCACCAGTCCCAAAGAAATTGTTGCAAATGGCTGGAATTGATGATTGCTACACTTCTGCCAGAGGAGCAACTGCCACCTTGGGAAACTTTGGTAAGTCCATATAATCATTTACGCATTTCTTGCTATGATGCCCCATCACTTTTTGTAATTTTTGCTTCCTGTATGTAGCCAAAGCAACATTTGAGGCCATTGCAAAGACCTATGAGTACCTTACTCCAGATTTGTGGGGTGAAAACAAGTTTTCTAAGGTTCCTTATCAAGAATTCACAGATTTCTTGGCTAAACCAGCTTTACCAAAAGGTCATCCTACAAATAATGCAGAGCAACCTGCTGCAACTGCTTCAAAAGGATTCTAGTGAAGTGTTATATAACTCACATTTGTGAATCAGTGAAATAAAATTATTGAAAAAATTTGCATTTTTCTAAATTAACGTTTTTTGATTTACAATTACTTTATAAACTTTACAAATGACAACATAGTTAAATGTGCATTCTTAAATTAGAATTTCCATTTGCTTGATAACTGATATATCAAAAATTGGTCATCTGGATTTTTCATTTCATGACCATCAGGTACTGATAAACAAAACCATAATTGTGTGAGGTATTTTAATTCCATGGTTGCTTTAGTCAAGATCATCATTCTTCCATTCAACAGTTGATATCACAGGCTCATTGGTGACATCCGATGATAGTGTTTGAAGTAATTCCCCTAGTATAAGCACAAACAAGACAAAGTATTATTGGTAATGGAAAAACTGAGCATGTAAGGAAAAGTCTTGTGAGAACTGTCCAAGTCATTGCCATCTATTAGAAATTGCTGTTCAAAGAGGTTATGCCTCAGGACAGGTTCATCATACATGCATAAGTTGCAATTTGAGCAAAATATGTTGGTTTATCAGTTAACTTCACAGATCTAATAATACACTAGATAGTGCAACGGCTTACATTTCATAAGTAGTGGTTGAAGCCGGGCAAATTTACTTTCGGAGCCCCAAAGTAGTGAGAATCAATATGGCGTTGTATTAGAAAATATCTGGTCAAAGCTGATATCTTGCAATTACTTGCAAGTCACGACGGTTACATAAACTTGTTTACTCTATTAATGAAAAAAATCAATGTGACCATAGTTTTTCAACAAAAAGATAGCAGAATACGCCAATACATCGCCGTAAAATTGATTTCAAGTGTAGCTCGATTTGAAAGCATCAGCAGCGACGAAGGCTTAAGATACTGGAATTTGCACATCTAAATATCGTATCAGCACATCCTGCCACAAAATGTTCAATCGAACGTCGTAGAATTATCTTCCGATATTTATTGTTAAGTAAAACGAGTTGGAGATAACAGTTTGAAAGATTTTTCACGATTTATATAAAGTATATTGTTCACTGTACATAATTAAATATTGCACTGGATTATTGTACCAGAAATGCATTTTTCTGGTGTTTCTGGTCGGCAAACGAATATAGCTATGTCAAGATGTGAGTAATTAATACGTTCAGAAATTATTTACAGAAAGAATGTGAAGAGTCTACCTCGAAGAGTCTATGTCTTGCTTGTCTATGTCTTGTCTATGTCTTGCTTGTCTATGTCATAGAGTCTGTCTTGCTTCTTCGGAATTTGTTTTATGTTATGAGTCTACCTCTGTTACACCAAATTTTTTGTGAAGCATAAAATAGCAGGTCACTTGTGAAACTGTTGATACCACAGGTTGATACAAGAACAGGCATATTACAAAAGTTAAAGCAAGTTAAAGCAAGAAGAGTCATCAGACTTGTAGTATTGACTGTGTTTTACACATATATATAAACAATGTATTGTCATAGTCTAAACCAGTGGGTTATATGGCCACTGCCCACAGTGCTTAATGTACTGTTATGGTGATGTTATGCTACTGTTTTCAACATTTTTATTGTCTTTTTTACCATTCAGGCATGTATATGCATATAAAACTTTCTACACATTCTTGTTATTGAAAATATCAAACCTAAATTATTTTTTCTGAGCAAAATATTTAATTTGTGCTTGTAACATGTGTCAATTTCTGACTGATTTTTGTAATATGCCTGTTCTATTACAATACATCCATAGATCGAGTATGATATCGCTGTATTTGCCTCACGAACTAAGCCACACTATCGCAGATTGTCCTGTGATGCGATATTTAGATGTGTAAATTCCAGTACTTAAGCCTTCGTCGCTGCTGATGCTTTCAAATCGAGCTACACTTGAAATCAATTTTACGGCGATGTATTGGCGTATTCTGCAATTTTTTTCTTACAAACTATAGTCACAATGGTTTATTTCATAAATAGTGCAAAAAAGTTGATGCAACCTCCGCGATTTGCTAATAATTGCGAGATATTAACTTGGACCACATATTGTCTAATACAACGCCATATTGATTCTCACAACTTTGGGGCTCCGGAAGTAAATTTGCCTGGCTTCAACTTGTATGTCAGTTGCACTATCTAGTGTATTATTAGATCTGTGGTTAACTTAAACAGGTAAGTAGTGAGACAGCTTGATGAAATGCAATTTTTAAAAAACATACCTAAGAAATTATTCATTGATGGTTCCTTGGTCTTTGGAGTCAAACCAAAGAATACTTGTCCGATCTTGTCAAGATACTGAACATAAAGAAATCAGTATTAAATGTTGTCTTGAGTGCATACGGATAATTCAGCAGGTTGATATGCCATCAAGTAAATGCATGGAAGATTCTTAAAGGTTTATTATAAGTCACAGTCAATATGCCAAATTTCATATTTTTGTTTCATTGTGTCTAATTTCATGTGGCTTTATTTAGGACTTTAGATTATCTTACCGAGAGATAATTAGGGTCACGATTTAAGGATGGATGGTATTTTTCACAGAGAACTGTAAATTGATTGATAGTTCCTTTTCTATAAGGCAATTGGAAAACAGTGCTGGTAAAATACAGTTCGAATATTATGTTGGTACCATCACCATGTAAGTGAATGTAATGTATTTTAGTACGATTATTTCATGATTGGCAGATGTCCACATTAAAGACTTAAAATGCTTTTAAACAACATGATCATTTAACAAAGTGTTTTTGTTATTACCTATCAATGATGACCAATAATATCCACAGAAAGTTAAGCAGTGGTTTTTCAAATGGAGGTCCCCTTCCAGTAAAGTCTGGATGATGATTAGTGTATTGTAAAAACACACAATGGGCTGTTGTTGAATGTTTCAAACATAAAAATCTGAAAATAATGTCGTTGATGTAAATATTTTTGGACAGGATATTCCCATAAAACACTTAATGAAAAGTCATGACTCACTGTAAAACAGCTTGTGTAACAAAAAGGTCTGCCTCACTTGGATAGCCACAAGTTACAGCATATTCAACCAACATGATAGCACATTGTTTTCCATTGTTTGCATGTAGAAAGTGAGACTGAGCATCAGCATAGTTATGCTCTAAACAAAGTATAAAAATGGAAGAACATTATTTGAAAAAAGCTCATAAAATCTCTTTCAAATAACAAATTATTAAGGTAGGTAAAGCCACATGACAAAAGCTAGAACTACAACACTTATCGTTCTGCCTAGGCCAAGATCAGAAACTTTTTCTCCCTCCCTCCCCCACCCAATATTTTAGAGACCATGGTTTCCCTAGTTTATACACAATAAACTAGCTTCTGGACAGCTTTCTGCTCCATTCAAATAAAACCCACCTGGAAGTGCAGGAAAAGTGTGTATTGTACACTTGTTTTAGTCAAAACATAAAAATTGAACATCATTTTTTCAAAAAATATGCAAAGAAAGGTTATGTTATGCATTATTTGTAATAAGATGTCAATATGATGTTCTATTATAATGATGCAAATATCAATAAAAACATAACAATAAAAAAGAGTTGACACGAATTGTTGTTTCAATGTGAACCAAATAACAGTGGGTAAATACTGTTATCTATTTGATTGTAACTTAGGTGTACATTTAACTTGAAAAAAATTGCACATTTTTTTCACAACTAATTCACACTGCAACCTGGCAGGTATAATCACTTAGCATTTTTAATAAACAAACCTTTCCAATATGTTTCTGCACACAAAAGATTCAGTCTAGGATGACCAAAAGGGTACTCTGTGTCTTTTCTAGCTGTCCAACTATAATTTGAGAATATTAATACATTGACATGTTCATATTTAAAGATAGACACTGCTTAAACATAAATGATAACCTCAAAGCTGCATCAATGAATGTTCGTCTGTTTGGAGAGCAAGATTTGAAAAGTTGAAATTGATTACTGACTTTGTCTAAAAATGGTAAAAAAATCTATCTACAACACAAAAAGCAAACAATCAGACAACCTTTGACATGGATTCCAAACTGCTCATTTCTATCATCAAGTGCATGAACAAGACATTATAAATACCTAAAGCATCATGGTCAATAGGCCTATCCACTTCTTCAAAATATTTTAACATCAGTAAGCATAAATCCAGACCACTTTCCTCCTAGACAGAAATACATACAATTAGGGATTACAAAGGATATTTAGATATAATTCACTTCAAAGAAAACGTAGGTAAATGAGTTACAGCTTGAACAAATGATTTAAAACTTAAGAAGTGAGAAAAAAGATCTTTTGTCAAACCTGATCATCTTTCAGTAACATCGCCGATCCATCGTACACCAGCGTCAGTGCATCGTCATGTTTTGACATACTCATATATCTAGAATAAAAACACAGGCTAAAAGAAAAATTCTTAAATAGTCGTTATTCATTCAATAATATTCCGTTTAGTGAAAAAGATCAAGATTTTTCAAGTCCTCGTTTTTATGACAGTTAGGTTAATCTAGGTTCACCGAACCATTTGATCGAGCAAAGAACACCTTTTCCTGTTCGTTTCGTCACATTCACTTCGACACTAAAATGAATGACAATCATCACCTGAAATACAAAGTCCTTATCATCTGATGTGCTTCGTAGTAACTATTATCTTGAATTAACTTTTCAAGTTTTAAAAGTACTCTTCGCGTCCCTCGATTAGTTGTTTCGGACGCCATTTTGTGTTGCCCTAACTTTTCAGGCTGCTTCTTAGTCAGGTTAAATCAGGCGGTTAAATTAAATGCAAAGTGGTCAAATACGGGTCAAATGAGTCGTGAAGTGTCTAACAAATTTTAGTGTTTCTAGGAGAGTCGTTAGGTAGATTGAGATTGAGGCATTTATATCAGTGCAAAAATTTCCGCAAAAATTATTTACGTTTTACATTGCTGCCAGGCAACAGCTTAAACTTGAACTTATTCTACGCTTATAAGCGCGACTTGGTCATGCTCTCAAAAATCAGCATGACCAAGTATAGGTATTATACAGTGTGCTCACTCTTGCAAAAACTTGTCCTCACGCATGTTACCTCGCGCATGTTGGCCGCCATCAGTGTTGCCAGATCGTGAACAAAGTTCACAGATTTGTGAACTTTTTGCTCTCTTCATGAACATTTCATGAACATTAAGTTTGTGAACTTTTTTTGAACTTTTCTAAATATGCATTTTTGTATTTTCATCATTTTCATAAAGAATGTATAGATATAAACCATAGTTCAATGAAAAGAAAATCTTCATAGCTTGACAGTTCTTTCGAAACAACGACACTTTTAAGATGATCCGATGTTTTCCGGATACTTCCAAGAGTTTCCGACAATTTCCGAATTAATCCGTTAACTTCTGATCTTAAAAATTAGATGTAATATGAACTTTTTGCCATTTTTGTGAACTTTTGACGCAAGCGAACATGATTATTTTAAAATTTCATCAGGCAACACTGGCCGCCATGTTGTCAGTAAGGAAAGAGGAGTGAGAATATTAAGAATTGTATTACGGAAACGCGATTTTCCATTAAATCGGATGTATTTCTGCGTTTTTATTCACCGATTGCCTACAGTTTGATGAAATAACTGATTTGAAGATAACAATGCGTAGTTTATACCAGTGTGGATACTGCTATATCCAGAAAATTGCGACAAATCTCACCTGTTGTTGTTGGCACTGTGGTACATTAGCTAACGTGATTTATTGTAACATTCCTCTTACAAAAGACGATTAGTTTCGTTTATGCTGAAAGCCTTTACAAGAAGATGAAACTTTTTTCGCCAGGGGTTGTCAATAATTGATTGCAATTAAATTGGTCTGCCCAATCAATTAATTGAAATTGGGAGTTTTGCCCAATCAATTAATTTTAATTGATGCTTTGTCCAATCAATTAATTGGTTACAAATAATTGCAATTAATTGAAACTCGAATAATTTTTGACAACCCTTGTATACTTTGTCTACATATCTTTTTAGTACTAGAACGCACACTAATGCTAATATCGTATAGAAATAGGTAGGTCTATTGTACAGGCAATAGCAATAGGTATAGCAACAGTAAATATATTTAACTTTTTTCTCTATGTCATAGGCCACACATTTAGGTTCTATAAGTTTTCGGATTCCCATTAAGAATGGAAAAGCGAAGAAGAAAATAAAAAATGTAATGTCAACATGGCATAATTCGAGTTTTTCGAAATTGTAGGCCTACAAAAAAATCTAACAAGAATACAAATACAATCACATAAATTATGTGATTGTCAAAAAGGCAAAAAGGGTTGCAACCAAGTGTTCATCACATGCTAACAGAAGCCTCCGCAACAGACTGTGCATCGGGCCACCAGCTTTTGTTAAGTTTTAGAAAGAGTTGCATCTCTAAATTCATAGGCAGCAGTTTTTGCCTGGATTCACTGAAACAATTGCCAGCGGTAGAAAAGAAGCGCTCAACGATGTTGCTTGTGGGCAGAATGAATCTGCAATCCAGGTATTTGGAATCGGTTGTCTTGCGCTTCTTTAAAAGGGAAATAGCAAAGTCATGCACCGGTTCAGACTCAATAGCAGTTGCAGTGTCGGAAATCTTTAGACTCTCGACAGCATTTCTCTCCAGAGGAGTCAAGGAACTGTCTTTCGTTTCCACGATCTTTCTGGCTCCATTTTCAAATTCCATCGAGTGGATAATCATGGCATCAGGTCCGAGGTAACTTGCCGTCTCCGGATGACGTCGAATCACTTCGCCAAAAACCCACCGGACGTCAGCCAAGTCCACATCGCTTCGTTGTAACGCTTTCGTAACCGAGTCCAGTTTAGAGAGAACTTTTTTGAGCTCCTGTAATTGAGTATTCTCTCTTGGAGTTGGCATGAGATCCAATAACTCCAAATTTTTTTCGAAATTGAAAAGATGAGGCATAAGCTCGAAGTATCTGTTCAGCATATTCGCAGTTGAGCTCCATCGCGTCACATTCATAGGGCAGGGAGTCAAGATCGTATGCTTCCGAAGTTCGCCGGCCAATTTCAAACTTTTGAGTTTCACCATCAAAGAATTAACTTTCTCCAATGCATCCCTCGAACCTTCCATGAATTTCATCATAGCAAGATAGAAGCGGTGCGAAGCGCAGCCGACAAATGACTTGCCACAAAAGTTGCTCAAAGCTTTGTTTGTCTCACAATTGTCTCCGATAATGCAAACGATATTTTCCAGTGATTTTCGATAAACAGAAAGGACCCACTCCAGAAAGTCTTTGTGAACTTGAGCGGTAAATCAGTTTCTTCGCCCATAGGACTGAAAGCCAGTAAAGCCGTCGAATATCCCTCTGTTGCTTTCGCGTCAGGATAGCTGGCGAAAACAGCAACAAAATGAGTGCTCTTTTCCGTCCACCCGTCGATAATGAGAGCAAATTTATCAGGCAATGTATCGCACAGCTTCCGTTCAACATATTTCGCAACCACTTCCATGTACTTCTTCAGCGTGTTGGTGGATATCGGATTTAAGGTTGTGTATTTACGGGTCAATGGGTCTGTCACAAACGAAAAAGGTTTCAGGCCCATACATACCCATTCCAGCCACGAATAGATATTCCTGGGTGTAGTGGTCGTGGTGGAGGTTGAAGTTTCGAGCGTCGTCTGTCCTTTTTCTAGCTTCCAATCCGGATGCTGAGAATTCAGATGGTTCGCGAGATTTGTCCATCCGGTGCCCTTCTTTTGTTTTAACGTCTTTCCACAAGTGCACTCCCATTCTCCAGGCTTTGCTTCTTTAAAGTATGTTTGTATCTTTGCCTTGCTGGCCATATTTCGTCCGAATGAATTCAACCAACACTGTCACCAGCAACGAATTACAATGATCAAAAAGCAACTGACTCGGCGATTACGTTACAGGAAGGGGTATCAATTTCAATCGATATTTGCTTTTCGCAGCTAGCGCTTTAGAAATGCCTGACGGGAAGCTATAGGATGAGTCAGTTCTCGGCTCGGTGGCTTATGATTCGCTAAAGCAAGCAGCCAGATGGCAGGATCGAATCGAGTCAGCTGACTTGTGAGCTGTGACCATTGACCTTTGATGGAGCTGCTGTGACAAGACAAAAGTAGTTTCAAGGTAAAAAAAAAAGAAAAGAAGCAGTCAATGCCGATCAATTAATTTTAATTGGAGGTGCGCCCAATCAATTAATTAGTTACAAATAATTGCAATTAATTGAAACTCAATTAATTTTTGACAACCCTTGTTTTTCGCTTCAAAATCATTCTTAATGAAACACTTATCGTGAACTATTGTTTTAATTAAAGTTATTGTATGTGAAGATTTATTTATATTGTAGTATCTTAAACTAGAGGCAAACCTACATGAACATTCATACATGTAGATAAATATTATAAATACCTGCTCTTGGTGTCATGCATGTAGCACAGAGTTTCCCCAATACTTTAATATTCAAAATTACACGTGTCCGATCGACGAGTGCAATTTGAAGTCTTTGAAAAATTCAAGAGTATTTGTGTTTCTCAAATTGCACGAGAAACTATGCAATTACCTATTAATATTATACATGAAAAAATTTCTCAGTTCCCCTGATTCTTAAGTTTAGCGTACGTTCATTTCATCCTGCAAGTTATTAGCTAATATCAATCGATCGTGCTCGTAAGGCTCAATTCGGACGGATACTACTTTTTAGTTTTAATTATAAATGCGACAGAGTAATACATTTGTAAAAATATCCGATTTCTCACCGTTATAACTAAAGCGTCTATCATCATTTTAATTGTATTTTGTTGCTGAAGTATTTCTTCCCAGTTCAAAAAAAATATGTACTTTTTAAAAGATATGTCTGCAATCAAGATCAGATTTGTTGCCCTATATACAGAGGAAGGAAGATTGTAGCTTTTTATTGATGTCCAATCAAACCAGCAGTTTGTTGCAAGAAGTTGTGCTGTCCTCGGTGTTTTATTTGCAATAATCCCCGTCTTCGCTGTACTGTCATGAATAACATGAGAAACAAACTAACTCAATAAATCTAATCAACCTAATAATTTTAATCCAAAATGTTTCTGGAATATGGAAAAATGGATGGACTATCAGGAATGTTGATCGTTGAGTCGATTGTCGAGATAGAACTTGGTTCTATCCAATATTGCCTGCTGCAATAGCCGACGATTGTTATTTTTAATGGAAACTGGGAGTTTGATGATTCGACGATCCAACATGTAATAAAAATTATTCATACAATGAACTTATACTAAAATAAAAGCAAAATAGGCATTGCAGTTCTAATTCTTCTAACAAATAGGCAACAATCATTGAATGTTGCTCTTGTAACGGACATCCTGTAATGATTTATGACTGACGTTTATGCTTAGAAGCTCAAGTAGCAGCTGAAAATATTTTGTTGAAGCTTTAAGATCATACAAATTTTTTAAAGCAATGTATAACCATATAGGCAGGTCTAGACGACTTCTAGATGCTATAGAATTAATATATATATTTGTTGTGCCTTACGCAACAACTGATAAGACGTAGATTTCCCTTGCAAATTTTTTTGCAATGAACAATCATTTTATATGGGAATTTTCACATTGGATGCATGAATATCGACAGTTGGATTAGTCATATACATCTCAATATCTAGCTAAATCACAACAATTGTGTAACTGTGGCGTACGACCTAAACTTATTCCACTATAGTCAGACATGTCGAATACTGCGGGTATTTCGAATGCAGGTTTTATGGAAGAACAATATATAAAAGAGGAAAGTTTATAAAACAAGTTCAGCGATGATTATGAGCAACTGAAACAAAACAGTTGAAATAGAATAGCCGAGAATTTCCTATTGCAGCAGAGGAAGCAGAAAAATGTTCAAAAACATCCGAACCGCCTACTGAACAGTCTATATTTGATATGCGCGCAAGTTTTGCTTAGTACCCATGCTTTCTGGCGTGTTTTGACGACTGGCGATCATATGGAAATCATGGGTATTTAAGAATTGTTTGACAGCCTATCAAGTGGGCTTGATGAGAAAAATGAGTTTTCAATAACAATTTTTATGCAACTACCTGTTATTACTCCGACTACCAAAGTAAGCCCGGATTATCCAGTCTTGTCACGAGATTACACAAATTATGCGTGACTGACACGAAGTCATTGAACAATCAAAATTTTTCTTGGATCGTTTCACGCTGAGTATCACTACTGACCCATATAATGAATCGTGATTTAAATAAATAAATACATATCATAAAATATTGCGACATGTGAGAATTTCGTAATGCTATTAGGCAAGTATTGTAATACATAATTACAACCAAACACTATAGCAAATAAAAGAAATTAGCAGGGCAAAGCTGAATACATGAATATCCCCCCCCCCCTTAAATTAGCGTTCTAGTTTCGCCCTTGCAAGTAAACGCCAGATAGGCGTCTTGTTTCTCTATATTTTATGGCTTACGAAACAACGGTGCAAACAAACTGTAATTTTGTAAAAATTCCAAGTGAGCTCTAAAATATCCCCAGATTCCTTAAAAAATTTCCACCCACGTATCCCTAAAAGAGATATGTCTCACAGTAACAGTGTATCCTTTATATATAAAATGTTTTCATCGTTGACTAACCAATCACAATTGCAAACGTGCTTCAACACCTAGCTTCTAAGATTTGTTTCGTTTTTTTTTATGAATATGATGCTTAAGGCATCTGATAAGTCGTAAAATGATCTCAATAAACCAAAAACACATGATAGTGAAAAAATAACAACGAACACAGGACATAGAGATAAGCAGCGTAGCCAAGTTTTAGTCCTGCTGTGAATTTCAGAACATTATCATTTCTTTTGAAATCTACTCGCTGTTTTAATAGTGAGTGAGCATACAAAATTCAAAATAGCATTAATAAAGAAGGCATTCTGACCAGAGTGGCACGTCCCTGATTTAAATGTGTGAATTAACCATATGTGAGAAAATCAACGTATTCTAAACGTTTGCTCACACTCACATTCACAGAATCCATGGGGCTTCAAAATCACCTCATAATTATTTAAAGACGGAATTTTCACTTTACTAAGAGCTTTTTTGAATGTTTTTGCAAAAATCTTGCCATTGCTGAAGAGATAACTTTACCATTGATTAGGGAGAGTGCGTGATTTTTATGACGCGCACGATAAGTGTTAGTGTGAGTGAGCTTTTAGAATACGAGCGTCATTGTTCATTTCTTCTTCGTAATTTGAATAATTAGTTTCAATAGGCCTAAAAAATTGCAAAGTTTGTTGCCATGGCAATCAATACTGACATAGATTTTGTTAGTTCAGCTGTTTGGAATACATAAAGTATATTCCATGTTTTGGGTTCCCAAAATATCAACATCCTAATTGCAGTTTTTTTATTATTTTTCTTAATTGAAGACAACAGATGTTGCCAATCATCTAGCATTGTTTTGTAATTTGTAATGTTTCTCAGTCGGTTGTAACACGTGGTTTCTCTTGGTTATAAAAGCGGAGATTTCACGATGAGCTGATCCATTGAATCTTTGTCAAGGTCAGTTGTCATTAACCAAGTGTTGTGTAGTTTCAACTTTTACTATTTCCTTTGACGGTAAGTGAATCTTATGCATTTATAATGATGTTTTATAATATATCCATAACAGCATTTGAATTTAGAAAATGTTAAAATATATTTATGCAATAATTGTTTCTTGAATTTAGCACTCCTGAGCATATAATGCTCTTGTTCATAGCAGACAAAATCTTGAGCAAAATAATATGTGCAGCATTGATTGAATTCAATTTACAACGTAACTGTTTTCTGCTAGCAAAAATCTGTACTAAAATCGAAATGTGTTAGATAGTAAATTGAAACAGTGATACCGCTCTTTGCAAATGCTCCCTATTTGAATTTTAGAAAAGTGTGTTGAAATGTAGCAATTAAAAAAGAAGCACATGGCATTAATGTACTTCTCACGGAATTCGCACAACTTTACTGGAAACTAGTTTGCGTTGCATTTACGCTTTCTGGGTTGTTAGCTGAGTGGTAAAGTTTTTATTGCTTGAAAATGAAAAAAAAATTCTAAGATAATTCATGTAGGCAAGGAAGAAAAAGTGGTATTTGGGTGCTTCTCATGAACCACATTACACCATATCACTGAACTTGAATAAGATCGTGAACAATGCACACATAGACTCAACATTGCATGTTGCCATAAATTACACAGATAGCATTAACTAAGGGGCTGTTTACATGAGTCCTACGGAAAGAGCTAGCCCTTTCTGTAGGGCTGTATTTTACTTCTTTTTACATGCAAATTCTAGCCCCACATCAAGAGCTCGGTTTGAGCTGCGAATTTCGTCGCTAAAATACAAAATAGCTGAAAACAAACCAATATAGTTGTCGCCTTTTGATTTTTGAAGCTTTCTTAGTTTTTTTGTTAATTTTGATGCCTTTTCTTGTCGCCATTGCTGAATAGCGATGCCTTATTGCATGCAAACGCGTTAAATTTTCAGCCCTAAAGGGAGGGCTAGGCCTACCGAATGCGTTTCCATAAGAAACTTCCAGCACTTCATGGCAAGATCTCGGATAAACGATAGTGAGATCTTGCTTGGTAGGGCAAACCCTCAATATAGGGCTCGTGTAAACAGCCTGTGGCTCATGAAAAGTCTGTGGCTCATGAAAATAGTATAATTTTTTTGAGAATTTTCACATGAAAGCATTTCATTGCAATCCATAATCAATCTACATGACGTCATAACACGAAATGTACAAATAAGCTCAGGTTTAATGGGGAAGTTAAAAAATTGAAACTAATTATGTTATGATTAATGTTTCAAAAATTCAGAACAAAGTTTTTTCAAACATGTATGAAAATGCCAAACAAGGAACACTTTCCACGCCAAGTCTAGTTGAATTTATCAGATTTTTTATTTTCAGAAATCAAAATGTGAAAAGATTTTACGTACATTACGTACATTTAAAAAAATTCATATCTTTTATACATGCATGTGTTTACTCACAAACCTAAATAATTCTTTTGACTAATTGTCTCATTAAAAATATTCCACGAACTACAGAAGAAAAAACTTCTTCTGGGATTCCCTTTCAAATTTCTTGTTTAAATGTTTTCTAGCTCGACACAATGCCGTTGTACGGAAAATTATTTCTTCTAATAACCATAGCTGCGTTTGTTGTTTATGCAAGCGAAGAAGAAGAAGATTCATTTTCTTCATTTTCGATGACCGACAATGACGTTGTTGACAGTGACCTTTACCAAGATGATGAAGGTAATGAATAATACATGCTTAGCTAAAGCCGTTGTGTTAAAGTTAAATGTCAGTAGTCAACTCAATTAAAGTTCTCTATTTTTGCCGTTGGTGGCAACTTGTAACGTGAAAGGGAAGCATGTTTGACTTGCAATGTTTTATTGAGTGATGATGGAGTTGTAGATGTTAATTCAGATTACCATACACAATTGACGTGGTAAATGCAGTGTTCTCGTTTCAAATTCTACACACTTGTAAGATCATTCAACTTAACCTTCGAGAAAGTAACAAAGAGGCGTTACTGGAGAAGGAAACAAAACCTAGCACATTTTACTAAAGCTATTAAAGACCCTGAGCTATATCCTTCAACGTGCATTAAGATTATCAATTAATGTTTATTTCTATTCACTATGTAAACAATGTCGATTTTGATTTGTCAACTATCTGCAAATATTTCTAGATATTTGCAGTTATGACGTCATATTTACAAATAATTTTCGATATCTATAAGTATAACATTTTATCTACAAATAATAGTTTGTACAATTATTGACGGTAGTCGAAGCTGGATTTGAGAAAAATCGAATAGTGGCTATGTTTGCCATAGTTTGTAAAGACGATGTAAAAGCTTTTGAACAAAAATTATTTCGAAGACACTAAAAGAGCGGCAAAGCAATCTTTAAACATATTTACCATATTTACAACATATTTAAAGTAGAAGGATTTGAATAAACCGTCTGAGAGCGACAAATTAGCGAAGTTGTTAAATTTTTTTACATTAATGTGTTTTGATAATATTTTAGTTAGTCAAAGTGAATAATAAAACTTATTGAATTCGGCTTTTGTATGATATCAAAGAATTATTCTGACCTTGGTCAATGTTATCCGCCTTTTGCCCTTACTCTGAATAATTTTTGATATCATGCTCATCCTCATCCAATAATAGTTTATTATCATCAATTACAGTTCACGGAATCACCATGATATATTGAAGTTCAATATTATTCTAATTCCAGCTCATTATCGTGAATTCAACTGTTCAGCATTGTCATTTACAGTTGAACGATATCAATTAAAATCACACCACATGTAAACTGCACTTGTTTTTGTCAACTAAAACAAGTTAAGCAACTTATCGTGTGCTTTTTTTTGTAAAAGTGCCGTATACAACTGACATTTAGTTTCTTTGAATAGGAGCTGGAATTCAAATGGATGAGAGTGACCTGCTTGTAAGCTCTGAATTTACCGATGAAGACTAATGTGTTAATGGAGCGTTTCATTGATAAATATATAAGATGAATGTGATAAAAAATATTTTCTTTCTGTGATTATAAATGGGAAATTAATAAACTTATCTTCAATGAAGGAAATTTCTTGTTGTTTCTTCAGACTAAACAAACATGACAGCTTTTTTCTAATTTTTAAATATTAGCTAATGATTGACCAGTCGGGAAACGATTTCGTATCATATAAATCAATGGCCAATTATCAACACAATATTTAATTTGGCACTTGTTAACAGCGAACACATTGCCCATAACGAAGCTCCATCAATCAAACTTCAGCCCTGCGTCTTCAACGTACTCTCCAACATCACCCTCTTACTCACCAACATACCCCAAGTATTCTCCTACATCACCAACGTACTCTCCAACATCACCAACCTATTTCCCAACGAACATAATTTTTAACAGCAAACACATTGCACAAACGAAGCTCCGTCAATCAAACTTCCCCTTTCAAAGTTTTGGCACAAAAATATGTAAAGAAATACACTCTTTGACAGTCAATTGCAGTGCCTTTTTGTCGTCATAATTTGAGTTCGTTTCAGTGCCGTAAGCAGCTGCTGGGGGAGGGGAAGAAAAATTCATATATACACGTTCTGCGATTCTTCCGCATGAAGATCATTTGCAACCAATTATTTTCTATAAGCAATCGGTATATAACGAAAATTCAATTAGGAAGGATAATTTATATGAATACTTAAGTAAGACAGAAAAGTGCGGTGTTGCACTTTCGAGTATATTTGTCGTACAACCAGGGCCGTACCAAGATTCCGACAGGTGAGGATGCCGACCAAAATTTTCCAAATGAAAAATTAAGAAATCCAAACATTCTACAGCAAGCAGCTCAAAGAAAACTGTTCGACATAGTAATTTGTTAATCCTCTTCGCCATTATACAGATCATGCAATACTCATTTATCTTGAATGTGAAAAACTAAGCATTTGTTTAATCATAACACGTCATTAATCGTATTTGTTATAAAATATCATTAAGCTATATACGTCCACCATATTATTTAGCCCACTTCTCTAATACGTTTTAAATTCAAATTCATCAGTGAGATCGTTTTTAAATTTAAGAAGCATTCGATTAAACATCTTAGAATCGCTTGTTGAATTGCGCAAGATTGTTTAAAAGTTTTGAGATTACTGATTTTTACTGAATGTTTGTTCATTTGGCGCAACGATCACTGGAAAAGTTTAAACTAGTCGATAAATACAATTTATCAGTGGTGAAATATAACACATCTTTTTAGCCTCTTCTGCAAATGATTTGATTACCTTTTTGAAAACAAAGCTAGAGTTCAAAATCAGCAGCAATGCATGAAGGTTATAGGTGCTTGTATATATCAATGGTTAAGTGAGAATAGAAAACAGGAGTCGATGGAAATGTTGAAAGATTGAATTGTACAGGAAGCAGAGTACCAGATCCGGGCTTCTGAAATAAAGCATGGGCTCCCAAAGGTACACGAAAATAGAAATGTCGGGTTTGGTAACAGTGGTGTTAAAAGATCGTGTCATGGAAAGTCTGGGACCAGTGGGGATGTGCAGAACAGGAAATGCTTGTTGCGTAAAGAGAACCACCCACTATGGAAATGTTTAAAATACCGAGAGTAACCATTTGAGGAAAGATGGAAACTAGCAAAACGGTTTGGACTGTGCTTTAGCTGTCTTGGACGCGATCACATAGGTAGTAACTGTAGTTGGAACAAGATATGTAATAGGAATGGTTGTAAAGAGAATCATCAATATGTGCTTCATCGCTTTACGTCAAGTTTATCCAGGATAAACAAAGAAAAAAAGAAGATATGACTGGAGAAGCGAGTTCCAATACGGACGGGGAATGGATCACACAAGACATATAAAGTGACGAGAAATGATAAGAGCAGGTTAATTGCGTTACGTACGGTGCCTGTCATAGTGAAGAATGGAGCCAGAATGTTATGTGTCAACTGTTTGTTGGACGAGTGAAAAGAGAGATTAAAGTTGAAGAGGCAAATGATGATACTGTAAGTTTCCTTTCTTCAAAATATGAAATTGGCCTGGAGAGCGTTGATGGTAAAGTAAACACCATTACTGTTGCACAATCGGCAAAGAACATATGCTGACGTATGAAGCCAGTCAATTGGGTAAAAGTGAATTACAATTGGGAGCATTCAAAGAAGATACACTTTCCAAAGTTAGCTCCTGGACGTAGAGTAGACATTCTTTGTGGAGCAAATCATCATGAGTTGACGTATTCTCTGAAAGAGATAGTTGGTGAACTTGGTCAACCATCAGCACGATTGTGCCCCCTTGGTTGGACAGTTGTTGGACAAGTTCAAGCAGGCGAGCAAGATTCGTATCACACTGCGTTCCATTATACGTATTATTTGAAAAGATATAGTGAAGAAGATGGTGAAATTGAAAGTGCCATAAATTTGAATTTTCTGTTAAAAAGGTTCTGGGATTTGGAGAGTATTATAATTACCAAGAAAGGGTCTCAAATTGAGGAAATGACACCAGAAGAGAAGTTGGCATGGGATAAAGTCAGTCAATCTATTGCATTCAATGGTACGCATTACGAGGTAGCTGTTCTTTGGCGAAGCAGTCGACCAAATTTACCAAGAAACTATCCCATCGCGAGACAAAGGCTTCTTTCCCCAGACCGGAAGCTCCTCAGATCTCCTAAGTTTGCAGATGGTTATCAAGGCGTTATTAATGAGTATCTGAAGAAGAATTACATCAGAAAAGTGTCACTAAATGATGAAAAGCCTAATTGTGATTGATATTGCCCCATCTTCTTGTTTTTTGCCCAGATAAGAGCACAAGAAAAGTTCCCATCGTTTTTGACGGATCTGCCAGTTTTGAAGGAAAGAGTTCAAACACAGAAGCTCTTACTGGCGCAAAGTGTAAAGAGACATCGTGGATATTTTGCTAAAACTCCGCAAGCAGCCGGTTGCATTAGTTGGTGACATAAGCCAAATGTATCATCAATTGGTACTCTTACCTGAGGATCGACCATTTCATTGCTTTCTGTAGCGAGATTTGGATCAAAGTAGCTAGCCCAATGTATATGAGTTTGTTCGTTTCGTTTTCGGGAGATGCTACTGCCCGTTCTGCGCTCAGTTTACATGTCGAAAGCATGCAGATTGACACAAAAAGGAGTTGCCGTTGGCTTATCGTGCCGTGAAAGGTCATTGTTGTATGGATGATTTAATGATGTCTGTTGAAGGAGTTCCAGAAACAATTGAAACTCGTCGTAAGTTGACAAAGTTAGGAGATGTGGCTATGTTTCACGTGCGAAAGTGGATATCTAATCACGTTAAGGTGTTGCAAGATGTACCAGAAGATGACCGTGTCACTCAAATCGATCTGCGCATGAACGATCTCCCAATCAAGAAGACTCTTGGTTTGTCTTGGAATGCAATGAAAGATCCCTTCTTATTTCATTTTTCTTCACCTAAGGATGATGTTTCTTACACTAAACGAAATGTATTGCGATGTACAGTGACCCTATTTGATCCGCTGAGATTTGTGGCACCGTTTACACTCGTGGCTAAGCTCCTCATCCATCAAGCATGGGTGCAGGGATTGGACTGGGACTGTCATCTGCCTAAAGAGCTATGTTCGACATAGAGAGTTTGGTGTATTAACTTAAACGAGTTTGAAAACATTGAAATCCCACGTTGTTTAAGAGAAGATAAGCTGGTAAACAGCATGGAAGTTCATACATTCTCGGATGCATCGTAGAAAGCATACGCTACAACGGTTGATACTCGTTATGAGTATGCGAAGGGGATATATCAGTTCGTCTTGTGATTGCAAAAAGAAGATTGGCCCCCTTGAAAACTGTCATTATTCTACGTTTAGAACTCATGGGAGCAGTTATTGATCTTTGTTCTAAGTCGAAAAGTGTGTAAGGCTTTAAAAGTTTCTCTTGACCATGTCAAGTTCTGGATTGATAGCATGGCAGTTGGATATTGGATTCATGGCCAGAGTCGTAAGCACAAACTATTCGAGGCTCACCGAGAGGCAAAATACATGAAGAAATTAACTCAATATAATGGAAATACATCAATACAACAGAAAATCCAGCAGATCTTGGCACGCGCAAAATGATGTTTAGGGAGCTAACAGATAATTAGTTGTGGTGGAGTGGCCCAGAATTTCTGAAGAAATCGTCGGACCAATGGCTTGTTGTACCGTTTAATGAAACGAATGCTGATGCAGTCTATGAATTGAAGCCACAGAACAAACAAGATTCAGTTAGTTTAAATACAGTTTGTAATGATCAGCACGGGACGGAATGGCGTTTAAAACCATCTCGCAATGACGTTGTATCGCCAATCATTGTCAAAGAAATAGAATTCGGTTTACCGATGGTGCGCATTACAGCCTGGGTTCGTCGCTTTATTGCAAATTGTCAAGCTTTAAGTGTACAACGTGTCAAAGGTTCGTTGACGGCAAATGAATTAAAAAAATGTAGAGGAAACCATAATTCGAGAAGCTTAATTTGAGGCGTAGGGTGAAGAGATTGCAGCATTGAGGAAGGGTCAAGCGCTTCCGAAAAGCAATAAGATTTTGGTTTTAACCCCAATTTGGAAAGGTGGACTATGGCGCTCAAAAACACGACTTGAGTATTCCGAGGCTTTGAGTGACGAAGTGAAATATCCGATCATTTTGCCGAAGAAGCACGTAGTTACCAGATTGATAGTGAAATATAATCATGAAAGTGAAGGTTATCGCATGGGAATCAACTACACGTTGAATCATTTACGAGAGAAGTATCATATATTGCATGGAAGAGAGATGGTAAAAAATGTCATACGTGAATGTCATGAATGTAAGCGACGATTCACCGGAAAACCGAGTACATAGCAAATTGCCCCGCTTCCTTAGCTGAGACTTGACGTCACCATGAGACCGTTTCACAACAGCGCCTGTGGATTTTGCTCGTCCGTATTTTACTAAGCAAGGACGTGCGAGACAACGAATGAAGCGTTATTTGTGTTTGTTTGTTTGCCTGCAGACGCATTGTTGCCATTTAGAGATGGTTTATTCCATGGATACAGTTGGATTTTTGTAATCCATCATGTAAAAAATCAAGAAAATATCAGTATATATGAGTTCTTTTCAATCTCTAAGTGACAAACTATACTAGCCAGTATATCACTTGTGAGAAGCGACCTGCTCTTTTTTCTGGAAATTACGAAATCAAACAACTGAACACTTTAGGCGTTGGCATTATGAAATAAATGCCAATAATATATCGCCAATCGTGTTTGTTTTTAAAATGTTATAAAAGATGAGGGGGAAGGTCAAGAATACATTTTTCTCTAAAGCATTTTTTGCGTCATCTTGCCGTTCTAGGTAATAATCGAAAAAAGGTAATCCAAGTTCAACAGCTGATGTGTGTAAATTATTCAATAGAGTGTTTTTATCAGTTGCCATGTTGTGGGAAAATGTTAGTGAAAATAGTTCATGTTACTCTCACCTTCTGTTGAGCATCAGAACTTTGATGTACTCCCCACACATGGCCACTTGTGACATCACTTACAGACATTCCATAAACGACCTTAATTAGTTTTGAATTATTGTGAGAAACTATGGAAAGACTAGAGTTGTAGTTATTGAATGTTATGATGTTTGTTGTATTTAAACGAAAAATGAGCAAATGCTAGCGCGAAATGTTAGGTCGAAAATGCATCCTTTACCTTTGATATTTATCGGTTGAAATCTTTTGAAAACCACCGCTGTTTGGTCCCCTTAGGACTTTACATTTTATAATTATGTATGCATCACTTTATGCAGTTCGCATCATCAATGTTTATGCGAATTTATTGACCATTTATAACTGAAGATTGTTTTTTGAGAAGGCAGTTTACAATTACAAACAACGTCACATGAATGCAGGCTGCAGCAAGTATTTTCTTGCCCAGTCGTGCAAACCATTTGGCCAACTGTAGGAAATTTTGTGCAGCCATTGTGAATCTGTGGTGTAGCCAGCCCGCAAGTTTTAGTCCTGCTATGTAAATTTTAAATCATTAACATTATTCATTTCTTTAGAAATCTTTTGTTTTTACTCTGGTTTTTACAGTGAGTGAACATGAAAAAAATAACATAGGACCAAATTTTCTGGTTGGTTACGCCACTGTTGTCAATACGTTTAGAAAACACTGAAAAAAGTAAAGTCAGTTTTGACATTATCAATGTCATCAACTATCAAGGAAAAAAATATTAAAGTAAAGAGAAGGTTGAGTTTTGCCAGAAAGCCACTTTCAAAGTTTTTACGCAGAACTTTTTACACACAACGATTTGTCGGGCCGACCGATACTGACGCCATATTACGTGATTCTTGCTATATATCGAAAATTTGTCGTGTTTAGAGAAATCGCTGGTGTAATCATAGGCGGTGCGTGACAAACACATAAATCAAATAATATATTTACTATTTACATAAATTGTTTAAATATAAAAACTTAAACAGATTTCTGCGCCGCCTATGGTGTAATTTACGCAATTTCAAAAGCTGAAAAAGAAAACAAACAGGTCAATGAACAACAGCAAAGCGAAATTGAAACTTGTCATTGTAGCTACGATCGAGGCAATGTTTATTATTATTATTGCCTCAAAAAACTAAAAAAAAATAAAGGTCAGTGTGGGACTGTGGATGAAATGCAAATCGGCTTATTTCCGACACCATAGCAACTGAACATACTAAAAATCGGGAGCAAATCTATAGTTTGCCACAGATTTTTATCCGACTTTTCGAGCCTGACGACTTTCCAAAATCATATGGCGTCAGTCTCGTCGGCCAAATAAATTGTTGTGTGTAAACGTACCTTTAGTGACATGAAAAGCTTTATAGGTCATCGTATAGTTTCTTGTCTATATAAAATCACAAAATCACAAGCTTATTAGAGATCAATTATTTAAATGATTCACAATTTGAAATTATGCAGTGTTGACGAATTATGAAAAGGGGCTGAGCCTTCCTGACTTGATTAAGAATTCCAACAAGAGAGGCTTCGCCTCCTGAGCCCCCTCCAATACAACCCTGAGTTTTTCTTTTGTCTAACTTGACGCAGAGGTGAACGAATGCAATTTAGACTTGTGACAAACTTCTATTCAAAACATCTGTTTAAATAGTTCTGTTGAACATCTGTGTAAAATAACTCTCTTTGTACTGGTAAACACAACATATGCTTTAAATAATCTTCCCTTCCGCTACACCCTTCCATTACGATGTACATTTCCATATTTTATGTTAAGTGCTGTCATTAGTCATAGTTAAGCCTAATGTCTGACATCATAGACATTGGTAAATGACGTTAAATTAATAAAGTCAGTCTCGAATTGGAGCCTTTCTGTTGTTGTCTCCGTATGCTTCTGACTAAACAATTTCAACGCGCTTACATTTGCTTGTTTTGTTCCGTATTCTACAAACCACTGGCATAGATCACATGACATTCAAAAGCTAAAACACTGCTCTATTACAAAAAGGTGCCGATGCCAAACTGTAGAGATTATAATATAATCTCTATTTGCTAAACAGACTAACAGAGCATACAATTAACAAAAATTGTTTTCACAATATTGTATTTTCTTGTAACAGAGCAACCGAGGTTTTGATGCAATAATTATCAGATAGACTGCATTCCAGCTTTCTTGAAAGTTAAAACCACTAGCAATTTTTTGTGTTCACATTTTGAAAAAACAAAATATTCGAAATAAATAAGTTAAGTAATCATTTGACAATGGTTATGCTGCTTTTGTGCGCACTAGATATGTACAATCAGACAGAGGCGTAACTAGAACGTTAATTGTGGGGGGATGTGTATAGTCATATATTCAGTTGTGCCATACTGACTTCTTTTGAAATTCAATTCACTTTCGAAAGAAATCAGTAGGGGACAACCGAATATATGAATATGCACCTCCGCCCGAAAAAAAATAGCGAAAAAAAGTCGGAAAATGAAAGAATTGGTCTATAGGCCTTCGATAAAGCAGCCGCTACCAACTACAAGCCTACATTGAGCCGTAAATTTTCTTTTGTATCCATAGATCTGTCCAATTAACATGAGTAAATAAGTACTTTAATGTTTCCGGTCGGGTGAATGAGTAAATACTTTGAATATTGATTTCCAAGTTGGAAAGAGTATTTTAATTCATTGTACTTCACACCAATCATAAACCGACTGATACATACCAGTCGGTACATACCAGTGATTCCACAACCCTTAAAATTTTATTGAAACCCCAGGGGGGATGGTACGTTCCCAATAATATCAACTATCGAACTGTCCACAGTTATATAATTTGTATGTCGCAGCTAAGGTGTACGACAAGCAAACTTTGATCACGAAGGGAGTTTAAAACCACTTTTTTTCAAAAGAAAAAATGAAGTTTTACATCGCCTTGCTGCTGTGCGGTTTCTCAGGTAAAAATTTATGCTCTTCGATAAATTGTTACATTTTGAAACGTGTACGTCAACAAATAACGTCAATTAATTATTGCACAATAAAAATAGAGACTTAGAATTTCTGCACTTAAATAGACCTCACATTAGCTATGAGCTTTGTTGTTTAGTTTATGGAGTGTAGTATAAAAGAAAATAAATGCACAAAACTGTGCAGAATGAGAGACTTGATACAAAAATTGTCGAACAATGCGCAGTATGTGCTCATAAACACACCAAGCTGTATAATTGTCACTTATATAAAAAGAATTGGTGTTCCGTCGAATATAACGGCAAACTTCATTGTTTTTGTTTCTTTTCTCATTTACCTGCAAATTACAATCAACTTGAGAATGAAGCATTTCATCATTTATAGTTATTGTTGATCATATGTAAATGATAGTATCTTCATTATAGCCAGATACTAACAAAATCAAAGATATTCATTAAAATTTTGTACATATTCAAGATTGAGTTTCATTTAAATGTAGTTGCATGAGAATAATAGATCTCCAGTGAGGCTACCTTGGCTTTTTTTATTGAAGTTTAATTATACCATAATGAATAAATCAGTGTACCATCTTTCAACAAGAACACATCCAATTTTTCTGCTAATTCACATCATCCAAATTTGGCATATTCATGGAAAGATCATTGACAATCTCTTATCTAAACCACATTGTTTAAGTATAAAAACTTGTTTTAGTCATTAGCAATTTGGTTGACTGACAAAGCACTGCAGCTAAGGTACCCCATCGAAAAGTATTTTTGTCAGCAAAACTGTATGGAAAACATATTCAGTTTATGTTCACACAATCGACTCTTTTGTGTACTCAATGTTTTTTTTCAGGATTTTTATGATTATCTTATGAAATACTGGGATTGGTGTCTATTAAATTAGTGTGGACATATGTAATGAACTTATTTATGTGGATGGGGAGCTTTGGTGGTGGTGTGGTGTGGGTTGGGTTGGGGGTTAAGGTTAGATGGCTTATATTTAATAGGTCTCGAGGGTGCTCTTTTTTGTGTGAAGGCTTGCATCCCTGACCTTTTGTATGGATTCATTTAATAAAATTATCTTTTTTAGCTGCATTGAAAAAGGAGAATGAGAAAATGCAACTTGTTGCTGAGTTCAATGGAAGGAAAATAAGAGGTTCTATATTGTTTACACAAGAAGACATGGAAAATGTTACCATTTCTTTCAAAGACCTAACCATTTCTCCAGGTTCAAAGATTGCCATACATAAGTTTCCTATGAAGTATGTGGGCCTGCCAAATGAAAGCTGTAGCACAAACAACATCGGTGATATATTTTATCCTGAGAACTGTCCTGAAAATATATCTAGATGTTATTTTGATGATTTGTCTAAAAATCCTAAAGTCATGGTTTCAGGAAAAAACAGTATATTTGGCCGAAGCATAGCCATACATGACAAAAATGACAATATTTTGGCATGCTCAACAATAAAGTCAAAAAAATCTCATTCATTATTTTTGGTTGGTGTTTTCCAATCCACTTTAAATGGAATTGCTGGGACAATTGTTTTGGGTCAACCAGCAAGTAACCCTGCTGCAGACACAATGGTTGACATTAACTTGCAACTTGTTGATCCGAGAAGTGAACCTTTAACTGGACTGTCTTTTGGTGTTTACGTTAGTACTACCTCTAGTACAGTAGAAGGTTCCTGTAAAGGTCTAAAAAATATGTTCAACCCCTTTGGCAAAACATCATGTGATCAAAGAAGACATAGCACATGTGCCATAGGTGACTTGAGTGGAAAACTTGGCTACTTAGATGTGCCATTACCAGGAGGCAAGAACCAATACCAATTCTTTATTGATTCTAATCTACCACTTTCTGGAGAGAACTCGGTTATGGGTAACTCGCTTGTGATAATGCAGAATGGCCAACTACTGATTTGTGCCAAACTTCAACAATTCCAGGAAATGATCACAGAAGTAACTTTAGGAGAAGCTGGGATCGTAAGGTTCAATCAGGGATCATTTTATTCACCTCCAACGGTAAATGTGAGCTTGGGTAATGAGTATGATGACGATCTGTTTATGAACTTGCACCTACTCCTCCTGCATGTGACAAAAGTAAACTGGGAGATAAGATCATATCTTTTCTAATGAAGGTGAGTAAATTTATACAAGTTTTATCATATAATCAAGAAAGCTTAAGTTGACTAGAGTTTATTAGGAATAAAGCTAATTAGATCACTCCAAATGAAGACACTGTAGGATAGAATGGACTCATGTTTCAATATCAGTTAACCTCAAATGAAGACACTAGGCTAGCAGTGGTGTAGGAAGGAAGTGAAAGTTGGAGGGCTCAATATTCTTTGGGGCAATTTTCATTGAAAACGACACTTATTTAGTAAAACAAGAGCACTTTTCATGTAGAAAAACGGCACTTTTTATATAAAATTTAAAAGTTTTGGGTACAAGCCCCCGTTCTTCCTGTTCCTATGCCACTGTAGACTAGAGTACGTAAGATATAAAGTTTTGACATCAGATCACTCCTGATGAATATAGGAGACTAGGGTGTACATAAGGAATTGAATTTTAAAATCAGATAACTCAAAAAAAACGTCAGGCATGAGTAAGGACAAGGATAGATTTATATCGCTGAAAAACTAAACCATAAAATAACTTAGTTCCAAAATCAAATATCCTTTAATTTTATTGGTACAAATGATATCTGTTTGGTTTAGAGTCAGAACCAGTAGACGAACTCACTTTATATGGACGACATAGCATGCTTTTCCGAGGTTTGGTGATCAGTGAAAATGTTTTATCAAAGAAAATGATTTGTAAACAATTGTTACCAAAGAATCCGAAGTATCTTTTGAAAGCCAAAACAATTTTCAACGAGACATCGATAAACGGCATTGTGGGATCTGTTAATTTCGTAAGTGTTTTAAACAATAACGACGTAGCTAATGCCTATTGTATAAATATTGTATAAATGGCTTTGTTAAAAGTTATGGCGTAATAGATTTTATTTAAAAAATAATTATGAAACATTTTGGGGCGCGAAGCACGAGCATATGTTTTTTATATTGATTTAATTTTTTAACAAATTGTTAATCAATTCTCCCCGGCGGCTCGTGGTCACTTTTTTAGTTTTTATCACAATGACGTCATACCCGTGTATCTATAACTGTTGAATGTTATCTATTTAAGAAATAGGTAACATTTAACCGTTGTCTATACAGTTGTCTATACTCGCCCCGGCGGCTCGTGGTCACTTTTTTAGTTTTTATCACAATTGACGTCATACCCCTGTATCTATAATTGTATAGACAACGGTTAAATGTTATCTATTTGTTTTATATAATAAAATCAAAAATATTGCCAAATTAAACGGTCAAACAGTTTGTTTTCTTTGTCCCTTGGAACATTGGAACATTGAAAAGTCTTGAGTTTGCAAATATCACGCTTACGTGATCTATAGAATTGAAGAAATGCTATTGGCTAACTTAATCACGTGATAAAATGTGATTGTCCAGCAACATAAACAAGCAATGGCTGATCAATATTGTTGAATGTTTGTTATCAAAGACGGAAGTACAAAGTAATGTTTGAAAACCGGGTGTTTTTTCTTTTCTTTTTGCACAAATACGTTAACTGCCTCAACTAGGTCTTTGTGAATATCTTTATTTTCCCATTCAGGGTGGTGTTGCGATAAATTTTCAAATATATCCACCATTTCTTTGTTTTTATAAACATGAATCTTGCTGTGACGTCATGTCTGTGCGTATGATCATAGCGCTCGACCAATGAAATTGCTCAAATTCTGGTTATTATATAATTGTTAAATAGACGTTAGCGAACCGGTTTAAATGCGTTAACTGCCTCAACTAGGTTTTGATTCTTGCCCAGCCAGGAATAAATTCAGGTAAATATTCAAATGATTCATCCTCCATTTGTTTGTTATTCAAAAAAAAGAGTTTTTCTGTGACGTCATTGCGTACGTCCCTCCTCTTAAAGAGGGCTCTCGACCAAAAGAATATCTTGAAGTCTTAGCGTTACTATATTTAACAATTAGATTATTCGAGATTTCTATGAGGTGATACAGTAGTTCATGATGACGAAGCTCTAACTGATCAACTATCGCACTATGGAAGTCAAGAGCGAGTAATTTAATTGTTTTAGTAAAGTCATGCTACTATTCATAAAGAAAAAAGTTGTGTTGGTCGCCACTTGCTATATCTAATATATATTGAAAAATAGATAGCCAGTAACGTAATCAATCAAATTAAAGCATTTGCCATCGAATACGCATACTAGTATGATTCTACTAATATAAACGTAATATTTTTCCTCCTTGCAAATTATTTGCCACGACTGTCTTCATCGTTCATGTGCAGTCTTGTAAAAATGTAACTACTGCTGGCTTTCGTTGTTTTTTATAAAGGCATTTCAAGCCAATTTATACCATTTCAACTGATATCTGTCGACTAATACAAGTAAATTTTCTCTCTTTACAAGTACAACCAAACAGAACACACGAGAGCACTGGCGGCAATATTTATCTTTTTTAAAAGTTGTCTTCACAATTCTCATAAAGCCGAACAGTTCACGAAACCAATATCGGCGATTGCGTAGCCACGTCATTCATAAGTAAAAAGAAAAAAAGATATTTAGCCAATGAAAAGTTCTTGTAAGTGATATCGTAGGTTGCTAAAAAAGTATTATTTGGTTACCGATTTTGAGAGTACCATCACACACTGTAAGATACCATTTTATAATGATGAAAGTGTACCAATTTAGGTTACCGGAAAAGTACTTCTCCAGTGTACCGGGAAGGTACTGCCTAGTTAGCCGTGGAGATGTTGCTAGGTGAAAAGACCATGAACTTATTTGTTTATATTTCTTTCAGGAACAAGCCCTTATGAATGAAGTGAAAGCTTTTGCTTACTCAGCGTCAATTGTGATGTCACTTAGCTACAATAATGATACCAAAATTGTAAGTTTTACATTTTTATCATTGTAATTATACGGGATGTGAGCCTTGAATCCTTGAGGATTCTTAATTCACCTTATGTCATATTCTGTGTTGCGAAGATATTCGCTACAGTTTACCTTAGCTTATATTCTTTGTCTGCATTGTTAGACAAAACATCATAATTGGCATATCCATATAGCTGCCGTTGGAAATGATAGCAACATGAAGATTGGCAAGAAATGTATGAGCTGCCTTGGTCATTACAATCCATACAACGTCTATTTCCCGGTATGTCCATCACAAGTTGACAATTAGATGATAATAATAATATTATTAATGATAATTAGAATAATTAGATAATGCACGAACCTCAATGGTCATTTTAATATGTACATTTAAATACCGGAAGTCCGAAATGTTCATCTCAAACGAACAATTAGATAATGGTATTACATGGTGAGAACGACATGTTCATTCGCCCAAAAATACTAAAGCTGCTGTTTTACAAGAAAAGCTACTCGAGTTTCGCGTATCGATCACGACTCTGCAATTACAAACATAGCTGAATGCAAGCATAGCTAATCAGATGGCAGAACTTGTAATGTAACACGCATAACTAACGATTTATTTTACAGGAGAACGATTATGCAACCACATGTAACCCTGGCAATCATTTCCGCTGTGAACTAGGTGATGTTTCGAGTAAACTTGGAACATACGATGTTGGTGGTGGATTGAAACATTTTACTGAAACGGAAAACTATTTTGCAAGTTGGCATAATAGTAAGTCGTATGTGTTATACTTATGCATTTAATACAGTGAAAGTCTGGAGGGTTGAGATCCATAATAACGGCATGAGTTACTGTATGATGAAGGAAAAATGCTTTATACTCTCACTCAAGTGTGGTGGAATTTCTAAAAGGTTCATTCGTATCTTTTTTCATTCTCGAGATATTCACATTTGTGTAGTGTCCAACTCACACAACCGTGACGTCATATTGCAATAAGAATAGTGGAATTATAAGACATATTCGCTGTTATGAAACTTTGACTGGTCCCTACGTTGTGAAAAGTTAAGGGTGGAAAATTCTACGTAAAAGTGTAAAAGCAGCGAGAAACGGAAGGATATTTGAAATTTTGGGCTCGTGCAATATATCGCCATTGGTTTCGTGTATTAGACATTAAAAAATTTTAATATCTGAAATTACGTAAGCAGTTGAGCATGAATTCTTTTATAAAGTGTGCTGTCATTTTAAAGTTCTGTTAAATGCAGAGGCCGTGCAAGCTCGATAATGGGGGAAGGGGGGGATATTCATATATGCATGTTCTACCTTGGTAGCTTCTATTGTGGTTATGAATTAACAAATTCCGCAGCCCCTGAAATGTAAATGTATTTTAGCTTGCAGAAATTTCGTATCATAATCATGGGAATTAAAAGTAATTGTTGAAATGAAGCTGAAGTCAAGTTTTGCCTCACAACAATTATATTTCTTAATTCTTAGTCATTGGTAGAGCGCTTGTGGTTCATGCGCCCAATAAGGGGGCTCCCCGTCAGGCTTGTAGTGACGTCATGCCTGGAAGTGGTTTTACGGTGGAGTCCTTGTTGGTGAAGAATTCAAAGGCAGCAAGGTAGATATTTTTTTCATTTATTTAAAAGTTCGTTTAATCTATGCTGTAAATGCCGTTTATATCGATGGGTGATGTTGAAAGTAAAGCAAGTTTCGCCAGCGCGTGAATGCTAAGAGCAAAACAATAAAAAGCTAACAATCTGTAATAGCAAACAAGATGTCGTAAACATCTTGTAAACGATTTATTATACTATATATGTACCGGGGGAGAAGTTTGACGTTAGAAGCACATTTTTCTATATGAACAGTAGCTAAATAATAATATATACTATCATAAATACAATGTACGAAATGCGGCGTCATATTATTCGCGTCGATTGCATTTGTTATGTATTGGTAGTTTTGTTATTCTGTCCGTATTATGAAAACGCAATGCAAACATCAAATTCGTTGTTCTGTTATGTTTTAGGAATACCGAGAGCTTTCAAAATGTGGTTGCGGCTGTTTTGAAGATCGATACTTGGAGAGTTGCTGATGTGAAATATGAGCCGACAGAAGGAGACAGCAGTTGCTTAACATATCATTTTGTCTTGATTGGTAAGTGTAAAAGCATGTTAGAAGATTTTCTCTGTGTCGTTGTTGTAGAGTTTTGCAAACTCGAAATGACTACTCGAACGCTTGCAAGTCTCTACTTCGCTGAGACTTGGCTGATGAAGCTTTTTTACTCGTTCTCGTGTTTTCCGCGTTTTATTGTGTTTTATTGTGAATATTTTTCTTCCTGTGTAAAGCCTCTCCGTTAACAGTTTACAAATTTGTATTGTTTTTTAACGCATCGTAAACCGTTTTGACTTTACCAAAATAATTCATATGTTTGTTTTGGGAAAAAACTACCGAACCCTCAAAATTTTGTTAAGTTATCGCAGAAGAGGGACGAAATCAGGAAAAATGCTTAAAAAGTTGTCTTAGATATAAAGAAATGCTTTCGTGGTCACACGTATGTGACAAGTGTCGCTCCTAATTTGAACGCTTGAAATATTTTATTTTATGTGTTAGATGATACAGAATCTGATTTGCATCAAGCTTTTGGTAATGTGGTGAACGACAATCGCAATGGACTAAAAGAGTTTGCTAGTAGTTGTGGTGAGCTTAACTGTTGTGTTATTTGGTTTGGTAGTAAGTTTAAAATTTACGAAGCCCAATATTTTATACGTTCAGATAACAACAAAGTATAGTGATTTGTTACGACTACTTGTATTTTCGTAAGCGCCCGGAAATTGATATACGCCATTGATGTTCCCTATTTATAGTAAAGGGTGTTATAGTATTCTCAAGTAAAGCTCATGAAATATGGTGTTTTTTCAAGCTATATTATTTTCAGAAGCCTGATTTCTTATGATTTCTACTTTTATCTGCGAAACCTTACCTACTGTGTGTAATACTTATTTTTCTTTGGATACGTATTAAAATATACAATCTTATTAATGATAAAGACGTTCGACGACTTTTCAGAGATTTATTTTCTGTTTTTCAGCCAAGAAACCTCGTTGGAAAATCAGCAAAGGAAATGCTGCAGAAATTATTGGTGTTGTCTTTGGAATTTTAATTTTGCTCGTTTTCATCTTGTGTATGTTCCTTTGGCTAAGGAAGCGCCGCCAGGAAAACGAGGCTTCGTAAGTGGAAGTTGCTTCATCCATTCCATAGCTTATGAGGAGTGCCTCTTGATGACATAAATTTATATTTAGGACGAAGCTCTTCGACAATACTGTGACTAACAAAACTGCAGTTAATGTTGACAAGTAAATTGTAAGTTTTAACATTTCCGCTTTTTCTACTGAGATTCATATGAGAACACGTTGTTTAATAGTACCATCTGAAGAAAACTCTGTTATTTAACAGCTTATTCACGTTCAAACTTGCACTCACTGAGTGGTGCTTTGAAATCACCGCATAACTGCTTGGAGACGTTACTTTCACTCCGTTACTTTCAGAATAAGATTTCTGATTTTTTCTTTGCAACAGTGCTGCTTGTTTAACGTCACAAGTAAAAATAACAACAAAAGATAGTCGACCGTAAGCAGTTAAACCCCCTGCTCTGTTAGTTATAATGTCAAATTGCTGTGGAATTTGCTAAAAGCTGTTACTAAAATATGCAATAGCAATGTATGACTACCGTGAAAATTTCTCTAACAAATTATCCGATAACATTGTTCCGTTTTGTCACTTACATCTTATTCTGTTATTCTGTAATCATCTATACAGACATAAGTACGATTTGATGTTCATTTTAAAGAAAGTAATTTTTCGTATCGCTTGACGTTTCCAGTTCTGATGCTTTCATGATTGACAATTCACACTTTTTTTATGCTAGCAACAAGAACCGTCCAGTAGATACCAAGTAGCAATACAAACTGATGACGTCACTATATTATTAACAATTATTTAATATTTAACTTTGGACAATAAGCCAGGAATCCACCATTAAGTAAAATATATTACCGCAGCTCTAACGGCTTTCATTAAGATGCTCTCAGTTATGATTTTTTAAAGCAAAACATCTTATCAATGATGTTGCGAGGTTTCTTTGAAATTTTGTTTTGTATCAAGTGACCTGTTGTAATGTATTTTGACGTTGCTGCGTGTCAGCCACTTAATGTGGATTACATGAAGTATCATATCAATCTTGCATAAAATTATATAGTTGTGCCATATAACAAGATGATTCTTATTTTAAAACTGGGAATCTAATTTTGTATATTATCATTTTATCACATAATATATACGTTTTCTTTTTTGTAAATATCACGAATTAGTGTTTTCAATATTGTTGTATAATCAATGACACAGTTTACATATTGAACCAACCAGTGTCTATTGAAGTTGTCACTCCCGGTGTCACAGAAAATCTTGCCCTTTAACCCCCTCCCCCTCTCCCGGAAATATGAGGTGCGTACTGGATATTTGCACTTACTTGTTTATAGGCACCGGCACTAACAAAAAGACCGCCATTGGTAGGTCCTTTTTTCCACTCTGCTTCTTGCTCTAAACCATTTAAATGTATGTGCAGCTGGTATTCTTGGTCGATGGAATTGTGAATGCGCTTATTGTTCATCGCTTGATTCGTGGCAAGTGTGTATATTAAAGTGAGCAATACTGTGGTGTTGCATGCAAGTGTCTGTTAAAGTAGAGAATATAAAGTAGGCAAGTAATTTTAGAAACAGTGATGAACTCACAGTGTCTTGATTAGACGACTCAGTTATTCGATTCCTCGTAACCGCGTCTTAGTCTTTGTACAACATAAACACTGAAAAGGCATAGACACTAGACTATGGATAAATTATTTACATATACTTTTATATTTACTTATATATTCCACACTGTAAATAATTTATATTATTTACAGTGTGGAATAATAAATAATTTATGTATATATGCATAACTTTTTACGGTAAACGTCTTTCCCAAAAGAAATAATCTTTGGCAACCGCATCACCGCACTTCACGTTAATGCTCTACTTGAATATTTCTAATTGTTATGACGGTTTATTTAACCCTATTGATTGTGTTCAAGTGCTCTTGATTGCTCCTTAATGTTAATGAACATTCTAAACCACTATTGATAAGTCCAAGCGTGTAATTGGATGTCCAATGTGCTCCAATTATGACAATTACAATACACACTATTCATGCTTACGCGGATGACACCACATTTAAAGCCAGCGCTAATATCGATAATGCACCTTTGGAATTGGAACGACGTCTTCAAGAATACATGGATAAATTAAGTAAATGGTCTAGCGAAAATGGGATGGTCCTAAACGCTGTTAAAACCAAAGCATTACTTATCACCGGAAAGAGGCTACATTCATCATTAGTTGATGGCAATCACCTGTCAGTAACCCTTGATGGGGCTGAAATAGAACAAGTAACCTCTTATAAATTGCTTGGTGTTTTTGTGAATCTTGCCCGTCGCCCAGGCAATATTCCCTTTGAATATGTCGAATAGATGCAACAACTCAAGCTTTTGAATAACGAAATTTTTATTCCCTGGCAATGTTTATCAAATACGTATATCGCTCACTCACTCAGACTCTCTCTTCAACTCATTTACAACAAAACATCAATCAAAATTCTTTTAAGCCTATTGGTTAACGAAATTAAAACAACTAAGGAGAATTTGTCTCTCTGTCAGTAGGACATTCAATTACATAGCTTATTCCCAACACACTCCCCCTATACATCTGAAGATAAGATGTATATCTAAATGGATTACTGTTCTAGGAAGTGTTTCAAATCTCTTCGGTTTCTTCGTCAGCAATCGATTTGATGATCCCCGCTGCATTTTCAGCTGCCTTACGCTTTGGCTTGAATGGTTGAGCGTCTGGATTAAGATCAGGTCTCTCTTCATGGCTCTGTCGATCACAAGCTAATTCCATTGGGTAAAGCAATTGAACTGGTCGTTCTAGGTTTCCATTTGGCGTTTTCAACATTACCCCACGTATCACTCCATCTCTTCCTGGATATGTCTCTATAACGATCCCAAGAGGCCATTTCCTCTATTCTTTTCGTTGGATTTGATCAGCACGACGTCTCCTACGTTTACAATGAACTTTTAGTCCCATGACTCATGTTATGTCGTTCTCGCAGTGCAGTGAGGTATTCTTTCGACCATCTTTTCCACAAGGCTTGTTTGCAAGATTTCAAGTATCTTGCCCTCTTACGTAAGTCCGGATCACTTTCGACCCATAATTTCTGTTCTGGCAGATGATTGATCTCTGGAATAAAAGAGCTCGGGTGTCAACACCGGCAGTTGAACATCGTCTTCAACATAACTGAGCGGTCTTCTATTGATTTGCACTTCAACGTCAAGTATCACTTCACACAGTTCTTCCCACTTCAGATTTGCGCCTCCAATTGTCTTATACATCGCTTGTTTGACAATTCCTATCAATGCTCGAACTGTCCTCCCCACCATGGTGCTCGGGACAAGTTAAACTGCCATTTAATGTCGAATTCCTCCAAATAACCTTGAAGACGTTCCTCCTTTCGTAAAGTATCAATCCACTTCGCAGTTTTATGAAGGTGCCCCATTGTCTGAATAGATCTTCCTGGGTCTTCCTCCGAGCAATGAACCGTTTCAAACTTGGTATGAACGTGGAAGCAGATAGGTCCGGCATCATGTCCAAGTACACTGCTCGAGTTAGACTACATGAAAACAGCGCCAGATACGCTTTGCAATCCTTGCTTGACTTCCCTTTGTAACGTATTGGTCCGCGAAATCTACGCCAATCACCTCGAACGCTGTTTCGCCACAAGTCCGGTCCTCGGTAACTTTCCAGGAGGGGGTGTGGGAACTGATGTCGCTCGATATCTTTTACAACCAAAACACTCCTTTCTAACTTTCTTTACAAGGCTTCTTAACTTCGGTATCCAATACGTCTCTCTTACAGCAGCCATTGTCAATCCAACACCTCCATGTAACGTTTCACGATGCACTTTTCCACTACTCTTTGAGCTAGCAAGGAATCTGTGGGTGATACTGACCCACAATTCGGCCACGACATTCTAAAATCCCTTCTGTATTGCGCGTAAGATTAAGTTCTTTGCATTGTTGCTCGTACTTTGGTTGTAATTGACCTTGCTTTTGGGCTTGTTTGACAAATTTCATCTTAGCCTCTTCAACTCGGTAAAGGATAATGGTCCTGTTCTCTTTTCCCTTGTGTACAATTGTTTACGAACCTGAAGAGCCATGACGACACTCTTAGAGCTCGTTTAAGTGAGCATTTTCTTAATAACTGTTCCAGAACATCACCACTGTACTGTTTTGTTGTCATTGCGATACTTTTTGGGAGACTGTCGCTTCTGCTTCTGTTGCAGTAGTTGAGTTGTGGTTATATTAGTTGGCCATCTGCTCATATCAGATAACCATTCTGGACCGTAGAGCCACGTCTGATTTAATTTCCCACCCTGCTGGCCAAATCTGCAGGATTTTCGGATGTGTACATATCGCCATTTTATTTCAGGATGTTGGTGTATCTTACGGACACGGTTTGAGACAAACTGCTTATACTGGCCCCGTCCAAGTATCCAATGCAAGGCGACAGTGCTGTCTAGCCATGCAAAACTTTGCGGCCGTGACAAATGATCCAAAGCGTTTCGCACATTCAAGAAGGTTCGCTGCCATGTGGGCTGACACAAGTTCTAGCCGTGGAACAGTTAGGTCCTCTTTGCCAGACGACTTTTACCAGCAACTAGAATTTGAGTAGTTCCCGATTCTTGATGAATAACTGAGTACACTGCAGCTCCTACACCTTGTGTGCTAGCATCCCCGAATGCGTGCAGCTCTAAAGACTTGATTGGTTCTCGAACCCAGCTAATGATCGCGGAACACTTACTTCACACGGAAGATTGCTCTCCCAGCAGTCCCATCGATACTTCAAAGAATGGCTTAGCCGTACATCCCACAAGAGCTTCTCCTTACAGATATCACGATAAATTATCTTTTCCTCTAGAATTAGGGTGATGTAATTCCCAAAGGGTCATAAACCTGAGCCAATCTACTCAGTACTTCACGTTTCGTTTTGCCGATTTCTCTGATGGGATCACTATGGAAATCTCGTCACTTTTCTTTTTCCATAACAGTCCCAGCACTTTAGATTCTCCAGATTTAGTTCCAAGTTGTTGTTTTGCTAAAGTTTCTTCTTCATCATCCTTCTTCTTCATCTGCTTCAAGCTCATGGGCATTTGAGTTCCACTTATGTAAATTGAAATTGGCGTCGTTGAATACATCGATTGATTTCCTTTTCCTTTCCTTGGCTTTGTCTACTGTTTGTCCCCCACTAAGCAGATCGTCGACATACATAGATTTCTTCAGTTCCTCAACGATATCTGGCATCTTTGTTTTCCAAGTTTCTAGGTGATGCTCTAGCACTCCCCAAGCAGAAATGGGGAGCAAGTTAGGCCAAGACGACTCTTGTGAATCTATATGTCAAGGGTTCAGGTTGACTGTCACTCTTCCAGTGAAACCGTAAGGCATCTCTTTCTTGTTCTTTTATTCGATCTGGAGGAATGCCTTTTCTATATCGCCACAAAGTGCAACTGGAAATGAACGATGATGAACCAATACGCCCAAAGCTTATTCTGTAACGGCGGGCCTGGGTAGGCAATCATTCAAGGATGGAGCACTTGAGTCGCTCGAGCGGATGCATCGTAAACTACACGGATTTTCGTTGTTTGTGCAGCTTCACGTATCACGGGTTTATGAGGTAAGTAGAACTCCCTACCCACTGGGGCTCGGTTACAAGTTCAACTACCTTTGCTGACTTGTTCCTCAATAATCCTGTTATACTCACTGGCCATTCCTTCCTGTCTAATCTCTTTACAAGACTGTTGAGGCGCAAACTTCCTTCTTTGTAAGATGGTAAGGAGGATGGTTACTCGCCACAGTAGACCAGACTCGTACCAACCTTCTGAACTCCTGACCAATTGCTCCTTAAACTCTCCATACACTGAGGTTTGATCGTGTTCTGAGGTGTCAAGTCCTAAAACATCCAACCGCACAACTTCTCATAATCCTTTGAGTGGTTTGTGTTAGTAACATATGATTGTGATCAAATTCTTTTCCAGGGGACATCACGAACCATCCCAGCTTGGTCAACTCCGCGATAGGTTAGCCATCTTTACCTATCGGGACGATTCTTTGTTTTATTCTGGCATACTCCCTCCCCAAGAACTACATGTACTGGAAGCTGAGCCTTCGTGTCACCATCTTGGATATCAACCCCTTTAAGTGTGAGTATTTGGAAATCATATGGCTGTATTGGGGTTTTTACTGATAAAAGTTCACTTTTTCCACTTTAA